ATGTCCCTTTAAGACGCTGTCCTACGTCAGAGACGTGACTCTACCTCATCCAGTCCGTAACAAAGAGGGAAAGACAGGTGAGGAGATGGAGGACGGTTCAAAAGTTGTAGCGGCTGAAGTAGACGAAGTTAACAAGGGAGGGGGTGAGCAGCTTGTGGAGTAGTTATCATCCATTTATTATTATCGAGGTGAACTGCTCAATATATCGTAATATTGATTTGAGGCCATATCGCCCAGCCCTATAACATACCCGGGTCATTTAAGAGTCTTGATAATAACGTCAGTATTAATAAAAATTCACAATCCCCATCCCAAATTGAGTAATATCATAAATTATCCTCCCTGTTAACACATGTCGCTGAAAATGAACAGTTCGTCAACAATGAGCTCAGTAGCCAATCAGAGCACAGCTGGGTAATTAACAAGAAAACCTTTGTTAATCCAATTCGAGTTTGCGGTAGAACCAGAGACCTCTTTCCATGACTGAGATCAGGACACTCAACTAACAAACGCTTATATAAACAGTGCACATGTAGAAAAGACGGAGCAGATAAACATCCACAATATTTTCTCTATTCATGAGTGAAACTGAGTCTTTTAAGTGATTTGACTGAGCAGGCGGATCAAGCAAAAGCTCACAATCTTTATTTCTGTTTAAAGTTTTTGTGATTCTTTCTTAGTGTGTCAATAGGACCGTCAGGCAGAGTGAGTGTGTTACCATGCGTGACTTTGTTGGTACCACATTGATCATTTTAATCCGTCCTTTCAGATCAGTACACTAAAAATCCTTATGGCAAGTCATCTTGTCCCAAAACAGCAAACCAAATCATCTTTATCCACATAAATTTACTGTAGAAACACGCTCCTTCACACGCATGCAAACACAATCATAAACACACACACATATATACAGGCGTACACTCTCCTCTCTCACACACACACGCTCACACTCTTGTTATGCAGTGCCTTGGTGTGAGAGGGGCAAAGCGGTGCCTCATCAGTGGCCAATCAGTGGTTCTGTTCCATATGGCACAGATCGGGAGGCATCACATGCTCGCCGGCTTCCCAGTCCTGCTGCCAGACAGGCCTGTTAATTGGGCGACAAGATCAGAGGCAATATTACAAGCCAATTAAAGCGATCGGGACAGATTGCCAAGTGATGAGCTCCACTGCGTAATTGAGAGTGTGAAGTGCTTGTCCCCTCTCACTCTCTCTCTATATCCGTCTTTCTCTCTCTCTCTCTCTGGGTCTATCTGAATAAGTGATGAGACTGCAGAGGACTGAAACTAGTTAGCGCATTAGTGATGTCACTCGAGGCCCCTTCATCACTGCTCTTAGAGCAGGACGCAGTGGATTTGGGTTAGAGGATTTGCTGCAGCGCTTCATTCTCTCTGTTACTGTAGTGAGTGGGCCCGTGGTGCTGCTGTACCACCGGCGGAGCATATGGCAGACATTATACGCTGAAACAAAAGGCTCTCTCTAGATCCAACCACTCAAGTTTGAGAGATTTGTTGTTTCAGGAATCTCCGTTTGTGTGATTTTCTGCCATCCTCCTGTGATATCAGATCAGCTGTGTTATTAGTTTGTGTTTGGCTTAGTCTTGTGTGTGTGTCTAATGTTTGTTTGTTTTTTTTATGTGCAGGAAAGAAATAGAGGGAGCGAGCAAGAGAGAGAGAGAGAGAGACTGATCCATACGACAGCTACTTTAATTTGTTCTGGGAATATTGTTGTACTGGTGCAGTCCGCTGGGCAGCACCTGCATGCCAAGTTTGCTTAATCATGCAAAAAGAACAGAAAAATGCATTACACATGTCAGAGTGGCTCCAGATACACACAGAGATTTGACAAACACCTTGAACCCGCAGAGAACAGAGGTGGAAAAATTCTCTTTTCTACTGTTCAGGTAGGTCTCCTTTTCATCTGGCATGTTGTGTATTAGCCAGGTTAAATCAAATCTTACTCTTTATTGTTTAATAAGCTTTTGTCTGGATGTCTTTTGTTTATTTTTCTAATGTGGAGGGTTTGGGGTTTGTTTTGGTTTTACCGTTTATTATAGAATAGAATAGAATAGAATACTGTAGAATATTCCTTTGTTGATCCTCCATGGGGGAAATTTTTTTGCCACAGCAGCATCACAAAGGTAGTGCAAAATGCAGTTATAAAAATAAAGATCGTAATTTTAAGAAACTAAATAAATGTTATAATTAAGAAAAAAATTAGAAAAAGGAAAAAGGGGAGAAGAAAATAAAATAAAATAAAATAGTTGTTGTAAACTGGGAATAGCAAGACACCAAATATTTGAACACAGTAGGAAAACTTAAAACTGGTTTGTGTCAAACAATAATTTTTTAATCAGATTAATCACTTTGCTGCTGAGGATTAATTTCAATCAATTGCGATTAAATATCATTCATTTTTAATCGCGATTAATCGTGTTTCATTTTGCATGAGCAAAGAGACTAAAAGTAGCTAATATGCTAGCAGAATCCCCGACTAACGTATGCTCTGCATTAATGAGGTATTTTAAGATGGAAGTGCTTTGGTGTCCACCTCTATCCTGGTTTACAGTCTTTGGAGTTGGCCTCCTGATTTCAACCGCCTCTTTGATCCACCGATGAAACTTGTCGCTTACTGATCCGTTGACTTTGGCTGCATCCCAATTCATAAAGTGGTTTTCTCTCTTGAAGTGGTCTGATATGGCTGAAATCAGATTCTCCTGCGTGGCTTTCTTTCTTGTTGCACGGGTGAGCGTCTCAGAAGTTTACACTATCCCACCATCTCAGGTGGGATGGCAAAACCAATCACACCAATGTCACATGACACCTCTGATGAAGGCTGCAGAGGCAAAGTAGCCGAAACTTGTCAGGTACGAAATGTTTTTTGACCTTTCTGGCTTTTATAGATGAACCGTTTTATAAATTTATGATCAACAGGCCAAATGAACCTCTTTAGTATCTTATATTCTTGTTTTAGAGAGGGTCAAGCAGCATGACACTCATTTTCTTGATGCATTGCACCAATATCCTTTAGAAAATATCTGCAGAGATTTAGTCATAGCATAGTAAAACCCTGACAGTCCCATGATAACTTCTTCTGGACTGAGCAGAGATCCCATCAAACAGCGAGACAAATGAAAAAGCTCAGTCTGGATGGGATCAGACAGAAAACTTCACAAACTTGGGAAGACTTTTCGGTGGTTTTTATGTCAATGTTTTGAGCTGTTTCAGACCTCCTGAATGTGAAAACAGCTGATGAAACACCATCTCTTCAGAGAAATGCTTTTATTAAGCAGTGGTAAGAGCTCTTATTTAGTGTTCACTCCTTGTGATTATGTTGTGACAGTTTTGACACTGAAGACAGATCTTTGGCGATAGCTCCGTGACAAGTGTGGTTTGGAGGTAGCTGGTATTTACCGTCAGTCCAAACCAAAGTCTGTGCCCTTTGCTGTCTGTCTCTCTCTCCCCCAGACTCTCTATCTCTCTCTCCCACCATCTGCGTCTCCCTCTGCCTCTCCCACATCCCTCCATAATACCACGGCAGCCCTTTAATATCCAACGGCTGTGATTATCCAGTCAAGTCAGAGATTTTCCCTGATATTTTCTGTCTGATTCTTAAAACTAATGGGGTGTTTGCGCGTGCTTTGTGTATGATACACTTTTTAGGGGCTCCCTCTGAGGGCTCGGAGCCATTTCAAACAGCGGCTAATGCTAGTCTCAACTGGCTTTGTTTGTTTTAAAGAGGAGAGACTGACATTTAGTGGCTAACCGAGGGGCGAGGGAGAGAACATGAAAGTGAAAGTTTTGTTTTTAAAAAGAAAATGCCAGCTGAAGGTTTCAGTTACAGGCAGGTTTTTGAAACCACGCACGCACACACACACACACACACGATCGCAAACGTTCAGGTTTCCCCATCAATCTTACATGTCCTGCAAGGTGCATCCTTGTCACATTTAAGCACACTTCTCTTTAAATGGCCCATAACTTTAAAGGGAGTTGACACCAACTTCCCTCTACAAAACAGTTACAACTTTCACAACCTTTTTTTTTTACGAGCTTTATTGACAGCTCTCTCTGCGACGTGGAGCGGTTCAATAGTTGAATTGTCCCTCTTTCCCTTTTTCCCCTCTGTTCTTACTGCCGATGTTGTTCTAGTGCTTCTCTGGGAATAAGAGACCTCACACTGCGGGGACTTGTAAAACCACTGTCATGTTGACGGGGAGACTCGGCAGTGTGTGTTTGCGTGCATGTGTGTGTGAGTGTTCAGACTCTGCGTGTGTGTGTGCGTCTTTGAATGTGGGTGTGAGCACACAGCAGAGACCAGTAAAATGCTGTCTGAATGAAGTCCCAGAGCAGCAGTGGTGAGTAGTGTTTGATGGCCATGTGATTTGTTTGTTCAGCCCCAATGGCCTTTTCTCCTGGATGAGGGAGAGAGGGAGTGACCAGGAGAGAGAGAGAGAGGGAGGGAGGGCTGATCGCTTCACACCTTCTCCCCTCCTAGCCCCACCAATGAGCCATTTAATCCTCCTTCTTACAGCTAAATCAACACCTCTTCCACACTCCGGGCTGGCTCGGACCACCACTGCCGACTGTCTACTGCTCCATCCTGCCGCCTGTCTTTGCGGGTTTAAGTAGTCGATAAAGTTCGGTCTTTTTTTTTTTTTTTTTTTACAATATTGATGCTGGTATCTTCAGACAGTCATACTGTAATGGCCATTTCAAGAGATAACATGTGGTGCCTCACTTACGTCAGTACGTTTACATGACACTCGAGATAACCGAATTATTGCCTTACGTGGGATCTCCACCGCATCCGGAATGGCAGCGATTTTCGCCGTATGCCAGTTCCTACTGGGTCCATTTGTGAGGCGAATTTCTTGGTGGATTACAGACAGCAGGAATCGCGAGAACTCACAAGAACCCGCGGATTCACATGCAATCACGCAATAACAAGTTGTCTTTAGCCACATAGGCTAACCATATAAACAGTAGATTGTGTCCTTCCAGAGGAGGAAATCCACTTCTGGACTTTTAGAATCAGCATCTCCTCACCCTTGGTGTCATCAGGGTGAAATGTTTCACTTTCACAACCTTTCACTTGTTCATCCCCACCTGTTTGCATGGTGTGAAATAAGATCCCCCTGAAACACGGAGTGTTTTATTTTGAAAAGAAGTCAGATGTTTTATTTTGTGTCTGTGCCCGACTTCCTCTCCAGCATGGGTTAATCTGTGCTGAATTTATCTGACATGTTCCGGCGTCCGGAAAAATAGAACTCTTGCGATCAGCTGTGGAGTCTGGCCATCCGCAGCGGAACGGAAAGAAGCCGATGGAAATTGACACATTAACTTGAATGGTTATGATCAGCAACGATCGGTCGATATGGCCTTTTCGTAGCCGTTCCGGATGTGGTAAAAATTGCTGGTTAGTCTGATTAAGACTGGACAACTAAAGTGCACGTAAATACCTTAGTCTGACTATAATCAGAGTTTGAGAACTCCGATTAAGACACCCAGATAGATCTCTACCATGTAACCAATGCAGTCAGAGTATGATTGGACAATGCATTTGCGCGTGCGCAATGCCTACGTAACCCTGGAACAAAAACACCAGAGAGGAGGTGGCACTATCATTTAAAGAACTTCTGACTCATGGTTGAAGCACGAAAGAATGTCCACTTTTGGAACGACGAGGAGAGTGCTGTTATGCTTTCTGTCCTGACAGAAATGGGCATTTTAAAGTATATGGACGGTCACAAAACGAGGAAAGGAGCATCTTTAAAAAAGTTCTGGAAACAGCACAGCTGAAAAGACCCATATTGCCCCCTAGTTTTGGAGAGGAGGACACATTCACATCAATAATTAGATTTTCTCAGCTGCAGCAATACGTGGACAAGGAGAGAAGTCGGATTCTGCGGAAAAAAAAACAAATTATGAGCTTAGTCCAAATAAGCTGCGCATGTAAACACACTGATTGAGTCATAAACAGCACCCATCGTGTCCTCTTTGCCCTGTTTTCAGAATCCTGATCCCACATTCGAGGTCATCTGAAAGACCATAGAAGAAGAAAAACTGTACAGTGTACATGTGACCGAAAACATACTTTTAATGTAAAACCTAAAGGAAAAAGGGTTGCAGAGTTCGGAGGGCCTTTGATGGGCACTGTAGCTTGTGGGCGGCACATTTAGCCCAGTGTGGTAATTGTGTCTCTGGGGTGAGATCTTTGGACCTGATCCCAGCAGAGATCAGAGAGCTGAGCGGATCACTACAAAGCTAGAGAAGAAAGAGAAAGAATTAGACAGATAGAGAGAGATGTGAGAATCTTACATGTGCAAGGACACATATGTAGGTTGGCGTAATTAGCATTGAATCGATGCGTGTGTGCCTTTTATTATCTCATTTCTTACTGAGATCATGTAAAGCTGTGTGTACGAGTACATCAGTAAAGTAACCGTCAAACACAGAAACAGAACTCTGTTAATCTTTGGTGTCACTTGTTTTTAATGAAACTATGACTATCAAACGCTTTAACATCCATTAAATCCAGCTTTAGTTCAATGACGTCATTTTCATATTACCTGGTTTTATTACCTGAATGCAACAGCGTGGGAGCAGACATCTGCACTGAAGTGGGGAGTCTGTGTCGGTCCCCACTCAGCTGTAAAAGTCAGCCTACTATACAGTACATGATACAACTCATGGATGACACTATGTAGAGCTGTTTGGGGACTAAAAAGGCCTCTAGTTGTTGAGCCAAAGGATCTGGATCACTCCACTAGTGTCTATGATGTTCACCTAAGAAAGAGCTCTTGCATGGTAAGATGGATCGTGGACAACATAAGCATTAGCATACTGCCGTTGTAGATCTGAATCAGTCCGTGGGTCTTTATGGATGTAGCGTGTTATGAGAAAGTCTATTACTGGACTGTTTCCTTACTATCATCCTACAGGTTGTCAGACTTTCAGCAGGTTTTTAATGTTAACGTTGACGTCGACTTCTGTTTGATTTGAATGTAAAGAGATTAACTCTTAGTGCAGCGGAGTTTCGCAGCTCAAGGAAGAACATTTATGATTATTACTTCATGGAAATGCAATCAGACTGAGTCTCTTTGCTAAAGAATCAGGCAAAGCTAAAAAGATGTTTGGTGGCTAGTACTATGGCTGGGACCCTATATGTACTGTTGATGAAGTTAGGTGCTGTTTTGAGCATTATTTGTGGCTATAGAGTGGCTCTTTGGTTGAGGTTTGCATGTGGAGACGTAGACCGCTGTGTATCGCTGTCGTGCGACCATTGCTATAGTTGGTATAACTAGAGAAGCAAGCAGTCAGCAACATTCATCTCTCAAGGGGGTGTCTAACTCGATGTTATGGTGTGTTTGTCCATAATTTCAATTTTACGCAGGAATATCCCTTTAAGTTGTCTAACTTTGCACTCTCAGATGGCTCCACGGTCAAACTAGAACACACATGTACAGAGGCCATAGTCCTAAAAGGGGCAGAGTTCAAATCTGAGTCATGGCACTTTGAGGTATGTCAATCCTCGCCATCTTACCCCGGTTTCTCACTCTATCCACTGTCCTGTCGTCTCAACAGGGCGTGGAAAAGCCTCAGAAATAATCAGCCTCTCAAGTCAAATAGATCAGATTAGACATAAACACACTAGATGCAGTGATAGGCTGCTCCATAAAATCCATCATCACGTTTTTCAATAAAGAATAATAGATCCATTTTAGTTGCACACCTTCCTCAACACTTTGTGCATATGTCCCACTCAGCATATGTGTGAAAAGCTGTTCTGGTCTATTTTCTGGTGAGCCGGTGTACAGAGGGGCCACTACTCTGCTCCCCGCTGAAAGACCAACATACTCTCGTGTGAAACACCTCCTTATCTCCCTCTCCCAGAATGACCAGGTTTGTTTCCCTGCAGGCCCACTGGCGAACACACACTCACACACACACTAACACACCACCCAGGGAGCTCACAAGACTGTTCACAGACACATGCTGATGCACACATAAAAAGTGTGTATGCAGTCGGACGAATTCAGACACACAAAGTACATTCGCTCTCTTCCCCTCGCTCTCTCTCTCTTTCTGGTGACAGCGAGAGAGCGAGGGGGAAACGTGAGCGTTGGCGGTCCAAGTGCCTTGGTGTCGACTGACAGATATAATTACAGGAGCGGTCTCTAAAACCTCACCCCTCTTTCCCCCACCCTCCCGTCTCTCTCCTTCCTCCTCCACCAGTTCCCCAACCCTCCTTTTTCCTCCTGCTACCCCTCTACCCTTCTACCCCCCACCCTCCAACACCACTCTTACCCCCTCGGCCCTAACCATTATTTATTTTAGCAGCTCCAGCCCGCTTCAGAGGGCTCAGCAGCACTCACAGGGCCCCTGCCAAAAAGTGGCTTTCTGACTGAAAGCTTTCCAAACAAGCTCCGCTGGTCCATTTGGCCCCGATCCAACGCTGTGCGGTCTCCCTACTACCGCTCCCTCTCCCTCTCTCTCTCTCCAAGAAGAAAAGAGGGAGAGGGGGAGTCTGGTTTGCATTAGGATGAATATGTGTGTGCGTGTTTAGCCACATGTGCAAAGTACTGCTTGTGTGTATGTGTGTGTGTGTGTGTTTCTGGCGATCTGACCCAGACCCAGAGTGATGGTCCCTGGAACCTGAAGCCACACCGCGCTGTATAAACAAAGAGCGGTGTATTTACACAGAGGTAAGAGAGCAGGAGACCGCGGCTCCTCCACTGCATCACAGCAGAGCCATGTCTCTGAGACTATGCAGACAACCTGTTTATGGCCTTGTGGGAGACCCTGGCTGGACCCTGCTGTGGTCTGCCCCCCTCTCAGGTATCTTATCACCGTCTGAAGATAGGAGGACTACACGGGGAAGCTGCTTTAATGGCCCCTCAGATAAGTCTGTGTACAGGAGAGCGAGGTGGGCCGATAAGACATGATTAGATTTAGAAAGGTGGTCAGACACTGGAACATGTTCCATTTTGCTCTCAGTCAGCACATATATGTGGAGAAGTGCCAGGAAAGTCTTCAACAGAGGTGCATGAGACTTTATCCAACACCATCCTTTAAGGAATCTAGACTGGTTTCCTTCAATAAGCCTGATTTTAATTCCAATCTGAGATGTAAAAGTGACATTTTGAATATTTTATTTAATCTGAAGTTTTACAATCAAAACATAAGTGCAGAAAATGTCAAATCTGACAACAAGTGTGACCCCGTATTTGAAATTTACCAATCCCAGGAGCTTTAGTGTAATCAGCACATTATGATTGGTTCAATATTCATTCCTGCTTAAAGTACCAACCTCGCAGAATAGAAACAGAAACAACCAGAGGAACTCAGACAAAGATGAATGTCTGAGCTCGGCTGGTGTCTAACTGTGTGTGTGTGTGTATGTGTGTGCGTGTGCGCGTCTCTTGTCATGTCATTTATGTGAGACTCTGCAGCTGTCCACTCTTCCAGGAATCAGGAACCAGACCCAAACTCACCTGACCTCCTGTGTATGCTCAAGTGTGACCTAAAAACATGCACACACACACACACACACACACACACACACACACACACACACACACACACACACACACACACACAAATGCACAAGCTATGGGAGAACAGGACACACACACACACACACACACCCCTGTACCAGGCCAGCAGAGAGGAAGGAAGTAAGGGCTGGTGGTCACACAGCATGCTAACGGTAAACCTGCCTGTTCCACACTCAGAGTTGACATCTCCTTTCACAGCGTAACCTTCACTTCAGGCTCTAATAAAACACTTTATTCTTTATTTTAATTGAACATGAAGTACTTCTATTCATCAGCATAAAAACATTCTTCTGGTGTTCAGCCTGACTTTGAATCTTTGACACCTGATCTAGAAACTTTAAATTAAAATCTGAACAATTTTAAAGGAGTTTTTAAAGGTAAATTTCTAAAAGTTGAAACGACAAACTTTGAAAACATTTCAGGCTTTTCGTATAAGAAGGTGAAGGTTTCAGAATATTTCGTTTTTAAAAGTTCCTAAAAGGCATAAACCCAACAATAAGAAGTTACTGCACATTAAAGGTCCTGGTTTTGAAGTGGATGACAGTATTCACATTGAGTTCTATGTACAGTGTCATGAGCCAGGGTTAGATAAAAAGGAAAGGATCCAAATACAGACAAAAAAAAAAAAGATTTAATTTGAAAGAGCAAAATAAGAAGCAACAAAAACCTACTTTACGATGTCCAACCAAAAAATCTCAAAGGCAAAATCCAACTAAAGACACTGTGGATAAAATCACATGGAGACTCACTGGGGATGCGCCGTCAACAAGGACAACACACACATCGACATACAATGAACCAACAAGGACAGAGGGAAAGAGCAACAGGTGAGGCAGGCGAGACACAGGTGAGACTCATGGGTGATCAACAAAGGAGGGAAAACTAGGGAGCTAAAACCAGACTAGAAACAAAAGGAATTAACTACTACAAAATAAAACAGGAAATAAACACTGAAAACGGATCTAAAGAATAAAACAGAGAACGTGAGGGAAACAGGGTCAAACAAACTGAAAACTCATAAGACCAGACTACAGGGGAACAGAAACACTAGGGACAATCACAAAGAAAATACACTCAAATAACAAAAGCAGGGAAAAACTAAATCAACAGAACATATCATGACATACATTTTAGATTTCAGCTCTGAAAACTCATAATAAAAACATTTAAAAATCTTACTAACACAGCTGCAAATATGAATTTCAGTAGAGTTGTGTAAAACATGAATAAAACACAACACAATGATGCTCAAATACACTACAAAGACAAGATACTTGATGTTCAAACTGATAAACGTCATTGTTTTTTTTTTCTTTTTAGCAAATATTCATTCATTCTGGATTTGATATCTGCAACATGTTCCAAAAAAGTTGGGAAACAAAACTCTGGACAAATTGAGGACTTCTCCAAAAACACCTTTTTGGATCCTTCCACAGGTGAACAAGTTCATTTGAAACAGGTGAGTGTCATGATTAGGTACAAAAGTAGCACCCTCAAAAGGCTCAGGACTGGGTTCACCACTTTCTCAACAACTGCGTGAGCAAATCGTCCGGGAACCTGCAGGAATTTAATGATTTGATCATCTACAGTCGGTAAAATCATCAAAAGGTTAAAAGAATCCAGAGAAATCTCTGCAGGTAAGCAGCAAGACCAAAAACTAACACTGCATGACTGTGACCTTTGACCCCTCAGGTGGCACAGCATTAAAAACTCACTGATATCTAAAAAAGAGGGCAAACTGACAGTGTCGGTGTGTGGGTGCCCCGAATTATATGATACCTTTTCTTTCAATTACTGAAACCTGAATAAAAAACGAGGCAAGTGAGTAACGAGGTCGGGTACATGGTAAATTAAAAAAAAAAAACTTTGTCTATCACTTGATCTGGCCGGTTAACTTGGCAGGGATTACCGTCAAAATTACCGTTGATGCGTGAATGAAACGAGTAAATACTTTTCATTCACACATCTAGATTTGCGCAAATTAAGCGAGTAGATGATTTTACTTGCACTTGGTGTGAGCGCCCCATTAGTGATGGTAAACAATATACAAATATAAAACATCATATAGTTAACTGAAGGCAAAAAAAACACAATAACCAGCATCAGCCAGCAATGTTTTTGATTGTTTTGGGGGTCTCCCTGAAAATGCGAGGTCACTCACACTCTGCAGCCAACAGTGTTACTTCAGAGGTTAACACTGATGAACAGGAGCATACGGCCTGACCTGAACACTCACTCAGCTGATGGACGACTTGGCAGGACTGCCAAATGTGAGATGGCCAGCTGGACTTTGAGTCTTAACTAACGCAGAGACAAAGTGAAGGTGTGTAAGTCCTTATGTGCTTTTATAGTTGTGGTTGTTGTTTTGACGTCTCATGAGATCTCACTTGTTGCAGGACGACCACAGAGTGACACTGGGAGAGTCATTTATCTGAACGTCATTAGAGATGGATGACGACAAAGGTAACTGTGCAATAGTTCATTTTCCCAAAGTTATACTTTACTCATTTTGGCTGATTATACTGACGATAATATAGTTTTCTTCATATTTTTTGGACATGTTTTTTTATTTATTTTTTGCTTGTTGAGAAGTTTTAAAACTCAGTTTGAGTCTCAAACATCAGACAGAAATGTTGAGTGGTCCGTCTTTAAAATCAGTTTGTGAATAAATCTGAAAAATCTTCGCCTGAGTAGGTAGAAATCTCTGACCTTGATTATGCATAGTTATTGTAATTTTTACTTGAATTTATGATACTGAACAAAAACTGACTCACTCGATTACAATAAAAATGACATATAACCAAAGTCAAGGTAGTTTGAGTCAGTCTTTCTCATTTAAATGTTAAAATTTTCATCCAAGTCCCACTCACTGTGTAGGTTAACTGGCTGTGTGTGAGTTATGATGTTTGATTGATGTAGGTCTGAGATATGTTATTGCTCTCTATGTTAGTTCAAGTCTCACTGTTTACAGTAAAACATCATCAGTTCTCATCAGTGTTGTGTTAGTCATTGAAATATCGTAACGAGTTACAGTTACTAGTTACTTTGTAAAAAAAAAAAAAGTAACTTAATGAGTAACTCAGTCAATTAAACCAAAAAGTAATGCGTTGCTGAGAAAGTCTCTTTTTACTTACTGTAAACGTTCTTCCAATGCTCCCATTATGTAAAGGTGGATTGACTGAGTTCATTTTAGTTCTGTACTGATGCTGAATAAAACAAACTGTTAATTAAAACAACCATTTTAATTCATTTACATCCACATCACTGAATATAATCATCCGAGCGATATGATCCGTTGTGCACCAACACAAACCTAACACTAACACCAAAATTTGACCGTTGGACTCTGAATAATAGCCTGATAGCGCTAAAAGAAATCCAAATAAACAATTAAACATACTGTGCTTTTGTTTTATAAAGTTGTGTCTGGCTATGGGTCTGTCTTTTAAAATGCTGCTTGGGTGGAGTGGGTGTGTGCTCGCTGCTGTGACTCTCGGTCTCAGATGCTGCGTTAGCTACCTTAGCTGATAACTTTGTCGAAGCACGGCGCTCCTCTAGGTGCTTTAGTAGATTGCTGATGCTGTTGTTTGCCGTAGAAAGGATTTTTGACCCAGCACACAGTTTACATGTTATCCTTTGCCCTCAAGTTGAAAATAATGTGAGCATCTTAGAGTCACCATATTCCCAAAAAGAGGACACGACTACGCAAGGGCAGAGTCACTGAGTCGCACCAAGTTAATTTTGAGGGTTTTTGGGGTCAGATCGAGTATCTTTTACTTGCTTCTAACTCAGTAAGTCCACATGGCACAAACTCGAAACTTCCATACAAAACTGCAGACATTTGAAGGATGTTATAAACTTCCCTGGACAAAGCCTCACAGCCCCCAAAAAAGAGGACATGTGCGGGTAAAAGAGGACTTATGGTCACCCTAGAGTATCTCCATGAGGAGAAACTTATCTTCCCCTTCTCGCTCGCCATCATGCCGTGCTCTGACCTGTCCAGTCCTCTTCATAGTTCGTGTTTGATTACGTGTGTGACGCTAAAGAGTGACAAGTGCTTTGTTTTTTTTTTCCAATTCCATTAAACTTTATTGATCGCTAAACTGTTACGAGAACTGAGTGCCATTTTAAAACCTCACCAAAAGTAAGGAGACCAGATTTCTGTAATGAAATCTGGGGACAACGGGAACATCCAGGGTTGGGAGGTACTAAGCAAAATGTAATTTCAGGCCCTCTATTTCTGGAGAGTGGACAACATCTCAGCACTGCTTAGTAGCAGTGCGCGCCTTCCTAACAACCACTGTAAAAACTGTTCTTCATAACTGTGTGCAACATGCTTACTTGTGCTTCCTACCCACTCAGCTACCATAATAATCATTTATTTTGTCTACATGCAACATTTTTTTTCTCATTCATGAAACACTTAAATCGGGGACAGCTTTAGCGGGGGGACAGGTCATCCAAAACGGGGACTGTCCCCGGAAATCAGGGACGTCTGGTCACCTTAACCAAAAGGAACAGGGTAGCACAGCATTTACTGAATTTAAAACAACAACACGTAATGGAGTTACTAATAATGTGTTACTACCAAACACTGGTTTTCATAATTTCTTCATTCATGATTTCAAACGTGAAACTCACAGTTGAGGTTTTGACTGTGATTTAAAGTAATTTAGATGTATTTATTATGAAATAGTTGAGCACAAATAAGAGGATTAATAAATCATAGATAGGCCAACAATGACTCAAAATCAGATTGTGGTTTCAAACACCTGTTAATCCCAGCACTTCATCCTGTCACGTCTTTTCAGGCCAGTTCTTGTTTCTGTTTCGTGGTAAAGCTTCAAACATTATTATCGCCGTCTCAGTTTGCTCTACTGAATCCCATCAAACGCTAACTGCCATTTAAACGACTTCCTGGTTTTATGACACCAACAAAAATGTACAAAACTGGAACAGCTGGTTTTATGTGTCTGAACAAAACGTCCATGTTAATAAGCAGCGCTTTACGGGAGCGGAGAACAGAGAAGTGATTGTTCAGCTAGTTAGTTTGCAGTGGCTGTTTATCAGAGGGGTCAAGGCTGGCGGTTATTGTCTGAGAGCAGCCACTGGTCCTCTGCTGCACGTACAGGACTGTAATGAGCAAAAGGTTGCCCTGGCTGATAACTGTCAGCAAACCAGAGTGTCACCACTCACATCAATCATTCCTCTGCACACTCAATTCACCCCTTTGTGTCCTGTTTCTTTCTTCCTCTCTCCCTCCGTTTTCTTTCCGTCTCCTTTTTTTTTTTTTTTTCAATCTTTTTATTACCCTGCAATTACAGCTTATCTGCAGTGGTAAACTTGGCCCCCTTCACTTCCTTATCTCCCGCCGACTGGGCAGTGCAAGGGTCTCTTGAGTAAGAAGACAGGGAGGACATAAGGAGGAGGAAGAGAGAGAAAGAGAGAGAGAGTGTGTTATAAAAAAAAGAGATGAAGCAGGGAACGCGACCTCAAGCAAATGAATGGGCAAGTTGCAAAAAGGAAGCAGGCTTTACTTATGACTTCCTACCCTCGCGCCACTTCTATAACAGCCAGCACAATACATTTTCTTTTTATTTTTGCCCTTTCACACTGTCAGACTGATAAAGAAAATAACTGGATTATAAGGATTAATTCAAATACACTAAATAATGGCACTTTGGCGCGGTGGAACTTTTTTTCTATTTGGCTTAAAAGGACAGAAAAGTTGCCGCTCAGTGGAGTTAATGCGTATTTACTCAGATATTAACACAAATCAGTGCTTCTATTCAAAATGCTCCGTTTGCCTCCACGAACCATCCCCCATCATCCCTTTCTTCACCGCACCTCAGTATCTCCCTCTCTGTTGTCCGTGCTGGTCAGTGGGTTTGTGTGTGTTTGTGAATGTGTATCATTGTGTGTGTGTGTGTTTGTGAAGGGTCACTGGGGTCAGGGAGTAGACCTTGGCCTTGTGGTCTGACCCCTGAGAGGAGACTGGTGTCTGGGTCTGACTGCCCTGTCTGACCCTGCTGTCAAAGCCTGTGTGTGTGTGTGTGTGTGTGTGTGTGTGTGTGTGTGTGTGTGTGTGTGTGTGTGTGTGTGTGTGTGTGTGTGTGTGTGTGTGTGTGTGCGGATAGTGGTCCATCTGACAAGATACGTTGCGTGAGCATCTATGTGTGCTCTGGCTATTTGCACATATGTCTTCCTGCACACCCCACTCTGTCCATGTGTGCATGCGTGTATGGCACCTATTTATATTGTACTATTTGCATGTGTGCATGCAAGCATAGCCATGTCTGCTGGTCCTTGTTGTTGTTGAGTGTGTGTGTTTGTCTGTTTAAAAACACCCCGTCCTCCCCACCACCACCACCACCACCCTACACGGGGGGGAGGAGAGTGGGGAGAGAGCCAGACCAGACAGAAGTGACAGGTATTGATCATCGTTGTTCCAGTCAAGCAAAGACCCTCTCAAGCCTCGGTGCTTTGAGGGGAGTCCTGTCTGCATCCAGGGGAGAGAGGGAGAGAGGGATGACCACAATCAATGACTGATCCTCCTCGCAGAGCGGCGGGGTCAGTCTGGATTTACCTCTTTTTTGTGTTCTCGACTGAAAGCAGTAAAATGAGACATGGCAGTTAATGGACATCCAAAAAAGAAAAAGAAAAAACATAAAATGCCAATATTTATTTTCTTTACATCTCAAGTGAAAAATTACGGCAGAGTATTAGGGCCACATAAAAAAAATTAAGACTTAGAGATTAAAGTCATTACTAACAAGAATAAAGTCGTAATTAAATCATTGCTTATGAGAATAAAGTAATAAAATCGTTACGAGAATAAAGTCGTAATTAGATCATTACTTATGAGAATAAAGTTGTAAAAAAATCACTACTTACGAGAATAAAGTCGTAATAAAGTAATGACTTACGAGGATAAAGTCGTAATTAAATCATTGCTTATGAGAATAAAGTAATGAAATATTCGCTTACGAGAATAAAGTCAAAATAAAATCACTATTTGGAAAAATAAAGCCGTAATAAAATCAGTGCTTACAAGAATAAAGTCGTAGCTTATTTTCGAAAATACAACTTTATTCTGGTAAGTAATAACTTTATTATGACTTTAAGAAATTATGATGTCTCAATTTTTTTTTCTTAATGTGGCCCTAATGCTCCGTCATAAAAAAATAAACAAATAAATCATCGTATGTACGTGCAAGAAAAAAATTCTCTCCAGGATGTGAAAACCCTCCAAACATAAAAGTAAACTTACTCTGACTTTAGTGATGCTCCACTGAAACCACACCGCCTCTCTGCTAATTAGGATTATTAAAAGCCTGTAACAAATAGTGCAAAGAAGTAAAGACGATGAAATTCTTTTCAAGAGGGAGAGTTGCATACCTCGGGCTTTTCATCAAGTCGTCCTTCGAGCCCCACAATCCCCCCCACCCCATCCCACCTCCTTGCCCTCACCCTTTCCACAGACAAATTGATTTGCAAGGGTCCGGAGCTGGTGAGCCCTCAGAGCACCGCCGTTTTTGCATACAGACCGCTGCAGGGATTGCACAATGACTAACCCCAACAAAAGAGGAGAGGAGAGGAAAGAGGGATGAGGAGAAGGAGAAACAGAGAGAGAAAGAGAAAAGAGGGTGGTGATGGGGGGTTTGCTCATGTAAGGTTTGAGAATTTAGCAGAGCATGGACTGGTTTAGAAGTCAACGTTATCAACTAGCATGATTATACACACATGCACAGACACACAAACACACACACAAACCATGAACTCACTCAAACACACACACATAGACTCACACACATGTGCACACTCCAGTGCCCTCATGCCCTGAGCCCTCCCTCCTTGTCCCTTTATCCCTGTCTGGTTGGAAAGGTCAGTGCATGTCTGGGAAAAGGGGGTCCCTGGATCCCCAAACCCTGCCACTCCACACACACACATGCACACACACACACACACACACACGGGGTCACATATGTAACTCCACATTTTAATAGGCACTTCTCCATAACACAAGCACTGTGCACAAGTATGTTTCACATAAAAACACAGTAAACCTCTGCGTGTCAGTTATGAGGGGACCTGAGAGAAATGTATCTGCACTGGTCAGCATCAGCCGAGTCCCCCCCCCCCCTCTACCAGACAGTGCACCAGCCAAGTACCCCTCAACCCCCCCACCGCTCAACCTCTATGAAAGACGAGAGTGAATACATTCAAATGGAAAACATGCTCTATTGTGACCGATGTTTTGTCTCCTCATGATGTAAATAGCTACACTGGCCAGCGAACAGAGATGTGCGGGCCAAGCTGATAAAAACGCAGCAGCAGTGGTCGTTGATGTCATATCCACTGTCATGTGACAGGCGTGGGTTTAAGACACACTTTTGTAACACTATTTTGACTCACTGGTTTGTGCTCACAAACTGGAGAAAAGTCCACAAACACACACACAGAGCACATGTGTGTTTGTGGTGTTACATGTTTGGGTGTCCAGCTGGATCATATACTGTCTAGATGTCCTCCTTCTCCTTTGCTCCTGGTGCATCAGACACTGCCCTGTTCTTAAACACACACACACACACACACACACACACACACAGGAACGCACACAGGAACATAGACAGCACAGTCTAGGATATGGAGGGAAACCCTCTGTATCCTTCATGAACCTCCTGACCTGAAGCCCAATACAGCCAACCAGGACAGAGGGGGAGGGAAGAGAGGGAAGCTAAGGTTGGGAAGAAGGGTGAGACTGCGAGCCCAGCTGGGGTGGGGGAGGAGGAGAAAAAGCTCCCTCACCCTGTGCTCTCTGACCTGCAGCTAGGAGGGGGACTCGTCATGTCTGGTCCACTACATGGCTTCAGATGAACTGTCCAGGGCTCGACACCAGAAGGAAGAGCTTCTCAGAACGGTGTGAATTAAATGTTGACTAACCTGAGTCCATCAACTCGACTGCATGACACACACCTCAAAACTGCTGTCTATCTCTTTTAAACAGAGGAGAAGGAAAGATGATGAAACTGTGGAGGGACATTTGCAAACTTCATTATAACAAATGATGTCACTGCTGTTTTACTACTAAAGACCTGTTGACTTAAATTTCATAAAACTATATATTTAGTCCCGTCGTGTTAATGAAATCAACACACGTTCACACACATTAACAGACTGTCTGATAAAGTGTTTGAACAGGAAGAAGTATGAAAGTACAAAGATGGTCAGTTGTGGCGATGGCTGAAGGTGCGCGGACGTCAAAAGTGTAACACCGGAGCTGAAGATAGGGATGAAGCGAAATGCAACTTATGATGCAAAAATATTTTCCTGCAAAAGTGACACAACCACTACGGTTGAACACATCAGTCTTGTGCATCAAATCAAAGTACCTGCAGTACTTTTGAAACAACTCTGTCAGCTCCTCAAAGCAGCCGGGATAAAAACAGACAGAAGTCTCATTAGTAAAAAATCATAATCCAGTGTTGAATTGGATGTTTAAAATCCATGTTGAAATTAGCAGGATAAAAGTTGGTAAGCAAACTAACCAAATGGCACACGATGACTTTACAAGGTGTTCAAGGTCAGGTTGGAAAAATGACAATGAGGTGAACATAAATAATACATTATCTAGATGTGTTCAAGTGCCACGTCCAGAAAATGAAAACTTTTTTGGTGATCAATCTGTATACAAAAGATACCCAAAAGATACAAAAGTTAGAGGGAAAACTGTATCAGGAAAGACTTGATAGCGGTATCGATAAGGACTTGGATTATTAAAGAGTTTTGGTCATGGCATCAGTATGAATAAATATCGTGAATTTGCTCTCTACCAATAAAAGTTGTTGGTGATATTTCATTCAGGATCTTAGAACCAACCTTTGTATTGTTTCCTCACCCTTTGTTTAGATGTAAAAACAAACTTTAATTAGACCAATACCAAATCTGTGACATCTGCTCCAGTTTGGATGACAAGTTTACCTTTAAACAAAATTAATTAAAATATTTCAGGAAAAATGCAAAGGTGATGTATGCATTAAAATTTGTAAATCTAGGGAGCACACACATAACAGTTACAGCAAAATAACTATTAAAAAATAATAAATATATATAAATATAAAAATGAAATAAATTTAAAAAAAATTGAATTAAAATAAATATCAATATGAAAAATAAAATAAAAAATAAAAATAAATTAAATAAATATGAATATAAATATAAAAAATAAATTTAATTAAAAAAATAAAATACATGAAAAGATAAAATACATTAAATAAAAATAAATATAAAAAATAAATACATTTTAAAAAATTAATGTAAATAAAAATAGATATAGATAAAAATAAATATAAATATAAAAAATAAAATACATTGAAAAAGTACATGTCATTAGAATTTATATAAATATAAAAAAATAACAAATATTACAGGAAATATGCAGAATTATTGAATTGGTATGCATTAAAAGTTGTAAACCTAGGGCGCACACACATAACAGTTATAGCAGGAGATCATGAATGGATGTAATGTGGTGCTTCATCAGAGAGGGGGGACAAGTATTCAGAAGTCAGAAGTATAAATCTTTTTACAGCACTAATCAAACTGTGGGGATTGTTGAGATTTTTATCAGGTTACTTTGACGACCAGGCGATGTGTAATTCTACTTTAACAGCCAATAAAACACCTCATGATACCATGCAGTACAAGTGTCTCCTCTTCTAACAGTGTGTCCTTGACTACAGAGACAAGGCTGCAGGTTGTTGACTTCAATTCGAGAAGCATCCTCTTCTTCTTCTTCGTCCTCTTCTTCTTCTTCTCCTACCTCGGTGTGATGCAGCTTTGAGAGCAGCTGCCTGGAGCTGTAGACGTAAAGACAAAACAGAAACACCAAACTGGGTCGAGGACAAACATACAGATAAGTCGCAAAGAGTGAGATCGAGAGTGGAGCAGAAGTTGAAGGCTGGATTGTGTCTAAGTGAGATGTTTGTCTGTGACACTGATGGAGTGTCATCTCTTTGTCGAGGTTTGTTTGTGTGTTTGTGTGTTTTGGTGGGTTTATGTTTACACAGTGTGGAAGCAACGGGCAGGTCATGGTTCGCCAGTCCTACGTCCACAAACCAATGAAACACACACAAACACTACCATACACACACACACACATGCACAGAAACGTTGGATAAAGGTTTCTGCGGGTATTGCCCCTGATCTGGGTCAGAGAAGACCCCATTCAGGTCCATTCCATCCCCCAGAACCCCCTGCTGTTTCTGTGCTCCGTACCAATCCCAGCAGCCTTTCACTCCTCGGTGCCAGGGATTGTTTCCAAAGATTAGACTTAATATGAATATCCATAAACAGAATGGCTCTCCCAGACTGTGAAAGCTATCAAAGACATATTTGCATCTAATCCTCAAAGAAGCCCCCTCCCACCCCTTACAGAGAGCTAGATTCCCCCTTTCGGCCCCCCAAAAAATCCTACTAAACCTCCCCCGAAAAAAAACCCCTCAAACCTGCCATCCCCCAGCCCCAGAAACCCTTCCCTCCCCTCTTGCCCCCCGGACCATCCCATCCATTCCCTAACCGTTGGGCCAGACAAGACCAGACCAATTCTGTTGGGGATTATTTGGCTTAGTGATGAATAATGGATGACCATCTCCCCTCTGGCTCTCCACCACAGCAGCACCTCTCAATTGGCCTTGGCATCGAGCCATTCACCGGCCTGTCTGGATGGCTGCTCGGCTGGCCGACTAGCTGGATACCCAACCCCAGAGATCTACGAGATGATTGCTATATTGGGAAAGTACGGGCAGAATATTTGATCTAGAAAATCTTGATATCATCTGGCTAAGTAGTGTCAAATCTACATTAGGTGAGTAATAACAAAATAGAAGACAGCAGAGTCCATACAGGGAAAAAAACTCCATATTTCTAATAAAATCTGTCATATGAATTTCTCTTGATTGTCACTTTGAGTGTGTTGAATGTGAATCTCTGTCCTTGAAATATACACGACAGAGTTACAGGGCTGTCCGCTGAACATGAAATCAGTGAATGTCTTTTGAAGAACTCAAATTTAAACCGATGGTCTCGGTCAGAGTAGACCACGGGAGTGGAGTGAGTGTTGTACAGAGCGTGGGAGAAAGGCCTGAACATTGTCCTTGCCCTGAAAAGCAAGGAAGCCACTCTTCTTTTATTCCTCCTCTCATCCTTGTTTTGCACTTTATCTCTTTTCATTCGCCCCGCTCTCCGTCTTATTTTCAATGGAGCACTTGGGGCCAAAGAGATGTCAGTGCAGTGGGTATACACACACATACACACATACAAGGACACACCTGGGCATAAGAGCGCCAGCTGAAAGGAGACAAGTTCATCCAAAGGGCCTGGCTAATAGTAACACAGGAGGGGCCAAGTCCTATTGTGCCCCAGGTCCACTCAGAGGCTTCTTACCCCTCACGCCTCCTGAAGACAGGCTCCCAAGGTGCAATTGGACAAGATGGTTTTTGTACACTCATTATTTGTGACCCTTTTTTGTCTTTCATTTCTTTTTCTTTTTTTTTTTACAGCTTTGTTTGTTTGTTTCTTTCATGCAAGGGTAGAGTAGCCTTGGGTCTTTTGACGACAGCTGTGCTGCCGAGCGCTGCATAGAAACAACACAAGTTCAGCACAATGACTGACAAGCGCTTTGTAGGACAGGAGGCCCACAATGAATGTGTCCCGGCTAAAGACCACGGGTTGGCCCCTTAAAGACCAGAATATTAGAGGCTGCCTTGTCCAAAACAGTCGCCTGCACTCCGACGACCCCCTGGAGTAGTTTGGACGACTGCAACTTCCATCTTGCAGGACGGTGAAATGTGTGAAGTGTGGAGCGGACAGACTTACTGAAGACAAACAAAGAGGAGAAAAAAGTGTGGATGATGGTGAAAAGGTGCGTTTTAAAGACAGACAGATGGGCGTGTCTGTAAGAGATAAAGGAATAGAAAGGGCGAGGATAGAGGCCGAGTAACTCCAAATATTTAACTTCCCAAACTCTCAGATACTGATATCTCTTAGAGACAAAAAAAAGAAAAAACACTGTAAATGCTACAGCCAGAGGGGAGTGTGCGCAGGGTGTAACCAGGCCAGTGTGGCAGGTCAAGCATGTGACCAGAGCCCTGCAGTCCTTCATCCCTCCCCCAACCCCGCTCTCTCTGACCCCTGGGCCACAGGAATGAGCCAGTGAACCAGGAGTGGTGGGGTAATTCTCAGAAACTTCCAGAAACTTCCAAAGCCCTCTCACCCCTCAGCCTCGTCCGGTCTTAGCCTCTGTCAACCCTGCAACAGCTGGAGCAGCTCAGAGGGCTCTGCTGGCCCCCACAGGGAGGGTCAGTTCAGTCAGATACACCTTTAACACACACAAACACACAGAGGGACACACACGGGAATGAAAGATAAGACAGGACGGGGTACGTTAACATGTATAAACATAAAGTGACTACATGTGGAAAGACACAACTGGGTAAGGTTATAGAAATGCTAGGGGCCAAAGGTGATTGTGAAACTTGGATCGGATTTGGAAGAGGTTCATAAGCAGAGTATACCAATATCACTTTAAAACTTTAGTGAATTAAACACCTGATCAAGATTTAGCCAAATAACATCTTACGATGAAGAGTCATACTGCTGCAGTTCAACAACTTTGTAAGGCTCCTGTTTTTTTTCTTGAACGATGGCTTAAAACTCAATCTGTATAATCCCACAGTCTTGCACTCAATGACCTTGGCTATTATAGTTTTCAGACTCCAAGAAGGAGCATGTCAAGAGGGGCAGCCAGGAGAGCCCTGGTTCCCCTCAAAATCTGATCAGAACCCATAATCTAAGAGTGTTATTGGATGTTAAAATCAACAATTGGAGCGGTGTTACAACACGCTGCTACGAGCTTCCCTCGCACTTCAATGCGGCTCATTTTCTGCTATCAGTGCCTTCAATTTTGACCGGGACAAACATGCTCTCAGACAGTATGTTTACATGCACATAAAAAAAATAATTTATTGCAATAATCTGACTGAAACTGGACTTTTAAAATGCATGTTAACACGTTAGTCTGACTGTAATCCAATTTTTCATAGTCAGACTAACATACCTAGATTAGGCGAGAGGAGACGATTCTCTCCTGCACGTCAATCTAGCTGAAACTAGCCCAGGTGTTCTGCTCATGCTCCAGTGTTAGCATACTAAGCTCTAAACCAGAGTTTAAAGAGTATGGATGAACTGTTAGGAAACCAGGTAGTAAACAAAACCTTAACAGATGAAGAAATATTGTAAAAAGAACAAACTTTTCTATCAAACCTCAAAGACCTGTGAAAGTGGCGTCCTGTTAGTAGCTGTTTTGATACGTAACATATTCACAAGCTACTATAACTAAAAGTGACATGCCGTTAGCCTCTTGCTAACGTGTTTTAGTAGCTGTTCTGGTAACACATTCACAAGCTACTATAACTGAAAGTGAGGTGCTGTTAGCCTCTTGCTAATGTGTTTTAGCAGTTATTTTGATACGTAAAACATTCACAAGCTACTGTACCTAGGAGTTACATCCCGTTAGCATCTTGCTAACATGTATTAGCAACTGTTTTGATATGTGACAAATTCACCACCTACTGTTGCATGGGCAGACATGCTTCTGTCAATAATCTAATTCTTGTCCATTGCATGTAAACTGAGACAAGGCTAGTAGTCCAGTTAAGTAGATTAATTGAGCTATGACTTTAGCATGACTTAAGTTTGCATTTAAATGTATTAAATGTGATTAGATTAGATTAGATTAGATTAGATACAACTTTATTTATCCTTTTGGGAAGGTCCCCTTAAGGAAATTAAAAAGGCATTTAATGGAGCAGAATTTATATGGAATATTAAAGTTGTAATTTTGTCAGAAATATTGGATTATCAACTTTATATAAGAACTTTTGTTTTTGTTCACTTAGAATGAATTATTTATATCTACATAAAACCTTAACCTAAATAAAATGACATTATTAGGAATTTGCACAGAAATCAGCCCAACCTAACATCACTGCAATGATATTTAAGTGCATATTTTTATGAACTGATTCTCTTTTAAGGCAAGTTTATTTATATTGCACCTTTCATACACAAGGCAATTCAAAGTGCTTTACAGAAAATGTATAAAAGTTTTTAAAAATGGGAGATAATAAGGATTTAGAATGAAAAAGACAAACTGATAAATTTTTTCGTCTGTTCCGTGTTTGCCCTGATTATTTATGAAAACTATCGTTTCCCAGGAAAACAAAATAAGTCAAAAGCTTTCAGACCCAGGGCTCCCCAGATGGTAATTAGTTTTCTCTTCGTCTATCTTGGAATCATTTATGGAAAAGGAAACCTAAATTCAACTGCTAACTCTAAATAAACATTTTTATTTACTATCCTGACAAGACTTAGATAATGTAGCTGAGCACAAATGGATGGAGAAACCAAACAAATAATCCTCTACTGTATATCTTGACTGTTTAATTTTTGCTGAAGATATGACTATTTCTTGACTTAGTGACCTCTTAAGTCTGTCACCGCTGTTGGGGAAACAAATCAGCTGCTGGCTGTAGCAGGTAAATGTGAGGGCAGCTTCAGCCCTGGAGACAAAACGTTCAAGACAAGAGAGAGAGAGGAACATCTTAAAAAATGATCATTCCTGCATGTTTGAGTCAAAGCAGTCGCTAAAACATCAACTGTCTTGGCTGAGGTGGTATAAATTATGTATTTTATGACCGACTGTCCAACCCTCCATGACTAAAGCAGTGGCATAAGGAGGCCAGAGTATGAACTTTGCCTCTTTGCTCACAGGACTGTAAACAGGCACCCTGCTGTCTCTCCCTGCACACAAACTACAGCACACACACACACACACACACTCTCACACACACACACACACTCATACGTGTTCATGCAGGTGCACTGAAAAGCACACACAAGTCAGAGGCTAGTACTGATAATATGACCCTGTTTTACTGGTCATATAAATTCTGCCTGCAGCGTTGCACCTGGAGAACACACACATGCAAATATCATACATGAACCTGCTTTTGTCTGTTTCTTAGACACACACACAGACACACACACACAGAGAAACACACACATGCAGCAGTTTATGGCAGCTATAGTGGACACCGAGGCTTAAACAGTCAGAATGGGGTGCTACTCTGAGCTCCACACCCAAAGTTCAAGGTCAGACCAGTTGGTCTCTGGAATCTGCCCCGTCCCACCTCCCTCACCCTTTGACCCTCCCCTCTCCTCTCTTCAGCCGGCCCATGCTCTGGAATGAGCTACCCTTGCAGAGTGCTTAAGGAAACCCCTTTTGTGACGCTCCAGTGACAAACTGAAACCTCGCTGACCTTTAACTTCTGCACGACGGTTTGGAGCTCAGATTTTTACAGAAGTACATCGAACTTTGAGTTTTAGGAGTTTTTAATGCCTCGAAATTCTTCTTTTTGTTTTTGCGCACGACGAAACTAACTCAATTATGGTTACTGCCGCTTTCAAGACATTTCTTTCCTCTCACCCTTCGCCCTCTGTCCTTCTTTTTCACTCCGGGGTCAAAGTTTTCACCTTATCTGGAAGCCATCAGCAGTACCAGTCCCACCTCTGTGACTCATTAAGTTGAAACTGTTACACATCGTCAAAGCTCTCTTTCTCCCTCTCTTTAGGCCCGAGATGTTGGAAAAAAGGAAAAAAAAAGAAATCACACACACGCAGACATTTAAAGTAATACTTCACAAGCGAGGTAATCCAGGACTCTGCCAAGATTTTCATTGCCAGTTACGGAGCGTATTGTCTAGCGGGCAGACTACGACTCAGATGTTGTGAAGGCAAAAGAGGAGGAGGAGGAGGAGGAGGAGGAGGAGGAAGGGGGACTCCGCTGTGATCCAGTTTACTATTTTGGCTGGGGCTTTCTTCTCACTGTGTGGTCATAGGGGGAGATCAGCGCAGCCAGCAGGCACTGAGGACGCAGGCAGGCTGTAGTCTGACACAGAAGCCACATGGCCGGAGAGAGAGAGAGAGAGAAAGAGATAGAGAGTGAAGAGAGGGAGAGGTGGAAGGACAAGGGCAGGCAGAGCTATAGGAGTTAGGAATGTAGAAGAGGTCGGTCTGGTTTTCTCTCTCATGCTCACACTTTTTCTACCCACCTTTCGCCTCGTCTCTTCTTTTTTTTCTCCACTCTGCCCTTCACAAACTTTTCCCCGCTCTTGCACTTCAACTTCAGCCAGACCAAACTTCACCTTAAACCTCCATCCATCCATCCGTCCTTCCCTCTGCCCTCCTCCCCCACCTCTCCCCACCCTTCTTTCGCTCCCTCGCCTCAGACAGACACAGCTACCCTCCTGGACGTTTCCTTTCTGCCGGCCTGCCCCAACAAAGGTGCTCAGTCATGTGAAACCTAATCTCCAGCCCCCCAAAACCTGACCCTTGACCTCTTCAGTCTTCACACAGCCAGAGGGGGAGGGGAGCCGGGGCAGGAAAGGGAGGCTTTTGGGAAAAGGTCACATTCCCCAAGACACTTTTGTGTACGCACGTGTGTGTGTGTCTATATGTGTGTGTGTGAGTGTGCATGCACTCAGTCCATTATGTGGTTTGTGCTCCAGCGTGAGCATGTGTGTTTGATTCTGTGTCTGCGTACAAAAGTGCATGCAGGGAAGTTTGCCTGTGTGTGCTGAACTGCCTTTTAAGTTTTCATGTGAGTGCATTCATGTATGTCCTTTTACAGTATGTGTGTATGCATAGCCACAATGTATGTGTGTGTGTATGTGTGTGTTTGTGAGAAAGCACTCTGAGCCCCCAAGCATTGCTGCCCCTTAGACAAAACACAGACTTTGTTTTCCAGCCGAGCCAGACCCGTAAGTCTTGTCTGGGCAGAGCTCCTCTCCTTCCACCCTATACTGGCAATCCTCAGATCTTTGTGTGTGTGTGTGTGTGTGTGTGGAGCACAGTGTGTATGTGTGAGGCACTGGGTGTCAGCTGTCCTGGGTGATTAGTGCTTTTATATTGTTCCAAGGAGCCCGGACGAGGCCCCCTCTTCACTGCAGCACGGCACAGCTGCAGTCTGCCTCTCCATCTCTGCTCCTCAGCCTTCCTCTGCTGCTCGCTGACACTCGTAAGATGGACCCAAGCCCGAGAAAAAAATGAGCCCCGAATCAGAGAGAGAGAGAAAGTTTAAAAAAAAGAGACAATCCACTGAGTGTCAGGACGGAGACAGAGAGATGAATAAGAAGGCAGAGGAATAGAGGGAGCAAACAGAGAGAAGTGGCATATTAGGAGGATTAGAGAGTCGATTCAACACTCCGACTCTTTCCTGGACAGGATTTCCCCAGCTATGCCTGGGAGGCCTCTCTGCTTAAACACACAGACAAGTCAAGACAGAGAGAGAGGTGAAGGAGGGGAGGAAGAGCAAAAAAGGGGGAGGAGGGAATCTTTATCTTTCTAAGAGTGTTTGTGAGATACTCTCTATTGGTGTAAATGAAAAAAAGAAGCTTTGATTGAGATTCTTAGAGAAATATATCACTTCTTACTTCTTTTAGTGTCTCCTTTTACAAACGGAAAAACAAGTCTGATGCAGAAACCTGTTCAAACAGAGCTAAAGGTGCTATTCACCGCATGACAAACTCGTTGAAATCCCTCCTTTCAGTCAGAGGGCCGTGACTGTTGCCTTTACGAGTTAAGGACATATGTCTACACAAGGAATAAGAGGAGGGGGGGGTCGGGGATGGTAGGCAAGGACTCGGAGTCTGCTATGGGAAAAGTATGTCTGCTATGCACGGGTTGTTTGGTGGCGGGATTTGTGGGCCGGAGCATTGTTGCTCTCTTGACATTGAACTTGAGAGATCGGAGACAAGAGAGAGAGGGCTGGAAGGGGGGAGGGGATGAGAGGGGGGTTGACCACCCTCCTGAACATTAAAAGTGTGTATATAAGCAGGAACGCACACACACACACACACACAGAGACTCACCATTCCTTGCTCCCGACACCTACCCTACCACCCCCACTTCCTTGCGACTCTGCTTTATCTTAACTGTCAACACCTGGCCTAAGCAGGAACCTCTCTCTATCTGTGAACTTTAATCTGGCCCTGCTAGGCAAACAGCGCCAGGCTCGGACAAGGAGAGCGATTAGTCTGTCACATTGCCCTCCAGTGCTTCAGCGGGGAGAGAAGGAAACGGAGAAGGGAGAAACTGGAAGGGAAAAAAAACTACTGGGATAAAGAAGGATATGTAATGTTAGACAGAGTTTAAAGAGTAAAAGAAAACACATGAAGGAGAAGAAGAAGAGGAGACGCAGAGGCAGAGCAAAGGCTGCGAGAGTGGTGGTGGTGGTGGGGGAGGAGAAAATAGAGGGGGGAGAAAGAGAGGAGAAGGGACGGTTACTGGAGATATAACACAGACGCTCTCTGACAAGGCCAAAGTCCAGAGATCTGGTGGTGAACCGCCACCCCCCATGACGGATGACTTGGGTGGAGTACATCCCATCCAAAAAAACAACAAAAAACGCTCATTTAACTTCAATGGACCAAAACTGAGATTACCTTTGTATTTAGATGTAGATCAAATGTGGTTCAAACAAACTAAAACAGGATAAAGAGGAAACTTTCTACAAACTGAACCAGACGAGCCCAAAAAAATGTCGACAGAAGTTATTGAGAGTAAGGGGGCTTTTACACTTGAAAGTCTGGACCAAGGTCTGAACCAAGGTCCGTGTTTTTGTTACATTATATACATTCAGTTCGGTCTGTTTAGGTTTCACACTGTCATTATTGCAAATGGACTAACAGACTTTATATGACAGACCTATGTGATCTCGTCATCAACTAAGTGCTCTGCGCGTCTCTGTAGTTTACATTAATTGGTCATTTTGGTCAGCGGGCGTCTGACGTCAACTTGAATATTGTAAACATGAATAAAATCGTCATTCCCCCCATTATATTATTGTTGATTTTCTACTACCAACAGTTATAACTTTAAGAGATGTCCATGAGGCTGGTCCGAGTTTGTCTTATGAGTTTTATCATTAGTCTGCAACTTCATCGTCGTCGGCAGGAAAGGAGAAGAAACTGTGCAATACTGTGAGCCATTGCAACACCGACTCTGGAGAGTAAGTATGTGTATCCAAACTCTTGGAAAGATAAGCTGTCAAAAGTGAGGCGTCTACAATATTGTAAAATTTCCAGTTCATGAACAATCTCCACTACACATAATAACGGACACTTGTACTCCTTGTGTCATTTCCTGTCTGTGGTACGAAGGTCTGAACCTTTCAAAATAATGCCTTCATACTAGGCATGAACCAGACTAGTTCAGTTTGGTCGCCACCTCTTTTGGTCCGGACCAAGGTCCTGGGGAGGTTTCACACCTATCATTTTGGTTCAAACTAAACTGAAAAGTCCAAAAGTCTGGACCGAACGACATCAGTGTGAAAGCCCCCTTAGAAGCACTCAAGAAACAAACAGATTCAGATTTGTATGTAATACTTTTTATTTTTTTCAAGACAAAATGGCTGAGTGAAGAGAGTTATGCAGACAACAGCTGAAAATAGAGTGGCATCTCCATAACTGAAAAATATCAACAATAAAATCTGTAAGTCGAGCAAGAACTCATGAATGTCGGTCAATGACCTTTGGTCATCAAACAGAGAAATTAAACCATCACAATTCATCAGGAGGGAAAAAAAACTGGACTGATCGGATTTGCTGTGACTCTGTTCTGAACAGAGTGTGTGTGTATGTATGTGTGTGTATGTATTAGTGTATATGTGTATGTAGGTGAGTGTGCGTCTGTGAGTGTGTGTATAGTCATAATAAATAATGCTGACCAATGCAGTAGGTCAACTTCAAGTTCAGTTCAGAACAAATAGCTTGAGAGTAAATACAGAAACACAGGATGAAATCAGGCTGAAGATTTAAATGTACCTCAACACCGTCAGCATGAACAACATGTACCAGACGTTTGTTTTCTCTCTTTGATTTCTGTTATATTTAGAATATGCCTTGCATATGAGATGTACCATATTTAAATTATAAAGCACCATGGTTTGTTTGGCAATGAGAAACAGGAAAATAATTTGAAGTAACAAAAGAAAAAAACTGCAGCAAAGAAATGCTTTTTTCAGATTGATGTTGGATTGATTGCATATGACAAAAGGTCTCTTTAAAAAACAGCTGGAATGTTATCAGGTGGTACATGTTCAAGAACAGTAAAAAGTTGGCTACTGAGAAAACCCAACAATAGCTTGTATTACTGCATATAAAATGGCAGGAGAGAAAAATATATAAAACAAACTAAAAAGATATGTACAACCACCTGTGTTTACCTCATTGTGGCCTCACCAGCGGGACTGCCTGAAAAGGCCATTACATGACCTCTCACCCATGGGGAACACCACAACAGTTTCTTTTTCAAAAACATACTTATTTTCAAGCATACAAATTATTCACACTATATTATCCTGCCAAATTAAGAAAATATACGGTGGCAGCTTGTTGGGATTTTTTTCACTACAGAAAAAAAAGGGTACATTGAAACCTTTAAAGAGTACAGGCAAAACAGTTAAAAATACAGGCTTCAACATAAATACTATAAGTGCCTACACTAAGTGAACATTAATTTCAAATACCATTCTAAATACAGGAAAAAAGTAGACCATAAATGTGTTTTGAACATAGGAACTTACATGACTGTGCATTTTCCTATGTGTTTTAAGTTCTCTTTATATATTCATATATCATAAATCTCTCCCCGATGCAAACTTTTTGTTCAACCTGAAGACTTGTGTATAGTAAAGGCAAAAAAAGATGAGAGATATGTTCATTACAATTCATTACATAGTGATCAAGTCCCAGATGTCACCAAGACGGGAAGAGGAACAACAATAAACGATAAGAAATGAAAACAGTTTTTAAATAACGTTCTTCCCTAAAGATACTGAAGTGTTACTGCAAAAAATCGACACCATTTACTTAACTTTTTAAATCAGATTTGTAGAGTTGTATATTTGTGTTGTGGGTGGTGTATTTATGAGGCAGGATATTTCTATGGCGGTTCCTGCATTGATACTCCAAAGAGCCAAACTGACATTGAGCTCTCAGGAGGAGACATGGCTGGCAACAGTTTCTAGATTTTTTTTTTTTTTTTCATTTTATTTTTATATTTTTTCCGTTTAATGCAAAGCATTAACACCACACTTATCTGTCAGCATAAGAGCAAGTTTTCCCTTGAGTGTCCAACTGTAAACTGGGAAAATTGAACAGTGCACGTAAGTAGTCCCGGACCTGAAATCCGGTGCTCATTTTATACTCAACCGACTGTACCTCCGATTAGAGAGACAGATACAGAATCCAAGGCAGAGTGACAAGTGCTATATTAACATGATGGGGGATGGAGATAATGAACAAACTACCACAATGAGCTCTAGCAAGTGAACAGAAAAGACTCTCAAAGGATTGTGGGAAAGGGGTAATTTGTTGGAAAAAAAAAATCACTAAAAAAAGATTCTTGACTTTTTTGATTTTGACCTCCGGTGAAGGTCGTTTCCAATGTAAGCTAAAGAAAAGGCTCTCCGATTACTTAATGGTTACTATAAGATCTAATGCGTTAAGAGAATAAGCGCTATAAGGACATAAACATTTGAATTGTAGAGACACCTGGTTAACCCACTACCCTGAACCTCACCCACCCTTCCCCTCAAACACCCACCCGAACACCCCACCACCCCCAAAATCTGTCTGGCTTAAAACAACTAAAAACCCACTGTGTGGTCTCCGAATGGCTGCTGGCTACACCGCCTGAAGAAACGTAATTCTGTGCTACTTACAAAGAAACCTGCAAACTTTTAATTTTCAAAGAAAATAAACACTCTGGAAAATGAAGAGCTTTACGTTGGTTAAAAACAACTCGTCAGACACCCCCCTCAGTAAAGTACACATGTACCGGGCAACAAAAACACCTAAACCAAAAGTCTACACACCAAACTTCTACTCCTTTTTTAGCATGTAGCATGCCAGTAAACAGAATCATAATCTGAAGAAGAAGAATATACATGAGTCAGGCAGATAAATGATTTACCAGAGATACACATACTCTTTTTTCTGTTTTTTCTTTCAGCTGGTTCCTTATGCTCTGCTAAGTCACAAAACAACAGGGTCATACAGGTGCTTGATGCAAGGACCTGCTTGTTCCACATGTGCACAAAAATGTCCTGTAAATTGTACAGCTGAAACTCCGAGCTTATAGCAAAAAGGAGGAGGATTAACTAATGCAGGTAAAATATCCAAGGCACTCATGTTGTCATTTCACACCATCTGCGTAATTTCATTGCTGTTTGTCAGAGGAATATTTCACGGCGCTCGTGCCTAGCATTTCATAGGCAGCCAAATTTTTCATATACATATATATAATAACTCTTATCTCAATCTTGCATGGAAAATCTTTCACAAAGATCCGTTTTTAAGTGTGACCCTGCTTGTCTTGATGTTTTGATATTATGACACTGTCCACTATGTTTGAACACAAACTGTACATGATATGTAAAACAGTATGTACTGTATGCAGCATGGAATCTCATATCTAACTTTTTTTTTTTTTTTACGTTGAAGAAATCTTAGTATCAACAGCAACACATGTACAACCAAACCCACCAGCCAACCAAGGACAAATTTTCTCTCTAAGTAGCCAAAACAAACTGAGCATGCTGTCCAGTTACAAAAAAATACAAAACGTGAAAATTATTGCACAATAGAAAGGCTCAAAAAGTTTTGCGTTTGATGCAATAGTATTGCCCCAATGATGGATCATGCATTCAGCTTTCTCCAGTCGGGATGATAACAGGGCTGTACCGTGGACTAGTGTCTAACCCTGTTGTCCTTTCCCCTCACTTAGTGGCAAGTTAGCCAGGGTCACTTTTTAGCCAGGGGAGCTGAGAGAGAGCTGCCAGCGCGCTGCTCTTTGACTACTCAGTCTTAATGTCATTAGCCAGAGGGCGGTCACTGTGCCACTTCTTCATGTGTTTCTCCAGAGTGCTGTATACACTGAAAGGCATGTGGCAGATTTCACATTTGTACACGTCCTTGCCCATCTGTCCGTGGGTCTTCATGTGGCGGGTGAGCTTTGAGCTCTGGGCGCACGCGTAGCTGCACAGCTCACACTTATAGGGCCGCTCCCCAGTGTGGCTGCGTCTGTGCACTGTCAAGTTGCTGCAGTTCTTGAACACCTTGCCGCAAAACTCGCAAGTGTCACTGCGTCGACCGTCTTTAGAGCTCGGCCTGCCGTTGCCACTGCCGCCGTGGGGTGTGCTGGCCCCGCTGCCGGTGCCGCTGCGTCCTGATGCAGCACGTTCTCCGTCCAGCTCGCCGGGCGGGGTGGAGAAGCGCAAGCTGCCGTTTTCCGAAGAGTGCTCAGATGAGGAGGCAAAGGGTGATTGTCTGGAATCCCCGCCCGTGAAGTTGATGAAGGGGTCCTTGAGTTGTCGTGAGGCGGCGTAGCCAGCGAGCCACTGGGAGTAAACGTTCTCTGTGTTCGGGATGGTAGGCATGGGGGGGTCGAGGTCCTTCTCCACCTTGATGCGTTTGGACAGGGGACTGAGGGAGCCAGGGCTGACTCCTCCACCCAGCAGCTTCCTCGACAGGCGGTCAGAGGATAGAGGTCCCAGGCCGTTGATGGCGTTAGTGGTTCCATCAACCGCTCGCTCTGTGTCCATGGCTGATTCTTCATCGCCCTGGTCCCGGGACAAGCTTCTGTGGCGCGGGTGCAGTGCCTCGCTGTTCTGGTGGTGGCGAGCCCCTTCTAATCGGAGGCTAAAACGATAGTCATTTTTTCCATCTTCTTCCTCTACTCCAGGCTTGCTCTCCATCTCCTCCTCCTCCCCTTCCTCTTCCTCCTCCTCTTCTTCTTCTTCCTCCTCCTCCTCCTCCTCGTCCTCATCTTCCTCCTCATCCTCCTCGTCTTCCTCTCCGTTTTCAGACATCACGCCGTTGTTTTCGCTCTTGAACTTGGCGACCACTGACTTTAGAGCATCCGTGGCGCTGCCCATCAGTTCACTCGTACCAGGTTCGGGCGAGCTTGCGGTTGAGAGTCCATCGTCTGACTTGGCGTTCACCACAGAGGACTTGTTCTGACAGTGTGTCTTCATGTGTCGCTTCAGTTTGCTGGCCTGGGTGCAGGCGTGGTTACAGAGGTGACACTTAAATGGCTTTTCCCCAGTGTGGCTACGCCGGTGAACTATTAGGTTGCTCTGGAATTTGAAAGTCTTTCCGCAGAACTCGCAAGACTTCGCCTTGAGAGGAGTGCCCGGTTGGCCCGCACTGGATAGAGCATTCGGGGTGGATCTTGCACCAGAAGGTGACTGGGAGGTGGAGAGGGGAGGTGTAGCTGAAAATGGAGGCTTAGATCCTGGCTGAAATGGCTGCAGCAGTCGTTGCATAGGGCTGGGCCTGTTGGGGGAGAGGGGCGGGGAGGCCCCTGTTGCATTCCCAGCCAGCTCACGTAGACGCCTTGAGAAGTCCATGCTGGGAGGGGCTTCTAGTGGCACTGAGTTGAGCCTCATCACCCTGTCAAAGGCGCTGGGATGGTGGGTCGCCAGGGCCAGGTCATCAGGGCTGAGGTGATGGCGTGGTGGCGGGCTGAACAGCGGCGGGGTCCGGGGGTAGCGACCCTCACGAGGCGTGGATGCTGAATCTCGACCGGACCCCGAGCCTGGCATCCTCAGAAGGCTGTAGGGACTGCCGTCGGCTAAGTGGACAGCATGTAGAGGGGGCTGGGAGGAGGCACAGTCACCCCCCATCCCAGGAGCTGCAGCCACGCGGGGGGTGAGGGGACTGCCAGGTTCACTTTCCAGATAAATGCGGAAACCGTGGGTGTTCTGGGCATGCTGGAGCAGGAACCAGGCACTGGTGAAAGGCTGCTTACAGGTGTTGCAGGTGTAGCTGCTGGGCTCATCTTTATCTAAGAAGAAAAATACACAGAGAGAAAAAATTTTTTTTTAAAAACCTGTTCAATGTTAGACTCAGGTAACACATTTCTGATGAATAGAACAAGCTCACGAAAAAGTCAAAACATCACAAGTAATTAAGGTTTAAGAAAAAGAAATACGCTTTTACTGTGATGGTTAAAAAGTGAAAGCATGTGGCGTCATTTAGGGATTAATCCTTTTATAATGTTTGAACTGTAAGTTTGCTATTACCTCCTTTTTTGTAGCATTTAAGTGCCGTATTTTTCGGACTATAAGGTGCACTTAAAATCCTTAAATTTTCTCAGAAATTGGCAGCACGCCTTATAATCCAGCGCGCCTTATGTATGAATACTTGTTGTGCTGACTGACCGATTTTATGTGGTACAATGTGCTCAAAAAACTGTCGAAATGTGTATTTTTGTATGTATGGCTTTGGTCAACAATGAGGCCACTCTGCTCAATGGATATTTGGAGCATTGCGGTACGATCTGTCACTACCTGATCGGCCCCGCAACAGGACCCTGAGCAGTCTACAACACTGCCTGACGGTGCATTCATGTAAGGCAGCCTGGGACCGGAGTACACGCTAGCAACAAGAAACCAATCAATGCCTAATGCGCCTTACAATCCAGTGCGCCTTATGTGTGAACATAGATGCGTTAATTCACAGTGCGCCGTATAATTCGGTGCACCTTATCGCCTGAAAAATACGGTAAATATTGCCACATTATCCCAAATTATAGTTTGTGGCTAAAATCAGATGATTAGATAGAGAATTTGAACAGGTTGAAAGAGCAGGTAAAAAGCATCACAGCGTATTTAAAAACTGTCAGTAAGAGTATGACATGCCGATGCACAAAATATTCCGGATTTGAAATGCGTGTTATAATTCTATTTAAAAAACCCTTTTTAATTCAATTTGGACACTTGACAAAGGAATAAATAAAACAATAATGAGCGATTGCTCAGGCAGCAAATACACAATTTACACAGTTGAGCAGGCATTGGAATATTTGAAACAATAATTGACTTTCAATAGCACTTACACACTGACCAGAGATTTGCCTGACAATGCACGCCTAATCTCGTTAAACACATTCATCTCCCCTCCAATGCCATGTTTACAGAATTAGCCGGGCTAAAGTGGGACATGTATCTGATGCTGCATATTAATGCTGAAAACAAATAAGAGGTCACATGTTAATAAATCGTACCAGCGTTTATCACAAAAAAACACACACAGTTGAAAGAAGCAAAAGGGGAAACGGTGTTGCTGTGTTTGTGTGTGGGCGGGGAGGCTCCTATGAAAATGCATTACTTTTCTATTTCTGATATTTCATGCTTTATGGATTTATTTAAATCCTCTCAGGTGAAAAGAAAAGGAGAAGAAGGGGAAAGCAGAAGTGAGAGATATGCAAAATAAGAAGCATCCGCCACTTGCAAATGTGCTCCCCCTTTCATCTTTTAGCTTTCTTATCCTTTCTTCTTCCTTTTTTTTCTTTTTTCACTGGAGGGTGTTTTTCTCAAGTCATTTGCAGACACTGAACCCATAACCACGACTATACTGTGTGACTGAGGGAGATCGAGGCAGAGGAAGGGAGGAGGGGGGCTGACCATGTGTGTGTGTGTTTGCAACTATAGGCAATCCCTAAGATGGTGGAAGGACGGTGTTGCATGTTTTAAGCCCGCTGAGGTTGAGAAACAAAGGGATGAAGAGGAGGTCAAGAAGAGAGGACGGCCGCTGTGCGAAAAAGAGCGGTGTTGTGGACGAGCGATGGAAGGGACAGTGGGATGTTTCGTGGCTCTACTTTCTATCTCGTGTGTCCACCACAGCCCCCTCTGAACAATCTCACTTAAGAGCAGAGCACAGCATAAAATGTGCACCCAATCAAACCTCCACGCAAACCTTTTTCTCTTGACTGAAAAGAGTTGGAAGGGGGGTATACTGGTAAATTATGGATCATTACAATCTGCAAGAATTACAGTTAATTGCTGCCACCTGCAAGGGGCTTTGACCCACTATGGAATTTTTCCATCATAAAAAAGCCATTTGCCCATACACGTTTTTTTTTTTTTGCTTCCTCTTCATAAGCACAAATAAAATGTGCCCATTACATTGGCTAAGGGTGTATGTATGTTTCCTGATTATGTGTGTGTTTTTATGGTTTTAAATAGAAAGCCCCAAATCACTCGTAAAACGGTTGCAGTAACCTGGCCTCTTCTATTCGCTTTGCTTTGATTTGCGGCTCATACACACTTCCCTGTCTGTGTTTTAATGTGTGAGCAAAGCCTGCATATGCACCGAGAGGATAATGGATTAAATTTTCTGTTATTTTAAGGGACGAGAGAGGGAGGGGAGGGGCTGGCCAGAACGTTGGTTTTTCCTCAGAGACACAGATGTGTCCGTCAGGGGAAAAGAAAGCACCGGGGATCGTGGTACAGGGAAAAAACGAAGGGTGCAAAGTAGGAAGAGAAGTGTGGCATGAAGAAGACATATTGAATGACAAGCCGCCGGATTTCTGAAGTACACAAAAGCCACAGCAACACACTTCAAAGGCGGTAGTCAATTCACTTCCTTACGTATCAAAAACAGCATGTCTTGAAAACCTGTCCACAGAGACGCCGTGTGCTTCACACAGTGACGACAATAATTACGCAGGAACATTAAAAAAAAAGCACCCGGACTCACCACACATGAAATCTAAATAAGCCAAATACTGTCCTCCACTGCTGTCCTCAAAAGAATAGAAGGACAGTCACTGAGAAGGAGAAGAGATTTTCTGACAGGGCGTTTGACGGCCTTGAAGGCTTTTTTCTCTTGCTGGTGAGAGGAGCCAAGAACTGTGCAAAGGAGGAAGGATGATCTTATAAACGAGTATGTCCTCTAATGGAATAAAGAAGAGCTCCTTCTCATTCTCTCTGTCTGTTTCTCTCTTTCCATTAACGCTAAGTCTGTGGAGAGCTAGGGCTGCAGAGCATGGAGAGCTGCACGGGCTAATGCTGGATCTCCAGGTCCCTTTGAAATAGGATCAGCAGAGAGGAGAAACCACACTGACAACCCCTTAGCTGCCATTTCATGGCAGGAGCTGAAAGAGGGGACTTTGGGGGAGAGAGAAGGCAGAAAGCACACAGGAGAAGGGAAAGAGGGCAGGGGGATCAGGGGTGGAAAAGTGAAAGAATGATAATCATGAAAAATAGAGAAATATAAAGAACTAAAGAGGCCAGGCACAGAGGAAGAGACGGGGGTTAACAGCTTCTTCAAAGCAGTTTCAGCACATTGCAACACAAAGCAGAGGAAGGCTATTATGGTGTCTTACGGACACTGCTATCAAGCAGAGAATATGATCCTGGGATCATGGTAAAAGCTCAAGGCCAACTGATGCAAGGGCAGCGGGGGAACTATGGCGTCTTAAACAGCAGATACGGCAGCCTGCAGCTGCTGACACCACAGTCACAGCGCTGTCCCAGACAACAGGGCTGACCAGACAAAGCAAAACACACACACCAGGACGAGGCATCATGTACTCTTTGCTCATGCAGATCGCTCTATTGTTTAGTGTCCCCAACCCCCAAAGCCAGTAATGCACGCACACAGTGTCTCTCAATCACCACACACACGCACATGGTCACTAAAGCCCCCTCCCCTTTCACTGCGTCGTCCAAAACACAGCCACAAACACAAACAAACAAAACAACAGACGCCGAGACATCTATGACCTCAACACAGTGTTGGCAGTTTGCTCCACCACGGTTTTCCTCTTACATTCGGCTTTTGGTGTGGAGCTTAAAAACTCCTCAGAGGTACTGGGTTTCCGGTCGGGGTGTCCAGATAAAACTTTTTTACCCTGATATGATACAGATATTGTAGAATTTAGCATTATAGGATACCGATATTGATCTGAAACTTGTGCATGATAAGTTTTGCACTCAGCTGCATCGTCTTTTTCTGACTTAAGTGAAAAATACTGTCACAGGGCCGAAATCAATCCTACTTCTTGCTACTTTATCAGTACCTTAGTACACACTGCTGTTGTGATCACATGGGCTTTACATGCTGGATTCAGGCACTGCTAGATAGAGGTGATGAAGCGGAGTCTGGAATGGCCAATATTTTATCTTTTGTTGATATCGGACCATATACAAAATCAATATTGTATCGGGAGACCCGTAGTTTCCGGTTGTGTGTATATTCGACAAGCTGTGTTTTTTAAACTAGAAAGAAATGACTTCTGAGAAAAATGTATGAATCTAAGATCTCACCATCTAGACCCGTTCCCTCACCTCCTCTCTAAAACTTTCCAGCCACCGCTCCAAGAGTTAGCAGACTTGGCTTGGCCTCCATTGTTTTTTTGTTTTGTCCTTGACCGAGCCTCATTGTGGGCCCGGGCCTTCGCGCTGTGACCACGCAGCTCTCTCTGATATTGGTCATTTAGCTAATGGAGGAACAAGCTAACAGGATTAGCACGCGGGGCTTCCAAAAGGAGAAGGAGTAGGAGGAAAAGCACAGAGAGGGGAGGCACAGGGGGGGACACAGCATGTCACCCCCATTTCCCAAAGTTATCAGTCGGCTGGGCTCAGGAGCACTCACACACACCTGAAAAGTGATTATGCTAATCGAAGGTCTTTGCCAATATTCATAAGTGTTTATAGGTGTTGGAGTGAGTGCCTTGGGAAGACAGAAGGTTGTCAATACAGTGCCTCTTAAGAGTGCCTCAGCCGTAACTGGCGTTAATGTGATTACTACTCTGTTTATGTCATTAGGGTATTCACAGTCAGGGATTGGACAGGGGTGAAGGGTGAATCAAGAGAGGAGAGAGGGAGAAGAGGAGGCTTTGAGTTGGAGGCCCCTGTTCGAGCTCTTCTTCTGCATTTTTAAAATCTGTTGTTCATGACTTTGACTTGACTTTAAGGACTGAGGGGGGGAGGATGCAAGGGAACTGACTACAATTACACACGGGCACTTCAGAGCTTACCCTCACTTTAAGACAGAGTTATTGTGTTGTTATCCTAAACATGAATGTTATACTACGGTGGCCCCAAGGTGCAAAAAAACAACAGCAATTCAGAAAACACAATACATTAACCATTGTGTTTTCCGTTTTTGTGTTGTGTTTTCCGATTTGCAGTTATGTCGTCTTATTTGCTGTTGTGTTTTCTGATTTGGCGTTGTATTTTCTAATTTTGCCGTTGTGTTTTCTCTTTATGTTTTTGTATTTTCTTATTTGCCGTTGTGTTGTCATATTTGCCATTGTGTTTTCTTTTTTTCTGTCAGTTTTCTGATTTGCCATTATGTTTTCTTTATTTCTGTCAGTTTTCTGATTTGCTGTTGTGTTTTCCCTTTTTATGTTTGTGTTTTCTGATTTGCCGTATTGTTTTGCACCTAAGGGCCACCGTAATTTTCTATTTTTAAAAGTTTGAATTTGTCAGGTGAAAGTTTTACAGAAGGAAATCATTTAAATTAAAAGTCTTTCCAACCTTAACCCAACTCAGCCGTTGTCTTTTCTTATTTTCCGTTGTGTTTTGCACCTCAGGGCCACCGTATTAAACAGCTACGTACGTTTTAAAACACCGGATAGCACGGCTGGCTAGTTCTGACCTTCTCTGTTGTTCTTTTTTTTCTCTCTCTCTCTCTGTTTGTCGGTATTTTTCGACCACAGCCACACACAACCAGACTCATACACTCACTTCTTTGTCCCAGGCCAAACTGGTTGCGGTGCACCGAGCCACTGGCCGCAGACAAAAGCCTTGTTTGACCAACACTTGTTCCTGAGACAAAGCCGGATGCAGGAAATACGGTTTACTAAACAGAGAGCCAGCCAGGGGAAAGAACAGGCCTAAATCCCAGCCTTTTACATGTCTGATGTGGGCCTGCAACACTGGCTGGTGTTAGAGTCACACATTACACCAGTGGGAGAAATCTGACCACTAACCACTACACACACACACCACACACAGTGAAAAAGTGAAAAGCAAGAGGAAAGAACGAGGTAGAGCTGAGAGAAGAAAGACTGAGCTGGCATGAGGAGGCGAAGGGGGGAGGCAGATCTCCAGATAGAGGTGCATGGTGGTCTTTAGGGGTCTGTGCCCAGTATAAAGTAATCTGCTGGCTGTGGCTTTGTCTCCAATCAGACTTTCACACTTCTTAGCTTTCCTCTCACCGTCTCCTGCTCCTGAAAGATGATAAGAGCAACAGTGGAACTGAAGCATCTGAGCCACTAAGAAACCATTATGGACAGATGGCACCCACACAGCACCTGATGAATGCGTGTACCGTAGACAAACTTGTGTTGTGTGTGTACTTGGGAAGTCAGTGTGTATTTTTTAGGGCTGTAAAGTCCTAGTCAACTTATTGGTCAATATGTGCTGACTCGACCAAAATTCTGATTGGTCGACTCGATTTTTTTTCCTCATCAATTTACAGTCTTTGGTTAATTTCATGAAGAGGGAGGTACCAAGTGCTAATGGGGGTGTTTTCAGAGCACTGCCATTTCACAGGTAACAGCCTGTTTCAGAACACCCCCCCTTGTTTTCACCATTTTGGATTCACCCAACCCACTGGAGACCGTTGAAGAGCGTCCATGTTAATCGACGTTAATTAATTGACGTCCAATGGTTTGCCAAATATTTATTTTTATCTTAACAATTCAACTTGCCTTTTGTGTTTAATGGTCTTCTTGTATATTTTCACCCCACTGAGCTGAGCCGCGCTCCGCCAAGTCACATCGCCCCCTTTCGCATAAGGATTTACCCCCGATTAGTCCATTTTTGGTTGAAATTTCAGGGTTTTAGTCGACCAAGAATTTCTTTGGTTGATTACAGCCCTAGTATTTTTCATATGCATGCAAGTTTACATGCATGAGTGTCTCAAATTGGGTGTCATACAGATTTCCCGTGGGTGTGGCTGCATATATGCGCGCATGCATTTGTGTGTATATGAGTGAGTGTGGGTGTCATACAGATTTCCCGTGGGTGTGGCTGCATATATGCGCGCATGCATTTGTGTGTATATGAGTGAGTGTGCACGGACATCAGTATGTAACACACTTACTATCATTTCAAAATTAGCATCGCTCTCCACTGTCTGTTTCCCCGTGTAACCTTACTCCCTTTGATCTTTTCTCAGTTGAACTGTGTTTGAACCGACCGTACACCCACCCGTCCATCGGTCCGTCTGACTCTCTATCCCTCCATCTCACCATCTATTCATACACTGCGACTAAGCCCAGCTGGACAGCTTCGTGCTTGGGTGCAGTTTGGTCCGGTAGACCCTATAATAGGCCGGGCCAGCCGTGTCTCTGATGCAGATCATTATTTGCTCTCTGCTTACCAGCGGCGGTGGGAGGCCGCACACTGTTGTTTCTCATCCCAGCTCTAATGGTACAGTGAAAAGACCTCTGGGCTTCTAAGCTTAACCAGTCTAATTAAATGGACCATAGCTTATGTAAGCATCCGCAGAGATTATTTATTGAGTCGGGATCCGCTTCACGGGATCAAACCTCCGTCAACAAAAGCTGACGCTCAATGGAGAAGGTATTACATAAAGGAGAGGAATCAAAGATACTGCAAACCGCCAAGTGTCAGTTTAAGCACACATATCCAGGTACATAAGAAGACTTAATCAAGCAGGAGTATTTTTGGACTCCGGCAATATCCCAGATGGGCGAGGAGTCTCTGAGCACTTCAGAGGGGAAATGTGAAAAGTATTCTGTCAGAGGAAAGTAACGTCTCAATAATCTGCAGCTGAAGGGAAAAGAAGAAGAAGAAATAGGCTAATGACGAATTTAACGGCGTTAAAGCAAACCCAGCGAGACACAACAGCGCAGACGTTTTTGCTTTCTCTACTTTCTAAAGACATTCATATGAGATCGCCCGCTGTCTCTCCTTACAAGCATCATCCCTGTTTGAAGTGCATAGACAAGAAAGCCTCTGCAAGACATGAGGCCAGCAGCCTGAGCTTCACTATCTCCGCATAGCTCAGCCTGTGACAGCCTGGCGTCCCTGCAGAAAGGATGGAGGGGGGACCGGGGAGGTCGACTAGCTGCACATTTCTGCATAAATCTCCAGATAGATAGCATCAGGAGAAGAGAAACAGGGGAGGGAGGCAGGCAGGCAAGCAGCAGAGGATGATAAGGCCCCCGGGGCAGGGCATTCGACACTGTCAAAACTCTTTCGTCTCTGGCTATTGGACGAGTGGAGCGCGTTATGAGCCTGCATACCATTTGCCAGGACGCGATTCGGCTTCACCGGAGCATACAGGGCCCTGTATCTGACCTCACAGCCTCCTCCTCCCTTCTCAGTCTTCTTAGACATGAGGGGAGCTGGACAGGACAGCACACACAGAAAAAAAAACATGGATATCAAGAGAAAACCCTGAAACCACATCTCTCCACAAATCGAAAACCTGATCTATAACAGCTCGACTCATGACTGAATAAGAAACCGCCACATCAGCTGTTGTGCTGTCAGAGAAATCTACAATAAAACAAACTACAACAGCGACGCTGAACTGAACAAAAACAGAGTTAAAGAAATCAAAGCAAACGGAGAGTCGACAAAACGCACAAAGGAAGAACTTCAAAAATGATCTCGCAGTAAGAGTTCTTCAAAAACTTTCAGGTTCACAGCTCATGTGTCTCGCCTGTCATCTTTAATATCATCTGTATCAAAAACCGACACGCAAAGACCTGATATTTTTAGCAAATTGTGATCTTATCGTGTGTTTCATCCCGCTGTTAACCTGTTTTTGTTCTTCACTTGGAATAAATAAGCAGACGTGCTTATGAACGTACATGCGCAGGTAGAGCATGAACACAGGAAGAGCCATAAATAATGCAGAGAGAGTACAAACGCACAAATAATCATAAGAAGGACGAGACAAAAACGAGGTTAGGTGGTACTTGTGAGTCAACTATGCTGCATGAAAGAGACGGGAGCAAAACAGAGTGATACGAGGAAAAAAGGGTGAAAGAGAGATAGAGAGAGAGGAGGGAGATAGAGAAATGAAGGAAAAAAGAGAGGGGGGGAAGTGGGCAGTTGAAGTTCGAGACTTTGTCTGATTTACAGGCACAAACCTGCAGTCAGAGCTGGACGAGGTAGTCGCACACACACTTAAACTCTTCCTCTTTAACTCTCTCTCTCTTTCTTACACACACACACACACACACACACACACACACACACACACGGAGTCTGTCTGCGCAAACACTCCAGTCTGTCTGGAGGATAGAGTCATTCCCTCTTCTTCTTGCTCCCGGTCCCTTATGCAGCCTGCATGCTCCTTTGTTCCTCCTCCTTCCATCACGCTATTTCCTGACCACGCTCTGATGACAGCGCTGAGAGAGGTTAAAGTGGGGCTGCTTTTTTTTTTACAGTGACACACACCTCTTAAATTCCCTACCTTTGGCCTAAAACACACACATGCAAATATTAACTGTACGTTTTTGTTCTTTCTAAAAAAGAGGCACAACCTCAACCACGAAAAATGCCTCATCATGATTTAGATCCTAAATCTCTCCATCTGTCAACTGTGAAGTGGTTAAATTGGCTTTTGTATGGAGGTGGAGCCCTATTTGCTGTGTTTCCCATAGGTTTCAGAAGGCTATGGTGGAGGGTGGGTGGGTGGGGAACTCAATGTAACACTTTTTTTTGTTTAGTTACAGACTTTGGCAGAAACACTAACTTAGCATTAGCTTGTCAACGGTTAGCTAATGAGAAGGGCGGTAAATCAAATGAAAACTCTCCTGGTCTTTTCTCAATTTGCTAACATGGCATTAGCTTAGCTCTGTAGAGATGTTATCACAGAAATATAAAGGTGAAATTTACACATATTTGGTTTCAGTAAATTAACAAAGTTAACGTTTTTATGCGTCAGCAGCACCGTTTGTGTGTGTGCGTGCGCTTGCGCGGTATGCGAGAAGATGCTGGTAGCGGTGAAACATGGACTGGAGGTTTATTGGTTCAGGTTTTATCTTAATAAACGAACGGAATGAATTCAGTAATGAAGCTCTGAGTGAACAGGCTGATGTTTTGATGGGGATCTGAATAAATGATTTTTGGTAGCTACATTCATGATTACAATGAAAAACTGAAGCAGACGGAGTTCAGCACCTGCTGGATGTACTAACAAGGTGAGGAGGCGGAGCTCTGGCCCAGTTTAATCTCTGTGCGTAAGTGTTTTTTTTTCCTCTATCACCTTTGCCAAAGTGTCCTGTCAATAAAACAATCTGTTCAGTAAAGCTGCAGCACATAAAACAATCGTAAAGGATCACTAAAGAGAGTAAAACTCAAAAATTACTTTGATCTCAAAGTGGTGACACCAAAAGCAAGTTTGGATTTCCACATGCTCTTGAATCATCTGTGAAATACCACATTTCCTTGCCTTGGGGCTCAAGTAAAAGAGGGGAAGTGTTAGGATTTTAAAAAAAGTTACCGCTGAGGTCGACCTCCGGTTTTTGTTCTTGAAGATGCTCACAGAAACTCCAAGGAGCATCGGCCGTCCTTTAGACACCAGTGAACAAGGACCGTTTGAGACATGCAGTTATTTTTCACCCTGTCCTACCACCTCAGGGTGAAAGGACCAGGGCATGTGAGCTTGGGCCAACCATAGCAGCTCGTTATGCACAGGAGCCTGGAGGCATTGTGGAGGGACATGGCACTTTAAAACAAGAGGGCCAGTGTGTTGGAGTGTCCCGTGGCCCGGAGCTGTGGAGGCTGAGGGTTTAACACGCGTCCCATCTGCTGTGTGTGACTGTGCACACGGTGGTCGAGTGGTTAAGGAAGCATCAATAGCCAGACTCTTTAGATCGAGGGGTATCTCAGGGTCAGATGTAGTCTGCAAATTCGTTTTTCTAAGAAACAGAGGAGCTGGAAGTCAGAGGAGATAAGCGTGAACAAGCGCTGACCTCAGAGCTGGAGTCTGGACGTAAAACCGATTCTATCACAAGTTCAGTACACTTCTTTATGTTGGCCATGTATCACAAATCCTCATTGTGCTCCGCGAAATTCATCGCAATGTCCTAACTCATAAAGTCTCAGGCCCCATTTAGACATACCCGGTTATTAAAAGTGGAGACATTAACCATCGTTTGCATCCTTTGTTTTGACGCAAACAGAGAATTCACCAGAAAACTCCGACCAGAGTGGAGATTTTGGAAAACTCCATTCACATGTAAACTGAGATTTGGGTTGCCGACAGCAGATTGTGCGCCGGAAACTGACTTAAATGCGACGTTGTTTACAATCTACGGTGATCATGGATGCATGCAGAGTAGCGGTCGCATTTATGCTGATGCAATCCCTTTGTATTTGTTTGCATTTGCATCTTTTCCAAAAGAAGGAAGTTAGGTTGTTGTTGTTGTTGTTGTTGCTAGTTGGGATTCTGATTGGCTAACGTGGGCTTGAGCTTCTCGCTACACTGCCACCTACAGGTTTGGCAGGTTAAACTTTTCTGAAAACGTAGTGGTGTGCACGCAGTTTTGATTCGGGCACACGTAAACGTAGTCTCCGACTTAAAGTTCCCTGATCCTGTAATAAGGACACGGCCACTCACAGTGAGACCTCAGTGCCCCCACCCACCACCATCCTCGCATCCAACCCTCTGTTCCCTGCTTCATTATTAATTCATTGAGGAGAAAACAGTGCTGGGCCTCTTCTCCACCCAAACACTTTCCAAACCCTGATTAAAATTGCAAAATGGCCTCCTGTTCGGCCCTAATTCAAGCCCTTCAGGACATCGTGACAGAAGCAGGAAGAGACACGGCGCAGCGAGGAAGTGGTCAGATATCCAAAGTGACCTACAAATGCTTCCTTAAGTGCTCGTCCGCCTGATGCAAGAACTTGACAATAAATTTGCCAGGACAGCTCTACAGGCTCGGTACCAACCAGGGACACACCTCTCTGTCATGTTGTTCTGAATAAATGCTCTAAATAAATGATCGCAAAATCAAACAAGTCAAGGTCGCACCGTCCGCTTCCTTCCTCTGACATAAGAGTGTAGTCTGCATGTCAAAGACGGGACTGTGAGGGTTAAAAAAGTAAAAGAAAGTAGTTAATACCTACAGAGCATGTAACATTTACCATCGATAACAGTCTGGAAGACGGATGGGCCATATGCTTGGCAAGAGCGGGCCACGCTCTACACAATTCCTCATCTCCGAGGCTTGCCGTACCAGATTCCTGCCTACTAATTGAAGACATATGGTCTGATCAGCCACTAAAACAATGCAAGAGGGGCTGTTAAAATGGTGGACAATAGACCCAAGATGGTACCTCCGAGCTGTACCCCTCCGTCTACAAAATCTGCCTCATAACACCACTAACACCTTAAACTCTGTTGTGCTGTAAGCTTTTATAAGAATAATTTGGGATCATGTTAAACACAGCTGTCTCATCCTGTGTGCGCACACACACACACACATACACGCTATCACTGGCCTCTTAAAAATACAGCATGTGGACCCTTCCGCTTATTCTCCCCTGAGGTGTGTCAGCAACATGCATAGGTCCAAGCAGTAGCGAGATGATATTAATTAAGTTAGCCAACCTGTAGGTTCCTTTGTGCCCAGCTGTAGAGCATAAATCAGACTTTTAACGAGGCTAGGGCCCTAAGATCTCAAACCGTGCTGGAATGCTACCTGCACAGCCATGCCAAAAATCTGTCTGGGTCTAGGGCTCCTATAGATCACTGTGTTTATAAGGAGGGCTATAGCAACTTACCCCGGGGAGGGAAGGGAGCGAGGGTGGAGCAGAGGAGCAGAGAAGGAGGGTGGCAAAGGAGAAAGGGGGGGGCGCAAGAGCTATTTCTATTGGGTCATCAGGTTTAAGTAAACATGTGGGATGCTGGTGGGTAAGTGAGCGAGTGTGCATGTGTGTTGCATGCACGCATATGGAGTTGCCCTGAAAAAAGTTCTCTCGTATTTTTATGGGACTCTATAGGAAGGAAGGCTAAAAGGAGGCAAAATGATAAGACAGACAGAGTCAATAAGAGACAGACCGATAAAGACTGGAGACAGAGAAGGAGGACAGCAGTATCAGGTACAAACTTCTCCGGTGAATAAGTAACAGTTGTGGTAAATCGCCAGAAAAATGGCGAGTAAAACACGCCTTTGAAAATGAGCGTTTAGACCTGGGGAAAGAGGTGATGAAGAGGATCTGTGCGGAGAAAGTTTGTGTGCTTCGGTGACAGAAGGATTTATTCTCAGACAGCTGCAGGACAGGACACATGCATGTACAGACTGACAGACTGACTGACTGACTGGTTGAACGGCACATTGAGTCCACCTTTAAGCCGTCGTTTCTGCACACAGTCCATGAACTCTCAGACATTCCTCAACAGGCAGCGGCAAGACGCACGTTAACACGTATCATATGCAAAGACACGACGCAGGTAGACATTTACGCTCATTAGATCATATCGTGTCCATTCGGATCATCAGAAGTATGTTTAAGCCATTTCGTAAAAGCGCATTGTGGTTCGTTCACTTATGCATTTAACAGCACAGCAATGCCTGCCCTGCTGCAAAGCTCACCAGCTAACCAAGCGTATATAAATAATCCAGTGTGGAAGTGCAGAAATTTGGATTAATGACTGATCAGGGGATGGTGGAGCGGGTTTCTCCAGCAACACTCTGCAGCACCACCTGAGATTTATTGGCCAGATGTTTGTGCCATTGCTTCTCTAACAGACTATAAAACTTCATTTACAGAGGCCAACAGAGGAGTCTCAAAGCGTCGCCAACACGCTCAAATTTGCTGTGCCGATGCAAATGTCAACTACAAATAATAAAGAAACGTAATTAACAAACAGCTTTCATTATCAGGAATGCCTGCGCGCCCCTGCGGTTTTTCTCGTTCCCTCGCGCCTTCCCCTCTTTTTTCTTTCTCTCTCTTTCTCTCTCGTTCGTGTCACTTATACAATGACAGCCCTGACAGGAATGTAACTCCACTCCCTGCCAACATGCAGTCAGGTTCTCAAGATCCACCCTGTCATTTTGAGAGGGGCTGACAACCTTTGAGTGACGCAGGGTCGAGGGGGCATCGACCCCAGCGGACTGCTGGTGTTGCATTCCGAGAACTGAACTTTGTAGGTTTGCACAAGGTCAAACTGTAAAGATCCTATACGCTCATTCCACACATGTTGAGCTTATACGGTTCAGGCCTGCAGACAACCTCAGCTGCGGACACGACCAGACAGCTATCTCTTGTACCTTTGACACAGCTGTATATGGATATATAAAGGCATAAAAAAAGATGTTTGCTCTTAAAACATGTTGCCTTTATTGCTCTCGTCCGATTTCATCACCTCGCGGTACACAGAGGGGAAGCTGATGAAAGGAGGAATTAAAGGCAGTGAAAGAACAAGGATATTATCTGAAGAGAAAGGGGTGTAGTTGAAGGGTGTCAAGAATGGCGTAAAAAGCTGTGGAGAGCAGAAGAAGGGAAAAAACAAAAGAGTGGTGGACAGCTTTACACTGCAGTACCCCGTTCTAGATTACATTAGTGGCAGCTGCTTCCTTTGTGTGGTTTTATGGCCTGGCCCCAAGAAAAAGCTGCTAAAATTTCATTTAATCTGCTGCAGAAACTCAAGAGTCTGTCAGCCACTCAAACAAGGGCGCCTAAAAGCACCATGCTCTCAGATATCTGAGGCAAAATAACACTAATAATATCTCTCTCTGTGGCCGTACAGGCAGACATTTTGTGTAACCAAAGAGGGCCAGCCTGTGCCACCGGTGCATGGGAAACTGGCCTGCTCTTCAAGTCCAGGGACAGGCCCTTAATGGCGGGTGAGAGAGCCACACAGCATCCCCCTTTTCCCCTCCTTCTCTCTCTTATTTATCTCCACCTCCTGTTCATCCTTCCAAGTCATTAGCTTATGTTAATCGCTAAAACTACAGAGAGTGACCCCCAATTTCATTTAGTATGCCACTATGCTTAACAGCAGATGACAACGCAGCTGCTATGGCTGATTTATTAAGGTAAAGTAATTGTAGGACTGAGCATATATTCTCAGCTCATTTGCATCAGTTGCGCACTCTCAGACAAATTGATTAAATAAAGTGCATTTCTTAAGCTGTTTCTTTCATTTCAAAACACACTCCTCATAAAAAAATCTAAATCCTTCTCAGGTTATAGTCCTATTTCATGCAAACATTAACTTTGTCTTACTGCCTCTGATTTAAATGGGCTTTATAAGAATTATTTTCTAGGGAAGACGAGAACAGACATGGATTTTTCTTTTCTTTATGCACTATTATCTCGTGATAACGACTTATAATCTCATTGTCTCGACATGACGAAGATCGTTTTTTCGTGATAGTGTAAATTGTGTTTTAGCCGACCTCAACGGTAACTTTTGAAAACAGAAGCGTCATGTGCGAATTGGACAACAACAGTAACAATGACAGTTAAATGTCCCCACGTTAAAAGTGTGATGTGTATGCGCAGAGTGTCTTCATTTAAAATCCTGGCGTGCTGTTAAGGATGGTGGCATTTTAGAAATATCCCAATCTGGGGGCGTTTTTTAAAAGTTACCGTTGAGGTCAGCCAAAACACTGATTCCATTATTGCAAAAAGATGATCTCTGTTATGTCAAGATAATGAAATAAAAGAATTCGTTATCATGAGAAAACAAACATTGTTATATCGCGATAATGAGATGAGTCATTGTCATGAAAAACTGATATTTGTTATGTCAAGATAGTGAGATAAAATAATTCGTTATCACTAGAAAATGGACTTGTTCTATCGAGATAATGAGATAAGTCATTATCACGAAAAGATGATCTCTGTTACGTAAAGATAAAATAAAAGAATTCGTTATCGCAAGAAAAAGAACTTTGTTATATCGAGATAATGAGATAAGTCATAATCACGAAAAAATGATATCTTTGTTATGTCAAGATAACGAAACAAAATAATTGGTTATCACTACAAAATGAACTTTGTTATATTGAGATATTGAGATAAGTCATTACGACGAGATAACAGTGCTTGAAAAAAATTCATAGCCGTTCTCATCTTCTGTAATTTTCACTCAGTAGATCCTGGAAAAAGACAAGACAACAATTTTTACTGAAATCTGAAACCATCCACTTCCAGGGTCATAAGTCATAATTAAAGGAGCTGACACAAAATGAGCAAAATGTTGAAATTCCAGCATTATCCCTTTAAAAACATCTGCTTTATCTCGACTGCCCACTCAATATCCTGCTCCAAAGACCTTGATAAACAAAGGTAAACACAGAAGAAGCCCCACTACGTTGCCGGGTGAGTTAGCCTGACATGTACAGAGGAATCTGACAGCAGCAGTCCCTGACAGAGAGCAGCTTCCTTCCTATAGGCTCTTAGTCCACAAAGTGACACGGCCACGTACGTCCACACACATTTTATTCTGATAAACTGAGGGGAGGAAAGGGGGGCTGGAGGTCGGGAGAGAGGGGATGTATTCTGCTGTTTGATTCCTCTACTATAGCTCAAGGCAAGAAGAAGAGGAACAGACGAGGAAGAGATGCAAGGGGCCCCTTTCCTTTCGACCCCTCAGATAATAAGATGGAAGGAGAGAGGAGGACTTGGGGGATGGGGGGGAGGGAGAAGGAACAGAGAGGAGCGAGGGAAGGCCAGAGCAGAGATACACAGGGAGGTTTCTGTCCGAGCGAGTCCTCTGCTCCCTCAGAACGTAGATGACAAAAGGAAGCTGGAGAATACAATATGTGTCCCGCAGGAGCAGGTCTCACTCGGATACAGTTCATCTTCTCAGGTTCAGCTACAGGCTCAAGAGACTGACGACAGAGTGTGAGGGTTATTACAATGAAGTGTGGCCTCCATTTATTTACATGGGAGCAGTTTCAGCTCGACCGGTCCTGCACAGCATGCAGGTTTTTCTCCTATTTTTTTCTTATTAACAGGATTCTTAGAATAACTCAGATGTCAAGGGGGTTTTTGCTACCCGCAGCACGTTGAGTTCAAAGTAAAAACTGTATGTGAAGTGGTAGTTTACCACAGAGTGACACATCTTGTAATACCTGAGGAACAAAGTGACTGAATGACACCATCACCCTGAGGGAAATATCGTACTGACCCAAATACACGACAGGTTTTAGTCTTCAAAATGCAAAAAAAAGTGGGATCGTCTGAATCATCGTAACAGACTGTGCTGTTTCTCTGAAAAGCAAGTGAGCACAAAACCAGTCCACCAAAAACTGAGACTGAGTTTTGATGCTTTTACTAACAAAAACAGTCATCAATGCAGCGTCCACTTCAAGCCTCTGTCAAACAGCTGAGATATATTAGTCCAGTCCAGAGTGTAAAAACAAAGATGGTGAACCCACATGTGAGTCTGACAAGGAAAAAAAGATCCATCTATCTCTCATATGATCACTATGGGGATAAATAAACAGAAATATAGTCGTGTTGTTTATTTAGATCATAAAACGGATTGTTTCCTTCATAAAAAATGATCTAATTGGTATCTAAAAGTTCTTTAAGTCTTTCACTATCCTTAGCTAGTCTAACCATATTCTGAATCACCAAAAAGAGGACATGATTACACAGGGACAGTCACGTTTAGTAAATTTTGAGAGTTTTTCGGGTCAGGTTGATTGTCTTTTCAGCGCAGTAAGTCCACACGACAAAAACTTAAAACTTTCATACAAAAGGACTTCATAAACTCCCCCAAACAAGGCCAGACAGCCCCCAAAAAAGATGACATGTCTGGGTAGAAGAGGACATATGGTCAGCCTACCTTAGCTTAATACATATAGACATCAGAGTGGACATAATGCTTCAGTTTCTCTGCAGTGGGTCAAAGGTCACGTCAGGGTTCATTTACTGTTCTGCTGTTAGCTGCTTACAAACTTTTGAGAAGTTATAACACACTTTTTTCAGCTCTTAAATACCCAACTGTGTGTTTTAAATCCATCTTTCTCTGTTTGATAGATGTCACACTCAGACTTTTGAGAGCAGTCATGCAAAATCCTGCTGTCTCACGACAAAAGATGCTAACTCCTACCTTTCTCATGTACAGCAGTGTTTACTGAAGGAACAAGGACAGGAAAAGAAACAGAGAATTCTGAAAGGACGGAAACACAGACGCGCAAATGAGTGCTAATGAAGACATAGCAAGCTGTAAAGGGGGGGAGGTGGAAGAGATGGGCGAGGGCAAATTAACCTTTTTAATTGGAGAGTGGTAGTCCTCTTTGGACCCTGCAGTTGGATCCAGAGTGCTGACAGATGATGAGAGGGAAATGGCAGGCCTATTACAGGCAATCTGGCCCTGCGACTTGGCAGACTACCTCAGTACCAGAGCCTGGGGAGAACAGGGCATGTCCAGCATGGAAAGCATTCGCTGCCAGACCGCTCGCTGGCAGAACAGGGCCTGCCTCAATAAAGGTATAAATAGACAATGGTTATCTTGGCACTTTGAACTATGGGGTAAAGGGTTGTCATAAGGGAGTCTGGTTTCTTGTCTGATAACGAAATACTACTTGGTCAAGAAAAAGGAGAGGGGCTTTGCTTTAATGAAAGAGAGAGAGAGAGAAAGAGAGAGAGAACCAGTCTGACAGGTAGAAGAGAGGTAAAGGGCCAGAGGGGGCGGAGAAATGTACACTGAGAAATTTTCACACCATTTACGTTCACATAACTTTGAGCTTATACACACAGTTTCAGACCCCGCTACATCTGCACTGTGTCCACGGAGGAGCCAGATGCAAGAGAAAGACATCAGAGAGGATAACTTCCTGTCTGTCTGTCTGTCTGTGCGTCTGGATGCAAGCGCCTTGTTTATGTCTGGGGATACAAGGAAAACAAACATCAAGGTCAGAGAGGCTGGAGTCTGTCCAAGCGATAGATAGCCCCCCTCTTAACAGGACTGCAGGCCTGTTTTAACACATGGCTCCAGGGAGATACCAGGATTTAGACACAGCCTTTGGGCGAGATTCCTCATTGAATATCTGAGCTTTTTTAAACGCAACTATTTCCTAAGATGCAGATGTTTACCCTTTAGGTCTCGGTGCGAATTATGTCACCGAAATAGAAAGTTTTGAGACGTCAAAGTGCATCCTATTTCTTGATTTCTAGATTTGATCTAAGAGCAGCTCACTTCACGTCTTGTTTTCTCTACCTTACTCATTGTGTCACTGTCCGGCAGACAGTTAAATTAAACATAATCCTGACGCCCGGTCTTTAATGCTGACCCCATTAGCCAGACGTCCATGGGCATCTCTAGGTCATCTCTGCTCAGACACAAAAAAATCCCCAAACCTCACCTCACGTCGACCCCTACTTCCCTTCCCCCCATATTTTTCGTCTGTCAGTTCATCTTTAAACCCTTCATCACCTCTCATTTCCTCTTTCGTCATCCGTCATTATGTTTTCTGATCAGGTAAAGACGACACCGCCGACTCTACAGGGTCTCCATTCCCATGTCGATGCATACGCACACCTGGACACCGTGTGTTGCACAATTAGCATCCTCCACTTGCATCCTGCACTTTTATATTCTCCCCTCCCTTCCTTTCTCCATCTTTGTATTGCTCTCCATCCATAAATACACTCACACGCATACACACCAGACACATGGCCGAAGAGAGCAGACTACCATCTGGGAGTAGTGGCCGGCTTTGTCTGGGGGGGGGGGTGAAAGCGACAACACGACCCCCCTTCAGCACACACACATAAACCATACACACAACCCCTGCAACGGCCCCCGTCGCCCTCCCCGTCCAACTGCTCCAAGTGTGAGAGCTCTTCTCATACAATCTGCACATATACATATGCAAATTTGCAGGAGGGGGGGCATTATAAAAACAGCCATCATCACACACACACACACGCACACACACTCACACACGCACACACACACGATATTTGGTTGGCTTGGGCTCTAAAGTAGCCATGCAGGAGTTTTGGAAAAGAAAAAGCGTGTTTCAGAGAAACAGAGCAAGAGCTGGAAGAAGGCTGGAAGAAAAGAGGAGATGAAAAGAAGAACCTTCTTTATACATCACAAATTAATGTGAGCATGTGTGAAATACATGCAAATGGGATTGCATGCATTTACATGGAGACACACACATAAACACATGCACCCACAGACACGCAAACATACATTATCCATGTTTGCCCTGCAGCGTGCATGTGATGAATTTATACATAAAAACTCACTCCATCAATTGGCACAAGATGCATCACGACTGTCGTTAGATTCAGCATCATATGTGGGCGTGAGGCCCCCAAAGACAATACCCACGATGCACCACAACCAGATGATCATGGTGTACTTGGACATCTAGTTAATCCTTTGGTTGTGGGTTCAGTTAGGGTTGGAAAGACTTTTAGTATAAGATCATTTCTTTCTGTAAAAGTTTTACCTGACAAGTTCAAACTTTTAAAAAATAGGAAACTACAGTGGCCCTGAGGTGCAAAACACAACAGCATAAAAAAAAACACAACGACAAAGGAGAAAACACAACACCAAATCATAATACACAAAAACAGAATAGAAAACACAAGGGCAAATGAAAAACAAACAAAACGCAAATAGAGAAACTACAACGACAAATCAGAAAACACAAAAAGGGAAAACGTAACGACAAAAGGGAAACACAACAACATTGACCATTGTGTTTTCTCTTTTGTCGTCATTTTTTCTGTCAGTTTTCTGATTTGCCGTTGTGTTTTCTGTTTTGGTTTGTTTTTGTGTTTTTTGATCTGCTGTTGTGTTTTCTGATTTGCTGTTGTCTTTTCTCTTTTTGTGTTTTTTTTTTTAATGTAATGTCTTTTCTCTTTTAATGTTGTTGTGTTTTCTGATTTGCTGTTGTGTTTTCTCTTTCGTCGTCATGTTTTCTCTTATGTTGTCATCTTTTCTCTTTTTGTGTTGTGTTTTCTGCTCTGCCGTTGTGTTTTCTGATTTGCCGTTGTGTTTTGCACCTTCAAGGCCTCCGTAGAGAATGGCAAATGTCTGTTGCTCTTTTGCTTTTTTTCTCATTGTAATCAGGTTTATTCTTGTAAAATAGATTAACAAGCCTAGGAGACAGATTTCCTTCACCAGCCTGATTTAGTGTGTAAATAGTGACAAATATCACATTGTCAATTAAATAAAGGAAATGAAGATGAGGATATTTGATACTGTAAGAATTAACCTCTGTCCATTTGTCAAATCAAAGAGCAAAACGCCCGACATGCAGGTGGGAAAAAGCCAGCGCTAGAATGACCGATATAGAAAAAGACACCAGTTTGAAATCCGACACTTCGCACACCCTTTTTCTACACGTACATACCATCAATAACCCAGTTCTTTGACTTTTTCATTTATTTTTTCTCACCTCGACATCACGATCATGTTTTTCCTCTTTAACTTTATCTATAAACATTCAAATCAGACGTATAACTCTTACTTAAAACGACAGGATTTGATAGCCGCGGCTATAACAAGGTCTGAAATGAAGAATTTCCACAATCCTGCAGCGACAAACACTCAGTTCCTTGAATTCCTTAGATGTTCATGATGTGACAGAGCTTTTTGATCTGCTGTCTCGAGGCAGGTTTATGTGTGTGCGAGCTGAGAGCGTCTGAAGAGGCGCGGTGAACAGCCTGCTCTCAAAACTCAAGGGACGCATCCGAGTCGTAATTAGGAGAGGAGCTGCGTCCATATTTTATGGCAAAACACGGACGCAAACACGTTCACAGACACGATTTCCATCACAGACACATGTGGACGTGTATGATAGATGGAGCCTGATGTGTGCACGCATGTAAAGCTGACACAAATAGGAGGTTTCTCGCCCACACGGCACAAGAGTCTATTATGTACATCTTCCATATCAAATTCTTCCTCCCTGTTTTCAGAGCTCTCATGTTTGCTGTAATGTTTTCAGTACACAATAGCCGCGCTGGTGTTAAGCTCATGTTGCCTCATCAAGAGGAGAACACCAACAACAACCAAACACTTTTCCCTCCTCTTCCCACCCTGTTTACGAGCAGATCCATTCGTCTCTCACTTTGTTCCCACGCTCCCTCGCTTCTTTTTTCTCTCCTCTGTATTGTCCTGTGCCCTCAGGTTAGAGGTTCTCTCTGTTTCCTCCTCTAAAGCCGGGAAACAGAGGAGGAGGACAAGAGGAGAGGGAGAGACAGAGAGACGGAGAGGAGGGCCTGTCCGACGCCTCCTTCGGCCTAACCGGTCTGAACTGGTTCTGACATAGGTGAACCAGAGACGTGTCCTCTTTCGCCTCCGGACAGAAAAGAACCACGGTGGCATTCCATCCAGAGGAAGCAGGTACCAGGGAGGTGTGCATCCATGTGTGTGTGCGTGTGTGTGCGTGTCTGTGTGTGTGTGTGCATGTGTGTGTCTCCCAAGACCTTTGAGGCCTGGACCACTGCCAAGTTCATCTGTTAATGGACAGCTACGAGGAGAGCCGCCCCATCCCCCCACTTTCCCTCCACACTGCTCCGTCTCTCCAGCAGCCATGCCTGCTCACGACCCCCCCTTAACCTCCCCAACCCCCAGCCAGGCCTGCCCAGATACAGGCCCTCACTCTCCCTCTCCCTCTCCCTCCTCCTTTACTCCCTTTCTCTCCCTTCCCCTGAAAGCTATATCATTCCCTTTCTCCTCCTCCTCCTCCTCCTCCTGCCCGCTGCCCCCCAACACTCTGTGCTGCTCCTATTCAAGATAAACAGAGTGCTTCAAGTTCAGGGGACACCCAGGGACCCTTTAACAAAGCCATCTATCATGCTGTCTGCCTGAGACTCCTCTGGCCATAGCGGGCTCTGCTGTTGCTGCTGCTGCATCTCCCTGCGTCTGAATGCATGTGTGTGAATGTGAACATACAAAAGCTGGACATTCACCACTAAGACTCTTCACACAGACTAGCTAGTTGCTATAGCTAATCCAGAGCTGGACAATCTCCTCATTGTGTTAGTGGCCCCTCCTGGCCCCTCTAAGACCAGAGCAAAGACAGACACCCCCCTCCTCCTCCTCCTCTTCTTCCTCCTCCTCCTCCTCCTCTACCAAGCACCCCCCCTCTCTGTCCTGTTAAAACGAGACAAACTCATGACATGAAGGCACGCCACAGGGCGAAGAACAACGAGCACGCCCAGGCCACTTACTTTCCACACCTCGGAGACGGACTCCGCTGACCCCTCTCCAGTTCCCCTGAAGTCAAACTGCGGGACGATTAACCAAACTGTCAACAGCTTAATAGTCTGGGAATAAGAGACTGACAGTCGGCCTAGTAGCTGCGTGTAAACACTACAGAGATTATAAATGCTGCGCAAAAGGCAGAGGCTTGTTTCATACGTGGGTCGTGCAACATTTATGGGTACGGTTATGTAGGTAACCTTTTTGGACGTACAAGAACACGCCTGCTGAGTGGAAATTCTCTGTGGCAGGTGTTTTTCAGAGTGGTGCGGCTCCTGCGCATCACTTTTTACTTATCATGTTAAATTATCTGCAAGGAGGAAACGACAACACAAGTCTGATTGAACTGGTTTGAAACTTTTAGACATCATACTGAAAGACCCACTCCGATGAAAATCATGTTTGTCTTGTTGTCTACATGTTCATATGGCATTTTTCTGATGCTACAGGACATATCATGCGAAAACCAAGTGCAAAATTGAAATTCTGAGTATCTCTGCATTCAAAATGAATGTGAATCTCTGGCAGATCCAAACAGCAGGTTCAGATACAGTGAGATTTCCTATGTCACAATTTCAAGCTCCGCCCCTGGAACCCCGCTATGCAGGTCACACTCAGAAAAGTAAAGAAGACAATCGCAGACCAAACGTGTGCATTAGCAGAAAATGCTCATAAGAAAGCTAATTATGATATTAACTTTCATCATTTCCACAAAGTCATTAGTGTTCGAGAGTTGAATAGCTCCCATGTTACCTGCCAATTCTACTGGAGTGACCATATTCTGAATCCCCAAAAAGAGGATACAACTATGCAGGGACGGATTCATGGAGTTGTGCTTAGTTAATTCTGCAAGTTTCTCGGGTCACAAACTTAAACTTAAAACTTCCATACAAAACCTCAGACATTTGAAGGATTTTACAAACTCCCCTGGACAAGGCCGGACAGCCACCAAAAAAGTGGACATGTCTGGGTAAAAGACCACATATGGTCACCATAACTTCTACTACACTGGCAATGTTAGGCTACAAGCTAGCATGAAGAGGAGTTTGCAGAGTAGTGCTGTCTCCGCCCATGACTCAGAGGTGAATTGTTAATGAGCTACTGGAGCTCTGCAGAAGAAAAGCCCTTGAAAATCCCCCAGGTAACATGATTTTGGCTAAAAACTTCAGAATCACAATTTAAAGACCACTGAGAACACTTAAAGTGGTAAAAAAAATGATCAAAATGGGACTTTAAAGAAACTGCTGATATGTGTTTTTTCAAGTCGGGTTACATGTGGTGAAAAGAGCGGGAGAGTTTCCTGACTGACAAATGTGACATCACATTTTGAGGCATGGGAGAGGGACCAGCACTCACGCCATGCTCACACAAACACTCACACGCAATCTTCATCTTTCCTCCTCCCTCTTTCTTCCTCCTCTCTACTTGTCCTCACGTCCCTCCCGGCACACAGCAGCCCCAAAAGCCCAGCAGATGCTATCCTCTCCTGCCTGCTCGAGAGGAGGGGTCCGAGCTGCCGGTTTTAGAGCGCTAAATTATCCATTAGATGTTATCAAGTTGTAGCGGGGTGATGCCATTCTGCAAGGAGCCATCAATCTTTCATAAGTCCCAGGCACGGCGAGCGTTGGGATGCACTACAGGAACCTCCCCACCACTCCCGGCACACCACCCAACCCCATCCCACTCACTTAACTGCACGCGAACTCGAACATGTACACACAGTTGGGCCGTGTCCACGCACACAATCAACAAATACACATGCTGACATAAATGCAGCCCAGGTACACGCTCTTGCACTCAAGCTCAGCAGAAACACGCTTGTTTAGGGAACATCCAGTTCTACATTCTCTTGCATTGTGCTTTTTCCTCTCCTTCCGGCCAACCTCCCTAAACAAATCCAACATTTTGGGCCGAGCATCAAAATTTACGCTGCTTAAACCTTGTTTCTCTGGCCCTCACACCCCCTTTCCCCTGCACGCTCTTTCTCTTTTTTTCCCCCCACCACTCTTCCTCCTCCTCCCTCTGCTTCTTCTTGCCGTGGCCTGGCAGGCAGGCAGGGCAGACATGTTCAGAATGCGATCCGGTAATGGGCTAATCAAAAATGCAAAACAATTGGCAATTACCGCGCAGGGCCCTAATGGTCATTAGAATTTACAACAAGGTAATGAACTGAGAGTCAGCTCGGTCCATGCATATTCATAAAGCAATCAGGCCTTTGAAGATTAAAGAAGCGCTTCAAATTTAAATGAGGGCGCCAGCATGTTATCAGTGAGATTCAGCCTGCAAAAGTAAAGGGTGCCTGGGACAGGAGTGTGCATATGTGAGTGTGCACGGGGGTGTTTGTGTGTGCGGTGAGGGTTGGGGGTCAGTTTGGCATGGGGGATGGAGTGGAGGTAAAAGTATGTGTGTGCGTGTGTGCATGCAACCCTGAATAAATGATGAAGGTGTGTGTTCAATCGAGCCTACCGGTGGTGCCTGCATGCTTTTGTGCAAAGAACGCCAATACAAGGATATAGCCTAAAGTGATTCTAATAACCGAATTAACACTCTCTTAAAAATGAATGAGGCCCGTATCTTCTGATCGTCGTTTAAAAGTCGTGGGATTTGAATCTAAGATCAAATGTGCAGCTAACTTCCGCTATTAGGAGGCAATGAGCTTTTGAACACCAACCCCCCTGAGGGAAACAACAAGCTATTAGTATACATTCACCAAGATGTTAGTGATGGGAAGAACAGTTCTTTTGACTGAACTGAATCTTGAGAATCTGTTCATTCAAATGATTCGTTCAAAGATTCGTTCACCGAATCAGTCAGTGCTGCTGAAGTCAGCATCATTCATTGGGTAACACATGTCCTTCATTCGCCAAGTCGTGAAGGAAGAATCACTCCCCTGCCCTGAAAAACTCACCTCTCTGTGTGATGCCGACATTCGCATCACGAGTGAAACAACACAGCAGCAAGCAGCACACCCACTAAACAAGTGCGAGTCATCATTCTCTTATATCGCGGAAAAGTGGAGAGATTAAAAATAAATACACAGTGAACGAACCGGTGCTCTGCAGTTCGTGAATGACGCTACGCCCCTCCAACCTCTGCCTGCCTCAAGTCGTTTGTTTCGTTCACAGTCTGTCTGATACATGTTGTTCTTTCACTGTGAGCAATTTACGGGACTCCGCTCGACCACTCGCTCGCTAGCTTGCTGTGTGTCATTCGCCAAAGAGTCAAAAGCAACAGTTTCACTCCCGACCGACACTACACTTGTGGCTGAGCTCATGTGAACCAAGAAAAGAACGAATCAGGTCTTGGAGTGATTCCACTTAGCAGTTCCGTTCTTTTGAACGAATCGTTCATGAACGACACAACACTAGAAGACGTGCAGCAGCAAAGTTACACTCACTCTGAGACTTTCACACACACATTCAAACTGTGAGATTTCACAAGCGTCCCGTCAGACTCTGAGGCCCTCTCCGTCCTGTGCTTGAGATAAGGCTGGCGGACACAGCTGCAGGGGACCACCCACCCGCATACAAAAGGTACAAATAGACGCGCACACACCCATCGACGCACAAGCACAGTCAGACAGGACAAACCTAGCGCTGAGACCTGCAGGGGGACAGATAGTGGAGTTAGACGCACTAAAAAGACAGATAGTGTTCAGGGATCAGTGGGTTCAGACGAGTATGATGGCCTTAGAATTATCACCACGTGAGCGTGAGGAAGACAAAGCAATAGATCTACAGTAAAAACTACAGTCACAACAAGAGCAGGAGAGGTTAACCTGACATACTTAACTGTGCTACTGAATGTCAAACCGGAATAGAGACTCCCCAAAACAGAAGAGCTGGATCTAAATCAGTGTTTGAACTCAAAAGGAAGAAAGGAGGAGCTTATTTACCCAGAGTGATTGGGGGGAAAAGCTCCACATGTACAGTATCTATATGTTTGAAATCTGTTCCCTCCACAGTGAAGCACCGGCACGTCTGCTCTCTTTGTTCATCATCCATCACATCCTGAGCTGTAGCTGTATCAAAGACACTTTTTCTTCTCTGTTTCAGTTTCTGTCTAAAAATAAAGTCATTAACCTGCAGGTGGTGAAGCCGGCGGCTGGTGTGACAGGCCCTGACGCTGTCAGACGACCCCTGACCCTGTGATGTGACTGCCTGCCACGCTATTGACAGGACAGCGGCAGGACATGCTTATTTCTGAGGCTACTTTTTCATCCCGTGTGACGCGGCTGTGGACAAACAAGGTTGTTTCTGTCGTAGAGCTCCGTTTGACAGTAGATGGAGGCGATAGCGAGAAGCGGCGAATGTGTGTATGCGTTGTCCGTGTGTGTGTATGTGTGCGAGTATGTGCGTGTCTATGTCTTCGAGCTTGCAGAGCAGCCAAATCTGTGAGAGTGAGAATGAGCTCCAGAATGGATGTTGGAAGCCTTTAAGAGGTGCAGACACGCTAATGTAGCCAAAACTTGAGTCTCTAGTCCCTGGAGACAAACTACTGGAGCGGTGTGCGGAGAGAGAGCATGAGCGAGAGAGGGAGATCGAAGAAAGGAAAGGAGAGAGGGAGGGGAGGGAGGGCTGAAATAAGGATCATATGTTTCTGACAGATCTCATCATCTCACAACACGTCATAGGACCTCTGCCACAACACATTTATTACGGACACAACACAGGAGGTTTACACCGAGCATGTTTACGGGTCTATATCAGCAGAGAGTGTGTGTGTGTGAGGGGGTACTTTTGTGTTCATAAAACAGGTGTGTGTCTGTGTTCATTTGTCTATATGTGCGTAGGTGTGTGTGTGTGTGTACGTCTGTTTCTTTTGTGAGTCCATGTCTATGCATACTTGAACTAGCCTCCACCTGAATGGCCCGAGGCTGTGGTACCGGGGTGGTTAGAAGACAAACAGAGACACAGGAAGCCCAAGCCTTCAGCCCTGAGGACAACACACACACACACACACACACACGCACACGCACACACACACTCAGACTGTCAGTCACACACCTCACTATAAGTCCTGCTTCCTAAACCCACAAAACATTGCTTGGCACACAAATACACCTTTTCTACCTTCCTTTATACACACACACACATACACACACTCACACACACACACTGAACTCACATTAAGACCCAGCCCGTCCCTCAGGCATAGAGCTGTGTGCCAAGTCTGGCCTGGCATGGTCCACAGAGGGGTGTCCTCCGGCGAGGCTTGCCAAGTCAAAGACCCTTTCATGTTCAGCCTGCACGCCCAGAGTAGTAAAGCTTTAACAAACAGCCGACACACACACACACACACACACACTGACACACACACATAGAAGGCTATAAACAGTTTAAGTGGTCAAAAAACCACACTCATCCACACACACGTACACACATATGCACATGCATTAGTTTAACACCGCATCCACACAGGAGATGTAAACATCCACTAGACTTCGGCACTTGAATGCAGCCGCAGACGCTAACACTCGAGCCAACAACAAAGGCTGAGGGATTTCCACTGACAACATTTGTGGGTGTTTAGAGCTCGGCTTCAGAATACAAAAATGTCTCCTATGAAAAATTCATCCTAAAAAACCCCATTCCTGTTCACCTTCATTAAAACTTAGTGAGAGCCCACGTCCAAAAATAGGAACTCTTTTTCCAGAGCGACTGGAGGATAAAATCAGAGTCACTTTTAGCGCCCTGATAGTGAAATATTAGCCGGTGTGTTGTAATTACAACAGCATGCATCTGTGCCTTTTCACTATCAATTAGAGTGATCGCCCCAACAAAAGCACACGTTGCATGTGGACTTGTAAAAGCAGCAACATATGCACACAGACACACACACACACTGACCACAAGAAAGAAAAAAAAAAAGGATGTCAAGGATCTTCTCCCCCTTCCAGCCCACACACACACACACACACACACACATTTATAACACACTCCATGGACTGCCCAGCCCCCCAACTCTGCCCGACAGATACCCAGTGTGTTATACATGTGTGCTTATGAAGCGGTGTGTGTGTGTGTGTGTGTGTGTGTGTGTGTGTGTGTGTGTGTGTGTGTGTGTGTGTGTGTGTGTGTGTGTGAGGGGGGGGGCTGGTGGTTTGGAGAAAGGTGGCACACTGCCAATACGGAGCCTGCTAAATACCTTTGTCTCCACAACACACAGAGACAAACAGGACAGGCAAGCTGCTGCGGGAAGACACTCAGCAGCCACAGAGAGGTGTTGTGAGAAAAAAAAACACACACACACACACACACAACACACTCACAGACCCCGTTGCAAGAATGTTTTCCTCCTCATAGAGAAAAGGGGGAAAGGTGGCTGCCATAATTAACTCAGTATCGATTCACAGTCCAGGTTACAATGGAGGCAATGCGCTGGAAAGAGGCAGAAGTGTGAGATGGTGGCCGATCGTATGGCGGCTACAATGGCCTCATTAACACACATGGCTACACCGGTGCTAATGCTGGGTAATGTAGTAATGTAGCAGCTCACACACACACACACACACACATACACACATGAGAATATGCTTCCACATACTTAAAAGTGAGGATATTGATCATGATACAGGACACGACAAAGTCTGTGAATCAGAACAACAGAGAGCATCTTGGTCCAATTACTCAAAGCAGACCGCCATACAGTCATTTACTGCGACACTTCGTCTCCAGGACAATAGATGATAACATAAACAAAAACTACAAAGTGACCTCATCATCATCATCATCATCAGGCTCATGTTTAATAAATCCAGTTTTACACTCTGATGAAGACACAGAGTTTGTGTGAGAATCTGTCATCTGCTCTTTTTCTGGGCCATCCATAATCTGGAGACAAGCTACGGTGTCCCTATGCATATCTTAAATTGTTTATCATGCAAATGACGGTACGCAGGCTGCTCTGTCCTCCTCCTCCTCCTCTAACGGCCCACAGCTCCAGACTGCAGACCCCAGCCACAGCTGCAGCCATGAGGCTCCCAGACGGCCTCAGCTGTCCCAAAGACGGAGGCCGAGAGGCACACAGCTTCACCTCCAGCTCTGGGTGTGTTGCAGATAAAATCCTCCTGCTGCCCCCTCGGCTGCAAGTTCACCCCTGTGCTGTCGGCTCCTCCAGGCCTGCAGCCTTTTCTCAACCCTGTGTATCCGAGGTCCAAACGCACATCCATCAGTGCCATATGACATTTCAGGAGGGGGGTGGGGAGCAGAGGGGTCACATTCAGAGGAGTGTATGCAGAATCTATAAGGGTGTATCATATAGTCCACTCCCCTGGAATAAACTGGACATGAACCAGTGAGGCAGAGGTACACTTTGTAGGGACAGTATGTATCCAGATGCCTCATCTCAGTGTCAGCTTCTAACCGAGCGGGGTGAGGGAACATGGCAGCCAGCATATGGGCTAAAGGGTGGCGCGCTGGCACTGCCAGTCTGAATCCATCAATCTTATAACCAGAAAACAGAGGTGGGGGGAGCGGCTTTAAAGCACATGTAACTGATGTCCAAGCTTTCTGCACAGCAGCTGTACTAACTCTGTTAACCCAAATCTTTTTTCTTTTTTCAGGTTTATCTTGAGTTTACCTTCTCCCAGGTTTAGATAGAGCACATCCCAGCTCCACATCCACCCAAATCTGCCTGTTTATCACCATCAAACTGAGCCAAAGCCCACTGTTACACAATGCCAAGAGAAATTAGCCCTCTAAATAAAGCTCAGCTCACAATGTTAGTCACCTCATGTTGTCATGTGAACTCCAGAGCATGATGATCTAAATGAGCAAAGAAAAGCATGTTCGAACAGCTGACAGGGCCAAGAGGCATGTTGGACTAAATGTGTGTGTGTGTGTGTGTGTGTGTGTGTGTGTGCGTGTGTGTGTGCGTGTGTGTGTGAGGACGCTTATGTCCAATCGCGTGTGTGTGTTCTCATACACAGGGCAGATGTTTGACAAACTGCGCACTAATGAACAGTGGTCATTCTGTGAGATCGAGGGTCTGATGAGCTAACAACAGTAGACCCTTTGCAGAGCGGCGGCGCCAGCTAACGCAGTACAGTAGTGCACATTATTCACCACTATTATTCCTGCGTTTATCCTCGATTGGCTTCAAATTAAATCAAAACTGCACGGACAATAAGCCCAATCTGGCTCACTTGATCAAATCTGCCAAAGGAAAGTGAAAAAAAAAAAAAAAAAAAGCAGTCATAAGGGATGCACGCTTGTTTTCACGGCGGCTCATGTTTTCTCGACAGCCTCATTTAGCCCCCGATGGAGAAACAACAAACCAGCCGCCTTAAGAAGTCCTTAATTACTCGAATCAAGAAAAGCACTGACAATTAGTGGCCGTAGCTTCCTCAAATATACGCTTCTTCCATGACAGTTTGGCGTAATTACATTCTTCTCTATCTCTTTTTAATTTTAGCATCAGAGTGATGCTTCACAGGCGCATTTTTGAGGGAAGGATAGATATGGCAGCGTAATAAGCCAGGGAGGGATGGAGATACATCTCTCACCACCACATGAGAGAGAATGTGGAGGCCACACGGTCTTCTGAGCACATCTGTGATGCAGCAACAAACCAAAAAAAGGGTCCATCTTTTATTTTTTTTTCTCTCCTTCTGTCTCTTCCTCTCTTTCATAATCTGCGTCTTTGTCTGTGTGTGCATCTTTTTTACTCTCTGAGGATGTTTCCGCTTCTCAGAATCGTTTTTCAGGGGCGGGCTGGTCTTCATGTGGCTGAGAGAGATTCACAGCTCCTAAAAGCAGCTGCAGATATTTCACACTCTGGCTATGAAGACAGGAAGGTCTCTACGACAGGAAGCAAACTGAGAGTGTGTTTCCTTATCTAAACTCTCTATGAACCTCAAAAACAGTGACCTTCTGCATACCTCCACACCTTTAAAAGACTCACTCCTCACATTTCTTTCTCATTTGTTTACTCTCGTGTGGCAGCATTTTTAAACTCCCTCTGTGTTTACCTGTGATGTTCTCCTGCTTGGGGATTATTCCTTGCAAGGGTGCAGATAAACAATCCTCATCCTGTGGCGACACCTGAACTGCCACCTCCACTGGGTGATACACCCTCCGCGGGTGCTGATGGTGGGTCCGTGAGTGCGAGGAGGACGTGGAGAGGGGGGAGGCGAGCGGAGAGGAGGGCGGCCTGTCCAGAGGTTTGTCTGCACAGAGGCTCCCGTGGCACTGCCTCCGTTTGTGTTCAATGAACAGCAGGATGTCGGCAAGAGGGAAGCGGGAGTGGCACTGGCCGCAGGTCAGCAGGTCCTGGTCCCCTTTGAGGGGCTCACCCTGATCCTCGCCCAGCCCGGGGGAGTCCTGAGAGTCTTCTTCGGGTAGAACGCCTGAAAGTGGTTCAGCTGAGCGGGGAGACAAGAAGAGAGGAGATTGTGAGATAGGGTTCGAAGAGAGGTGGTGTTTCTGTAGAGCTGGGAAACAGATGTCTCATAGAGAGGGCAACCGAGAAACGCAATATACTGTATGTTCAGACATGCACACAGGATAAGAGGGCATAAGAAAGAAAGAAAGAAAGAAAGAAAGAAAGAAAGAAAGAAAGAAAGAAAGAAAGAAAAAGCACACAGGCTTCGATAAGGACTGACATGTTCAGCTCGCAGGCAGCAGCCAAACGATTAAGTTGCTTGACCCTCTTTATTGTGCTGCCAATCTCGCTTTTTTAATGAACCTAACACCTCCGAGAATCAAAAAATAGATTCTAATTTGAGTTCAAGATGATTGGACCCCATTTCGTTAAAAGTGCTGGGATCTTGTGAACCAAGGTTAGACATTGAGGGGTTGGATGTGGAGTAGGTCCCTAAAGTACCGACAGAGACGGAGAGAAAGAAAAAGGGAGAGAAGGAGAGAGCATTTTTAAAAGAAGTAATCTAGCCACATGGTAAACGACATCGGGTGCCCTGACTGGGATGTCGAGATAAGATGTGATGAATTCTTGCTGCTGGTTCAACCTTTAATTCCATGTCGGGTCGGATGGGAAGGTGGTGAGGGACTATGCAAGATAGGCCCCCGTTACCTGGATGTTCAGCTGAATTAAAGATGAGGCACTCTCCCCCTATTTTAACAGAGCTTATCTTAACCAGCTTATGCCCCGGACACAGGCGAGGTGTGTGAGGCTGGGTTAGCCGGAAAGATTTTCTTCAAACCAAATAATCTCATTTTGATGCCGAGCAAGAATGATATGAATAAGTTTGAAAACCAAAAATATAATCCGTTTTTCAGACATCTGACTGCATCAGAATTTAAAGTAGATTAGGTCAGTGTTTCCCTCTGGGCGACAGGAGCAGGTCTGATTCACTATCAAGGAAATCATCAGGCCTCTTTCTTTGCTAACGTTATGACCGCCATATATGGTCAAAGATCAATCACTGAATTTTACATGACCAGGAAAATAGATCATTTGCACTTTTAAAAGGAGTTTGGAAAAGCTTGTGAATGCATAAAACATATCTCTTTCAGTCGGTTTAGAAATGTGATAACTGCTCACCTAAATAATGTAAAGTGTGTTCAAATGGCGGACATGAATTGATCAAATAAAAATATTAGGGCAAAGTGAATGGAGCTTGAAAGATCTGGGTCAGAGCCAAAAATAGAAACTAGGCTAAATAAAGCCTCTGCAATCATCAAGTTATTAATTAACACTTTAGATTACCTTATTGTTGCTTTTGAGCAGCCATTTTTACAGTAAATAAAACATTCGTTAGATGACTACTCTGTTAAATGTGCATTTTCACACTCTCTTTAATAAGAAAACACATGCAGTAAGTAGTGAGAGAATAAACAATCACTTCTTTCTGAATAAAACTCGCCTCTGTCTGCACTTGCTTGGTCAAGCAGCTCAAAGGGAAAAGTGGATCAAGTTCAAGTTCATCATCAGTGGTCCACGGGACTACAATCATATTGCGCCCCCCACTGACAAATCTTTTGACAATTATCCGACAAATGCAGGCATACATGTTGCGAGAGCATAATTGGTTTGAACCGTGATGGAAAAAGCCTGCATGCAGAGGGGCGTTTAGAGCGAAAACAATTAAAAGAAATGAAACGAAACGAAACAACCTGATCCAAATGCTCACTTCAAACTTCAATCACAGCAGTCTGAGGATGATGCTCAGATGTCTCCATAAACGCTATGTTGCGAAAGAGAGCATTGATAAAGCGTTTACTGATGGTATCAAATGGATTACAGGTTATAAATCTTCTCAGGAAGCGTGAAATTCTTATCACGCAATATCTGTCAATGACTGGTAAGATTATCAGACTCGCGCGTAAAAGCTCTTTCCTGCTGTCCTCTCTCGTAGTTGTAAAACAGCATTTCTCAGGGAGTCTGCTCGGGGTTCTTAGAGAATAAACGTGTCGATCTGGTGCGTCTTTGATACACGCTGTTTGAGCAGGAGCTTTGAGGAATGTGTGCCACAGAAACTATATTCCTCCTTCCCGATAACGCGCACACGAGGTCTCTGCGCTGTGGACAAGTGGGTATGTAAACACCACTTCCCCTGCGTCCAAACCAGCTCCAAGCTCTGTAAACACATTCTTATCGACTAAAAAGATATGTGTTTGTTGTCGTGGAACAGGTTTCAATGCTCGACCTGGAAACTACACAGCGTGTGGCAGCGGTGGTGTGTGCTCAGGCTGCCTTCATTTAGCCAAAGGTCTCCGGTCATAAAGCCCATGCATGCCCTTTAATGGCGAAAGAAACCTTAAAGGCAGCGTTATACAACACAAGTCAAAGCTCTCTAACACAGTGTTTTAAACTCCCTCTCAAAGATCCTAAATTCACTTTTAAAGAACCTGCTGTCTCGGAAATGTTTGCGTTTTTTAATCCACTCAGGGTCCGTACGTGGCCATACTTTCTACCTTTTCATTCCCCCCAAAGAAGTTGCCCCACAAGGAAAGAAAAAACACACGATGCTGCTCTGTCTGTGAGAGGGACAAGCAGCTAAATTAAGTCAATATGTGATTCAGCTCCACTTACGCGAAAACTCCCGTTTGCTCAAGTGCTGGGGTTTGCCTTGCTTGCGGCGAGACATGTTGGTTTAGAGTCGGCTCTTCAGCTGAGTTCACATTGGGAAATCCTTTCCTATAAGGTAGACTCCAAATGAAATATCTTCATTGATGCCTCTGACATCCAAGTAGGAGAAGAAGAAAAAAAGAAGCACAGAAGAAATGAAGCGCTGATCATTCAGAGGGTGAGGCGGAGCGCGCAGCGGGTTGTGCGGACCTCTTCATGACTTTTTCGCAAAGAGAGAGTGATGGGGGTACAGAGAAGCCCCCCTGAGCTGCAAGTTCAAGTGCGGACGTGACGTTCCTGCGAACTTGAACGTCAGGAGATGGACGGACTGAGACACAGAAAACATGGGCAGGGCGAAGCCGGCCAGTGGGAGGGGGACAAGGCGTAATAAAAACCAATGGACACTCATTATGGACTACCTATGGAAGGGTGGGGGGAGAGAGAGAGAAGAGAGAGAGAGAGAGAGGGAGAGAGAGAGACCCCGAAGACACCAATGGACAGGAGGGATCAAGGGGGCCGGGCTAAGTGAGAGAGAGAGAGCGAGAAAGAGAGAGAGAGAGAGAGAGTTAACCAAGAAGTGGAGGAGCAGATCAGAGCGCGTAAAGCACACAGCAGATTATTGTCTGGATGTGCTTTAGGATAAACCTGCTTTACTGCTTTATTCAGATTGATGTAAATATGTAGAGTTAATGTGAATTTAAAGAGCAGTTTGGAAATTGCAATCTCATTCTGTAATGATTTCAACTCATAAAGCCATTTATTTTGGTTTAGACTGTATCAGAATAGGGCACCTTATTTTGTTTCTACTATTATCTAAATGTAAAGTTCAATATTCACATAATTACTGTTTCTTTTTTCCCCAAATATTAATGTTTAATCTTAATTCATCTGTGATAGTTCTCTAAAATGAATATTTTTCCAACAAATTCTTATTGTGGTCTGGTATACTGCATTTCTTCTCTATTTCTCTCATTAATCGTGTGTTTGTGTCCTTTGTGTCTTTATGTTTAAATCTAGGAAGTTATTATAAAGGTAAGATAAGATCAACAGAATAACACCAGCACAGCATTTGTGATAACAAAATAAAAGCATAACATTTACACCCAGTAATAATGAAGGCTTTAAAGCAGTGCGCTGCATAAAAGTTACTGCGCTGTAATGTGATGTTAAATTGTTGTGATAAAGTATATGAGCCACATCCAGTCTATTTCAATCACTGAGCGTCTCTGCAGACTGTTTTATGGCTTTATTGTGTTATAGCTGATCTTTACAGTACAGGCGCACAGACAGTAAAGACATCCAGATTTATAGTCACAATCTTTATTTTAGGTGACACTGTAAGAGTGATATGGCCTTTTATAGAAAACTTACTTTTATACAATTATGAATTTTAAGGCTTTGTATAGCTATTGAAATTAGATGAGTGTAGCTTGTGCTTCAGTCATGTTGTCTAAATAGTCCAGGCTACTACTGAGGACTGAGTCTAGAAAGGGTTCAGCTGAAACAACTGACTAATATCTGCTGTGTGAAGCAACCTCAGGTGGATATCTGACAGTGGGTGTGGGTAAATCTGCACAAAAGCTCATGGATGGAGTCAGGCACCATCATGATTCAAACAGGTCTTTTACGGAAATCTTTAAAATGTTCATTGATTATCGAGTTATTAAATAGTGCTTTCAAAAACCTATTCTCCTTTAAGGCTAATGAATGACTTTGAGAGAAAAGAAACATTTGTTTAATTTTGTTGTAATAAGTCAGTTAAATGTAGCTGAAAATAAGTGCTGGTCTGGTTTGTTTTTGACTTGAAGTTTTTTCACTCTTCATAAGCATCACATACTGTAATATAAGGTAACGAGTGTTTTAGGCTTATCAATGCGAAAGACTTTGGCGCCCTCTAGTGTTTGCAGCTTAGATTGACAAGGTACATGGCTTACTTGAGTTGCTCCATAAAGACAATTATGACTATTAATTGTTTGTTTTGGTGTAAACAACGCTTTATAGATAACTATAATTATTACTTTATCATTTTAATCATCGTTGTTATTTTTATCTTATTGTTATTATGTTTTTAAGAAGAGGCTCATGACTCACCTTTTCACTAATTGCCTTTTTATATTTCTCTTATTGCAAATGTTCATTTTGATCAAAATTCTTAATGTTTATTTTATGTCATCTTATTAATTATCTCTGTTCTTTTCCTTAATTCCCAGCTTAGAGGTGTTTACTTCTTTTACCCCTTATACATGGTGAAGAGCTCTCACTTATCTGTTCATTTGAGATTATTTTCTTGTTTTAGTCCATTAGGTTTTTGTTTTCAGTTTAACTATTTCGTTTTTTATCTTTTATCTCCAGTTTCCCAAAGGTAGCTCTTGCCTCATGTAACGTCTCGGTGCCAGGCCATGTCTCTTTAACAATATATCTCAAATCCTCACTCTGCGGTGGGTGTGTGGGTGGGAGGGTCGGGTAATATTGTTGTTAATTGTTGATTTTAGTAGGGATGCACCGATCCAATATTTGATATCAGTACCGGTCCCGATACGGAAGAAAATTCTAGATCAGGTGTCGTGACAATAGGCTCGAAGCATAGGGGCCAATCTACTCAGTCTAACTCCATGCTATGCGCCGTGAGTGGCATCCACAAGTAAACATACTGAGTGGATGACCAAATTGTTTTCAAAATGGAGCAAAGGGGTCTGCTATCTTGAACTTTATCACAATACCTCAGCCTACAAGCTCGACGGCCACTTGCAATACCTGCGCAGTGAACGCTCCGAGGGGCAGTGGTAAAACTTCAGGTTATAACAAAAGGTAATTCAGTGCAGCTTTTCTGTATCGGAATTGGCTCGGTATTAGCCGATACTAAACTGTAGATATCTGTATCGGTATAGGAGGTGAAAAAAATCCCTATTTTTTAGCCTCTGTGACACATTTTGAACTGCTTTTTTTTTTCTGAAAAGTGCCATAATAATAAAGTTGAATTTGAATCTTATAATTGTTTCAAAATTATCATTATTATTATAAATTTACAATGGACCTCTGTGAAACTAGTTTCTTTACTAAAAAGGTACAAAATAAGCAGTCTACTGTAAATCACTGGAGTTTAATGTAGAGTTTTATTAGAGCTGCTTTTAATGATCAAATGAAGCTCAATGTTATCTAGTAGCTAAATACCTTGGTAACACTTTACAATAACCATAATGGTGAATAGATAGTTTATTAATGTTAAATCACCATTTATAAACAGCAAATTGACCAATTAAAAATAGCAAATAGATAGTTTATCAGTGTAAGTTAATATAATTTTCATTTATTATTAATGGACTATTTATTAAAGGTTAATATAGGGTTGAAATATTGGTTGTAAAACATCTAGATTAAAATGTGTGTCAGTAGCACTTTATAAGTGGTTAATATTTGGTTTTTAATCCATCTATAAACATTACTTGGATGGTTATTGTAAATTTAGGGTTAGATTTAGGGTCAGGTTTTTAAAATTGTAAAATTTACAATTTATTAATGGTCTATATGCTATTTATAAATGATGATTAAACATAAATAAACTATCTGCTTACCATGTATTAATGGTCTATTCACCATATATAAGTTTTAGTTATTGTAAAGTGTTACCAATGCCTTTAATGCCAGAACAAAATAATGGTGGAAATCTCTCGTGGTAACACAGCCTATAATTTAGGCCACTCACGGTTTGCTGTCAGTACACGATTACATAACGTCATGTTCTCCTACTGTGAGCACACAGCGCCACCTTGAGGCCAAGACACAGCATTGTCAGAGGAGCTGGGCTGGGCAGTGGGGCTTACAGGAGCAGCAGCAGCAGCACCGCTCATAATCCTCCTCTTCATATCTGATGCTGTTTGTCCGGAGAGCAGCTGGTGAGTGACTCGAACCTTCCTCTGCCTGTTTGTTTACCGGAGCGGCTCTGTCTCCTTGTGCTGCCTTCACGGCACCAAGGATGGACACGGGTAAATGAGCATCGCTGTGTTTTTGCGACAGACCTAGCCTATATGTCGTCCATAACGAGAGGGAGAGATAGACATGGCTGTACATCAGCAGACAGACTCCAAAACCTGGTTCTCCAAAAACACGTGAAATGCGTAAATCTGTCTAAATTGGCTCTGATGGGGCTGGAAGAGCGCGCGATGGTGAAGAGGGGCTTCCTGAGCGTGAGGGATCAATACGATTTAGATGACAATGCAGACATACTGAAGGTATACAGCCATAGTTTTACACCATAACGGGCATTATCTGGATGTATAATTTAATATAATTCAAGCTGATTATTCCTGACCACATTGTTGTCATTGTGCATTGTTTCCATGTTGAACGCTGGACAGAGACATGGCCTAACCGAGCTAATTTCCAGGCTCTGTCATTGACCGACTATTCGCCCCATCGGCTGCCTCCGCCTGTGAGCGAACTTGATGTGTTTTCATTTGCAGAGATTTATATCATCGCAGAGTGGACGGAGCCGTGTGTGGTCAAGCGTCTTAAAAAGGCAAATCTGGGCCACTAGATTTGCCAGGCCAATTAAAAAAAAAAAAGTTAACCCGTCCATTTCCGTTCAGAGACAGAGAGGTGGGCTGTCAAGTCTCATTGGTGTCTTGTTGATAAAACAGGAGCCTCCGATGTGACAAAGTGAGCGTAATTAAATCCCCCATATTCACCTATGGCTCGTTGTGAGCGTGAGTCAGCAGGGCCTGTGTGCTGATGATGCTCCTGCAGGAGGAAGGCAGGCTGTTTGTTTTCTATGGAAAAGGCTTTTGTGCTGTTTCATGGGTATGGGAATCCTGAATACTGCAAGGAAATCATAAGAGAAAGGAGATTCAGGGTTTTCACTGCTTTGGTTCATGTTTTCAGTCCTCTGACTTCCTGCCTCTCCCAGGCCTGTTTGCTAATGTGCATGTGTCTGACTTTCTGCACAGCATCCAATTAAATTAACTTACCTAATGTGCACATAGCTGTCATCATGTCTGTTGCTTCTGCTCTATGATTTATCACCAGTTTAGTCTTATTTCTTTTTTTCCTTTTGTACAGTATGTTAACCAACCCACATCACCCCAATTCTGTGTTTCCTTCACTCAGGATTAATTTCAGGGTTGTTATCTTTGTATATAGAGCTCTGCATGGTCAGGCCCCTGAATATATTCCTCAGGTCCGCTGACCAGGGCTTGCTGGTTGTCCCTCTAACTAATCTAAAAACAAGAGGTGACTATGCTTTTGAAGTGGTGGCTCCAACACTGTTGAACAATTTCCCTGCTTACCTATTCATTCAGCTCGTTCTATTGTCACTTTTAAAGACTCACTTACTTAAACAGGCCTTTACCTCCCCCTGTTCTAACTAATGCTCTGTTTATGCCATTGTTTGTTCAACTTTCAACTTTATTTTTCCGGCACTTTTTAGACAAGAAATACAGTTCAAAGTGCTTAACAGAGGCTAAAAACAACAATAAAACCCAACCCTCCCACCCACGGACCCACACCCACCCTCACTCACTCTCTCACCCGCACAGTGTGAGAATTTAAGATATGTTGTTAAAGAGACATGGCCTGACACCGAGACATTACATGAGGAAAGAGCTACCTTTGGGAAACACTGGAGATAAAAGATGAAAAATAGAAACTGAAAGCCGCCTCCCCGTGTCTTTTCGTTTTAACTTTGGGTAAGGTTAAAAGGCCTGTGCTAGAGGACCTCAGGGTCCGCGAGGGTTGATTTGATAAAAGTAAGTCAGATAAATAAGAGGGCCAAGGACTATTAATACATCTAAAAACTAATAAAAGAACCTTAAAATCAATCCTGGAACGGACGGGGAGCCAATGCAGCAATGCTAAAATTGTCTTTATATGCTCTCGCCCTTTGGCCCTTGTTATTGTTCTTTAATTTTACTTGATGTTTATGATTGTATTTTTACTGTGAATCTTTTCTATGAAAGGTGCTTTACTAAATACATTTTACTTACTTACAGTATCTCAACTCACTCCTTGTCTTCGTAGGTTTGGTGCTGCGTTTACCGACTGTGCTGCTCGATTCAATTTGGAAGTGGAGCCGGGCGCCTGGATGTCTGTGAACTGTTAGTATATTTTGTCCACTTTTAGCCTTAATTTAATGTTGTTTGCTGCTCTAAAAGGAGAGCAACGCATGTCCGTGTCCTCGGGTGATTCCTGAAATAGCTATTGAGCGTATGACACACACACACACTTGCACACACAGGCACACACGAACACAGATGTTCAAGTGATGCTTCTGTAATTATATGAAGCAGCGTGCCTCCTCCACGCCTCTTAGCTCTTAACTTATCTTGATTGATCAAAGTGTGACTCATGAAGAGACTTCTGGATGCAAATACGCGTGACTGACATCTAACAGTGTTTCTATCCCAGCAGAATGAATTAAAGGTCATAGGTCAGCTCCTGAGGCAGAGATGAGTCTGACTTCCTGGTTCCTGGTGAGCGGCGGGGGGACCCGTCATCGTCTCCCGAGGGAGATGATCTTTGTGGGGCGGGATGACTGCGAGCTAATGCTGCAGGTAGAGTCGGGTAACTCCTCTCTGAGCTGTCAGTCTTTATCTAGATGGATTATCATCTGATGCGCTGAGATTAACGTGGATTACAGTGATTGACTGGATTTTGTGTGGTTCAGTCTCGCAGTGTGGACAAACAGCACGCTGTCATCAACTATGAGCCAAACACAGATGAACATAAAGTCAAAGACCTGGGCAGCTTGAATGGGGTGAGTGTTGTATTTAAGTACTGTTCTGTCTGTGTTTACGGTTCAATCTGCTTATCGAAAACAACAAATCACTGATTTACTCAAAATAATCTATACTATCAGGGTAATTTACTGCATATATAGCTTATTACTAAGTAGCCTCAAAGGCTCACCCCCTTATCACTTTTCCTCATGCACTGTTTTCATATTAAGTCATATTATTAATTATGTTTATGAAACAACATAACTCAGACCTCACCTGACAGCCAATCATAAACTTCCAAAACACAAGCACACATGTGGTTAGTGAGCCTGAAACCTCCAGAGCAAGACGGCATCAAGTGTCTTGTGAGGAACTTTTGATTTGAGTTAATTTTGGCGCTCCCTGTGTACAAAGTAGTCTTTGCTTCTCTTCAGCAGTGATTTATGATGACAAATCTCATCCTGCTGACTTTTCACCGACAAATGTGTCCTTTATTGTGATTAAATCATACAAACAGGGCTGTTTATTTAGCTGCACAGACAATAAAAATAAGGATATGAAAATCTTCAGATTTGGCACTGATTGTCTTTGTGTACCATTAAAAGGTATAATTATGACTTTTAATCTGTTTCATGAATGTAAAAAAAAAACTCCTCATTGGAGCTTTACATAAACATAGTGTAAAGACAAAAGGTAAAATGTCAAAACTGGCAAGTGTTATTGCTTTTGAAACATTTTTAGGACTATAAAACAATCTTAATTTTCTATCTGTAATGTGATGTAAAGTTCAGTGAACAAATTAAATATGTAAATCAAGAATTAATTTCAGGTTTAAAAATGCCTGTAAGGAGTTTCGACTGTTATGAAACAGAGTAATGCTATTTTACAACTTACAAAACTGGCAATTTATTAAGTTTAACCTGACATAACTTGGGACAAACTCTCTGATTCAGCTTGAAATCCTTATTTACTGGTTTGTTTTCACCACATTTTTTGTCACAGAAAAAAGTCGTTACTGAATTTCAGCATTTGTCCTTCCTTTCCTTTTTTCTTTGCAGACCTTCGTCAACGATGTCAGAATACAGGAGCAAATCTATGTCACTCTCAAAATTGATGACAAACTCAGGTTTGGATACGATATCCTTTAAAAACATGGTCTTTTTGTCTGTGAAACCATGTGACACACAGCACAAGGTCAGTGTACACGGACAAAACTGTAACTTAATCTGTTCTTGAATGGCTGTGAAAGCTCGCTGTCCTCTGCCTGATGCATAATACATGAGAGGTTATGTGCATGTTTCTAACCCCTGCAAAGTCTTAGCCTTAATCTGCCTCACATACCAACCTGTTCACTGTGGTCCGAGGGGAGCTGCATATTCCAGAGGAGGCCCTAAAGGTGAGACAATGCTATGTCCATGTCCTTAAAATACAGCAGGCAGGGCCCATGTGTTCCTGTGCAGTTTCAATATGTCAGCTAGAAACCATACAGCCAGAAAGTTGTTATAATTCATCATCAGTCTGTAAAAGCCTAAGAGAGGGGAATTTAGTCGAAGGGTGAGAAGGATTCTGCTGAAGTGGGCAAAATGTAACTTCTAGAGATTGATGAATCTGCCGTTTCATCACAGCAAACTGCCCAGGTAGCTTTAGAACAAAGAGGATCTCACCTTAAAGGGATATTCCGGCATAAAATTAAGTTAGCGTCAAACACACCGTAACACCGAGTTAGACAACCCCTCGAGAGATGTAACGATTGCACGATAGCACTACACAGCGGTCTACGTCCTCGAGCACTGACAAGTCGATCACAGAGTGCAGCGGATCATTTCCCTGAAGTAATAATCATAAAAATCATTTTGCACTGCAGACGCGGTAGTTCTTCTGCCTCAGTGTCTCAGTCTGATTGCATTTCCATGAGGTAATAATCATAAATGTTCTTCGTTGAGCTGCGAAACTCCGCTGCATTTGGTGATCGACTCGTCAGGGCTCCCCCACGGCTGCTGGAAGAGAGTGAGTGAGTTGTGTTTGGTCTGTTTGCTAAAGAAATTAGGCAAAGCTAAAAATTTGTTTGATGTCTAGTACTATAGCTGGGACCCTATATGTACTGTTGATGAAGTTAGGTGCTGTTCTGAGCATTATTTGTGGCTATAGAGTGGCGTTTTGCTTGAGGTTTGTGCGTGGAGACATAAACCACTGTGTATTGCAATCGTTTGGTCGTTACTAAAGTTGGTATAACTAGAGAAGCAAGCAGTCAGCAACATTCATCTCTCAAGGGGGTGTCTAACTCAGTGTTACGGTGTGTTTGACCATAACTTAATTTTACGCCGGAATATCCCTAAAATGAGAAGGGGCTGAAAGTTCAGCTGTGATATTCAAAAAGTTACTTCAATTATACGCTATAACAGAAATAGAAAAAAAGACTGAAATCTGTTATAAATGAATGTTGTATTAAAATCTAGCTGGACTTTTCTAAATTTAGCTCTTTTTACTGGCTTGATTTCTCTAAACTCTCCTCACTTGCCCCATCTGTCAGCACGAGAAGTTCAGCAGCCAGCTGCAGCTGAGCCAGAAGAAACCTCCAGAGGCGGAACTGTCTAAATCTGAGGTGAAACCCTCTGAGGCTGCAGGAGCGCCAGTGTGTGAGGGAGCCACGACCAAGCCCCCTGAGGCCAGCAGGCAAGAGGATAAGACTGCAGGTGAGAGTGCTCTCATGAGTTTTTGCAAAAAAAAATACTTAAATAAGCAAGAATGCTTCAATTCTATTAAAAGGGCTATTCTGTTTTTTTATTTCTATTTATACACATGATAAAATCATCTCTTCTCTGCTTTAGCTGTTTCAAATGTTGTAACTTTGGTGAATGCAGCCCTGCTTTTATCAACTGATGGCTTGTTTTTGTCAGGGGACCTGGCAGTGTTGCACAGAGGTACACCCCTCTATGGCCAGCCTGCCTGGTGGGGAGATGGAGATGCTGATGATCAGCAACCTGGGAGGCCAGAGGAAAAGAACTCAGAGCGGAAGCGAGAAAGAGCTGAGATAGGTATTTAAAATAATGTGGGGAAAAAAACAACTTAGTGTGATTTTGTGCTTTTTTGAGTCGTAAAAATGAGAAATATGTAGTTTGAAAGTATCACAAGTTCTGCTGCTTGACTTTTAGCAAATTTAGAAATGTTCAGTCCTAATTAATACTTCCTTCTCTACAGTACACAAAGATGGCTGTATGTTTCTTCATGAATGTTTACTTTTGTTCTGACAGACACCAAGAAAAGCGCAGAGGTCCCAAAATCTGGCCCACAGACAGCCACCAATCAGGAGCCCAGCTACTTCGAAATCCCAACTAAGGACACCCAATCAGCAGGTAAAGTAAGCAGTGAAGCCCCCACACGAGAGCAAGAGGCAGGCGGTTCTTCTACGGCAGAGCCCGTCCATGGCCATGCCTCCTTCACCATCGAGTTTGATGCTGGGGCATCTGGAAAAGTGACAGTCAAAGATCGAGTGGCGAAGGTGGGACCCGAGACCAGACCACGTCCAAAAAGACCTGTAGGGGAAGAGCTGAGTCCTCTCCAGACCGCCATGGTAGCTGCAGAGGTTAAGGTTGCAGACTGGCTGGCCCAGAATGAGCTGCCGTTGGCTCTGAAGGACACAGTTGCAGAGGAGGATGGCGAGAGTGTGAAGAGCGATGTGCCAGTACATCTAAGGAGTCTCAAAGGTGTGGATGATCGCTCAGCCCAGGCCTCTTAAACACCTTCATTTCTATTTCTTTGTTCACTAACTCATTCGTTCTCTCCCATACCAGGCAGTAAACACGAGGACGGCACTCAGAGTGACTCAGAAAACGCCAACGGAGAGCAGCGCAGAGCCGCAGCCCTGGAGGAGCGCTCATGGGGGCTCTGGGGTGGTGCAGGGTTGAAGATCAGAGAGGGTCGAGCCAATGTTCCTGAAGGGCTCTTTGCAGAGGAGGACAGTCCTGCTCGCCGTCGCAAGTCCTCCACCTCTAAAGGAACAGCTGGATTTGTGGAGCGGCGCCGCGGCTCGGCATCACACCAGCAAGGTGGCCGGGACGAGTGCTATCACCATGGTGATGATTACAGTGACAGAGCAACCTACACCATTGAGCTGGAGAATGGAGATAACGAAGAAGAGGAGGCCAGGAAAATGATCGACAAGGTTAGGAAGAAGAAACTTGTAAGAAAAGCTCTTTACTTCATTCAATTGGTTTCTGGATACATTAAAAAATACATGAAAAAATACATGTATTGCATGTCTGCATTTGCTCAATCTGGCATGTGTTTGTTACAGGTGTTTGGGGTGGAAGAACAGGAGGCTGTATGTGTGTCCAGGTTGGGAGGTGCTGACCAAAGAGAGAGGCTTGGCTCTCAGAGGTCAGGTACTGGAGACAGAGGGAAGCCGGGACGCTTGGAAACAGAGGTACGAAAACTGAAAACCTAAAAAGACTTCAAGAAGAAAGTGTTTTGATTGGTTGTAAAATAGACTCAGTTTAACTCTGATGTTTGCTGTAAACCTACTGACCCAGGGCTCCACAGTGCGACCGTTTCAGTCGCATTTGCGACTAAAAAAAGATGTGTGCGAATTGTAAAATGTATTTCGGAGCACATGTGCGTAAGAAAATATTAGCCAAGATGACAAATGTTTTTTCATGCAAGTACCATGGTGAAGTTAGTTTTAGGTTGGATATCCGTTGGACATTTACAGCGGATCTACCAGTGCCTTCTCACTCTCCATAATTGGTAATAGCAACAGCAGCGCAGTTAAATTTACTCGACATCCTCACTGTCAACATCAGGTGTTGAATAAGGGACCATCAATAAATTACAGGTTGATGTTCTCAGAACAGGCTGTTTTCCTTCAATAGCTTACATGTCAAGTGACCAATTGACCTAAAATTGAATTTAAATAAAAATACTTATGTCGACCAATAAGGGACACTTTTTTTTTTCCCTAATTTTCCTCATAATTTTTTTGTGTGAAATGTAAAGGCAAATTTTAAACATTTTCTTCAATAGCTTCCATGTCATGTGACCAAAAGACCTAAAATTGCTTTCAAATACTAGTACTTATGTCGACTAATAAGACACACACTATTTGATCAATTTTCATTGAGCCCCTAAAGTTCTTTGGGTGTGCCTTACTTTTACAAGCTCATTCATTTAAACCCTGTAATTTTACCTTGTATGTTTTCATGTTGTCTCCCTACAGGTACCACCTGAAGAGCTGATGGTCGGGGGTCCTCGCTGGGTCTCTCAGTGGGCCACTCTAGCAGCCAGTCATATTCGGACAGACCCTGAGGGATCAGGAGGAGAGAGTCACGTCATGGTTGCAGAGGACAGAGGTACTTGGTAATATTTAGTAAAAAAGAAGAAAAGGGCGTTCTCCAGGAATTAGTCGGGTTCAGCGCGGAAAGGTGTATGGTGTGTGTCCCCGTTAAAAGACACGGATACAGATGTCCAGTTTAGTGGTGGATTTATTACAGCTCACACCATACATAATACACACATATAACTCTGGATATAAAGGACTGTATTCAACAATCAATCATACGATATATGACTCATATATTGTAAATAAACTATCTCACATGAGGCTCACAGCAGCTACGGTAAGAATTAGCTTATTAGCTAAACATCAGGCGGCATGAGATAGCATTAGCCATATTCACCGGTAAACAACAATACACATTAACACAATATAGCATCCAAAAGTGAAACATCGTAAAACTCACTTCTGGCATTTACACACAATAAACCCAGGATGTACAGGTAGATATGAGGTAAAACAGGTAATAAGAAACTCACGAGATATCCACTGCCGCATCTGGAGGGAAACTAAAGTTTCACAGCATCGGTACCTCTCACACAGGTGTGGTCATGAGCTTAGGACAAATGAAAACTCGCCGTAAAACACAATATAGCTAAACGGTATTTACTCAAAGGGACATTCCGGCGTGAAATGATCATTTCTTCATGGAAATGCAATCAGACAGAGACGCTTAGGCAGACGAACTACCACGTCTGCAGTGCAAAATGCTTAATATGGTGATTATTACTTTAAGGAAATGATAAAGAAATGATCATAGTTCTTCCTTGAGCTGCGTCAGTCCGTAATGGACTGGCCTGAGGTCTCACAACAAACAAGCGGCTGCTGGAAGAGAGTGGGTGAGTTGTGTTTAGTCTCTTTGCTAAAGAAATTAGGCAAAATTAAAAAGATGTTTGGTGGCTAGTGCTATGGTTGGGACCCTATATGTACTGTTTATGAAGTTAGGTACTGTTCTGAGCATTATTTGTGGCTATAGAGTGGTGTTTTGGTTGGCCTCAGACTGCTGTGTATTGCTATCGTGCAGTCGTTACTAAAGTTGGTATGACTGGAGAAGCAAGTGGTCGGCAACATTCATCTCTCAAGTGGGACAGTGGGACAGGTCTCTTTTAAGTTTGCTGATATTTGGTAATACTAGCTAATTTGGGTTGATGGTCATGGGAGACGGTTTTGGTGTAGAAGTAAAACCAAGTGTGTTGAAATGGGTTTTGGTGCAATTAACTGTTCTTTAAATAACTGTCGATTTAGAATAAATGATATGATGCACTGTAGAGATCCTCAAACATATCCTCAGAACTTAAAAACAATATAAAAATCCCTGTAAACCTTGTCCGTCTGAAACCACGGCACTGGCTCCACTAGAATACCACAGATCGAGGATGCACATTACACCAAAAGTCTGTGTCTTTTCTCTTTCAGCTGAGGTGAGTGAATCCAGTCACTCAGCCTCCTTCACCTCATCCAGCTATGCAGAGCGTAAGAGGAGAACCCTGCCCCAGCTGCCTGGTGAGGAGGTGGTCCTGGGGAGAAGAACCCCGGCCTCAGGCCTACGAGCAGATCTTGGGGAGAAACAGGACACAGAGCTACAAGAGAAGGAGAACCAGGAGGAGAAGCTGGCCAAGGGAAAGAATCGACCCTGTCATGGAGGCGTAGGCAGTCACGGAGGCAGTCCCAGTCGTTCCTCTCCGGCCAAATCTCAGGACAGCGGAGGAGGAAGATCAAGCCAATCAGGTGTGATGGCGAAGCTTCCCTCTCGTCCGCTGACCAGTGGGGAGAAGAGAATGGAGGAGGCACGGAGGAGGAAAAAGGAAGAGGAGAAGGCCAGGGAGAGTACAGGGAAGCCGTTGTTGAGGCAGGAGAGTTTTACAGTGGAGAAGCCGAGCTCCAATGTTCCCATAGAGCTCATCCCTTGTATAGATGGGCTTAAACACAGCAGAACTCAGAGTAAAGAGGCTGGCATTGACAGTGCGACACTGCAGAAAGACACAGCCTTCTTAGATACAACAGTTTCAGACCAAGGGGATCCACCGAGTCAATCCATCGAGGGCTCCATGTCACCTGAGTCAGACGTGGACACGACAAGCACAGTAAGCCAGGCTGAAGGAGCAAGAAAAGTAGTCCAGAAACGCCGGACACTTGCAGCGCAGCAAAAAGAGAGAACAGTCGTGTGTTCAACCAGTAAAAGCTCAACCGGCACCAGAGAGACCCAAGAAAAGAGGGCCAAGACCAAGACGACTGGTCCTCCACAACCAAGCCGCCCCTGGACTTCCCTGGACCTCACAGATGATGATGTCAACTCCAACTCACTTCTCTCCGACTCCCAGCCCACGTCAACGCAGGAGTCTAAAAGCTCCCACACCAGAGGCCAGACTGGGGGCACCACAGTTGGGGCGAGCACCAAGTCAAGTCGGGCTAAAATCACCCAGCCTCCAGCCTCTTCAACCATGAAAACCAGCAGTGTTCCCAAGCCCAGGCCCACCAGAGCCTCACTGCTGAGGCGAGCCCGGCTTGGGGACTCATCAGATACTGAACCTGCTGATCTTGACCGGATGTCTGTAGCGTCCGAGGCCTCTACTGCGAGCTCAGCATCCAGGACGGGGATGGTAAAAAGAGGAATGTCCAGGATAGAGGCTCTGGCACAGCCGAGGAGGCCGAGGGTAGGATCCCCATCAGCTCAGAGCGACTCAGAGGCCACAGTCACAAGACACAGAGGTCTGGGAGGCCGGGGCACCGCAGGTGATTATGCCATCAGACAAGGATTGAGGGGGTCTAATGTCGGCTCCATGTCTGGGCCCAGAGCCAGGGCGAACAGCGCCTCCAAGCTGCCTGACAAGAGTAAAGGCACCTCGCCCTATGGACACGTTACACCTGCATGTAAGTGCCTTTTGATGGCAGACTATAGTATTTACAGTTTTGTCAAGTTTCCTATATCCTAGACTTTCTATAAGCCCAGAATGTTGCTTACATTAATAATTGTGTGTTTTTACCGACATATTAATTAATTATTGGTTAAGAAAAGGCTTAAAAGTATGTGTATGGGTACGAAAAGACTTCATTAATATGATAACCAGCTGCTCATTGTTTTAGTTTGAACTCAGTCTTTAATTTATGAACTTCTCTTAAACTTCAGAATAGTTCGTACCTGTGTTTTTAAAACTGATGAATGCCGTGTCTGATGTAGTTTGGAGCTCATACTCGATGCCATCAGTTGGCACAGGTGTATTCCCCTTAAACGCCTTTTAAAGTGCATAAAAACAGCAGTGCCATGTGTACACGCAGAAATCCTGCAAGATCCAGAGAGAGTGCTGAGACATCAGGGATGCACAAATCAGAATATAAACTAGTTACGCTCTGCACACCAAGTAAACAGATTACTGAGTCGTTCTGAAACAGAAGTAGTTTTGCAGAAAGTGAAACACAAACAAGCTGATTTATTTAGCAGGATATGGAGCCCGAGCAGAGAATACAAACCAATTTATGAGATGACGCCACTGCAACAGAAACTTGTAATCAGAAAAGGAGACATAAAAAAAAGTTTTGCCAGAGAAAAAAGAAACTTCTTTAATTTAATAATCAATGTAATTCAGTGGTTATTTTATTCTAAGAGCTACCACTGTTAAAGAATTGACATGCAACAGATAGGTCATATAATTCTCATGTCTTAAGTAAGGTCAATTAGGAGGATAAGTTTACCTTTTGTTATATAATTGTATGTAAACCGTAACTCATGTTTGTCTCATGTAATCATGAATTATATTGGTTAAATAATATTTCTTGTTTTGGACCTACATATCAATCATGATCAATTGATTCTGACTCTGTTATTTTTAACATTTTGGTGTGAAAACTAGAAAAACATGATTTAAACAAAAGCTGGTGACACTAAAATAACGAGTATATAAAAGTTTTTATGCACAAACAAATCCAAGACTAGAACATTTTATTAAAGGTCAAAATTTTGATTAAAACTTGGTTAGCGGGTTTTGGGAACAAATGTTTTCATTTTGTCAGATGAAATCCCGCATGACACCCGACAGTGGACAGAGAAAGTTAGTGCAGGTGTAAAGATTTATGAACCTGGAGTTGGTGGAAATTTTAACAGAGCTCAAAACAACTACATGTTGGACCAGAAAGATAACAACAATACACAAATGAGCAATTTTCAATCTAAACTTCTCTCTTGTTGTTCTTCAGCTGGAACCCGGTGGCGCCGTGTGCCTGTCGATTACGCCTCCACCTCAGAAGATGAGTATGGCTCAAACCGTCACCTATCCAAGCAGGGTCAAACGCGGCCGTTTCCTTCTACCCGGGTTGCTCAGCTTGGAGGCTCAGCCCCTGCGACTCCAAATCCTGCTGCTCTGGCAGCCCTGAAGCAGCACTCAAGAGAACAGGAAGAGTACATGAGAGACTGGACAGCACACAGTGAGGAAATAGCCAGGTATGTAGGTGAGGGATACTTGAGTGTGCTGATGAGTGATGATTACTGTGTTCAAACATCCTTCTCATGCTAAGATATGCAGGCTGTGTTTTACAGTGTTTTCTTGTGGGTTGTGCATTGCCTCAGCAGTAATAATGACTTTAATGGAATGACTGAAATAAATAAAAGACAGAAGAAGTGGTTTGATATCAGTCCTTTTTTATTTTTCCAGGATTAGCCAAGACCTCGCCAAAGACCTGGCCATGCTTGCCAGAGAAATTCATGATGTGGCAGGAGAGATCGACTCTGTCAGCCCTGCAGCTACCGACCCTGGAGCTCTGGTAGGCAACACCAGTCAAGAAGAAAAAAAACACACAACTTTTTTATCTGATACATGAAAAACCTGCAAAATATCAAGATTTTGTAAAACTAATTTGGCCTCTATGAAATAGAAAGTCTTTGTAAACCCATGTTCAGTGCAAAAAGGACCTGATGGCATAATATGACTTGTTTGTACGTCTAAATTCTCTTCAAGCTGGAGGAGCGTGTTTATGATGACGGCCTAGACCTCGGCGGATCTGCAGAGAACAACAGCATGGGAACCAACGGGAGGTCTGTTGAGCTTCGACCTCGTGGCTCGAACGGACAGAGCACCCGGTCTATTCGCAGACAGACCTGGAATAGAGATGATGTGAGTCCCCATTTCATAATAGATCTGACCTTCAAGAATGTGGGAATTATGCTAATATGATGCTTTATAGATCAGGAAAATCATCTTTGTATGGTCCAAATAAATAAGGAAATCTGTGAACCTTAGATATAAAACAAACAGAATGTGCAAGTTGCAGTATGAAAGATGTAATGAAGATAGTCTTGAAATAAAAGCTCATAAACTTGCTGATTGTAAAAAAAAAAAAAAAAAAAAAAAAAAAGCTCTACATGTCTGTGTCATAAATTTACCACTAGAGGGAGCTCTACATTGCCACCAGCCTCTCCTCAACAGAAAACAGTGTTTCTGATCAGACCCAAAGCTTAATGTTGAGCCATGAAAAAGTCTTCTTTATGAATGCATTAATGTTCAGTTTAGTTTATTATTAAAGTGACAATAATGTGTTTCTTTTCATCGTCTATCAGGGGGTGTTGGACAGTTTACTTCTTGCATCTGTGACTCAGCTGTCCACAAAGATCAGTCAGTCTGTTGACAAAACTACCTGCAAAATCAGGTAAGACTTGTGTAAAACAGCAGAGCCTGCCAGTTCGATAACAACTAAGTTTAGTTTTTAACTTCTATGATCCCCAAACAATGCATGAATTAACTCATGTTTACAGTCGACTTATACGTTTACTCATGCTTCAAATGAGTCTGTTTGATGTTTTTTTTTCTCTCAACTTTTTTGTATCAACTCGGCCTCCAGGATCCTCTTCAAGGATAAAGGAGTAAAGTGGGATGAGATTGAGAGCACACTGCAGGCAGAGCATGACTCCTTACTGCTCAAGAGCTCCAATAAGGTAACTCACCTGTATGGACACTTGTCAATCTTCTGCTGAAGGCCGTTAAATATCCTCGACCAAGTCATTGTAGCTGTACGCACTGAAGGTCCTGGTCTGGATAAAACTGGTGCTCTGAGGTTACAGTCGGCACTACGATGACTCTGCTGTTTGTGAATGCTGATTTTGCTGTCTGAATAGCTATTTTTTTAATTAAAGGGATTCAGAACATCTGGATCTCAACTTATCTGCCACTTAAATTTGTATATTCAGATTTGGGATAATAATGATTGCTTTAGTGTTGTTTTTCAACCATTACTGCAGTCTTGAAAATTTAGACTTCCTTGAAAAATATATATTTTTGGTGGGCAGTGGAGTTTGAGAAGAAGAATTATGGGCTGTCGTGTGAGGTGCAAAAAGTTAAGGAACCCCAAAACTTTAGTGTGATCTTTAATTCTGGCTCTAAGCTAGTTTGACCTCATGAACACCCTGAGGAGAGATGATGTACTGTTATATCCCGCAAACAGTCGCAAAGCTCATAAAGCATCCCTGAGTGTACAAGGCTCAGCTCCAAGTGTGCTCCTGCTGTCTCAAGGAGATGCACTGAGCTGATTTATTTTGGGTTTGAACTTTAATGAGATCCTTAACGGTTTCTTATTTTATATTTATGTTTCACAGGAGATTTCAACCATCCTTCAAGACCTGAAGAGGGTAGAAAGACAACTGCTCGGTATGGATGTCATGATTTAGTTTGATTTATTCCAAAAGAATTTCATTTGTAAGTTAGTTTCGACCAGACTCTATTTACAAAGACCCTGTGTAAATATGGGATCTTATTAGATCAGACCCACTCCCATCCCACATGAGTAAAACAGCATTTAGCAAGTTACGGCAGAGAGGAAACTTCCTTTTATAGGCAGAAACCCTGAGCAGAACCAGATTCGTGTTAGACAGTCATCTGCTGCTACATCGTTAGGTTTAAAGAGGGCATAGAAGGAGGATATAGAAGAAGAGAGGTGAGACTGATGAGGCAGTTGAGGGCGTAAAACTGTGTTCACTTCAAAATTACTAATTTTTGAAATTTTGTTGGCAGTAATTGACATGATGGTGGATCCAGATGGTACCCTGGATGCTCTGTCCACGATGGGCCTGACCAGCCCTATAGGTGACCAAAAGATCGGCCCAGGGGCAACATCATTGCACCCTGGATCTGGAACATCCAGGCCTGAAGGACCGGCCCCTGAACCTTGTGGACCTTCTGTCAAAGCAGGAGCAGAACAGGCCCCGGGGCCGAAACACAGCTCAAGATCCTAGAACTGCTACACAAAGGATATTATTCAAACATAGTGCATCCTTTATGTCGAGAACATGCTGAAGCTGTTGGGAACAAACACTTTCAGTATCGGGTTTCAGAGGATCATGGTGTGAGGAAGCCTGACTGCCTTGACTGTCGATTAAACGCAATTGTTTTTGGACTCTATAATAATCCATCAGTACCAAAAAGCAGCTCCTCAAATGTGATGTACACAATATGAAAGCATTAATATATTAATTTGTGGGCTTCTGAAAAAAATATGGCATTGTATACGATTACCCACCCGTGTTTCTGTGTTACATCCTATTATCCATTATGCTTGAAAACTTTTAAATCAAGTTTAAGATAAGAGGAATTAATGTCAAAAATTAACTTCCATACCATAACTCCTGCCAAGAGTATTTTACTTTTTCCCCCTTTGATCAGCACATCTTGAACTTTTACAAAAAGTCAGGTCCTGCCATTTATGTACCGGCTTTTTATTCTTTTTTCTGAGCTTGTCGGGCTGAAGGCTGATACAGAAACTTAAACTTTTAAAGTGCAATGGGGTAAAAAAAAAGTACTCTACAGAGACATACATGAAAGTGTTAATCTACCCAGCCATAGAGTTATTTAAAAAATGAAATATATTTCTTGGCTTGTTGCCACTTCTATCCCCAAACCTGTCTCAGTCATGATTTTCCACTGGAAAGCAGAAGCATTGCTTGTTTGCTTGGAATTGAACTGAGTGTGTACAGTCTAAATGTTAATAATGGTTAAATTATAAAGGATCCCATCCATGCTTTCTTTCTTCTTATGGAGTCCTTTAAGAACCAGTTTAAAGACCATTTGTGTTTGTAGAAACTTTAAAATTAAATGTAGCTCCCAAAAAGGTTTTCCTCTTCCAAAAGTATCCAGTCACAAGTGCCCTAACAATCATAAACAGCCAGAGGACAGAGAAGGAGATAGAGAGGTAGACGTGGTGTTAGTTTTGCACATTTCAAGCTGATCAATGTAACAATTCATCTCTGAGGGACCAGTCCAATTCTTTCCCCATGTGATGCTCCTTTATTATGTTGATGTCCTCAACCAAAAACCAAGCAGGGTGACAGCCAGCTGCCTGTGGACGAACACTTTGTCAGTTTTCTGATTACAAACCTAATGTTGTGTTTGAACCAGCATAGACAGGGGCTACCTCCGAGTCCTGCAGCTGCATTTTATTGTGAAAGATGCAAAGAAACAACGGACAGTTCAATGACTGTAGGTGTCCAATGTCTTGCCTCATACCAATGTTTACACATGAATGTAACCTGATCAGAACTGTTGAACAATTTTCGCCAAAACAACTTTAATAAAGATTCATAACTGCATTTTTTGTGCTAAGCACCTATGAGACTTTGTTTTTAATTCTGTTGATGCATTTTGAGATTTTTTTTGATTGTATGTTTTGTATGAAAATAGGGTAAATGTTGACCTGGCAATACCTGTGTAATGTTTTTCTCATTTCCAATAAAATGCATGATTATCATGAGTTTTTTTGATTGTTCTGCAGAGACTTCCATTGCGGTTTATTGTGTTGTTTTAAGTTATGCTGAAATTATTTCTTCTGTGGTACGAGACGATCACATTACCAAATAACATGACTGAGATAGGTACAGTTTTTATATATTATGACTATACTTTAGCACTTCCTGTTTACCAACGTATACTCATCCTTAAATGTTTTATCCTTTTACTTCCCTCTTTAGACGCCTGCTAAAGTCTAAATGCATTAATAAGAGTGTTTATGGGGTCATGGTGCATTAATTGTACAAACCCCAATTCCAGTGAAGTTGGGACATTGTGTAAAACATGAATAAAACAAATCTAATTATTTGCAAACCTTTTTCTACCTATTTTCAAACAAATACACTGCAAAGATGAGATATTTGTACTTTGGTTTGTACTTAAAGTTTGTAAATATACTAATTTATTCAAGCTGTATACAATTCAATAATACTGAAAAGAAAAGCTTGTCTTGGATGCCATTATTCCCTCCCTGCTCAGTCGCTCTCTCTCTCTCTCTCTGCACAGAACCAAGTACACTCATCAGATGAGGTTTCTGAAGCCCCTCTGCCAGAGCCACTGCACTCTTAATTGTATGTCTCCAGATATTCTGCTCTACTTCCTTAATCCATAAAGCTGTGTCAGGGTTTTCCTCCCTCATGTGCAGGATTCACGGCTGCTAGTGCACATCAGCGCGTCTGCAGGTGCTCACCTAAGTGGGAACAGTTGGTTAAGTTGTTCCAACTTAGTTTTATTAAGTTCAGATGCCCTGTACACTTGTATGCCTGAGTCAACAATGGATATAAATTAAATCTTCATATCACTGTTGCTCTTTTTAACTCAAATGTCCTACTCTGGACCTCAGTCTAAATAAGACTGATGAGTCAGTTTGGCCACTCAGATGTATTGAAATCCAATCTGGACACAGGATGTTTTCCAGGTGATGCAGAACATGCATTTTGTGTGCTTGTTAATGTAATTTGAACCATTATTGATGATTTTCACACCTGAACAGCATCAGAGTGAAAAGAGGAATTTATTTATCCTGCAGCTCCTCACTGACTCACCATTGATGCTTATGGGCGCTGGGGAGGAGAATGACAGGAAAATGGGGAAAAAATGTTTTGTAAGGTAAAATTTAAGGGACTGGATTAGATTAGATTATTAGATTGTAGATAGATAGGCCTACATGTGGTTAATTAATCACAGTTTTTCAGTGGCCAGCGCTGATACCAGGAGAAAGATCTGTCAACGGCAGATATATAATGCTGATATTGTGGTAGAATCTTTTCATACATTTAGGTTAAGATATATAGAGTGATTATCTTTTAGTAAGGAGTTACAAATAATCCAGGTTGGCCTGTTTATGCAGCATTATGACTCAGAGGTTGTAAGCAAGGCTGTTTTGCAGGGACCAAAACTATCTGTCTGTCAGAACATTTAGAGCTAATCTGACATATTGTGACAAAGAACTTTTAGATTTGTATCCGGCCATGCAAAATTACACATGTATAAAAAGAAAAAAACCCCACTAAAAACAAAGTAAATAATAGGGGAAAATAAAAGAGGGGGATCCATAAATTGCTTGTTTCATTTATATCAAATAAATATTTATGATTTTTTAAGACAGTGGCATGTTTTAGATGATTGTTTTATTAATTAATAATAAGACATATAATACATCGGGTTATGCTATGACTTCAGAGCATGTCTTTTATTTCTGTCAGAGGCAAACATAATTAAAGGCTGTATTAACAACATCACGTCGCGGCGAGACATTTTCACTAAACAAACTCAACAAATAGAATCCAGTCTTTCTAATCCGGGTTTACTGAGAAACTGTTACGGATACGTGTTATTTCACAGGATTATAATTAATTAATTATCAATCTCACAGTGTGGTAAACTGACCGCAAATGTTTAGCTAACCGGAAATTCTTCCGCCGCTTCTTCTTGTTTAAAGGAGTTTATTAGCGGTTGGCAAACCAACTTGAAGGTGCATTACCGCCACCTACTGGACTGGCGTAAGGGACAGTAAATTGGCAGACAAAATAAACAAAAAAAGGAAATTAGACCCTCCATTAGCCCTGTATTTTTCAAATATGTCATTAAATGCTTGAGCATAACTTCTCACTCTGCTCCCAGCAGGTCCCCCATATCAAATACCGTCTTGGCTTCCTCCGCCGCTGCTGTCAGTGTCCCTCTTTCCTCCTCATATCCTCCACAATCCAACAACATATGCTGTACAGTTTCATCCTGCCCACATTGATCACATTTGGCATCAAGGTGTTTTCCTATCTTATATAGTGTATTGTTCAGTCCCGGGACCAGGAACCCAGGATCACTGTTTACATTGCATTCAAAAGAGACAGAAAACAAGAAATCCTTTCATTGTGATTTTATTTTTTAACCGTATTGATGTGAAAGAGAAAATCTCGTAATTCATGACTGCAGTTTACAGCATATTCATATACGTATATATATAAAAAATCCAGTTTCTGAGCTGTTTCCACATGTTACAAAATAAACCAGATCAAGTGATTATCAATAACAACATTAACAGACTTGCACTTAAGAGGCCATCTGAACAACACTCCTTCCATGGTAATCACAGGCCATACTAATCAATGAGAGAATAATACACAAGCACCTGGTTTCGATCAATCAAATCAGTGAGGGAAATTCATGGTGAGCAACAATAAACTCTGGCACCAGACCAGTGGTATGTGTCTGATGTCTCAGGAAAGAGTGAGTCGAACATCTTATTAGATACAGTTCTATATTGCTGCTGGTTCAAAAGCATGGATTAAAAAACGTACTATAATGCAGAAACTATTCAGCTGAAATCGCATCTAACTTTGGGCAAACTCAAAGCACCACTGCCACAAATTATTTGTCACATTGGATACAAACATCGGTGAGATGTGGAGAACTTTAATCCAGTATTTATCTGTCAATCTGTGCTGCTGGAGCCTTGTACAGTGAGTGCTTGTGTTCATGCATTTCAGTGTTTGAGTCCGTGTAGGCAGACGGAGAGGTAGTGTGTATGGTTGAGGAGGCCTCCCCAGTGTGTTGTACTAATGGCCTAGTCACAAGGAATCACAATGTTATTAAATAAAACAACAAACCACAGCCAAACAGTCATAATTATAATGTACAGACAAAAAAAAAGAAACTTGTACCTCTTTAAGAAAACAAAGAAATCACATGTGGCGGATCTGACGGCCACAGAGTTGCTACATTTGTCTGGAACGATGTCTAAATTTGCCCCCCGGGCACAAAAAATCTTGGACTGTACAAATCCAAAGAAAGAAAATACTAGTACACAGATGTCCTTCATGTGTTTGTGTGATCGAACAGCATCTTTGTGAGTTAAGGTTTGATGGGCGGGCAGAAGACGAACAATGAAGAGGAAGAGGAGGAAAGTGAAGAAGGAAGCAAGCTTATTTTACAGCAAAATGTTGGATAATGAATCTATGTTACTGCAGTGGTTATTATCAATATTTAGCTTTATTTTTTCTTTTCTTTTTTTTTAATAGTGTTTAATCTAGACTGCATTGTATTTATGTTTTTATTTTGATGAATGATCAAGTCCACAAGCGTAATGTGGTGCTCAGACAGGTAGAGAAATATTGCGGCCAGACCTCTGAACTCTGTCTCATCAAACTCACCGAGCACTGAAAGCAAAATTCAGATATTATATTTGATTACTTCTTTGATTTATTATTTGATCGAATCAGTATTCAATTTTAGTTATCTGCAGGGTTCCTACACAGTTGGAATTTCCATACTTTTCCATATCCTAATTTGTAGAATTATTTTTGGAAATACCTAATTTTTTATTTTAGGAAACAGAGCCCTCTCCGCTGCCGCCCCCTCCCTCTGGAATTCACTCCCCAAACCCATCCGAGACCGTACAGACCCCCATACTTTTAAATCACTCCTAAAAACACACCTTTTTAAATTAACTTTTAACCCATGAAATATTCTTTTACTGTGTTTTCATATTGTGTCTTTTTTAACCTTTTACATTGTTAGTCTTATTACTCAAATTTTATTTATTTTAAATTGTTTATTTTTGTAAAGTGTCTTTGAGCACCTGTAAAAACGCGTTTTAAATTAATCTATTATCATCATTATTTATTATAGTATTTGGGACTTTGGAAATAGTCTGGAAACGATTCTTTTTCCATACTTTTTAAGAGCTGGAAACGGATCAAATTTATATCCATACTTGCGTAGGAGCCCTGTATCTGACATGTTGGTCAGAGAGCAGAGAGCTTTAACCAACAAAGAGGCATCTAGGTTTTTAAATCAGACTGATTTTCACACGATCTACAAATGAGGGGTTAAGAGGTTCCTGAGGGCACCTCAGGGGTCTCATTAATTAATTAAAGAAGTCAGTGTCTGTGAGCTTGTTGAGACTGTGGTCTGACTACAGGGTATGAACCAGGGAGAGGGAAAGACTGCAGGGCTGCTGTCTCTTGTTCATGATCTGTGAGCTGTACTGGTGCTGCATCTGTAAGGCAGTGAGCAGTGTAACATTCAGTACAGAGACGAGGAGTGTCCCGTACTGTTATATGAAGATATCCAGAACCTTTTTTTTAATCTAACGAGTCAGGACGATTGAATTGGAGGGTCACTGGCCAGGTGACAAAAATAAAAGGACCTCACTGTGTATCAGGGGTTTACCAGAGACACTGAGATTCAAATCCTCCTCCTAACAATCAGTAACAGACTACAGGTTTAGGGTCAGGTTTCAGCGCATCAAAAGAGCCTTCAAATATTCTTTTTTTTTTCATAAGAGATTAATATGTCGCTTAGTTTGAGATTTCAGAAGTAGCGAAGAGTGCTTACATGATTAAAATGCAGCTTCTGCCCCTCAACAATAGTCTGCTATTATCTGAGAGACCAAAGACTGAGAGGACTAAAAGTATCAGCCAATGACTGAGGAGAAAAACCTTCATTTGATCCTTAATTTCTACTTGAAGTTCTCTGCTGGCCTGTGAGTCGGTACGGAGTAAAAACAGCGTTTCAGTTACGAGTCCAAACAGTTTAAAGACATTCTGATCAAAGCACAAAAAGGCAGAAGTGACTGAGTGTCTGAGGTCTGTCCTGATCACAGCCTCCAACAAGAGCCTGTTTATCTGAGTTGAATATTACATTCGGATTGTTTGTTGAAGCGTGCCGTGTCGCAGAGCTCTGAGCGAGATGACTTTGTAGTGTGGAAACAAGCATCACAATCTTAAAGGAATAGTTCAGCCAAAAATAAAGTCCTGAAGTCATCAATTGTTCATCCTCACATCCAGGTGTGTAACCTTTGACGACTTAAATCAGCTTTTTAAACAGATATAGAAAGTGATTTCAATAAATTCAAACAAAATGTCAACATTTCAGGCCGTAAAACCTGCAGTTACAGTTTTCTGGTCACTCTGGGGCAGCAAAGGAAACTGTAAACTGTAAAGTTGACATAACAGCGCCCTTAAGACTTGTTTAGGCGAATTTGTTTGCTAACAATTTCCTATTATACACACCCTGTGGGCACAAATTAACACATACACTAGTTTGAAGGTGTGTTTGTGTTCAACTGAAAGAAAAGTCAAATATGTGCTCTCTTTCTGCTCCCCTCGGTCTCTGACAAATTCAGAAGGTTCTCTAAATGCTAAGTGTTTTTGAATGGTTACTTTAAGTTAGCTGAAAACTACGGAAGCGTATCTTTCAAATAGTTGAATCTTTTGTTCAGATGCGTGGTTGCACTGACATCGGCTTTACTGACATGCAAGTGAGTAGATGACCAAACATTCATTTTAGGGTGAACTATTCCTTTAATGGTGATGCCTGTATTACAGAGGTGGAACAGCAAAACAGACTTATGAGCACGCTGAGAAGCTCTTTGGGCAAAAATGACACAATTTCCCCCTTTTTTTTTTTTCTTCAAATAGTTCATTCTTAAATAGTACGCTGTGCAGTACGGTGGATACTTGTATGCTGCTGACATAAGTATGGTTATATTTATACGTATATATCAAAACATTAAGAGAGTAAAAGTGTGGTATGGTACACTAAAACTAGGATGAGCTAGTTGCAAACAAGGAGGTGTAAATACAGCCGTGTATTTTCAGAGGCTTCAGCTGAGTAACGAGGACTGATCGAGAAATTTCACTTGTCGAGAATTTAGTGAAATCGAGATTTATCGAAGCGCCTGGTAGTCGAGTCCATGAGTGATAAACTTGAATTATTCCTCTACAAAGGTTTCTACATGGAACAAAAGAAATTAAATGTTAATATAACATTTTTGATCTCAATTTTAATCTTATATAACCAAACATTTGGTTAAAATAGCAGTACCTTTACTAGCAGGGATTAGTTTTCTACATATGTACACACTACTGGCATGATATGTTTATTTACACATGGGTAGCAGCATTTTATAAACCATAGCTGATAAAAACCACTACTTTGAAATGATATCTAAAAAGATCAGTCTTGTCACTTTCTGGAGCTTTTTTCGTAATTGTAGTTAAAGAGTTTCTAAAAAAATGACCTCGGCGAGGATTCGTAAAAATTATGTGCCAAATAGAATCGATGGGATTGAGTCTAGCTGAGCGCTAATCCTTGTCACAGTAGCTGTTTTAGACAGAGGAAGGGTTGACAAGACAGAATGAGAAACTTTGGCAAAGATGACACGGAGAAGACACAGAAAACAAAGAGAAGTAATAAAGAAAGGGGAGACTGCACCTGTGTGTCTGCTCGACTCCCTGACGTGAATTCATGTGGGTGAGTAAGAGACCGACGACGAGTATACGTTCTTCTTCTGCGTGCACCACTGACATGAAACAGTGACTGTGCGCTGACGAAACCAAAATGAAGCACAACTATGGGAGTGTGTTCTGTTACGCAATGAGTGTCTTTGAGGTGGGTGACATTAAGGTGCAGTGGCGCACACGGACCAGCAGGTGGAGCTGAGTGGCTTTAGAGGGCAGTGAGGCGGCCGGTGAGAGCTGCTTGGAGCTCCGAGGGGAGGAAGACCCCGAGCTCTGTGATGATGCCTCCTGTGATGAGCTGGTGAGGGGTCACATCGAACGCTGGGTTCCACACCTCGATACCTAAACGATAAAAAAACAGAGTTAAAGTGAGACGGTTAAAGAATCAGGAGGGTGTTTATTTGAACATTTAATGCAGAATGTTAATAATTTATTTGGTTCCTCAACTAAACTCTTAAGTGGGACTGTATGAGGTACTTAACTCATTCAGCGTCAGGTTCATTTATGCAGTTTTCACCCAGTGCCACCATTGACTGCAATAGAACATTGTCGTATCTTTCAGGACCCCCAGAATATCTCGTGCTTGGACTAGATTCAAGTGCAATATCTCAACAGAAAGGGGTGATGCTCTCCTTTCATCAGAAAAAAAAGTTCATCTCTAACCCACTCCTGTGTTTAGTTATTGCCTGCTGAAAGCAGCGTGATCGTGTCATCTTTGCCGATCTGAGAAAAACACATTTTTACAAAGGACAGACTTTCAAGCAGACAACGGACTTCAGGACCGTTCTGAATCAGGGATACCAGCGGCTCACATACAGCTGCAGTCCCCCTTAAAGACCACCCAGGGGTCCCTGAAAACCTAAAGCCACTGCTGTGTCTGAAACTATTTCAAATTAGGATGCACTGATGATACCACATACTCATTTCTGAACGAAGAGACAGAACCAGTGAAAATACTCATTTTTGGGAAATACTTCATCCAAGTCTCCTTCGAAATATTAAATACTAATAAATAAATGCTTCCATTGTTTCTCCACAGTTCAAGCTTTAACCGTTGATGTTTTTGATGTATTTTAACAGAGGCAATATTTCTAAGTCGGTTATTTGTGAGTCCAGTTGCTCAGCATTTTGGACTTGACCGTCAGTGTGACCCGAGCCACAGATGTAAACTTCTATTAAAGCACATGAGGTTACTTTCACAGACAGTAAAAGGTTCAATATTCGTTTCTGCAATCATCTCAAACAGGGATAAAGACTGAGGAGTGTTTTTTAACTTCAAATGTAGCAGGACAGTGCATGTATACAATCTGCAATAAACCAGTTTTTAAAGTAAGATCACAATGTACAACTGTGGGTCTGAATTCAAACAATGACTGTAGATCTATGGCACTCGGATGCATCCAACTCTTACTACTCTACACCGTTAGTCTAATCTTTTTATTCCTGGTGGTGGTCTCTCAATAGGAGTCATTGTTTCGAAGTAAAACACAGAAACAGCATCTAATTAAATCTCAAAAATACTCCGTTTGAAGGGAGGGCAGAGCTGAGCGTGGGAATGAAGTTACGGAGAGATGGAGATGTACAGGCGCACATCCTCTCCTCTCCAGAGGCTTGTGAGCTCATTAAGTGACTGCGCTTTAATTACTGTGATGTCACTGAGCACTTTTCTGCTCTGGTCACGTAATTAGAGATCAAATGACTCGATTCAGCTCTAACAAACTCACTCACACATGTACACACCATGTCACTGACCCACAGGTCTGTAGAGGCTCGAACGTGACCTATTGTGCTTTAAAAAAAGACCCTTTTGAACAGATTTGTTCAGTTTGCAGACTATCAAGGGATCGCCCCGGTTCATTGCATTTCAGTGACATAATCAAATCTTAAAACTGCATTTCGAGCCTTTACTCCTTCTTCTTTCTGGCACTTCAACCACATGTGACGTCATTTTAAGTCTGTGAGGGTTCAGGACTTGGACATCGGAGCTTAGGGTGATCACTGGAACTGGGCCAGGCTCATCTGTCTCTCAGAGCCTGATGTTTTCTCACGGCTGGAAGTCCTCATCTGAACTTGATGTTTTTTAGAGTTAGTACTAGGGATGGGCGATAAATGATCATTCACGATATATCGTCAAAAAAATCCTCCATGATAAATATTTGCCATCTCATGATAAATGCGATAAATGGAAGTTGATGACGTGAGCACAAGCGGCAGACTCGCAGCCGTAGTCCACACAGAGCAGAATAACAAACAAACATGGCTAAAGGTAATGAAGACGACGTTTCTGAGCAGCTGGTTACTGAATGAGGCTCCACATGAGGGATGTCCTTCAAGATTGGGACTCCGGTATGACCATAGACTGTATATATTATGGACAACTTGGTTCTGCCTTCCGCCAGTATACGGATTTGAAGCCAAAAGCTCTCTGTAATTCCGCGTTTTTCTCCATTTCTTAAAACCAACCTTGCGCAAAAGCGTTGTACGCATTCAGCGGGAGAGTCGCCCAGATTCCCTGTGATGACGTTCAGCTCAAACAGCATATCCCCGGGTGAGCTACGCAATCTTCGTACGCCCAGCGGCTGTATCAAGTGTCAATTATAGAAAACATGAACCCCCTGATAACTTTTAAAATCTGAGCTTCACAGAAAAAAAGAGGACTTGAGCACAAATCAGTCTTACAGTAACTATATGTCAACATCACAAGCAGAGGGGAGAAAAATTTATGTTCGTGTAATAAATTTCTAAAGTTTGTCCACAGCTCCAAAAGCTTTGCTGGCGGAGGCGGGATTTATGACCTATACTGCAGCCTGTCACCAGAGGGAGCTGTTCTCGGAGTGACTTCACCCAGCAAGGAGGCAGACGCTGTCCATTCTATATACAGTCTATAGGTATTCCTGACATCGGACAGTGGGTCTGCTGCTGTTCACTCTGTGCAATAAGAGCTTTTAACAAATGCTGAAAATGTTTTCACATTTAGGATTTGTTTGATGTCATTAGTTTTCTCTATAACCTACCACTCAAACTCATGGTTAAGTACCTTATTTGACGACTCCAACTGGTGTTTTCAAGACAAAATGAGTCAAAAATATAGATTAGAATTATAATATTTTTTATCAGGACTTTTATCGTTATCAGCAGAATGGCAAATCTTATTGTGATAAATTTTTTAGACCCCCCACTCTAGTTCCCCATATTTCTTACCCGGTGCAGCAATAGGAACTCCGTTTATACTGGTGAGTTCTTCAGGGGGGCGCACTTCAATGATGATGTCCCTGCCGCTCTCCAGGCTCAAATCACAGGACGTACTGGGCGCAGCCACATAGAAGGGAATCCCATGGTGCTTTGCGGCAATGGCCAACTGGTATGTGCCCACCTTGTTGGCAGTGTCTCCGTTGGCAACGACCCTATCCGCACCCACCACCACAGCTAAGACAGAGAGGACGACAGAGAGAGAAAGTAAGAGCGATGGTACGAGTCAGGTTGGAGAGAAAGAGAGAGACCGTATACAAACCTGTGATGTCCATCTCTCTCATGGTGAGGGCGGCCATGCTGTCTGTAATTAGTGTAGCAGGGATCCCCTCTGCTACTGCCTCATACGCCGTCAATCTGGATCCCTGGTTGTACGGTCTGGTTTCTGTGCAGTACACACGCTTCAGCCTGCCCAGCGCGTGGAGGCTTCGCACCACACCTTCACACAGACACACGGTCATTACCACAGTAACAGTGCGATAAATATTTGAACATCACTCCTTCACTCATTCACACCCACTCCCTCCATTCTCACCCAGCGCGGTCCCGTATCCAGCTGTGGCCAACGAGCCGGTGTTGCAGTGTGTGAGGATTGTCACCGAGTCCCTCGGGACGCCAGACAGGATGTGCTGGGCGCCATAGTTACCGATCTTCCTGTTGTCATTGACGTCACGCTCCAGCATGTCCTCAATCCAGGAAATTACACTGCAGGAGGGGGGGGGGCAGAAAGAGGTGGGAATTGAGAAGAGGCTCAGGACGTATTGTGTCCATCAATTCTGGAATAGTTGAAATAAGAAACACATTCCTGTTCCAACACTCTCCACTTTGTCTCCTACTCCATCTAACGTATGTTTCCCTAACTATAAGTTCACTTCAGGCTTCAGCTCTCTTTCTCATCTCATCCACACCTTTGGACTGCACTCACTGAACTTTTTACTCAACGGTCGTTTTTCAGTCATCCGTTTCTTTTACAACACATTTCTGTCCACTAGCTACATTTAATCCAACATGTTGGCCGGCTGCTCAGGCGTCATTCTGCAGCACAAACTATATAATGTTAATTTAAGAGAAATGGATATTCTTTTGCTGCTTTGAGTGCAAAATAGGGACGGGTGTTATGGGCTAAAAAAATTATCACGTTATCCTGGCGATAACGATAAAAGTCCTGATAAAAAATATTCTAATTCAAATCTTTATTTTTGAAATAAAAGTTAGCTTTGGATGTGTGTAGGTAGGCTATGGACTTATGTTCCTTTAAGACGCTGTCCTACGTTGGAGACATGAATCCACCCCATCCAGTCGGTAACAAAGAGGGAAAGACAGGTGAGGAGATGGAGGACGGTTAAAAGTTGTAGCAGCTGAAGTAGACGAAGTTAATGTGGTGGTGGGTGAGCAGCTAGTGGAGTAGTTATCGTCCATTTATCTTTATCGAGGTGAACTGTTCAATATATCGTGATATTGATTTAAGGCCACATCGCCCAGCCCTAATGTGTTGCCTTATTTAGCAACAAGCGGCTCAAAAACGCCTTCTTCATTACCTTCGGCCATGTTTGTTTGTTACTCTGCTCTGTGTGGTCTACGGCTGTGAGTCCATCGCTTCCACTTATGTCATTAACTTGCATTTATCGTATTTATCCTGAGACGCCAAATATTAATCGTGGAGGAATTTTCTGACGATAAATTGTGAATGATAATTTATCGCCCATCCCTAGTGCGCAGATTCATTGTGAAACATGATTAACTCTGCGCCCTCAGCTGTTGTAATCACCACAAACACGGGAACACTCACTCCAACTTTCCCTCTCCAGGTACAGATGCTGATCGCTCACACCTGGGCGCCATTTAACCAACACCGACTCCTGTTTCCAGCTCTGTGTTTCCATTTACCAGAAATACAAGCAGTGCTGAACGTCTGTATTTAATAATCAGGCTGTTAATAAAACCGCACAGCATGGGGACTGATCGTTTTGCCAATATCTGATTCACTTCAAAAAGTATTTCAGTCCATATCAGTCCAGTGTGCTGGATCAGTGCATGTCCAACCAAGACACAGAAGACTATCCTCCTTATTTTTTCATTTTAACTTACATTAAATCTTCCCGAAACGTTCATACCCTCATGCACAACTCCAGACTAGAATGACGATTCTGAGCAAATGTAAAAGTAACTCTTCCTGGGGTCTTATTTTCCTCTCTGGTTTGATCTTCTCACGGTTCTGCCAATTATAGTACACAAGTTTTCACATTTCGTTTGGCCTGATAACTTTCACAACTTTTTTTAAACCGACACCTGCAGCTGCTGTTGAATGAAGCAGGATGTGCTCCAGGAGCAGCAGCAGCTCAGGAGGAGCAGGCGTGAATTCAGGAGCGCATGATAAAAGATCATTCATTTTCACTGTAACTAATTCTGTATGTCAGGGCAAACAACCAGAGATTTCCTTAAAGGTGTCCTGCAGAGTTTTCCCTAAACCAAGCCAAATGTTTAACGCAGACAGTATTGTATGCCCTCCGAGGCAAAATAAACGTTTTTCAAACACAAATATGCTCTAAACTCATAAAAACACCCGCATTTCCGTTTTTCTTTGTAGTTTTAAGCAAGCATTGTTTACTTGAATGTTTACTTGCCAACGGTTTTCCTTTCACCTGCGTTTTCAGGTGCACTGCTGCTTCTTTTGGTGTACAGTAGCCACCAGCGCATCAGTCATTAGGTGTGAAACCTCTGGGATAAATGACATCTACATGTTCACACATCTACTCTTTAGAGCTGTAAGAATTTAACATGAGCGAGAAGATTAAAACATGAGAACAAGTTACTATCAAACCTCCCAGATCAAATCAAATCAAACTTTATTTATATAGCGCCAAATCACAACAGTCATTATCCCAAGACACTACAAACAAGTGGCTGCTGGAAGAGAGTAGGTGAGTTGTGTTTAGTCTCTTTGCTAAAGAAATTCGGCAAAGGTAAAAAGATGTTTGGTGGCTAGTACTATGGCTGTGACCCTATATGTCCTGTTGATGAAGTTAGGTGCTGTTCTGAGCATTATTTGTGGCTATAGAGTAGCGTTTTGGTTGAGGTTTGTTTATGGCTCCTCAGACCGCTGTGTTTTGCTATTGTGCGGTTGTTACTAAAGTTGGTATAACTAGAGAAGCAAGCATTTGGCAACATTTATCTCTCAAGGTGGTATCTAACTCAATGTTACGGTGTGTTTGACCCTAAATTAATTTTACGCCGGAATATCCCTTTAAGATGGGACAGAATTGACCCATCTCATCTAACATGAGTGACAGCGATAAGGAAAAACTTCCTTTTAACAGGCAGAAACCTTGAGCAGGACCAGACTCATGCTAGACGGCAACCTCGCCGCCGCTGAAGGAGAAAAAACAGAAGTAAAAAGTCCAAAATGAGACCAAAAACTATCAAGGAATTATTGAGGAAAGTCTAGCCATCCATTTCCGATACCAACTGCCCCCTTTCGCTTGGGACTGGAGCTGATCTCAGCTGGCACAGAGTAGGAGGCGGGGTACACCCTTGACAGGTCACCAGTCAATCACAGGGCTGACACACAGTCACACTCCCATCTACAGTCAATCCAAACATCAATTAACCCAGAGAGCAGATCTTAAGTCCATGGGAGGAAACCGGACTAACTGAAGAGGACTCACATATCTGAGAAGCTCCTTTCTGACAAGGGATTCAAACCAGCATCTGTCTTACACCATGGCGTGGCCATATTTTGTAATCTGAATCCTATACAATTGGACATGAGTGAACGAGACTATAGCAGACAAATTTACAGTTTAGGGCTCGTTTCTAAAAGGTTCTTCTCGTCCACAGTGAAGAGAAACTCCTGACAAGTTTTGTTTCCCACCCTCTTACCTTTCTCTGAGCTGCTCAGAGTTCTTCTCCATGCTCTCATTCTCGGCGAACTCCATCAGCTCACGGGCGGCGCGGCCCATGTTGACTGCAGTGGGCCGGGCTGAGGTTAAGTGACACAGAGACTCCCTGATGAAGGTCACGGGGTCGTCACCCCCGGCACCTGCGCGTAACTCCACAGCCAGGCTGAGGCAGCCCACGATGGCGATGGCGGGAGCGCCCCGTACCTGTACGACAAGAAGAGACAATGTAAGTGTAACATTCTTCGGTTTTCATGGACACAGACTACTAAGGATGCACCGATCCACTTTTTTCACCTCCAATACAGATATCTACAGTCTAGTATCGGCTGATACTGATCCTATTCCAATACAGAAAAACTTGCTGAATAACCTTTTATTGTAACTTGAAGTTTTACCACCGCCCCTTGGCGCGTTTACTGCGCAGGTATTGCGATTATTTCGGACGTCAAATTTTTTTTTCGTACCCGTATCCTGTCAATACAAGCGTTCACATCAGCGACCTTTTCCCGTCCTGCGATATTGCGGCATTTATTTTTTCGTATCGCAGTCAAATTTTCTAAAGTTTCGCATACTGTGTGTCCACTTCTGACCAATCAGATTTCGTGTTGTTGCGACGTCTGATTCACTGTTATATCCAACATGGCCAACTGGCTGATTGTTTACGTGTTGGAGAACAGAGTGATTTTTGATAAAAGACACAAACATTACAACCTGAAGGACAACTTGTGGAGAGTCATAGCGTCGGATTTCTCATATGACGATGGTTTATGTGCTTTAACAGTTTGCTAAACGTCTTTGTTTTAACTTTCATCTGTGCTAAGTAACTTTAGCTCGTAAGCTAACCTGTTCAGATACAACATACCATATGTATTTTCACTGTCTCAAACTCAATCGCGTTGCTGTCACAGCGCCATTAGGTCTCGGTTGTTAACTTACGTTTATGGATTATAGTTTAATGTGCTTATCTGGTACTGGCCCCGAATTAGTACATGCTATCATGACAGACAGACATCTCAACACTAGTGTCTAAGAAAACCCTGAAAAGTCACAAAATCTCATCGCACTTGATGTGTATAGTCAGGCGCATCAAAATTTGCCTCAGAATATTTCGTAATTTCGCGTTGTATGTCGGGCCCATTGTCATGATATCCGATCCAGAATTTTCTCCAGTATCGGGCGATACCGAGATCAAATATCGGATCGTTGCATCCCTGCCTACTACAGCTGTTTCTCATTTCCCCACACAGATGATAAAGCGAATGATCACTGAGGCAATAGTTGTAAAGACAGCTCAGAGAAAAATGATAGGCTTAAACCTTAAGTCATTTCTGGTTCTGTAATTAGTCTCCATTATCATGACATCACCCTTCCTATGTGTGGTAGATTCCCTCACCCTGACACACACACACTCACACACACTCACGCAGGATCAAAGTGGAGCTCCTGTATGTGAGTGGGAGACAAAAGATCATATTGTAAGTGCACATTTGGAAACGTCTCCAGCCAGTTTTGGACAACATGTGACTCCCTGGACATGTCTCTTCATCCCTGATTCAGGTATGGAGAGAGAAATGAGCCGGAGGTGTCACTGAGTGCGGCACAAGACCGAAACGCGAACAAAAAAAACCCTGGCAAAGGTCATTAATAATTCATCAATAATCTCTCCCAAAGAAAGAGGGAGGAGGGGAGCAGATTTCATGGGTGGGTTGATGCGTGCTGGTACAGTTAACCGCGCTTTCTCATGGAAATGTGAAAAAAAAAACAACATAAAAGGATGGAGGGGGTTAGATGATCGGGGAGTTGTGGGTGCTGCAGGTGCATCCAAAACAAAAATACAGGCCGACAGCAGCGAGCGGGGGCACGGCGGCGAGCATATGGCAACACATGCGTGCAGAGGTTGGAGGCGCACAAAAGAGCCGAGGAAAAGCACGAGCACGACGGGGATGGATGCACGATCAGCGGGCAGAGAGAGGGATGGAGATGGAGAAGGAGAAAGCCCCTCCGTACCTTCATGGACTTGATGGCCTCATAAGCGTCCTGCACCGAGCGGATCTCATCGTAGACGGTCTGGTGTGGCAGCAGCAGCTGGTTGAGGATCTGCAGAGCTCCGGCCCGGTAGCGGATCGCTTCCAGCGTCATGACTGAAGAAAGAGGCGGTTTGGCGGGGAGAGATAACGCGGATGGACCGGTTGCGCACACGCACTCACTCACACTTTCTCTCGCGCACACACACACACTCACACTTTCTCTCTCTCTCACACACTCCCCCTCTCTCTCTCTACGAGTGGAGACACGCTGAAGTGACCGCGGCCTGGGCAATCGGCAGTCCGGGAGGCGAGGAAGAAACGTGGAAGAGCAGAAGCAGGAGGAGGTGGAGGTGGTGAAGGTGGAGGTGCGGGCTGAGATGGAGCAGAGCGAGGAGAAGGTTCGCTGTGCTGTATGGGAGGATAACGGGGAGAAAGGAGCGAGAGATGGGCTGGAAAACCTTCACACACTGACACAAGTAGGCAGGCAGACACGGAACCACGTGTTCAGCCGAGCAGGAAGCCCTCGCCTCTTTGACCACGCCCACCAGAGTCTCGCGGGTTGTCCGATTTTTTTTTCCTAGACCCCCTTTTTTTTCTTCTTCTTCTTCTTCTGTCTTCCACCTACCATCCCCCCTCATCTTCTCCCCCTTTTGTCAGGGGAATTTTCACATTCAAATACGTTATTAGCATAACACCAAAGCCCCAAGCTCCCTCCTCCAACAACAGCGAGCATTGTCTGAAAATATCAAAATATATACGTCTATTTCTGTCTTATATTTATGAACCCGTGTCTCTTGGTGGCACTGCTGCAAAAACACACAATATTGTCCTTTTTGAAGTATTTGTCTGTTCTAAAATCACATTGAGTGAGGCTAAAACCTTTGACACCAACTCAGTTTGCATATTTCTGTGTCAAAGTCCACATTAATCCCCATTAAACTAGTACAACAAAACCCCATTGTAGTAATACGCTTAAAAACTGAGTGGCCTACTTCTTTCAAAAGTTCAACTTCATATTTCCAAGATAACTCAATAAGGAAATGTTATCTAAGACTGAATATGAGAGATTTGATTCAATCTCACTGAGCATTTTTTGGTCTAAAAGATATCTAATAGACATCTAAATAGCCTAGGCTAAAACCTTTGACACCAACTCAGTTTGCATATTTCAAGGTGTCAAAGTCCACATTAATCCCCATTAAACTGGGATAACAAAACCCCGTTGTAGCAATAAGATTCAATACTGAGTAGTCAACTCTCTCAAAAGTTCAACTTCATGTTTCCAAGATAATTCAATAAGGAAAAGTTATTTAAGACTGAATATGAGAGATATGATTCAATATCCCATTGAGCATTTTTTGGTCAGAAGGAGGTCCAATAGATGTCTTAATGTAGCCTAGGCTAAAACCTTTAACATTTACTTAGTTTGCATATTTCTAGGTGTCAAAGTCCACATTAATCCCCATTAAACTGGAATAAATACGCTTAAAAACTGAGTGGCCTACTATTTCAAAAGTTCAACTTCATATTTCCAAGATAACTCAATAAGGAAAAGTTATTTAAGACTGAATAAGAGAGATTTGATTCAATATCCCACTGAGCATTTTTTGGTCTAAAAGACATCTTAATAGCCTAGACAACTGGTCTAAATTCAGGCTACCACAGGTCTAAAAATGAAAGTTTTTCAGACATCTAAATTTAGACCAAGTTTAGACTAACTCTAAATCTGGGCTATAGGGGAGAGTGGGGTAAGTTGAGCCACCCCCTGTTGCTTGGAAATGGTCAAAGAAATTGATCATGTGACCAAATATTTAGGAGATGGGCATCAATTCATGGAGTCTGTAAAGGTTAGAAGCACATGGGTGAAGGGGTTAGACATTTATTTACAAAAAAAAACATTTTTTCACTCTTGAAAGTGAATTTAGTCTGTCAAGTCTTATTAGAACTGTGCTTAGACCAAAAAAGATCATTTTAAATTAGTTTTATACATTAATTGTGGTATCTATGAGCTACAAAATGAGGTCAAAAACATAGCATAAAAGTCCACCATTTTACTAATAAAGGACTAATAAAGTCATAATAGTAGTTCTGGGGTAAGTTGAACCAGTGGCTCAACTGAGAAAGTAAAGGAGTCTGATGAGAGGATCAGAGTTTCAGTTCAAATTGTTGAAAAGTTTTACTTTTTGTTTCCAAAAATACAGCTGTGAATGTTCTGAATCACTTAAAGACATTCTTTTGTTAAAATGGCTTTTTACAAAACAGCTTTTTAGTAGTTATATACAATAATAATTAGAGACAAAACTATGAAAATATATGAAATATGAAAAATGGCTCATCTTACCCCACTCTCCCTTATATTGCTCAATGGCTATCATGATTATTTTGATTAAATACTTGGAGATCAGTTATGCAACACACCGTGGCTTTTTGAAATAAATAGTTATTGAATAACGGGTCAAAGTGCAAGGTTTAAATTGCATCTAAAAATATACAGAATCTAGACGGTTGAAATAGGTCTTTAAACAAAAAGACATCTCACAGCCGTCTACTGCTCAGTGGGATGTTTGGCTTTTTTCTGAGTTGTTACAGAGGATCACATGTCTTTAAATAAGTGGCCATGACTATCCAGTTAAATCAAGACAGACATGCTTTTCTCACCACTTTATTCATGTTAACATCGACCTCATACATAAGAGAGTAAAGCCTCAATAATCAGGCTTTCATACATTCCCATTTTGAGCTGCACACATCAGCGAGACTTACACATCAAAATAGAGACAGAGCATATGATGCTGTTTATTTGCTGTATATAAATATTCATTTATATTGATTGCCTTTACATGACATTCATTAGCATACCAAAGAAATGTCACCAGTAAAACATGTTTATTTTCCCGAGCCCAGATTAACACATTAACTGCCTCTGAAAATAAAATCAAACTTTCTTCTGTAAATGGAGTGCAGCCCAAAAAGAAAAAGAAAAACAAGAAACACAGAGACAAACTTAAAGAACAAATAATGAAAGAATAAAGAGTGTGTGATGTCTTGGGAGTGTAAGACAAGGAAGAGTCACCAGCAGGACAAACTTTAACAATATGTCCCTCTCCCCTTAGCCCTGACTATCCGAACCGCTTCACTGAATGCTGATGAGCTAGTTGCCATGACAACACCACAGCCTTAGAGGCCGTGAGGTTACCAGAGTGCTGTGACAGGAGTGTGTGTTTGTGTGTTTGGGGTTACGCAGGGTTAAAGGTTTTGGAGTGAAAGGGAGCAGGCTGCATTTAAGGGTGTGAAGACATGCATGTGCCACAGCCTGGGTTTAGGAGGATTCACTGCAAACCAGTTTAACATCACAGCTTCAGCTTTTATAAGAAAAACTTGCTGATGAAGTGTCCTTTAAACCACGAAACAACCAAAAAATAGTCTAGTCCGAAATCCAAAGTGTTGTTTTGTTGTTTCATTGTCTGATATGGTTGTAATTGTAAAAGGAGTGGTGGGAACAATGAAATTGTTTAGAGTTTCATAGCAACTTGTTAAAGCTAAAGAACTTTTAGTTTGTGTCAATATTTGGACAAACCAGTCTTTGCTGATTTGATCTTTAACATGAGCAGGCAAAGCACGTCAATCATTACATGATTTTTAGTTGTTAATCTAAAACCATCTGTACTGTTCGAAAACTTTAAGATGTGCTGCGACATAAGTGCAGACTTTATGGTTTCTGTGTTGAACTACTTGAGTCATTGATCTTAAATGTCTTGTCAAACTTAAAGGAAGTTTCAAAAGCCTGTTAGCCGAGATACAGCATAGATATGAATGAAAAGTGACGGCTGACACGACATACACAATCAGAAACTGTGCAGCATGTGCAGAAAAGAAAACATAAAAGGTGTGCACGATTTGCAGTGAGGGTTGTAAACACAGTGCTGTAGTCCTTTAAATGTCTCTCTACATCACACTAAAACTAATTTACCGTGAGCAGAGATCAATACGGTTTTCACCACCTGATCAAAAAGCATCCTAACAGTCAGAAAACACTGATAAGTTTTAAAAAAAAATGTTGAGGTATGGGGGCAGGGGTGATATACAAAAATCCAAAGAGTGTTTGCGGGGCAGTATCAGGTCAGTGTTGGCCAGGATTATTTGTTAATGGGGTGATGCCGTTGGTGGATTAGGGCAAACACATGATCCCCTGCTGCGTCACGTGACCACAACACTGTGGGCATCGAGCCAAAACAAAATCATACAGTAAGGCTTATTTATAGTGCTGTGCTACATCCTGGCTCCACGCAATAAACGTGGATCAACAGAAGCAGGTTAACATGTTGTCAAACACACAGAGGAAACATCTATCCAGAGATCTAAATATAGAAGGCCACTAATGCCACATATTAGTCACATTATGACTTTTTAACCTAAATTCTTATGTGACAGATTCATTTAAAGACATCTGCATTGTCACAGTTTATGAAGTTTGATTCATCTGGATTTGACGGGGATTAAGAGGGATGACTATGACAGGGATGTCTACAGGAGAAATGAGCAATTACCCAGCCTTACAGACGCTTATGAGGTTGTCTGTTTGAGGACATGACACTAAGATCTCTGGAGAGCACGGTTCAGTTTACACCTAGTCTGCACCTGACTGACACGTGCAGGGTCTGTTCATTATTTTTTTTAATCTGAATCTTCATATTGTTGAAGAGTTTTTAAGAAATCCAAGCGGAGCAGCCAATTACTCATGACTCAGAATAAATGCAAAGGAATTGGTGTAAAGAAAGTGGAGATGAAGAGGACAACAGAGAAGAAACAGCTGATGAGGAAGAGGAAAAAGCAATCCCGATGCAGGCTAAGCCTCCACCGCATTCATGGCACGCCGTTAACACCCCCTCTCCCCAGCCCCAAAGGCGACTCTACGTCTGATCTAGTCGTCTCCTTGGTGACACAAACACTAATCCCTCATTATGGGATGTAGACTGCGGGGCCCTGAAGCCCCGTTTTTTTTTATTTTTTATTCCCATATCACACCACTCCAAATGGAGCAGATTACTGTAATCTGGGAGCACTGGAGCAGACAGATTAGATTAAGCTCATTACACACATAAAATATGGAAAAAAAGGGGTTAAAATCACCTCAGTCCATTGGTTAAACACACGTCTTAGCACATACACACATAAACACACTATTTTTGGTCATCTCTGGACATCTCTCTGAGGCTGTCTGAGCTGGTGCCAGGTGTAAACCTTTAAGTCTTTTAAGCAAATATCCTCAGAGGAAATGCGGGTTACACTAAACATGTAAGGTCTGGAAAGCCAAACTTTAGAAGCAGCTTTATGTAGTGTTAGTCTTTAAGTGCAAATAAGCCTTCTTATCATTTTAATGCTTGTTTTTAAAGGCTGTGTCCCCTCCTAGTTACAGATTTGTTTTGTTAATCACTAAGACAGGTGACACAGGTGACACTGTCAGATCAAATCACAGAATCATCAGGTTGGGTCATGCAGTCGTCATGAACGTGAGCAGCATACGGTCATGCTAAAGGTTCCTTTAAAACACCCGCTGTAGTGTTTGTATAGAGAGATGACATAACAGTACTCCAGCCAAGCCTCCACTCCCCTCACCCTCCTCTCATCCAGTGCGTTTCCTTTTAAGAGATTCCAGCTGAAGCGGAGAAAGACAGTGTACAATGAACATGTGTGCATACGTGATAATAAAGACATTAATGGTGATACTGACGGTGCCTGGCATCTTTACCTCATTCTCCACCATCTTCAGTCTGCCTAGTGCATCCTTGGCAGCATCCTATGAGGAGAAAAACAAAACATTACACTTGTACAAAGAGGTGGGAAGTGTCAAAGCGGTTTCACCTTCTTATTTACTACACTTGAGATTTCTCTCTGAACACTACTTTACTTTTTCAAACATGTACATATTTTTTTTTCCTACTTCTTATATTCCTTAATCAACATTAGGACTTTATCTTTGGTACACAATGACAGTGAGAGACAGTGGGAACTTGGCAAAACACAGTCAACACTCCTCAGGCTTGGCAAGATGTAAAAAAGTTCCTCTCCAGTTAAAATCTCCATGTTTGAAAAAGTATGGCATACATCACTGCCAGTCTTTTGTTTTCTAAGGCTCCTTTAAAGTCCATCTGGGTTTAAGGACTGGATTCTACGTACAAAAATACAACTTTAAGAAATAATTGTAAATTTTTCACTCAATCACTACCTAAGAAAGGGACGGACGACCAGAGGGCCTGTCAGAGCTGGAGGAGCTTTCAGAGAGCTCTACTTCGCTGAAAGGAAACATTCCCTTGATTTATAACTCCCTGCCAGCTTTGCATTTCAGCTTCTCTTTGACCTCTTTTATGGAAAAAGACCCGAGATGTGATTTTAATGATGACTAGTGGGAAACTTTATACCGGAGTGTTTTTTAACCTCACTGTTTTCAGAAGATAACTGAGCAGACAATAACTGCTCCAACTCATCCTCTAAATATTATCCATGTTTTTTGGGTAGTGTTGACGTTCAAAACATGTCTAGAAAGGAGAATTCAGAGTTGGAGAGGACTCTTGATCCTGTATCTGCTCGGAGGACTTGTATTTTAAAACTGCAAAGACCTCTGATGTTTGACTTCTTTAAACAAACTCTGACTGAGACATTACTTCAAAAATAAGACAAACATCTTTTTGAACACATGGAAGTCTCTTTTGGACCGCTGGTTATTCGCTCAGCAGGGCTGAACACATGGGGCCTATTGTGGAAAAAATACTCCGTAAGGGGCTCCTCTTATTTATCTGTTTAAGCGCTTAAGTTGTTTTCTTTCTTGATCTATTTATCCTCTTTTTTTCTCCTTTTATTTCTCATGAGGAGGTATGCTAAATGTATAAATGTAAAGAAGTAATAAAGACGTAATTATCCGAAAGAAATGGACTACAGATGGATGCTTTTGTATATTCATACTTTGGGTGTTAAAGGTTTACATTTCAGCGCCTGAACTTGTTCGCTCAGCTTCATTTAAAGAGTTCTTCCACCATTTTTTCCACCGGTATTTGTGCCTCTACTTGAGTAAAGAACTTTGTGTACTTATGCTACCTTTGTTTACTGTATGATGTGCACAAACACAAAAGAGAAAACCACCACAATAAGTGACTCACCCTGTTGCCTTGGCTGGAGAATTTCTTCACCGAGTCAGAGAGTCCATGTACCAGACGCCGCAGCACATTTTCATACTCTGCACATAGTGTGGAGTAAAATTTTTGTTACATTGATAAGTAGTAAAGACATATATTTTTATCAGTGAGGTCATTTACATGCTTCTGTGTTTGTGTTACCTGAAAGAGTGGAGGAGCCTCTCTCCAGATGAGCTTTCTGCCACTGCAGTCGGTGCGTGACCTCTTTGTACTGATGGATGAGGTCAGGTGGGGGATCCCTGCGTGTCTTTTTGTACTCTGCCAGCTGAGAGACAGACCAAATGGCTCAGACGTGACCTTACATTACAAGCATTAGTGAGTCGAGTGCTGTGGAGGGGTTCGGTCCACACACAGACACAGACACTCATGAATACCTTTCTCTCCAGCCGCTCCCTGTCATAGTTCAGCAGGCTGAAGCTGTGGAGTTTGTACTGAGGAGGGGAGTTGTCGGGATGGCTGCTCCGGCTGCTCGCCTCATGTCTGGGTTTGGACCGAGGAGATGGAGCCTGATATGGAAAAACACATTAAGGCTTTGATAAAATGGGAGTGTCGATACATTCTTTACTGAGACGAGCAGCTGGTTGAGTGAACTTGTGATTGGGTGATACCAACATACTGTTGAGGGTGAGAGCTGATGGGAGATAAAATATAAAGAAATCTGGCATCTGTTTGTTGCATGTATGAACTTAGTATCTATAGTCTCCTTCTCAGCGTTTGCACCTGTAATATTTTTTTATATAAGAGATGAATTCGTCTACTCTTGCAGGTATCTCAAGATTTCTTTGCTAGTTGTTTCCATATAACTCTGCTACATATGAAGATTTTTAAAACAGTTAAGAAACATTAAAGGGATATTTCTGAGTAAATTTAAGTTATGTTTAAACTCACAGTAACACAGAGTTAGACACCCCCTCCAGAGATGAATGTTGCCGACTGCTTGCTTCTTGCGTTATACCAACTTTAGTAACGACTGCACGCTAGCAATACACTGCGGTCTACGTCTCCACGCGCAAACCTCAACCAAAAAGCCACTCTGTAGCCACAAATAATGCTCAGAACAGCACCTAACTTCATCAATAGTACATATAGGGTCCCAGCCCTATCGGTGATCGACTTGTCAGGGCTCCCCCACAAACAAGCAGCTGCTGGAGGAGAGTGGGTTAGTTGTGTTCAGTGTCTTTGCTAAAGAATCCAGGCAAAGCTTGGTGGCTAGTACTATGGCTAGGACCCTATATGTACTGTTGATGAAGTAAGGTGCTGCTCTGAGCATTATTTGTGGCTATAGAGTGGAGACGTAGACCGCTGTGTATTGCTAGCGTGCGGTCGTTACTAATGTTGGTATAACTGGAGAAGCAAGCAGTCGGCAGCATTCATCTCTCGAGGAGGTCTCGAACTCGGTGTTACGGTGTGTTTGACCATAACTTAAATTTATGCCAGGATATCCCTTTAAGTATACACAGTTTTCTGAATGTCTGTACTTTGACATTTGTGACGTTTCCACGATCTTTACGAGTGTAGAAGTAGCTCTGTTTGAAAGCGGTCATGCTGTACTGAAGTAGACTCTACCCAGCCGCTCCTTTTGTCTCTCTGGAGGAGAGAGTGAAGACACAGGCTCCAGAACGAGCCACTTCTCCGTCACCGGCTGGAGATCGACTCCCGTTAAAGGCTCTCTGATCTTCACCCTCACTTCCAACTTGCCTCCTGTAGCTTTACGTCCATCCATCACCTATAAAATAGACACATTGCTAGACAAATATGGGGTTTCATACATGTGGGGTTTCAGGTACCGGCACTCACCTCTATGATCTCTCTAACGCTACAGTGGTTTTCCAGAGCTTCTAGCTTCAGCTGGGCAGTTCCCACTACTTTGTCTGTCTTAAACAGGCCTCTAAAGACACAGAGAGAGCCTTCAAAGACCTGACATTTCCATTGTTTGACATAAATACAAACAGAGAAGCTTTTGCCCCTCAGAGGGTATGATTGTTACCCCTTGTGCAGAACTTCAAACTTGATGCCTTTGGACTGGACGACCCGTTTAAAGCCTCGGTGCGTACGGCTGATGTTGAGTTTGAACTGCTCTTTAAACTCTGGACTGCTGGTGCTCTTCACCGTGCTGGTTTTGTCCCTCTGAGCCTCCTCCTACACGCACAGATGAATGCATTAAAGCACATCTAGATACAAAAAAACAGAGTGATATTTGCGTAATCCAGTCAGTAAGTGAGAAAGAATCTTACCGCACTGGGGAAAGGAAACTCAAACTTCACACTAGCATCCAGATCGTTGGGTGAGACACCTGAAGGCAGAGGTGTAGGTGTAAATTAACACACATTGGAAACACAACCACAGGATGTTTGCGCAAACTCAAACATGCTTTCAGTACCTGAGGGAGTCGGTAGGTTTATGCCTCGAATGATAAACAGCATCAGCTCATTGGGTGTCAGGTTGGAGTACGTCCTACATGACAAAAGAAAAAAGATCATTCAGAAACAGCGTCCAGAGCGAGAGACGGCGTCCTGTCAGGATCAGGGGGGAGCTGAACGATCCTGACGGCTCCATGAGTCACTGCCAGAGTCACCTAGCTGTAAGCCTAGTATGATACTGGAGCAGAGGCAGAGTGAGTCATAGTGAGTCACTCCAGTTAATCTGCTAACTCTGTGTTTTAAAATAAACAAGCGATGAATGTGCGAAGAATCGAGAAATCTTTTTCAAGTTTCTAAATAAATCAATAAAAGTGCATTTTCATTTCATCTGAGACTGTGTTCTAGTGACACCGCGGTGAATAGTTTAAATACTGTCTGGTAAACCCTTAATCTAAATAAAAACAAGCGTTACCTGAAAGTAAACCTGAACAACCAGACCTGATAATGATCACAAGAATAAAATGTAGTGATGTGTTGGTCACGAACGAACCGGTTCAAAGAGCCGACTCTTTAACATGAAAGATGTGAGCCGGCTCCTGTCTGTGAGACGTTTTTCTTTTTCTTTTTTCCCCCACAGACCATAGAAAAAAACTACAAGGCAGAATGACGAGATTTCTATCTGCTTTGTAGAGCAAAATGGTTCTACAAGCAAGTCAGTGCATTCATTGGGTGGTTCCAAAGAGTTACAAAGGTCTGTAAATGCAATAAAAACAATTGGCTGATATTAGAAAATATAATTTTTACTTGTGAATACTTCAGTACAAAGGATGTATTAAACTATTTAAGAGGTATTTGTACACATACGTACATAACATAAGCCAAACAATTTGGCTGAATTAGAAAATGTATTAGTGGAAAAATGAAGAGCCATTTGGGAACTGAAAGAGCCAGCTCTTCTTGGTGAGCTGAGCCGAATGATCTGGCTCACTAAAAAGAGCCGTAATGCCCATCACTAATGAAATAGTCAGTTTTAGAGGAGAGCGGCATCTTTATCTTGACAAAAACTTAATATTTTACATCAACCAAATTCAACGTTTTTCAAGATATTTGACAACTCTCAAAAGTGCCAACCTCAAGCTGACTTCTCCATAAAAGTAAGAGATCAGTTTAGTGATTTGGAGTTTCCCTCCCTATTACTCTTACCATGTACAGTCTGTGAGATATTGACTGACTTCAGTGGCAGGATATCCGACTATCATGGCTACAACTGAAGCTGCTGGCAGGCTTATTGATTATTGACTTCAAAAAACGCATTTTTAGAATTTGTAATGCATGAGTTTTCTGCTAACTTGACAGTGTTGAAGGTCCTCTCCTCTGTGCGGCACTTGGGGACTGGCTGGCCCTTGGCGTAGGCATTCTTCAGTATCTCAATGCTCTTCATACACTCCTCACAAAGCCTCTCGAACCTGGTGAAGGACAAAGATTGTTTCAACCTAATGATGTAGTATTTTTACTACATCAAATTTGTATTTCATAAAAACCAAGAAATGACGAATGTGTCTTACTTCAGAGCCTCGGCCACACTGCCCATCTGTGTAAGCTGCTGAGAGTGGCTCAGACACTTCTGTAGATGTGGATTCACAACAAAAGAACGTGTGGGTATGAAAACAGACAAAAGCCCGGCACAATAAGACACAACACAGCTGTGTTTTCAAACATGTCAAACAGCTGCACGGTCAGAAAAACATTGAACAACCTTGGAGGACAACAACGGCTGATCACTGTCGCTCCCCAGATTTTAAAAGACAGGAGTAGAGAACGATTTGCTCTGACCTCGTGCTGCCTGCGCATCAGATCCATGAGGCCGTGGTACTGCTCACTAGAACGAGGGGACTGAGGGGAGGAGCGGGACCTAGCCAGCGAGTAGTCCTCTTCACTAACTGGAGCAGCAGGAATCTGTCAAGAAGGGTGAGAAACGAAATAAGATGTAGTGGGAAAAAAAAGGAAATAGAATTACCTCTTCTCATTCAATTAAACCTTGAATAGTTCATTTGACTCTTTAAATAATCCTTCTTCACAGTTTTGAGATGTCAGGAATGCAGCTTGCACATCTGTCTGTTACAAATGATGAATATCTGTTTCTGCAGAGCGACAGGAAGACAAACTAACAGAGGCACTGGAAAAATATTCTGGGTAATTACAATGTTGTACCGTGTCAGGGAGAAACACGTGGCTCATATGAAGCCGGGACGCTAAATAAAAGGGAGGCAAAATGAAAGAAAGCCACACGGGAAAAGGGGCAACTATATGAAATCTGAGGATTGTAATGATGCTGAGAATATACAGGTACACACACACACACACACACACACACACACAAACGTGTTTCTGCCTCATCTTTTGTCTTCTTCCCACTGCCCGCTATTCCTGTCACACTTGGTGTTAACACACCTCACACACCAGGTGTAAGATGTGACGACACGCTCTCATACATAAACCTGTTTTGTCTTGTAGGTCACTGTACATAACTGTGTTTTTCTAACCTTGGTGATATCAACAGGCAGGCCGTTTTTGGCGGCGGTGATCATGGGGTCCAGTCCCTTCGCATGTCTGAGGTGGTTTGCAGCTCCATTCATGTCCTGAACACAAACCCAGAGCAGCCGACGGATCAGACAAACAAACCCCAGAAACTCAACAGACACACAACACCTCAACGCTGACAGAGGCACCGACTAAATTTAAAGATAGCGAGGATCTATCAGCAGCGACTGAAAAAGAAAATAGATGGGGAAAAAAAAAGTATACGGCTCACCTTCATCTGTTTGGAGCGCAGTGCTGCACGCATAAAAGCTTGTCGCCTTAGCAACAGGAAATCCACTTGCTGCTGAGCTAAAGGATAATTAAGAGATAAAGAAGTGAAATTGTGCCTCTGCTAGACACTTTGTCTAACAAATTTGGAGCGAGCAGGCAGGTGATCATGTGTCCACCACCATCACCAACACCAACTCTGAACACACCTTTAGGTCCCAGTTTTAAACCCGCAGGGGCCTGGGGAGCTGCAGACTTGGTTTTTTGTGCAGATGGACGAGCTACAGGCTGAGACAAAAGAAAGTAGGAAAAGTTCAATGAACACATGAACAGATTCAAGGTTGAGTTGTGTTCTTGGGTTTCACTGCTTCATTTCTAACATGATTTTTTTTCCTGTAACAGGCAGAAGCTGCAGCAGAGAAACTTAAAACCCTCCACTGAAGCTGGCATGGCATCCATGAAAAACACTGATCACTTCTGTTCAAAACCAACCAATCAGATTGCTTGGCAACGCATTAAAAAACAGACCATTTGGTCGCACCTTTAATTTTTTTCCTGTTCCTTTTTTTTTTTTTTTTTTACCTTTGCTGCCTCTCTTTGTCCTTCCTCTTCCTCATCCTCTGCGTCTGCATCCTGATTGGCTAGTTTCATGGCTGTTTCCAGGAGGCCCATGGAGTTCTGCTGGCCCCCCTCTGAGCCCTGAAGTGGTGGACAGCCTGGAGGAACAACACAGACATGACTTACTGCGCTTATCTGATGCAACTTGGAGGCAGAATCCTAAAACTAACTTGCAGAAAATGTACCTGGTGGCACAGGCAGATCCGACAGGCTGACGGGTTTTCCAGCTTTGTGAGCTCTGATGGCGTCCTGGTATTGCTGTTTGGGAAATAAAAATGGCGAATTATATTACTGTTAAAAGTGAAAATTGCACATACTGTTACCTTTGAATTATTATCTACTGGTGTAATCGATCAAAGTAGATGATTTTCCACAATGTTCGTTGTTTTGTTAAATGAATCTGCTTCGTCTCTTAATGATTTTCTGTGAGTTCTTTTATTTCTACTCATTTGAACTATCGTAATGCTGTTTATGTTGGTGTCAGCTAGGCCTCACTGTCACGTCTACAGTGAGTCAAAATGCTGCTGCTCATCTTTTAACTGGTACTGAAAGGAGAAAACACATTACCCCCATCCTTGGATTCATTTTAAGATTCTGTCGTTTGTCTTTAACTCTTTTAACACGTTAGCACCAAAGTACGTCCCTGACCTCGACCTCTGCTGATCAGCTGCTTCATGTGATCTCAGGCTGAAAACCGGGGCTGACTGCACCCTCTCCCTGTGGGTTCCCTCTTAGCCGCTGATGGTCTTATTTATTTTGACAAATCATAACAAGGTATCAATATAAATGTCAGTCTATTTCAGGAGCTTTAAGTCAGTTAGACCTGTGTCAACAGATATATCCACCAAGCTTGGGCTGTTTTATCACTGTGCGTGTGAAAGTTGACTTCTTGTGTGTTTTGAGAGATTTTGGCTGTCAAACACCTTTTTAATAAGGCTTTTAACTAGTAGTTTCTTATGTGGTTCTATCTTATTTTAGGTTGTTGCTTCTATCTTGTTTTTTAAAACGATATTAACCTTAAATAACTTCATTTGCTCTACTTACCATTGGTACAATTTTATTTATCATCTGATGTATCTTTTATCATTTCAAACTGTTCACTCGTTTTACTTATTTTTTTCCAGGTTATTTCTTTTATCATATCATGTTCTTTTAGTTTTCATTTTTAACTCCAGTGTTTCCTTAGTGGGGTCCTCCACACTGGGAACTGTGTCTGGGCTGCAGCTGGGGGCACTGTCCCTGGGTCCCTTCGGCCCAGCTGGCTGTTGTCTGCCAGGGTCGGGGAGCCTGGGTGCTGATGCCCCCGGTGGCATAGCCTGCAACTCCTCTCAGTGTGGATGGCCCCAAAAATCGCACTACCTCAATCCTCTGTGTCATGCCATGTCTCCCCATTTTTCAGCAGAGTGATCTCTGACTCAACAGTTCGAAATACTTTAGCATCTGTCTGCTTCATATGTCAACACAGACGCTGATGCAAAATTAATATATCGAAAAAAGGTTTATTTTCAAGCCAGATCAAAAGTTATCCGGCCATAGAGGAAATCTGTTAATCCCTTCCACCCCACCCTCCCAACCCCAAATTTTGCAATATTACTCCAGAAAACTCAAATGCTAAACAAAGTGCTTCTCCTGTTGGAAAAGGAAAATCAATGCATGCCTTGATCATACACTTGTTTCTGCAAATTCAGTGAAATTCTGCTTCAGCTGAATCAATCAAAATAAGAGACTGTCTATTTTTTGCACCTCTCGTTTAAACAAACTGGTGTTATTTTGGTGGGTAAGTGAGCAAAAGTGGTATTTACAGTGGAGGCAACAGTGGATATTTAAAGTCAAAATAAAGTGAGTCACCCACCAGTTAGTCAGAGAGAAAAGGAAAAAATAAATCACCACCGAACAGCAGCAGCACAAGGCCAGGGATACGAGCTGAATCATGGAAGCAGAACCTCTGAGAACAACCAAAGCTTTTCTTTCGTTTATTTCAGATACGGGTACGAATTATACATCAGGTTAAAAAGCTTGTCTTTGAAACAGTTACAACAATACGGTGCATACCTTAACAATGCGCTGGTGCATGCGAGCCTTACGATCGTCTCCTTTGCTCTTGGCTCCCTCTGCTGCTGACTTGTAGATATCCATCCTCTGCTGGAGGGCTTCTGCTACACTAGTCGGGACAGGCAGGTCTGTGCGGGGTATATGCAGACACATTTAAGGTTTTCAATCAAACTTGCTACCTTTTTATCATCTGCTCTTTCCTGCACTTTTCTCAATACAAGGTTTGGGGTAATAGAGGCTTACCGGCTGTGGACACCTGGGCAGCTGCAGGTGCAGGAGCAGCAGAAGCAGGGGCAACAGGTTTAGAGGACGATTGAGGAGGAGGTGCACAGTGTTCTGCTACTACATCTCCTGTAGATAAATATATATCAACCAAGGTTACAGATGGTTTATTATGAGTATACAGTCTTAATAGATACATAGGATAACCATATTCTGAATCCCCAGAAAGAGGACACGAGCACTTGGGGACGGAACCACCCTGGAGTCGCATGTAGTAAATTTAGAGTTTTCAGGTCAGGTCAAGTGTTCCGCGACACAAACTCAAAACTTCCCTACAAAACCCTGGACTTTTGAAGGATTTTATAAACTCCCCCGGACAAGGCCGGACAGCCCCCAAAAAAGAGGACATGTCTGGATAAAAGGGGACGTATGGCCACCCTGTACTTACAGACAGACTTACACAGTTACAGAAGAAACCCCAAATCTCAGAAAAAGACCAGAACAAGATGTTTTCATTTACTAACTGGGACTCTGAAATCTTTAAATCCTTCACGCAAACATTTATCAATTACTTATTGATTTAATCTAATCTATCTTTTGATAGTTGATGGGAGAGCAGTCTTCTGATGTTGAGTACTGAACCATTAGGTAACAAGTGTTGTCCAGAACCATATCTAAAGGAAAATTACAGTGTATGGTTCTCTATTTGTTGTTAACAAGGACTGGACAATATCTGATTTAGAAAAAAAATACATGATTGTCATTTTCATACACTCAATTGTCAAGAAACTAGTTTAAAGTGGAAAAAAATGACTTTTTGACCATCGCCTTGGGGTAAGATGTGTTTCCACTTACCAGGAGGAGGAGGTAGTGAGCTCAGGTCTACAGGTGCGCCACTGTCCACAGCCTCCAAGAGCATGTCCAGCTTCTGCAATAAGAGAAGTCAACTCTTTTAGGATCAAATATTTCAATGTGCGCTCACAAAAACAAAAAAATACAGCCTCTTTCCTGTAATATCTAAAAATAGTTTGGTTACTTTGGCAGTGAGGTAGTGCTGCTTGGCCAAGTCAATGTCTCCAGCCTGTTTTGCGTGTATGGCAGCCATCTTGTATTCCCTCTGTCTGGACAACACAGCCTGTTTCAGCTCTGTTAGGAGGGGAAGGATGTGTGACAGAAGGAAAGAGAGAAAGCAAAAAGATGAGCAGATTTTAATCTCATGAACAACATCCTACATCCAGTGATGACTCTCAGAAGTACTAATGATGTTGAGATTTTTAGTCTGCGATGGCAGCTGTTGTCAATGTTTTTATACCTTAATAACTCTGATTATATGATATTAAATAACTACTGGACATGACCTGCAGTTACAGCAGAGAGGTCAGAAACATGTAAACAGCAATAATAATAATCATAATAATAATAATAATGTGTTTAACTGTGGGCAAATAAAATCATATTTTTACTGATTAATGTGAAGTACATAGTCTACCCGAGTGCTGTGTGTCTGGCTGGCTTGGGGTCATCGGGGAGATGGCCGGCGTGTCCGGGGTGATGGCAGCAACAGGCTTTTGGGGAGGGGTCAGATGGGCTGGTTTTGCATTAGGAACTGCTGGTGCAGCCTCCCTGAGAGGTTTCTGATTCATGGGAGAAGGCGTCAGCGCAGGCTCCAGTACGTCTCGTTCCTTGACTGAGCCAGCCTCAGTTGATGTGTTGGGTTTTCCACCAAGAGCAACAGGAGGTGGGATTTCCTCCTCACTGATTGGCTTTCCTTTCCTGGCGGATGTCAACATTGACTGAAGTGTCTGAGGATGAATACAAAAGCACTCCTTGACATGTTGTTTTTAAAGATACACAAATTGAATTTAAAGACATGAAGTGAAGTCATATGTAACTACAGAATGACTGAAGTTAAATGAGGTGTTTCCTCTCTTTTACCTTCAACCCACGGTCATATCTGCGAACTTTGCTGGTCTCTCCAGCAGCCTTGGCATTTGATATGGCTGTTTTGTACATTTCAATGCGCTCCAATAGCTTGGCCTCCACCCCTGTTGCACCACTACTCGCAGCTGGTGGGGAAGGGTGGGATGCCCTGCTCACTTTGGGTGCACTTGGTGTCATGGCAGGAGGAGTGGGAGCAGGAGTTTCATCCTCATCGTCCTCTAAAACCTCATTTAGCTCTGCCTGTACAGGAGGAGATTTACACAGCTCAGAGTTAAAGTTACAACTTAGTTGTTTGTTCGCAGCTGATCTATCAACTATTCTCTATTCAGTCTTTGAAATATAACAGAATATCCATGAATAATATCAATCATTTATTGGAAAAATTACAAATCATTGAAGCCATTTAGTGTCTAGATTACTGTATTATATACTCTAGTTTTTAATGGGTTTGAAAAAAATTAGCAGGGTGTGTTACCAGTAGATCTTCATCCTCTAAATCATCATCATCCATCTCCTCTTCATCCAGGTCTTTCATACAGAGAGCTGCCATCTGCTCTATTTCAGCCATAGCAACAGGAGCTGAAATTAAACACATAAAATGGATTGATGTATCAGATATCAGTGTTTTGAGCAAGACTACAGAGATATGAAAGAAAATAGACCTGTTTACGTGTGGAAAGATTAAGACCTGTCTCACCTCTGCCTTCACCTCTCTTCCCTTGTGATCTTCCTCCTCCACCTCCTCCCACCAGATTCAGCAGCTCTGCTTCAAGGTCTTCATCGTTTCCATCATCATTCATTCCGCCATCCGGGTTCAGGTCGAGGAGCAGCCCCATCTGAGACAGACAAAGGGAAAGTCAGACAAAAAGCTGCTGAATCATACCTTGTTGTTGACATAGTAACAGTACACCATCCAGCCATAACATTATAAACACCTACTGCAATCCACTACATACAACACTAAATTCTCCCTTTATTTATTTATTTATTTATTTGGAACCCCATTAGCGTCCACAAAGTGGTTGCTAGTCTTCCTGGGGTCCAAAAACTTAAAATCACGATACAATTACATTTTAACAATTAATCAATAATAAATACAATTACAGATTCAAATCATGATTCTTCACAACATTAAAATCTCTCCAAAATCTGTGCTTTCATACTTCATTCATACAAACAGTTTTGTTTTAAAGTGCTTTTAAAATAATACCTACTGCTTATTTGCTGTGTGCTCCTGAGCAATTGACTCCACATTTCCAAAGACCTAAATAACACTGTTCTCCTCATACAACTGGAACATCTAAATGACCAGAGCTAACCTGCCGAGTGACATGTTGATGATAGTAGCCACTGTACACCAATTTGTCCACAAAGAAAGTTGGATACCCTTTGAACATGGCAGCATGCATATGACAAAGAATATTTATATTTAGCTTGTTCTGTACCTTTTACCATCCTAAGGTGGTTAAGTTTTCAGTTTGTGTTGATATAGTCAGATAGAAGATAATTGATCTTAAATTCATCATGGGAGTTATTGTGGATGTTGGTGGCGTACTCAAGGGTGTTATAATTAGAGCATTTTTATTCACATTCCAGAAAATCACCTCCACCCAACGTGTCTACAACAGTAAACACAAAGGACAATAATCACCTGACTGATCATGTCAGCAGAAATTTAAGGTTCAGAAGCTTTCTGAGAGAATGGTTTATAGTAGAGCTATGTGCACCATATTGTCCAGGTGTTCCTAATGTTCTGGCCGGTCCATGTCGATCACTACTGAGATATGATAATGAGGTGATATGATAGGTGTTACCTGTTTGGCTCGTGCTGCCCCTTGACCCCGGGGCGGGGGGTTCCGACTCCGGCTCATGGGCTGATACTGTTGTTACCTAAATAAATGTTAAAGCAGGTTTTGGTTCATTAATTAGGAAAAAGTGGCTGGAAACGAGAGAAATATCTGTCAGTATCCATAGTTGGTGAATCTGTACAGACGCAGTAAAGATTCTAATAGGAGAAAATTCAGCTTTAACCTCAAACAATCCTAAATGTTAAAGTTTGAGTAAAGTTACCTGCTAAAGTTGATGAGAGGAAACGACGAACACATCATTAAATCTCATTTATGTAGAGAGCAGATATTTACCTGTCAGTTTGACGGACCGAAATGTTCCCCTCAGCTGGTCAGGGCGATTATACGAGTCTAAAAATGCTCCGAAAACAAAACAAGAGGACAAAAATCCAGTAAAATCAGACAGGTGTTTATTAAAGAGCAGCTCGAGCTATCAAAACACCAACGACAGGCTATGGAATTTACTTCCTACATTGCGTCTCCCATGGCGACGCACGACTCGCTTTACGGCTGAAGGAATCACGCCCATTGCTGACGTAAATATGTAAAGTATCTCCGCACGTCCATTCAAGCTAGTGAAATGAAAATTAGCAACTTTTCGTTGTGCGAAATCATCGATGGTCCGCTTTGAATGATATATTTTTGAGCTCTAGTGTCAAAGCCATAACTTCAGTCCATTAATTGTGCCAGTCAGTGTTTTATTAGAGTAGCTAACTGTTTTCTATCCACTGCTATCAGGTAAAATATGCCACAAACTAATGAGAGACACAGTTTAAGCTAATTAAGAGTAGTGAAGCATAGCAATGAAATTATATACAACAGCTCTGACCCTTTTTCACATTATTTTTCCGTATTTTCTCTAAATGCTATTTACTTTCCCAGAAAGAAGAAATGGCCAAAGGAAGAACCAAGACCACCAGTGATGGTAAAAACTACTGTCAAACACAACTTTTTATCAGATGATAGAAAGATAGCATATATTTAACTTATATTTGCTTGACCCCATCATAAGACCCCTGGTTCAGTTATTGTTTACACTCATTCTGTTGGTTTGCAGGGATGCACAAAATCTTGAAATCTATGCAGATACACTAGTTAGAGACAAAACTATGATCGCCTTGATGTAGTGATCTGAAATATGAAAAATGGCTCATCTTACCCCACTTTCCCCGACAAGTTAAAGTTGCTCAGTGAAATTGTTCCTGGAGGCCTTTCCTTTAAAAATACTCATGGATTAAATATACTTGAAATATTTCACAATGTTATAGCAGTAGTGGAGTCAAAAGTACATTATTTGCATTTAAAGCAGAGTAAAAGTAATAAGTGTCCTCAAGAATAACACTTAAGATACTCAAAAAATACACATAAAGGCAGTGCTCATTTTTTCCTTTGTTACTCTTCACCACTATCCCCCCGTCATCAGATTTAACAGTTGACTGTGTTTGTGCTCCTGCGTACAGAAAGTGTAGTTCCAGCCCAGCCTCGCTCACTCAGGTCAAGGAAGAGGGAACATCTAAGTGAGGAGATTTCAGAGCCTCAAGATGTTAAAGTGACCATTCATCATCAGGTATTGTTGATAATAGACACAGAACCTTAAACCTTGATTTAAGTTTTTACTTACCACCTTTTAATCTTTTGATTTATTTTAGGAACCTGGGGGAACTAATACAGCAGCTGTGGAGTCCACAGTGCTGCAGTGCCCTCAGCAGGAATCTTTAGTGGTTTCAACTCAACAACTTCTGGAAGCAGAGGAGCCCTGTCCCACTAAATATGAGCCTGTCTTAGATGAACCACCAGCAGACACAGCAAATGTGATGGTTGAAGAGCAAGAAGGGACAAAAGCCACAAATGTCAACAAAAACTCTCAGCCTCAAGGCTTCACAGCCCATACTGATAATCCCAGGAGTGAAAAGGGCACAACGGAGAACCAAAATTCATCTCAAACATGCCCAGATCAATGTGTTACAGCAATCTTAGAGGAAAGCAAAAGATCTGGTGACACTGCTGTTGATGAGAAGAAGGTGGACGCAGATGAGGTCTCTCCTTGTAATCTGGAGAAAAACCAAGACACCAGCCTTGAAGAACCCAGCAGTATGTACATAGCTGATGTGAAGCCAGTCATGAGAGAGGCAGAAATAGGATTACCAGCCAAGAAGAAGCGAAGGATGGGTATGTGTGGTCTGACTGAAAAAGAACGGAATCACTTTCTGAGAGGGAAAAAGCATGAGAATGAGCAGAAGGAACCAGAAAGAGTCAAGATGCCGTCTGATAATAATGCAGCTGACATTGAGGCTCAAGAAGGGCTAACATCTTCCCCTAAACCACCATCACTCCCCGTCCAAGAGGGCAGCATCTCAGAGCAGAATGAAGCAGCGACCAAGCTGCAATCTGGAAACTGTACAGAGGACAGCAGGTAAGATCAGTGTTGTGGAGATTCTATACTTCACTTTTTGTTTTGGTCCAGACTTTTCAAGTATTCATTTATGGATGTTCTTTTTTGTTAAAATCTTCAGACAATTTACAGTGAAATCACTAAGAATAGAAGACCTTGACAAAAACAACATAGGTTAATGTGTATCACTATATTCTGCTGGCAAACAGGGCAGATATGGAGCTTCAGATTGCTGTCACAACCTCAGATGGGGCCAGTACTGTGTGCGATCCATGCTGCTTCGTGGAGATGAGTTGTGAGGCTGATCCAAGCACAGAGCCTGATCCAGAACCAGAAGCTGACCCAAAGTTAGATCTCCCTACTGAAGAGAGAGGGGAGGAAGTTAATGATGAAGAGAAACTTTCTGCAGCTGAAGACCAAAGTTCTGCCATCATTTCTCACCCTCGCGTAACCGAAAATGAGCAGATTGAAGATCAGAGGGAACTTGAGGCGGTCTGCATGCAGATGAATGTTGTGCCCATGATGAAAAATGAAAAGAAGGAAGAGTTCACCTGTGATGAGGAGGTTGGTGATGTAAATGAAGCACCCACACAGAACCCTTCAGGAGAATTCAACTGTGGCTCTGTGGAGCTCTGTCAGGCTGCAGTGATACCTTGTGGCTCAGAGAAGAACTGCAGTGTGAGTAGGTGTGCTAACTTAAAACATGCAATGTAGAGTTTTGGTTGGACTCAACAATGTCTTTAAGTCATCTAACAAGCTAAAAAAAAACAATAATTAATGTTTATGGCCTCTCTACTTTAAAGACTTGCTCACTTTAAAGATTAACTCTTTACTATTAGAATATTTGTGACAAATGAGCAATTTCATGATGCAATTATTTGCTCTGTGATTTTGTAGGTCCAGTGTTTCACTTTTAAAATACTTCTATACCCCTACCTCAGACTGCGCTAAAAAAAGGATAAATATAGACTTTACAAAAATCAGAAAAATCTGATTTGTTTAAGACAAAATGTTTCTATTAACAGATAGATTGAGGATTGTTGCTTTCTGAGTTGTTGTTGCTGAACAGTTTATAAAAAGCAGACATAATTTTCAAAACTCAAAAATAAATTAGCTTTTTTTATTTGCTGTCAGTGACAGTAAAGAAATGTCCTCGTCTTTGTTGCACACAGATTGATCCAGAAGATGAACCTGGTACTAATCCTTCTCCTGTGAGCACCAAGCACCCTCTGACCGGGGACTCGTCTGACCCATGCAGACCTGATTCCCTGGATTATGTGTCTGACTCACAGCTGAACACCATTCCTCTGATGTAAGGAAGTAAGGGTGGATTGATGCCACATGCTTATGATATTGATTTATTTAACATTTAACTTTAAAAACAAAGTTGGAAAGTGCTTCGTGACAGAAATGAGCAAAAGTTTTATCTCCATTAGGTGATTCAGGGAGAACTCTGGTATTTTTCAACCTGGGCCCTATTTTCCATGTGATTCTGTGAGTTTAACTGATGGGGAGAACTGTTTCTGAAACTTGCCCAGTCTTGAGGGAGAGCCGAGCTGGCTGCCACAAAACGAGCTAAACTGTAGTTTGACCACAAAATTGTATAAACTGCATCTACTACAAGTGCTACATTTCACCACTGACAGGCTCGGGTTGTTGTTACAAGTCCTCCAACATGGTCAAACACACTGTTGCGTGTCTCAGGTATCACCCCTAGACACATCAACACCACCGATGTTAGACATCAGCGGCTGCATTACTTGGTTATGTTAATTCGACGTTAAGATATTTGGCTTGGTGAGATTTCAATCGAGTTATGTTTAGATGTTTTACAAGTCCAGTGTTAGCTTAACTAATGCGATAAATCAAAATTTTAAACATCAGGAAAACACAGAGTATCCAGACCCTTCTTCTCAGTGCTTTAAGCTCGTGTGAGTGACTTTCTATTTGTGTCATTTCTGAATTTGGCATCTCCTGTTGACCATTTCTGATTTTGTCCTTTTCATATGTCAGTCATGTTTTTTCTTTCACAAGGTGCCATTAAGGGGATATTCCGGCGTAAAATTAACTGAGGGTTGAACACACCGTAACACAGAGTTAGACACCCCCTTGAGAGATGAATGTTGCCGACTGCTTGCTTCTCTAGTTATACCAACTTTAGCAACGACCGCACGATAGCAATACACATTGGTCTACGTCTCCACACACAAACCTCAACCAAATCGCCACTCTATAGCCACAAATAATGCTCAGAACAGCACCTAACTTCATCAACAGGACATATAGGGTCCTAGCCATAGTCCTAGCCACCAAACATCTTTTTAGCTTTGCCTGGTTTCTTTAGCAATGAGACCAGGCAAAGCTAATCCCACTATCCTCTGGCAGCCACTTGTTTGTGGGGGAGCCCTGATGAGTCAATTGCTGAGTGCAGCGGAGTTTCGCAGCTCAAGGAAGAACATTTATGATCATTTCTTCATGGAAATGCAATCAGACCAAGACGCTAAGGCAGAAGAACTACCGCGTCTGCAGTGCGAAATGATTATTATGATGATTATTAATTTATGGAAATGATCCGCTGCACTCAGTGATCGACTCGTCAGGGCTCCCTCTACAAACAAAGCTAGTTTTTTTTTATGCCGAAAGAATTCAGGAGCCTACTTTTCCACCTCTTCAAAAAATTTTAGCATATTTTTTAAAAGTTCTACAGTTTGTAATACAGCTAGCATTAACAAATCTCCATTTCTAGTGAAGAAGAGGTGATGGAGAGGGACAAGAGTCCTTCTTTGTCCGACTGCCATGAAGATGCTTCAGACCTGATTTGTGGGCTCGTCAGAGAACTCTCCTCTCTGAAGTGAGTGAATTTAAAAAAGGTTTCACAAGTCCAGAGCAAAAGTGCATAAGAAGGTTACATGCCTTTAAAATTCAGCTACACTAATAGATCTTTAAATATACCAGATGTATTCAAATATTGATTTTATTTCATGTTTTGGTGGTTGATTTTTCCCAGTCGAATAGTGATGGCCTCTCACAGAGAGCTGGAGAATCTGCACCGCAGCACTAGAAGCACCAGGCGCTCCAAACGTTGAGGATTTGTTTCTGGTCCCTGGTACCCCAGTCTTTTGTTATCCCGATGGTTTTGAGGGAAATTGTACTTTTTCACAAACATTTAGTTTTTAAACATTTTTCATGTTTCTTGTTCATCTCTGACAACCAGATTGTTCTGTTTGATGGCGACGTTGTGGTTCATCTGAAATAAAGAATCTGTTTGCAGTTTTAGTTGGTTATCTGTTCAAGATTGACCTGACCACACGAGATTACCTCTTTAGGGTAACGAAGCAAAGTAACGCACTACACAAAATTACAATTACAATTGACAATTACTTTCCCGTTGTTAGTCGATAGGACAAAAAAATGTGTGAAATGCGCTCTATGCCAAGGCAACATTTATACAACAAACAAAGTGATGCGGACTAAGCTCAGTGATGATTGGGCTATGATGTTTGTCCATGAACCTCTACACAGTAAATTAATAAACGGGAGAGTAAAGTAATAAGTAGAGAAGTTACTTTTCGAGTAACTAGTAACTAGTTAAGTAGTCTCATTACAGTTTACAGGAGTAACTAGTTCCTAGTTATGAATTACTTTTTATGTGTAACAACTAGGGTGACCATACGTCCTCTTTTACCTGGACATGTCGTCTTTTTGGGGGGCTGTCCCGCCTTGTCCGGTAGAGTTTATAAAATCCCTCAAAATGTCCGGGGGTTTGTATGGAAGATTCGAGTATGTGTCGCGTAGACTTACTGAGTTAGAGGCGCTTAAAAGACACTTGATCCGACCGGAAAAACTCCCAAAAGTATCTATGTGCGACCCCGTGTAGTTATGTCTTCTATTTGGGGATTCAGAATATGGTCAACTTAATCACTACCCCAACACTGCCTGCTCCACATCTCCGCCTTTCTGCTGTCAAATAAAAGAATAAGGAACAAGTATGTTATCAATGCAGACATCTTTAATGTCCTTCATTCGTGGCTGCCGACACTTTTTTTTCCACATCTTTTTAACAAAGTCAGATCAGCTTAATTTTGCCAAATACACAATACTCACAAATATATAAAAAAAATTAAAATACAGCAAAACTCAGAACAAGAACAAACACCTTTTAAAATGTTTAAATGCTGATATTGTCATATGATGCTTGACTTATTGATGACAGTATTAAACAGTTTTTTTTACTACATAGACTGTAAAGATGGCCACACGTTAAAATTATATAAAACAAATATAGATTTCACTCTCTCGACATACATTTCTTTTTCTCCTCCCAAACATAATATCTGGCAGTCGTTCTTGAACATATCTTAATGAATCCAGACAGCACAGGGACACTGTGAATAAAGGCCAAGGCAGACAAAAGACCAGCTGGGAGATCAACCCCATGAGCGCAGTGCACGGAAACAAACACACATATACTCACAGCAAACAAGTCAAAACGTGCTGAAAAAAAACAAAAAACAAACCAAACCACACACGTGAAAATAAACAAACGCCACTGAGGGTTTGATCCCTGTGTGTCTGATTTCTACCTGCCTTTTCTGCATCAGCGCCTGGGCTTAACGTACACGGAGCTGTACGCGCTGTCTACCTTTGGGCAGAAGCGCTTGGTATGAGCCCTGGCCCCCGTGGCTCCACACAGGGGACACACATACTGCCGCAAGAAGGGACACATGACGTCTCCTTCTTGGTTCTTCAGCTGGTGCGATCGGTACACCCGCTCAGACTCTCCGTTATGTTTACAGAACCCGCAGATTGATGCGTGCACAGTTGAAGCTGGTGGATTCGGTTTCCTGAAACGAGGGGATTTCTTGCGGCCCTTTGGTCCCCGGGAGCCCATCTCTTCTGGTCCGAGCTTAAGGTCCACTGCGTTTGCTGCATGTGCATTAAAGAGGTCTGGGGTGCACCTGAAACCATCAAGAGGACTCTCGTACTCCGGCGGGGCTGGCAATAAGGGTTGAGGGCGTTCTGGCACCAAGTCCGCGCCAGTGGCGCCACTTTGGAAAATGCGCACAGACTCCAGATTACCGCAGAGACCATCCATTTCCGACTGAGGAGCTTTGGCCGCCAGCATTGGGGGCCTAGGTGCGTTGTTGTGGCCCAGGATCTCTTTAACTGTATCCGACAGTCCAATGTAGTCTTTCCAGGGATGGAAACATCTGTTGTCCGACTCCATGAGGCACGGCAGGTGACAAAAGACGTCTAAAACCATGCCGTTCATTATACAGTCTCTGTCGGTGAATGCAGACCCCCTACACTGGGACGTTTCACTGTTTGGCTTCAAAAATCAATTTAACAGAACAACTGAAACATGTTGTTGGACTCTCACGCGTCTTCTCTTACTCACGTGGGATGACAACTCCAAGACACTTGTTTGATTGGTAATTGAGAACAAGGGGTCATCGGAGGCACGTGTCTGGGCATACCACTGACCAATCACAAGTGCACATGTAAGGAGCATGCAGGTGATGAACCTTTTCAATGAGCTCCAATCAAGTTCAGATACTCATGCCATTCTCCTCCTTCCTGCAAGAGTGCATGCTGAGGGCACTCCTAAGTTTTTTGTTTCTGAAAAGCATCCAGTGGAAAACAAGTTGAAATCATCTAGATCAAATGTCATGACTCTGGAGAAGGGGATTTAAAGCCAGTTAGTGACTCTCACATGCCTTATATCACTAAAAACTTGATTTTTGATTTCCAATTTCTATTCAGTGACAACTTCTCTTCTAAAGTTTTACGATCATCTCTCAAAATAAAACCACTAAAAACGATGGAGTGCATATGCCAAACCGATAAGTGGCGCTATCATGGTGCCGAGGAAATGCACAAAAGACAGAGTACAGAGCGTGCGTATAAAGGTTGTTTTGGCGCCATAAAAGAGTTGCGCCGTGTGTCACATAATTGTTTCGAGAGATAAAGATAGGCATCCACACAATACCATTTGCAGTCACCTGAAACGCCATTTCCGTGTGGATGAAATGCTGATACGACAAAAAACTTTTGCATGTACTCCTGAATTCGTTTCCGTGTGGACGGATTGGTTTTGCCTTCAGACAGACTTTGCAGCAGAGATTGGTTTACTTTTCATCTGAAAACCGCGAAGCCGTACCAATTCCACACGACTAATTTGCTCTTGCCCCATTTAGCCACGAAATTTATCGCCTTCTTTTGCAAACACCATGTTTGTTTACACTGGTGTGTGTGTGGGAACTGGGGAGCGCTCCCGCAGGAAGGGGAAGCCTAAGGTGGCCTGGAGGCACGAGACATGATAGAGAGGAAAATCAATTTGATAATTTAAAATTTTTTAACATCATCATAGTCAAATAAACCGATTACAGTTTAAAATCGATTGATCTTGCAGCCCTACCATGAAGTCTTTCTGCTTCCTGAGGACCAGGAACGACAGAAACACAGCGTTGTACTCTTCCTGCAGAAGAAATTTAGGGCGTCCAATACAGAGAGGGTGCACTCTAGTTCATTCTTACCTCTTCCATCAGAGTCTGGCACACAGCCGTCACTGCAAGAAAAGGGCAGTGTGCAGCATATATTTAGCTTGGTCACCCTGAGGTGTGCAGATAAGATTGTTGTTGACCTTTTTCCACAGAGTCCACTGAGGTACTGTTTGTCTGTTGTCTTATTCTGCTTTTAAACGGAACTTTCTTTGTTTTTATTTTGGTGCCCCCAGTGGACAAAATGGTAACCCATTTATTGTTGCTGATTTTGTCCTGTCCTTGTAAAGTCAGTATTGATTGATTTAAAACCTCCTCCTCTTGTCTTTTTAAGGGAAATAAATGACAAACTGTTAACGTCTGCAGTTGTCAATTCTGTCATTGCTGGTCTTATGTGCTTTTTTTTACATCATATAGATGTATTAAAAACTATCAAAAACTCCTTACGGGAGCTTTAAATTCCTTGATGGTAAAAGTGTTTTTTAGTAACTTTCTATTTTTTTTAACTCTGCTTCTGTGTTCAGTCATTTCTTAAATCAAAAAACAGCCCCCTAAACCGTAACCCAGTTCTGACAAGGAAGCATATATACAGTTCAGCCAATAGCCTCTCTTATTGTTTGTAACAGCACAATATAAAGATAAACACAGAAAATTAAATAAAACCAGTTTTTATTCATTAGTAATATAAATAATTTGTTTTTAAAATCAAAACTATCATTAAAAATCTGTTAAAATGACCAGTCCAAGGGCTGAATCTGTGGTGCAGGCACCATACTGTCTGCTCTGTCACCCCACAGCTCAGACTGGTGATCAGTTTCTCTGGATCTGAGGGTGAGAGGAGAGGAATGACAGGTGACAAATCTAACAAACAATCAGATGAATCATTTCATGAATTAAACTGAAAATATCACTGAAATGTAAATTTGTTTTTTGCTGTCGCTGTCAAAGCAGACCTGACTAACCTGCAGTTGTACGACAGATTGAGGGCAGAGTAGAGCTCAGGAGTGCTGGGGGTCTTGACTCTGACTGTTCCCGAGTTTAATCCAGAAACAGCAGCCAACCCAGGCTGAGTGGAGGAGGGAGAAAGAGGAAGACAGCCAGATACGCTTATTGGCTCCAAACCAGAAAAACCTGCACACACAAACACAAAAACTCAACATGCATTTGACGTTTCGTAAAACTATGTCACAACATCAAAACATCGGCCATGGACCTTTTCACTTCACTGCATACTGACCATGAGAGGAGCTTTCTCTCCTGTTGTTGATCTGCGCTCCGTCATTGAAAAGAGGAGAGTCAAACAGATACTGCTGCTTAAAGAGGGAGGCTTTCTGATGCTCGAAATCACAGCGCTGCACAGACAGTGGATAACATTTAGAGAGTGACAAGATTAGACAGACTTTTTAACCTGGTTATTCATGTTTCGCTGTCTGTGGGAACTCCAAACCCAGTATTTTTTCCTCATCAGCTCCACCTTACTCTTCAAGTGAGAAAATGCTCAGAGCAGTTCACACATATACCTTTAAAAAGTTAAGTTGTCATCATGGCTCACCTCATGGCTCAGTCGAATGGCAGCATCAGTGAAGGACTGCCGCTCCCTCTCAAAAGTCTTCTTCTGATGATTGAACTCAACCCAGTGCATACGAAGACGCTCCCACTCCTCCAAAAAGTAGGAATCACTCAGTTCATGGGGAACCGCAGAAGCGAGGCTGTCCTGCAGAGAGAAAATCAAGAGATTGTCTCCAAGTCTGACACAGGCTCAATTTCCCATTAGAGGATTTTAGATTTTTGTGTGCGATTGAAATCAAAACAAACACCTGGAGAAGCTGCTGTTGTAATCTACAAAGCTGCTGAGTCTCCCTCAATTCAGTTTCCAGTTGAGCCAAGAGCTTGTCCTGGTCAGTCACAACATGCCCTGAGAAAAGCAACAGATTATTCTCCTTCATAGACTTTGTTACAGACTAGATCTCTGTGATTTACCTTCAGACAGGATGTGACATAGTCTCCTCTGCACCTGCCTCCAGCTCCGAACCACACCTCCTGTCACATGGTCCCCCAGCGCTGCCTCAGCCTGGTCCAGCTGTAGGTCCTCTGTTTGGGCCTCCTCCAGTGAATCAGTCAGAGTCTTTAGAAAGAGCAGCATTGTGTGTTATTCTGAGTTTTTGTCTCATAAACAGCTTTTTTGAAGCTGCTCTGTAGATTTTGATAATTTAACTCTGTCTTACTCGTCAGGTTTGTATGTGGAGCCAAATAAAGCTTAATCAATGACTGTATAAAAGCAAATTCAAGCTAAAGAATAAGCATAAACAAACAAATCTTTTTATGAGCAGGCTTTGTTATAACTTCTAAACCTCAGTGTGTTGTATTACCAAAAGAGGAAGATCATTTCTATCAGCAGGAAGTCCTGGAACAGTCATCAGAGATTCCCTCTTTTTACCCACGTGCTCCATGTCGACCCTGAGTGAGTGTAACAAAGAGGTGAGGCTGTGTCTCAGCTTCATTGCCTCTCTGAGCTCCGCCTCTCTGCGCTCCAGCATCAGACGCAGGGCAGCTTCTTCTCGCCTGCGAACGAGAGAAAGAAAATGATATGACTCAAAAAAGGAGCGGAGAAAACATTTTAAACAAAGATCAGAAAAAGACAACGTTCAAGACCTGACTGATTTGATTGGCTCTTCTCTTTTGCTGCGGCTTCTTCGTGGAAAGTTCAACACCTCTATGGCTGGATAGAAATACAACACAAGATAGAAAATTCAGTAAATACACAGAACAAACAAATATATGAATTTTGAGGATGAAGTCGGGTCTTACATGGTCCTTTGTGTCTGTCAGATAGCTGTGAAAATCTCTCCTTAAGTCTGTTGCTCTGCTGCTCTCGACGCCTCAGCTCTGTCTCATACTGGTTACACCGCAGCTGCAGACGAGTGCACTAGCACAAGGATTGAAAAGACATTCAAGCAGAAATATCAAAACAGGTCCTCAGGCATGAGCAGAAGTCCTACCTACTTTGGCCTGTTCATATTTCAGCATGTCCTGAAGCCTGGCCCCATGCGCCTCCATCTCTTTTAGCTGCTCCTACAACAAAAAAAATTAACTTTTTTTCCATTGCAATTACAAGTCTGCCATCAACCTATTTGTTATTGTTTTTTTTTTCTACTCACCCTGACTGAGTCACCCTGCTCTCTGTGCTCCTCCATATCAGCCCACCAGGAGGCACTTTGAGGAAGAGGGTTTGAGATGGGATCCCGAAGCTGATGGCACTCTGCAGCAAAATTAAACGAAGTACAAACAGAAAACTTCCAAAGTGAGAGGGGTGGTGAGGATGTTGCTGTCTGGTTTATCTGCATCAACATTTAGGGTTTGAAGTTTAAACCATTTTTACCAGAGTTTTCTGAGAGCCTTCCAACCCTCCTCTGTCCAAACTTGGATGCCATCTGAGTGCAAATCAAATGCAAATGTGAGCGGTGTTTTATCACAACAGGATAAAATCATGCCATTCATAACATTTATCATAGGAACTACGTACTGACAAAGCTGACTACTGTTACAGAAGCACAGGTTGTGTTTCAAGCTCCTCACCTTATCATCAGTCGAGCGTCTTCTTTCATTTGCAGGTGATGGCACTTCTGCTAATTACCACTGACAATGAGCCAGAGCACATAAGCTTCAGAGTTTGAATCAAGCTGCTTCCTAAACTTTCACACAAGTTTAGAGGAGGTCCATAGATGTTTATATCAAAGCACTACTAAAGGGGTTTGTAAGAAAAACAAACACAAACACACCTATTTACAATGAGTTTAACTTCTGTGAAGGGTTGAGCTGATTCAAGGCCAGAATTCATCATGAAGGCCTTAATCTGAAGCAAAATGGTTTATTTAAAATGCAATGTCCTGGTTACTGAAAATCAGGACTTGAGAGTTGATATCTTAAGTTTTCTTCTTTATCCTAGTGGCCCAATGTAAAACAATTAAAACAAGGACACCTACATTACTTTATAGAAACAACCAGGACAGGACGTAAAAACAGAACATGTCCTGGGAAAACAGGACATTTGGTCACCCTAAGATTTCTTTTCTTTTATGAATCCTTCATGGCCATGAGAATTCATTAAAAAACTCTATCTAAAAGAAAGACCACAAAGGAACGAAGGGTTTTCAAAAGGGGAAGGGGGGTGTACCTGGAGGAAAGTAATACATTAGAAATATTAAGTACCTAATGTATGGCATCAATTATTCTATAATTATTGTCATATCCTACCACATTTATCTATTTACTTTTTTATATATAAATACACTCACACACACTGTATATATATTTTATAAATGTACTTATTCTATTATTTATCCAATTGTTTTTATCATTATTATTTGCATATAAATATTTTTTTACTTATCTTGTTTTTGCTTCTTTATTCTTTAATAAGAAGAATAATAAAGTTTATCATTTATAATTGTAATTATTATTATAGCGTTAACTTTTCCTTCTTTCATTCTCTCCTCAACAATTATTACAACTTAAGAGGGGAAAAAGAGGGACAAACACACCTACAAACACACACATTTCTCAACATACATAAAAACACCCACCCACCCACACTTACTTAAACATAGTCATGTAACACCTTCAAACTTCAAATATCTAAATGTTTTGTTTTGTCTCCATTGTCTGTTTGTACTGAGTATATGTTGTCAACCACCTGTCATGATCTTTCTTAGATCACTTAATAAATTAAAAAAAAAAAAAAAAGAAAGAAAGAAAATAAATTGAACATTAACCCTGTTAACACAATCTGCTCCTCTCAGTCACACTATCTTTGAGTTTCTGTTTCGGTGACAAACACATACAAACCTCAGAGTTCATCAGTGTCCAAAAAAGTCTTTATTTGATTTTTAAAAGGTTGCCCACAGTAGCAAAGATTAGAAAGACTCAGATGTGCAGCAGTAAAAGTTTTGGTTGATTGGAACATGATCCCAGCGTGGAAAGTGATCCATGCAACAAGTCACTGTAGCTTCATTCATTCAATTAGAGCAACATTTGGAATTTGTTATCGATCAGAGAAAATTTACTGTGTGGCCTTATGTGTGTTTTTAGTGTTCAATATTTCAACTTGCTGCCAAGTTTCACTTTCCTAAACAGCCTGACTCAATCAAAGATAGCAAAGATAGAATTAAGAGCAACCTGAAGGGGTTGTTAAATATTTACAGACAAAGACAAGATAAAATGTTATTAGACAAACACATGCCTGCACTGACAGTTTGTACCTGTTGTCTCAGCGTAGCAGTAATACATAAACAGCATTAACACATGAATAGGACACTCATCAGTTTAGCTCAAAAGCTAACAATAACTCTGTTGGCCGCAACATTAAAACATAGTTAATTTAAAATACATCAGGTTTCTATTTCTTAAAAGCACTCAGGCTGGATTAATGTGTGATTGTTTTTCTGGCTGTGACACACAACACAAGAGGAACTTGTGCTTTTAGCAGCCAATTACAAGAGCGGAGTTTTATTGCCTGGTTACAGACATCATTAGGGCTGTAAATTGAGACTGGACATGTAAAGTAGTGGGTAAACCAAGGGAGGCTTAATCACTAGTTAAATAGTGTCTTAGTTTTTTTTTCCTAACGTGTAGCATTTGGCCCTGCATCAGTGTAACAGATGGGAGTTATTATAACATTAGTCTTGGCAAACAAGTAGAAAAATTCCCGCCCCTGAACCCTTCAGTCCCATGTTGCATTTTCCCAAGAGGTGCAGCTGGTCGATCCACAGCGATGTCAAGTGGGAGTGGAGAAAGTCTTCAACAAATAAATTCTGAAATCCCCCATGGTTTCCTCTGCTGTAGACAGATAAGACACGAACTTAACCAAGCGACAAATAAATAATCTCTACAGTGATGGGTCATTAGATGAGTTCAGTGTAGAAAATGAAGCTTTTTCATGGGATGGTTGAGGCCACACTGATGTTAATCATGCTGAACGATTTTTAAGCAACTGAACGTCAGAAATATTTCTCATAGGACTCCGTGTCATTAAAATCAGTGTTATTTTTTAAAATTGTGAACAAATTTAAACAAGTCATGTGTTTTATAAAAACAACTAAGACAGCCAACACAAAGAGAGCTCTGTTGGCAAAGCCTCCATTTTATGTATGGGAGTATTTTATTGAGCCAGTGTCAGTCACGAGTGATAAGAATGAGTACTCAAAGAAAATCCAAAACTAAGAGAAATCGAAAGAAGATTATTCAAATCAATCCAACAAATATGGAAACAAGAATCAGCACATGTAAATTACAGTATAATAATTCCACCGACATAAAAAAAGTCTTCACACCTGTTAATAATGAGTTAATCTTAGACAAAATTCTCATATAAATACAGCAAATATATTTTGTTTTAGCATTGCCAATGTAAAGATTTGCCGCCTTTCTTTATGATTACTGCACACATTATTGTGTTTCATGTTGACAGTGGGCGATAGGAGCCAATATTAACCCGGGATATCCACCGCATCTGGAATGGCTCCTATCTGGAACGATGGTAATTTTTGCTGTACACCAGTTCCTTCCGCATTTGTGAGGCGAATTTCGTGGCAGATTGCGAGAACTTGCAAGAACCTGCGGATTCACATGCAATTGCGCGATAACAAGTTGCCTTTGGCCACATAGGCTAACCATATAAACAGTAGGTCGTGTCCTTCCAGAGGAGGAAATCTACTTCTAGACTTATAAAATCAGTATCCTCTCATCCATGGTGTCATCTGAGTGAAATGCTGTCTATAAACCTTTTCACTTGTTCATCTTCTTGCCTCTACCCGGGACGCGCCTTTTCCCCCCCCAGAAAGTTGCAAAATCGCATTACGCTCGATGTGTACAGTCAGGCGCGTCAAAATTCGTCTCCAAATATTTCGCAATTTCGCATCGTATATTTGCGTCGTTCCCGGTGTGTAAGGACCTTAAGTAATCCAAAGATGTCAATTTGAAATATTGCTCTGGTTATGATTTCAATAAGAGACAGGAAGAATCTGTGAAAATCAATTCAATCAAAATACCATACTTTTATCACAACCAAAACTTTGAAGACAGACTGCCTGAATACAGTTGAGGGACTTCAGAGAAAGAAACATCAGACCCACCTCAGAACAGGGAACAGGACTTGGGGGGTCTGAAAGGATTATCACTGGAGGGCACCCCAACCAGGAGAGGGTCCTTGGCGGCATTTTGCAGACAGAAGTTTCTCAGCTCAGCAGCCGCTTGGGACACCTGTGGAGCCAGGTAAATGAAGAAGATGACGATGGTTTTAGAGAGAGAAAACATGGACAGTCTATCACAGGTCGTGTGACTTCTGCCCAAGTCTTCCTCCACAACCTCTCTCATTTACGTACCGAGTAGCACTTTTGCATACAGTTTGCAAACAACGGTGGGACACACAAACGAGGGAGACGCTCTGTAACTTTGTGAAAACAGCCTGACTGACGCTTTAGGAAACTCTCTCAGAGGTTTCAGTGTTACAAACTGTCATTTTCGTCGAAATGCTGGTGTTTCAAGGCGGCAACAGGTCGTAAGAAAACAGCTGACAGTCGTCAAAACCCGGAGGAAACATGTCGCTTTGTAATTATAGTTAAAAACACATTCACTGTGTCACTTTGAGAAGTCTGTGATGTAAGAGTTCAGTGTGTGTCATTTCTACAACAGTTTGTCTCCGCCATTCAGCAGCAGCAGCAGCAGCGGCGGCTCTGTTCCGTCTTCCGTGTTTGTGTGTCAGTGTTGAGGGGGTTCGTACCTTGATTCTCCGGATACTGGCCTCTAACCGGAGCTGCTTCACGGCCCTCTGAGCGATGATTAAGTTGTTGCTTGCATTGTTGTTAGACATGGCGGCGACTGTCGACGGAGAAAAGTTGAGGACTACTCAATATGAAAGGCCACCAGCGAGCGGAAATTAACCCCAACTGCTCCAGACCCTGAACCCGACTAGGGAACGTTGGACATTCGACGCCCCGCCCCTCTATGCGAACAAGCTATCCGATTAGACTAGAGGCCTGTCAATCAAAAGTGGAGCGATAGCCAGCCCCCACACTGAACACTGGCCAGTGTTTGGAGTTTCCTCGAGAGCAGAGCAGTGGAGTTTACTTTGACCTTCAGCTGGAGAGTAAACAACAATAACACAGTATTTTTATCCGCCTATTTAATCTAAATAGCTACACAATTCTTCTTGTGCTAAAAGAATTGCTTTCAAAATCACTGCATCCATTAAGTGTTAGAAATACTATTACAGGGGAGAGTAGGGTAAGTTGAGCCACCCCCTGTTGCTTGGAAATGGTAAAAGAAATTGATCATGTGACCAAATATTAAGGAGATGGCCATCAATTCATGGAGTCTGTGAAGGTTAGAAGCACACAGGTGAAGGGGTTAGACATTTATTTACAAAAAGAAACATTTTTCACTCTTGAAAGTGAATTTAGTCTGTCATAAGTTTTATTAGAATTGTGTTCAGACCAAAAAAGATCATTTAAAATTTGTTTTATACACCAATTGTGGTATATATGAGCTTTAACATGAGGTAAAAGAAAAAAAAAATAACATAAAAGTCCACCATTTTAGTTTAGAGGACTAATAAAGTCATAATAGTAGTTCAGGGGTAAGTTGATCCAGTGGCTCAACTGGGAAAGTAAAGAAGTCTGATGAGAGGATCAGAGTTTCAGTTCAGATTGTTGAAATGTTTGACTTTTTCTTTTCAAAAATACAGCTATGAATGTTCTGAATCAATTAAAGACATCCTCATGTTAAAACGACTTTTTACAGAACAGCTTTTTAGCAGTTATATACATAATAAAAAGAATTATCGTACCAGTTGAATAGTGTATAATAGATAAAAATACACATGAATGTGAAGAAGTGACTGTTATTTAGGAAGAGAGAAGGCGAGGGAGGGCTGGGTGGAGAGTGAGGGTAGTAGGGATACGGCTCAACTTACCCCGCTCCTATGGTCAACTTACCCCATACACAGGGTATCAATCAATCAATCAATCAATCAATCAATCAATCAGATTTTATTTATATAGTGCCAATTCACAACAGTTGTCATCCCAAGACGCTTTCCAAAGAAAAAGAGCAGGTCTAGACCACGCTCGTTGTTTGATGAATTATCAAGACCCAACCTAAGATGGGATTTGGCCCATCTCATCTAACATGAGTGACAGTGGTGAGGAAAAACTTCCTTTAAACAGGCAGAAACCTCGAATAGGACCAGACTCATGCTAGACAGCCATCAGGCCACTGCTGAGTTGGGTTGCTGGGTTCACCAATGCCTACTGAGGTGTTTTTTGACTTAACATCTACCAGTGGGTGGGAAGAAAGGCACTTTTTTCCAATCATAACGCTCAGTTGTGTGATACCACGGCTACCTTTTAGATTCAAACCACTGATGCTGCAAATGCACTTTTGTCAGGCAGGCAGACCACTCTTGTATTTTACAAACAGTAAACCAGTCCAAATCACCATAAATCAAATTTTCCTGTAATTATTGGGGATTTGATGTATTGTTTGAATACATGTGTATTTAAATACCAGTGTGTTGTTGTTGTTGTTGTATTATTCCATTACTAATGGTCAAGAGTTATCATATATGATATATCAAAGAGTGAAAGACCAAGTTTAAACTTCATTGGAAATTTTACAAATGAAGGTCCAGAACAAAATGCTGCTGATAATCTTTATTTCATTTTAACTTGGTGGTTTGATTTTGATTTCACAATCATTTAAATGTGATAAAACAGAGTGTGATATGTGTGATGAAGTGTGATATGATTGATTATATTGGATATGTGAAGTAGAAGTAATACTGGAGAATAAAAGGTGCTTGTGAAAGTTTGTAACCAGCTCACTCAGCTGACTTTTCCCCTAAAGATAAGGAAAGAAACACAGAAAACATGAGAGTTATTTTCGTGTTATTCAGTGTTTTAAGACATCAGCCCTTTTGCCAATCTAGAATCTAATACTCACAAGCAACAGGTCCGATGGTGAGGCTCTCCATGGCATCAGAGTTGGACACAGAGCGAGCTCTCCTCCTTCCACAGGACTTAGAAAAGTGACAGATAATGTCACCATCCATTTATTTTTAATAACAAGGGTTTTGCATAGATAATGATACTTATGAAAATACTGTTTGACTTAGGGACACAGATGGAGTTCCTTCGGTCACACAAGCTGAGATTACAATGGAGATAAATATCTCTGGATTCACCACCTGGCAGGAAGAGCAGGGCAGTGAATCGAGCACGGGAAGACCTGCCGCTCTCAGTCACAGACACCAGTTGGCTGTCAACGGGACACCTGGAAGAGAGAAGCAGCAACTTATCAGGTCAAGAGAGCTTACAGTATAAATGCACATTTAACTTTTCCATCATACTCATCAAACAATACTCTTAGACTTGAAGACTCTCACCTGTTCTGGATAATAGAGTATCGCCCGGGATCATTAGGGGAGGATGAATGAGAGGCGTGGCAGTCTTCAAGAACAACAACAAAGTTGGGATCTCTCCCTGGTACAGAGACACCCACGAACAAAGGTGAACCCATAGGCAGGCTGACCCGGCCGGGTGGATAGGTCTGAGTGTAGGCCGAGTTGATGAAAAGAGACATCAAGGCCCTGGTTCTGGGACCCAAGCCGGAAATTCCACCAACTGCTGCCCTGCAAAGACCATACTGTTTATTTCAAGGCAGCCAAAACCTGTTTATACATCCTCTTTTAGTTATTCATCAAATTACTATATTTCAGCATTTCAGAGTGCTCTGAACACGTCTTTGTGTTTTGAGTTGATTCAGAAATATACACCATGCAGCAAATTGAAACATTTCTGTGTCTGATCAAGTCAAGTCATCAAAGAATTAACCACTGTGGAGGTTTAGTAACTCATTTTACTGTGAAAAGCTTGCTTCCCCTTCTCAAATAGAGATAAATGCACACTTGGCAGGATTTAGGATTTGTCATCCTGTGTGTTCACAGTGTTCAACCCTACAGCTATGGCACTCACCACTGTGAGTTGAATAAACTCCAAAACAATTATGATTGTTGTCATTAATTATATAATGATGGTAATAATAATAATAATAATAATAATAATAATAATAATAATAATAATAATAATAATAATAATAATAATAATAATAATAATAAAAGAACATCAACAAAAAGAAGATGTTGTGAGGATTAGAAAACATTGGTATTCTTTGTGTTGTATCTTAAAATGTGATATGCCTTTACTATTATCACTGTATTTTTTATCATAGTTATTTTGACAGAGTATAAGGTTTGGGGTTTACTTGATGTGTTTGTAGAGGTAATAACTAATTAGAGGCTACTTACGGCAGCACTGGTCTGATAACCACATCCAGGCTGGTGTCCAATTCCAGGGGATACGCACAGGAGAAGGGGACGCTCTCAGGAAGGTTAAAGGACCCGTTGGTTGAAGGATAGATAAATAAGCTGTTGGAGTAGATGGCATGTGTGCTGTTGGTCTGAAAATAACAGAATGATTGTGTTATCAGGAAGTTTTAATGACCAAACTTGACAAAAAAGATCTTATCTTACATCTTTGATTCAATCTGATTCTCAAAGTAAAACCGGTCAAGTCTTTACCGTCAGAGTGGTTCCACAGACACCCTCCCTGGCCTCCACCTCATACCACACTACACTATCGTTCACTTGGTTCCAGGAGCAGTTGGCAGATGCCAAGTTGCCAGAGAGTGGGTTCAAACCGGAGGATGTCAGGCCAGCTATATCCACCCCCAATCGAAGTTTATCTGGGCTACAAATGAGCAGGTAATGCTGAGGTGTAGGGACTGAAAAAAGACAGCAGAAAACAACTTTGAACCCCAAATCCAATATGGATGCAGTCTGTAATTGATGGCTCACTGCCATTACAGGTCACATACTGCATCCAGATGCGTCCACTCCCCGGTCCAAAAGCAGCATTCATTGGTGCTGACAGGGCCCTACCACAGCCTACCTGTCTGCAGACCACCTCAGCATCCTCCAGATGCCAGAGATCATCACACACTGTCCCCCATTCTGATTCATGGAAGATCTCTACTCTGCCAGAGCAAAGATCGTCCCCATCCACCAGGCGGACGTCCCCCTCAGCTGGTGAGTTGTTTCCTGCTGTTGTAGAGAAAGACAAAGAAAGTATTTGAAAAGCCAATGTTTCAGTACTAAATACTTCATCTCTTCTTTTTCATCTTTAAGTTATTTGTTCCGTCATTAGTGTGGATCAGACAGTGCAGGAAAAGGAGGGAATGGGCAGGGAGTGACATGCAGGAAGGGAGCGACTGGCTGGAATCAAATCTAGAGTCTGATTGAGACAAAACCTTTGAAAAAGGGGTACACACTTGGACCACTAGGCTAGTAGTCATCAGCATATTTCAGCCTCAGAGAAAGAATAAAATTTAAGGCCGAAGATTAGGCTGACAAGTGTGGTGTCACCACAGACGGCTTGTGACACATTTTGATGATATGTATTTACCTTCACAGATGACACCAGCACCCTTTTATTCAGTTGATTTAAAATCCCCAGAATAATCACACACACGCATCAATTCTCATCAGAGGATGATGTCTGTGAACCTACATCTATGAGGACCAGATTTTGTTTGAAATTAAGATTCTGCAGCTGATTGACATGACCTCCTCTTGTAGCGACCCCACAATGTTCAGGATTACTTAACTTGATTTGAGTTGGAATTTGGACTATGATGCTTTAAAAAGCATGATTGAAATTACTCAAAAATGTGACACTGATATTCCTGAGGGGAAAAAAATGAAATTTTGTGCAAGAAAAGACTTAGTCGTTAAAGTAAATCTTCATGATAAAAGTGTCTTATTGTCCAAGCCCACATAAGAAGTCAGCTGGTTTACCTGAGGTGCTTGCAGTGAAAATCTGTAAAATTAGAACCAACAAAAGCCCCTTGAGAGCCCCCATTATGGACCAGATCCACGATACTAAAGTGCTGAAAAAGAAGAAAAGAGATGTCTTTGAACATGTTTTTAAAAAGCATTGAATTAAATTCTTTGTCTGTCTTTGCACCAACCTTGGAGCTGCTGTAGAAGTCCTGGATGGAGAGTCTGAAGGTGAAGTTCTTTCACGGAGAGTGAGAATTTATACCTGTTTGTGAGTCCACCTACCTGATTGTGAGACATTTATTGGCAAAAAAAAGCAAGAAATGAGCACTGATACATTCAAGGATATAATTCAATCAGATCCGGCATAGTAAGACCAGAGTGTCAAATTGGCATATTTTGTTGTTTTCCAATCAATTTTTTGTGAGAGTTGGAAAATGGAAACCTCTTGACCTTAAAAAGTTTGCACATTCCAGCATCACTCTTTTCATTGACTTTCCTCTTTTGTTAACGACTGAAATACTGTGGAGTCTCTGAGTGTCAAGGAGACCACGTATAAAGTAGTTTGATGGTATTATCGCCTTAAAGACTGAAGCGCTTGATTTGTCTCGTGCTTCTAACTGCATATCAACATTTTCTAAGTCCAGTCAGCTTGCAGCTAAAATCACCCAAAACATTAAATTCATTATTAAGTTTACCTAGAGAACGAGTGCTTTGTTAACTGTCTACTTCTACTGTCTACTACATCATGATTGACTGTGAGCCACTTGGTCTACATAGCAGGAGTTTTGTTGACTTACTTTAAATTTCAGTAATTTTTTTCTTTCATGAAACAAATGTTTGTTTCTCTGAAATTTGGAGCAGTACGTATTAAACAAGAGAAAAAAAACAGAAACCTTCCTTAAGTAAATGACCTGTGACCTAAAATGTGATTAGGATGTTTTAGACTTGTGAAAAAGTGTACTGTACATATTAACCCAAAAAATTAAAACACTTTAGAAGTTAAATATCATATAAATAAAACCTCAACATTTTAGTCTCACTGCTGAAATAAAATGTTATGAGGAAGCACATCAGGGTGAAGACTATCTCAGACACTTAACTGATAAGATATCAAATCAAACATTGAGCAGGGAGAGATTTATGGTGTTTTTTGATCAGTCATGAATGAAAGTGTGTGTCATAAATTACCCATGGCATGACGAGTCATTGGAGCCACATGGTGTATGAGTTAAGGCTGGAAAAGTGAATGTTCATATCCAAACAACAAAGACTCCAATCTCCTCTGAAGGTTTTCTACAAGTAAGTTTCTAACTTTAAAGTTTTCTTTGCCAACTCCCATTTTGAATGACTTTACAAAGCTGCGGAGATGAAAGCAGAAACAGGATCGAGTCATTTTTGTTTTTTTAATCCCAGGGAAGACGCTCTGGGTCCGCTCCATTAATTTTGATTAATTCAGGACAATAAAACAAGGCTAATCCAGGGCTACCAAGCATCTAAGTACATTCGTGTTAGATGACCTAAAGTTGTCATTTGATCTTAACAAATCAATATTGTTATTCACTTGTTTACTTAAAGAAAAGAAGAAACAATGATAACAATCAAAAAAAGAAATGTTTTAATGATTTTTGAATGTTTGCTTTTAACATGTTTTTTTCTGACCTTCATAATGACCCTCCTGACTGTTAAGCACTTCACCTTGAATTGCCTTATCTGCTGAAATGGGTTATATAAATGCACTAGTCTGGCCTTGTATTACCCCTGCATGTTATCCTATTTACGTATAATTCAATATGCTACATATTAATTTTAAGCTTTGTTAATATTTTTTTGCCATGATGTTATATGATCCATCACATCTTAGACAACATACCCGGACTTTTTTGACACAAGTGGCTAAACTAAAGTATCTACTTTCACATTGCAGACATGGAGCAAATTTATTTCCTTCCCCGTGTTTCATGTCAAACCTCAACTCTGTTTTATTTTGATACTCACCTTTGTCTCCACCCTGAGTTATGAACTAAATCTGCCCACGACACCTACCCCTTCCCTCTCTTGTTACTCGCAGCAATGTGTACCACTTCCTTTTGGCTGTCTGTTGGATGTTTTAACAAAGTTCATTAAATGTGAATTTGATATAAAGGCTCTATGACACAACTAGTGTTGTTCCACTCAAAGTTCCATCTTCACAACAAGTGATCTGTCTGGTCTTAGTGAGGATGGAGTGACTTAGGGTTAGGTTATGACACCAAACAATGAATACATAAAAAGTAAGAAAAAAACACTCAGTTGATTTAATGATGTATTTTGATCAGTCAAAAATAAAAGTGTTTGACATGATTTAAAATAAGGGTAACACTTTACAATAACCATAACTTATAAATGGTAAATAAACCATTTATAAATGGTAAGCAGAAAGTTTATTAATGTTTAATCATCATTTATAAATAGCATATAGACCATTAATAAATTATAAATGATACAATTTTAAAAACCTAACCCTAACCCTAACCCTAACTTTACAATAACCAGTGAGGTTGGAGTGACTTAGGGTTAGGAACTTTTTGCTGTAAAAATGGATCGTTATAACACCAAACAATGAATGCATAAAACATTAAGTAAAAAACACTCAGTTTAATTAATAATATCGCCACTTTACAATAACCATAATTTATAAACGGTGAATAGATATTTTTTTAATGTTTAATCATCATTCAGAAACAGCATATAGACCTCGTTCTAAACTACATCTTCTGATGCAACCTGAACACATCATCAGTAATGTATCCTGGGTTCATAGGGTGTTTCGGATCTTGCAACATTATACACCCTCGCCCAGGCAACCCAGCCGCGGTTGATCAAGCCGCGGCTTGTGTTCAGGTGGCATTCACTTGTCCCCATGGTTCTCCTCTTCGGATCCAGAGCCATCTCGAGGCTTTCTCAGCTGCCTCATAGGTGTTCTTGATGGCTCTGCTCCTTGCTGTTCCCGTAATGCCCAACACGCTCAGGGCTTTGTGGAGTGAGCGTCCCACAAATCCCCTGCTGCCAACTTCGATGGGCATACATCGTGCCTTCCAGCCCTGTTGACGACATTCGATTACCAGATGTTCATACTTGGTCCTCTTCCTTTCATGGGCCTCCCCCAAGCGGTCCTCCCATGGCACCGTCAGCTCCATGATCACGATGTTCTTGGTGCTCTCTAAGACCAGGAGGATATCTGGCCTCAGGGTGGTGCTGACAACGTGCTGGGGGAACCGTAGCTGCTTCTCTAGATCTACCGAGAGCTGCCAATCTTGGGCAGTTGCCAGGATCCCTGCTGGTGCCTTCTTGCCACCTGCCTTTGGCTGAACTCCTGCTTTGACAAAAGCGATGGTGTTGGTGGTGTTTCGCACCTGGCAACAGTTGCTGATACCCCTGCTAATGGCTTCAGCAATTGGCTTCAGCACCTGGTTGTGGCGCCAGGTGTATCGGCCCTGGCCGAGTGCTGTTGGGCAGAAGCTCAGGACGTGTTCCAGTGTTCCTCTCCCTGAGCACAGCTGGCAGCTCGGGGTCTCCGCCTTCCCCCAGGTGAATAAATGGCAAATAGATAGTTTATTAACAAGCAATGAAATAATGATTAATAATTTTTAGTAATTATTAATGGATTATTAATTAAAGGTTTATATAGGATTTAAATATTGGTTGTAAAACATCAAGATTAAAATGTGTCAGTAGCACTTTGTGAATGGTTAATATTTTTTTTTTTAAACCATCTATAGACATTACTTAGATGGTTATTGTAAAATTGCAACTGATGTTTGTAATACGTTGTAAATGATTAATAAGTGGTTTATAAACCACCTATACACATTTCTAAGATGGTTATTGTAAAGTTAGGGTTAGAGTTAGGGTTAGGTTTTTAAAATTGTAAAATTTACAATTTATCTATGGTCTATATGCTATTTATAAATGATGATTAAACATTAATAAACTTTCTGCTCACCATTTATAAATGGTTTATTTACTATTTGTAAGTTATGGTTATTGTAAAGTGTTACACTTATTTTAAATCATGTCAAACACTTTTATTTATGACTGATCAAAATACATCATTAAATCAACTGAGTGTTTTTGTTTTTTTTCTTTTCTTACTTTTTATGTATTCATTGTTTGGTGTTATAACCTAACCCTAAGTCACTCCAACCTCACTAAGACCAGACAGATCACTTGTTGTGAAGATGGAACTTTGAGTGGAACATCATAGAAACACGAGCTGTGTTATTAGAGCCTTCATATCAAATTCACGTCTTATGAACTTTGTTAAAACATCCAACAAACAGCCAAAAGGAAGTGGTAAACACTGCTGTGTGTAACAAAAGAGGGATTGTGTAGTTCATAACTCAGGGTGGAGACAAAGGTGAGTATCAAAATTAAACAGAGTTGAGGTTTGACATGATACATGGGGAAGAAGGAAATAAATTAGCTTCATATATCAGACACGCAACTTTCTTTTTTCTGTTGTGTTGGCCATCGAAGAGCAACAGCAGCTCATCTCACTGTTACAAGTGTATGTCATGAAACCATAACATGTACCAGATTGACCATCGTCCTCTTCCCTGTCCTCTATCAGTCTGTGTCACTAACTTTAGTCTTTTCTGTGAGTCCCTAATTTCTATAATCCAGTATGTTCCTCTGGATCGTTGCTGCAGAAATCTTGCTGCTATGGACCTGTCTGTTCTCCAGCTGCTAGAGTAAGAGTAGGAATATGGATTAATCACGACCGGCCATGCATGCAGCAGGTTATAGATGCTCTTGTCTACTCTCTTACTTTTGTCTTATTTTTCTCTTTTCTTGCAAGAACTTTTTCACTGAATTTCTCCCAGTATGGATAAAAGAAGTTTAGCAGTAGTTCATCAGTGGTGATATACTGCCTTTTGCCCCTGCCTGGACCACTCTCACCAAGTCTGTACAATTCCACCCTGTGAGCCTTACTTTTCCTCTGCCCCCACAACACCATGACAGGCAGACAAATAAGAGATAACACATACCAGAATTAGAAGTAAATGGACATCATGCCTGATGTATCAAGTAGTCAACTTCATGTGAACACAGCTTTTTGTTTTGTGAATGATTATGAGTTGAGTGGAAAATCAAATAGACCGTATTTTTTTAGGATTTTACTGTCCGTCAGATTCAGCCTGAAATGTTCAGCCACTAGAGGGCAGTGTTATTTAAAAGAACACGCAATCCTGCATTTTTACATAGTTGACACTTTATTGAGCACTTCAATTGCATTCACAAATCTGTCATTGATTAAATCGCAACTTAAGAAAGATATACTTGGTCCAAGACAAAGTGCATTTTGAGAATCGTGTGTATACAGTAAATTCACATGGTGTAGGTACTTCTCACTTCTATATCTTGGTTTGATTTCAACCATTTAAATGTGTCAGAACAGAGGAACAACATGAAGTCTGATATGACCGCTAATCTGGAGTAACTTTTCTCATAGTTTGATGTCTTGTTAATGTAAGATACATGCAGTACAAAATAGTATTACAGTCTAAAATGAGTTTGTAAAAGTTTGTGACCAGCTCACTCAGCTGACTTTTCCCCTAAAGATAAAGACAGAAACACAGAAGACATGAGTTATTTCTGTGTTATTCAGTGTTTTAAGACATCAGCCTTTTTACCAAATAGAAACTAATACTCACAAGCAACAGGTCCGATGGTGAGGCTCTCCATGGCATCAGAGTTGGACACAGAACGAGCTCTCCTCCTTCCACAGGACTTAGAAAAGTGACAGATAATGTCATCATCCATTTATTTTTAATAACAAGGGTTAAGCATAGATAATGCTAATTATGAAAATACTGTTTGACTTACTGGGATACAGATGGAGTTCCTTCGGTTACACAACCTGAGATTACAATGGAGATAAATATCTCTGGATTCACCGTCTGGCGGGAAGAGCAGGGCAGTGAATCGAGCACGGGAAGACCTGCCGCTCTCAGTCACAGACACCAGTCGGCTGTCAACGGGACACCTGGAAGAGAGAAGCAGCAACTTATCAGGTCAACAGGGCTTACAGTATAAATGCACATTTAACTTTTCCATCATACTCATCAAACAATGCTCTTAGACTTGAAGACTCTCACCTGTTCCGGATAAGAGGGTATAGCATAGGATTATTAGGGGAGGATGAGTGAGAGGCGTAGCAGTTGTCCAGAACAGCAACAAAGTTGGGATCTCTCCCTGGTACAGAGACACCCACGAACAAAGGTGAACCCACAGGCAGGCTGACCCGGCCGGGTGGATACATCTGAGTGTAGGCTGAGTTGACAAAAAGAAACACCGAGGCCCTGTTTCTGGGACCTGATCCAGAAATTCCACTTGCTGTCCTGCAAAGACCATATTGTTAATTTTAAGGCAGTCAAAACCTGTTTATACATCCTCTTTTAGTTAGTCCAACAACTTTAGTTAGTTGGAGCTGTGCCCCAAGGCACTATTGTTATACTGTGGAGTTTTTCTTATTCCTCTTCCTGACATATTTCAATTTCGCGACTAGTCCTACAGTTTAAAGGGCCGTGGAATAAATTACATATATTAACGTGTGACTTGATTAGGATCGGTGTATATACTATGGACAACTTGGTTCTGCCTTTCGCCAGTATATGGATTTGAAGCCGAAAAGCTTTCAGTGATTCTGCGTTTTGTCTCCATTTCGTGAAACCAACATTGCGCCATAGCATTGTACGCACTCCACTACTTGCACAGTAGCATTGTGCGCATTCGGGGGAGAGTCGCTGTGATGACACTCAGCTGAAACAGCGTATCCCTCGGGTGAGCTACGCAATCTTCGTACGCCCATAGGCTGTATCGAGTGTCAATCATAGAAACCATGAACCCCCAAATAACTTTTAAAAAGTGAAAAAAGAGGACTTGAGCACAAACCAGTCTTACTGTAACCACATGTCAACATCGCAACCAAGGGGGGAGAAACATTTATATTCTGTGTAATTAATTTCTAAAGTTTGTCCACAGCTCCATTAAGTTTGCTTGAGGAGGCGGGATTTATGACCTATACTGCAGCCCGTCACCAGAGGGTGCTGTTCACAGGGTGGCTTCACCCAGCGAGGAGGCAGACGGCATCCATTCTGTATTCAGTCTATGGCTATTACTTTTTAACATTGTATGTGTATATAGAATGGACAGGTTCAAGTTTTCTATGATTGACACCTGATACAGCCGATGGGCCCACAAGGATTGCTTAGCTCACCGGGGGGAAATGCTGTTTGAGCCGAACGTCATCGGAGCGACTCAGCGACTCTCCCGCCGGATGCGTACAATACTACTGTACAATGTTGGTTCCAGGAAATGAAGGAAAAATGCGGACTTACCGAGAGCTTTTTGGCTTCAATTTTGTATACTGGCGGACGGCGCAACCAAGTTGTCTGTAGTATATACAGTCTATGGCTGAGACCAATTCCTTAACCAGGGACTGCCCTGATGTCTGCATCATTTAATCACTTTCAGAGCGATTTCATTAATGATCAAAAAGCGGCCTCTGTTGTGACGTATGTCACAAAAAACATAAAAAAATTTTGAAGTCAATGGGACAAGCAGAAAAAAGAGCAATTATTGGAGTTAAAGGAATGTTTGTTGTAGTAGTGCTCCTTGTATATAAAATCACAATAGTATTAACAGTATTAACAGTATTAATTATTTACAGTCTCTGAAGAATCTCATCATAATGTACACACCTCCACTAACCTCCAACGCCCGTTCAAAATTTCCCAGAGGGAATTTTCTAGTTCCTCTTTAAATGACTAGTTTTAAGCATTTCAGAGTACTCTGGACATATCTTTGTGTTTTTAGTTGATTCAGAAATATACATCATGCAGCAAATTGAAACATTTCCGTGTCTCCTAAAGTCAAAATCAGAGTACGTCCTAAAAGTACATCAAGTCCACTTCAGAGTTAATAAGTAATTAGAGGCTACTTACGGCAGAACTGGTCTGATAACCACATTCAAGCTGGTGTCTAATTCCAGGGGATACGCACAGGAGAAGGGGACGCTTACAGGAAGGTTAAAGGACTCATTGTTTAAAGGATAGATAAATAAGATGTTGGAGTAGATGGCATGTGTGCTGTTGGTCTGAAAATAACAGAATGATTGTGTTACCAGAATGTTAACTTTGGATGATATGATGTTGTCAGTAGCATTACAGACATGACCAAACTGTACCAAAAAAGATCTTTTCTTTTATCCTAAATACAATCTGATTCTCAAAGTAAAACCGGTCAAGTCTTTACCGTCAGAGTGGTTCTACAGAGACCCTCCCTGGCCTCCACCTCGTACCACACTACATTATTGTGCACTCGGTTCCAGGAGCAGCTGGGGGATGCCAAGTTGCCAGAGAGTGGGTTCAAACCGGAGGATGTCAGGCCAGGTATATCCACCCCCAATCGAAGTGTATCTGGGCTACAAATGAGCAGGTAATGCTGAGGTGTAGGGACTGAAAAAAGACAGCAGAATACATTGCATGTGAAAACATAAAATTGTAGAGCGTAAGTCCTCTAAAACAAAAATCACAAAGTTTAAAAACATCAATTTAATGAGAGACATGTTTTTATGCCGGTACAGCTTAAAGAAAATAAAGTAACCCTATAAGAATCAAAGTGGGTTAAAGAAAATGGATTTACCTCCACAGACAACTCCAGCATCTTCATGATGACCACAATTGTGGTTCCCAAACCCTCCATTTCTGCAGTCTGCTAAAGATGTTTCATTGCCAAAACAGCCCAGATCATCCATCCAGATGGGTCCACTGCCCAGTCCAAAAGCTGCGTTTGAAAAGCTGAAAAGAGCAGCACCACAGTCCAGCTGTCTACACACCACGTTGGCATCCCTGAGGTCCCAGAAATCATCACACACTGTCCCCCACCGTCCATCATGGTAGACCTCCACTCTGCCAGAGCAGGGGCTGCCAGAGTTTACCAGCCTCACTGGAGCAGCAGCTGATGGGAAATGTAAGTCATGACATTAATGATATGAACACATCTCAAGTGTAAACTTCATAAAGACAATGTGCTGTAATACTAAATACTTTATCTCTTCTTTTTGATCTTTTTAGCTTTTTGTTCCATGATTAGTGTGGATCAGAATTTTGACAATGCAGGAAAAGAGGGAATGGGCAGGGAGTGAAAAGAGAAATAATAAGATTTAAGGCTGAAGATTAGGGTGACAAGTGTGGTGTCTAAGTCATGTTTTATGTAATCTAGTTGGTGACAGATTACTAAACTGTTTTCAGCTTGATAAAGTACCACAGACGGCTTGTGACACATTTTGATAATATGTATTTACCCTCACAAACAACACCAGCATCCTTAATGTGTCTACAGTCATGATTTCCAAACCCTGGGTGCCTGCACTCACTGAGCTCTGATTCATGACCAGTGCATGAAACTTCATCCATCCAGATGGGTCCACTGCCTTGTCCAAAAGCTGCTAATTGTGGTGCTGACAGTACCCTACCACAGCCCAGCTGTCTGCAGACCACCTGAGCATCCTGCAGACCCCAGCTATCATCACACACTGTCCCCCACTGTCCAAGGTGGAAGATCTCTACTCTGCCAGAGCAGGAGCTGTTCCCATTAACCACACGTACCTCCCCCTCAGCTGTTGAGTTGTTTTCTGCTGCTGTATTAAAAGATAAAGAAAGTTTTCTGAATAGTCCCCAACATTCTACTGCCCCCTCCAGCTTTAGCATTGTTAAACAATGATTCACAGTCCTGGGAAAAACTCTTGAAATATAACCTTGTATTTTTTTAATAACCTGTGTATCTTATATCAGTGTATCTCTTTATCTTGCTTAAATATGTATTCACATCTAAACAACAAAGGGTTGGACTCCTCCATGGAGCCTGGTTGGGCTCAGTCTGAAGAAACAGCAAGAAGCCACTGCCCTGTGGGCCCATCAGCCTCAAGGCTAGGCAAGGTGTAGTGCATTGGAAGCCTGTCAAGTCATTGCAGTAGGTTTGGGCATGCTTGTTCATGGAGTTATGGATTTGTTCTTGGGATGTGGAAATTTTCCTCACTGGTAGGTAAGGAGCTGAAGTTGCTGCTTTAGGTGAAGTGGTACTGTACAGATGTAGTCAGAACCATTGCACTGGCTCTGGGGCTAAACTGCTGGAGAGAGGCTGGGCTCTCTTCCAGCATGGTCCTTGTGAGTGAGGCACTTGGTAGGTGTGGGGAGTGTTAGAGTTTTCTCCAGGAACCAAGAAGGTAACCTCTCTGAGGCTTCAGGTTGTAGGGGGAAGGCAAAGTCTGTTGTTGCGCATAATGGCCAAGTAGCAGGTCAGCGTACACAACCTTCTTGGAGTTTGTGGGTGGGTCCCTGGAAGAGTTCCCAGCTGGAGGAGTGGTTGGGAATAACAGCCTGCCAGGGCTGAGCTTGGGCAGTGCTTTGGACTTCTTTGCTAGTCATGATTAGCAATAGCTAACACCATGTGTGAGCAAATGGTGGTTCGTAAGTGTACCTGGTATCAAGCTACCCTAGGCTAGAGATCAACTGTCATATCATCTGATCTGCAGTTGTATGTTTCGACATTTTGGGTGAAGAGAGGAACAGAGCTCCCAACTAATCACCACCTAATTAAGAGTGATTATGAATGTCTGGCAAAGGTCCCTATTAGTAAGGTCTTCAACTCCCTCTCTGGAAGGATTTCTTGTGCATCTCAAGAGAGGTTGGGGAAATGGAATCATAATGGACCGTGTTCAAAGCCTCCATTGTAGAAGCAGCCAGTAGCAGCCGTGGCCTGGAGTTAATCAATGCCTGTAGTAGCAGCAACCCTCAAACCTGTTGATGGACACCATTGGTGAGGAAGCAGTCAGACTGAGGAAGGAGATCTTTTGAGCTTGGTTAGCCCAGGGGTCTTTGGAAGCAGCTGAAAGGCCAGGAGGGCTGCAGTCACAGTGGCTGCAAAAGCAAGAACCCCAATGTGAAAAGAATGTGGAGAGGCTATGAAGGAGGACTTTTGGTTGACCTCAAGGAAGTTCTGGCAAACTATCAGGTGTCTCAAGAAGGAAAAGGCAGGCCTTGGCTCAGGCTGTTCTCAGACAAGGTAGAGAATTTGAAGCCAGACAAGGGATTTTATCAGGCAGTGAAAGGAACAACAGACACTTTTTCTGGTCAAATGTAAACCATTAGAGTTGAGGTTGATATGAATAAGTGCCAACACTTACCTTCACAAACCACACTGGCATCTTCAACATGACCACAATTGTGAACCCCAAACCCTCGATGTCTGCAGTGTGTAAGATAGGATTCAATGCCAGAACAGCTCACATCGTCCAACCAGATGGGTCCACTGCCCTGTCCAAAAGCAGCATTTGATAGAGCTGAGCGAGCAGCACCACAGTCCAGCTGTCTACACACCACATCGGCATCGCTGAGGTCCCAGAAATCGTCACACACTGTCCCCCACTGTCCCTCATGGTAGACCTCTACTCTGCCAGAGCAGCGGTTGTCAGAGTTTACCAGCCTCAGTGGTAAAGCAACTGGCTGTAAACCTGAAACACATCAGAGGTATGAGACACATTTAAGAGATAGTTTTTATTAACAAGTTTATTCAAAATCACACATCCGTGCATCTGCTTCTGCTAAAGAGTATTTTGTAATAGCTTCAGAGATGGTGCAACACAATGTTTTTACCTTCACAAATGACACCTGCATCCTCAGTGTGGCTACAATTGTGACTTCCAAACCCTCCGTGCACACAGTCACTGAGCTCTGACTCATGACCAGTGCATGCGACATCAACCATCCAGATGGGTCCACTGCCCGGTCCAAAAAAAGCATCTGTCTGTGCTGTCAAGACTGAGCCACAGCCCAACTGTCTGCAGACCACCTGAGCATCTCGTACATCCCATAAATCATCACACACTGTCCCCCACTGTCCACGGTGGAGGATCTCTACTCTGCCAGAGCAGGAGCTGTTCCCATCCACCAGGCGGATCTCCCCGTCAGCTGTTGAGCTGTTTCCTGCTGTTGTGATGGAGGTCATGTTCACATAGTTGGGAGTAGTAGTTGGTTGAATTGGACCAGGAGTAGCTGTGACTGTGCTGTTAAAGTTTGGATCACCTAAAAGATAAGACTTTTTCAGGTCTGGACACATCTTCAGCCTTCAGGGTCATCAATGGTTATGAGCCAAAGTTCTTTGTTAATTCTACATGTTAATATTCATGATGTAGTTTATTGTTGTTGGATGTAAAATTCAGTTTTCTTCTCATTGAGAGGTGAGTACTGTGAGATTTCTGTGTAAATATTTACCTTCACAGATGACGCTGGCGTCTTCAACATGAGCACAATTGTGGTTCCCAAACCCTCGATGTCTGCAGTTTGTAATGGATGGCTCATTACCAAAGCAGCTCACATCATCCACCCAGATGGGTCCACTGCCCTGTCCAAAAGCTGCGTTTGACAGAGCTGAACGAGCAGCACCACAGCCCAGCTGTCTACACACCACATTGGCGTCCCTGATGTCCCAGCTATCATCACACACTGTCCCCCACTGTCCACGGTGGAAGATCTCTACTCTGCCAGAGCAGGAGCTGCTCCCATTCACCAGGCGGACCTCCCCGTCAGCTGTTGAGCTGTTTCCTGCTGTTGTGGTGGAGGTGATGTTCACATAGTTGGGAGTAGTAGTTGGTTGAATTGGACCAGGAGTAGCTGTGACTGTGTTGTTAAAGTTTGGATCACCTAAAAGACAAGACTTTTTCAGGTCTGGACACATCTTCAGCCCTCAGGGTCATCACTGGTTATGAGCCAAAGTTCTTTGTTAATTCTACATGTTAATATTCATGATGTAGTTTATTGTTGTTGGATGTAAAATTCAGTTTTCTTCTCATAAAGAGGTAAGCATTGTGGGATTTTGGTGATACAATACAGTGCTAACTGGTCTGTGGTCAGTATTAAAAATGAAAGATGAGGTTTTTTTTTCTCATCAGCAACAAACTGTAATCTCAATATTTACCTTCACAGATGACACTGGCGTCTTCAACATGAGCACAATTGTGAACCCCAAACCCTGGATGTCTGCAGTCTGTAATGGATTGCTCATTACCATAGCAGCTCACATCGTCCAACCAGATGGGTCCACTGCCCTGTCCAAAAGCTGCGTTTGACAGAGCTGAACGAGCAGCACCACAGCCCAGCTGTCTACACACCACATCGGCATCCCTGATGTCCCAGCTATCATCACAAACTGTCCCCCAGCGTCCATTATGGTTGACCTCCACTCTGCCAGAGCAGCGGCTTCCAGAGTTTACCAGCCTCACTGAGGCAGCAGCTGTCAACAAACATGAAATAACAAAAGTATGAGGCACATAATAAAACCTGAAATCCTGCAGACATCAGTATTTTTCAGAAGTACTGGATATTGTCATGGATAGTATCATCCCAAAAAGACACTTGATTGTTATTCTTTGGAAACCTCAAGTCCATTTCCCCCCCTGCACACACACACCTATTCCCCGTACACCTCCACCCCTTCTGCCACTCAGCATCTCTCAGTTTTAATTGTTGTCTGACCTGGAACTCTCCTCTAACTACAGATTTTTATCACCTCACCCTCCTCATCATTCTCAACCTCAACAAATTTCTCCTTCCTCATCTGGAATCATTATTTAGTATCTCTGGCATGGCCTGTCCTGGTTCAGGTCATGTCTATCACCCAGGCAACAGTTCACCCAAAATCAACAACTGCTGCTTCTCTACCTTTCCTGTGTCTCACGGTGTACCACCGGGTTCAGTGGTTGGTCCTCTCTTATTTATTCACTGATGATAACCAGATTTACATTTCCACCTGTTCATCATATCCTCCACTCCACACTGACTGACGTCCTCTCAGAAATTAAAAATGGATGCAAACCAACTTCCCTCAGACAAATCACAACAAATTTCACTTCATCATCGGCTCCAAATCCCTCACCAAAACAACCCCCCGACTCCCCCCTTTAAATTCAACAACATAACTCTGTGTCTCCACCCTATCTCACAGACCTGCTCATCTCTAAACCCTGTCCTACAGTCTCCTCTCCTCATACTATACTATTCCTTATGACATCCATGACTGTCCTAATCTACCCACATTCAAATCCCCTCTTTTATGACCTTCTAATAGCTGGAGATGTTTTTTCTTTTGTTTATTTTTAAAAATTGTTTGTTGTTTTATTTGTGTGGTTATGAGTTTGTACAGGATCTTCAAGGACTTGAAAAGCACTTGATCAATTAAATTCAATATTTCTTTCTCTTATATTTTCATTTCAGTTTTCATTTTACTTCAACTTAATTATGTCCCAAAAATGGGCAAATCGGGTTGCAGCACAGGCATTTAAAACACTGCCATACATCATAAAAAGAAAATAAATAACATAGAATACATTTACATAAAAAATTGTTCAGAAGGTAAAAGCATTTAAGACGATTTAGAAGGTAAAAAATCGTCTTTTTTAACTTAATGAATGAAATACTACGTTGAAAGGTGCAAAGTGTTTAGATTTGGTCAAACTCACAAAACTGTTCAAACTCAAAATTAGAGTAATAGGAGGTTGTTCACACGGGAAAACAAAATGTACTCACCCTCACAAACAACACCAGCATCCTCACTGTGGCTACAGTCATGACTTCCAAACCCTCTGTGCCCGCACTCACTGAGCTTTGATTCACTGCCTGAACACGCGACGTCATCCATCCAGATGGGTCCACTGCCTTGTCCAAAAGCAGCAGACTGTTGTGCTGACAGAACCCTACCACAGCCCAGCTGTCTGCAGACCACCTGAGCATCCAGCAGACCCCAGCTATCATCACACACTGTCCCCCACTGTCCACGGTGGAAGATCTCTACTCTGCCAGAGCAGGAGCTGTTCCCATTCACCAGGCGGACCTCCCCCTCAGCTGTTGAGCTGTTTCCTGCTGTTGTGGTGGAGGTCATGTTCACATAGTTGGGAGTAGTAGTTGGTTGAATTGGACCAGGAGTAGCTGTGACTGTGTTGTTAAAGTCCGGATCACCTAAAAGACAAGACTTTGTCAGGTCTGGACACATCTTCAGCCCTCAGGGTCATCACTGGCCAAAGTTCTCTGTTAATTCTTTATGTAAATCTTCATGATGTAGTTTATTGTTGTTGGATGTAAAATTCAGTTTTCTTCTCATAAAGAGGTGAGCATTGTGGGATTTTGGTGATACAATACAGTGCTAACTGGTCTGTGGTCAGTATTAAAAATGAAAGATGAGGGTTTTTTCTCATCAGCAACAAACTGTAATGTCAATATTTACCTTCACAGATGACACTGGCATCTTCAACATGACCACAATTGTGGTTCCCAAACCCTGGATGTCTGCAGTCTGTAATGGATGGCTCATTACCAAAGCAGCTCACATCATCCAACCAGATAGGTCCACTGCCCTGTCCAAAAGCTGCGTTTGATAAAGCTGAACGAGCAGCACCACAGTCCAGCTGTCTACACACCACGTTGGCATCTCTGATGTCCCAGCTGTCATCACACACTGTCCCCCACTGTCCACGGTGGAAGATCTCTACTCTGCCAGAGCAGGAGCTTCTCCCATTCACCAGGCGGACCTCCCCCTCAGCTGTTGAGCTGTTTCCTGCTATTGTGGTGGAGGTGATGTTCACATAGTTGGGAGTAGTGGGAGTGTTTGGTTCAGGTGTTGATGAAGGTACCACAGGAGATGTTCCGTTCACCTCTGTTTACATTAAAAACAGTTAGACACTATTGTTTGACCAAAGGTGGCTTAAATAAATAAGTTATTTTCAGATTTGTGGACAGCAGCTCAGTTGTTTCTTGATTAGTAAGTCATTTATAAGACTGTATCAATTTCCTTTTTGTCTTAATTACTGAGTATAAACTTGTTTTTTGAATTAGCTTTAAAATCAAACAATACCTGCACAGTATGCAAGCCGGCACAGGCCTGGATCAACAAGTTTGTAGACATAGTACTTTCCATAGCAGAGCTTGACATGGATGTTTTGTGAGGCAAAGAGGCAGCAGCTGCCAGCCCAGGAGTTACACACAGTGCGACGTTCAATCCGACCTGGCTGTGTGGGATGAGGTGCTGTTATCCACAAAGGGACATGGGTTCCACACCTGTTTGGAGGCACACACCAATCTGGGATTTGAGCACTGGTTTGTCCCAGAAAAAGCCGATACCAGCCTTGCCAGTAAATATCTCGATCACAGTGAATCAGGTTGGAGGTGTTATTGGTTGATCTCCACTCATCATTCAGTACAGTGTAATGCTGGCAGGGATCAGCACAGCGGAGGGTCTCGTTCACACGGATGCAGTCCATGCCCAAAGGACATGTTGTGTTTCCACAGCTGAACTGGCTAGACTGGAAGGATGGACCAGATCTGGAGCTGGGGTGAGGCTCCAGGCATTCAAAGGAGCCTGGAGTGTTTTGGCAAACTTGAGATGGTTTGCAGGGCGAGTCTTTGAGGGAGCATTCATCAGTGTCCACACAGCCTTTGTCCGGTGACCAGTGATAACCATCTTTACAGCAAGAAGAGTCACTGCAGAGCTTTACGTCATAACACCTGAGACCGTCACCTACAAAACCATCTTTACAGACACATGAGAGCGACTGGCTTGAGAAAGTGTCGCCTCTTTCTTTAAACTCCAGACAGGCAGCTTGATCATGACATGAATCACAGGTGGGGACAAGAGTTCCTGTAAAAGTACAAGAAGAGTTTGTTTTATGAAAGAATTAAAGATGTTTTTTTCTGGACAAAATCAAGTAAAATAGAGAATCAATGTCAATAATGTCCTTTTTTCTATTGTTTAGAGAACAATCACACACACATCAAATCTCATCAGAGGATGATGCCTGTGAACCTACATTTAACGGTAGACCAGATTTTGTTGGAAATTGAGTATCGAAGTAAATTAGCGCCATCTGAGTTTGAATTTGAGTTTCTAGAACTGGATTTTTCAGCATCAAGATTGGATTTTGAATTTCAAAAACCATCAGATTTATAGCACCAAAAAAATTTTTGCCACTAAGTTTTTATCCAATGCAAAAAAATAATAAAATAAAATAAAATAAAATTAGCCTCAAAAATCTCAATATCTCTAAGAAATTCAGTTTATAAAAATTCAACTTATCAAAAAATTCTGTGTCAAAAAATTCCCAGAGAAAGTACGTATAATCATAGAGGCACCATCGTCTTCACTGGCTGATTATACTGTACACTGAATTTCTTGCTGTTAGATTTTTTGAAATATTAAATTCTTTCCATTGTTTTTTCTTTTTTGATGAATTTTTTAAAACTTTTTTTTTTTAACTTTTAAAAAATTTTATGAAACACAGAATTTATTTACACTAAATTAATTTTTACATTGGATAAAATTTCAATGGCAAAAGAAAAAAAAATTGTGCTAGAAATTTGATTTTTTTTTTCCAATTCAAAATCCAATTTTAATTCTAAAAACCTCAGTTATATACTTTCATAATTAAGTTTCTGCAACCAAATGATATGACCTCCTCTTGTGGCACACTCACAATGTTCAGGCTTACTTCACTTGATTTGAGTTGGAATTTGGACTGTGATGCTTTTAAAAACATGAATGAAATTAATAAAAAAATTTGACACTGATATTCTTGAAAAAAAAAAAAGAAATTTTGTGCAAGAAAAGACTGAAACTAATGTTCATGTTGAAAAAAGCATCTCTGCTATACTGGTATACTAATACTGATTCGCAGATGCTCCACAGCTAATATTAGTGTGACACCCATTCACTTCTCTTACCACTACTTAATTCAGTTTTTGCTTGGCCTACCAGAATTTCAACAAGCTACTGCTCAGTTAATATCATATTGCAGAAACATTTGGTCCTGACCCAACACAGCTCTGAGGATACCCTCAGAGAGTTAAATGAAAGTTTCATTGGAGAACCTTAAAGTTACATGTCATTTGATAGTTTTTAATCTTCACCATATTGTCATTTATGTCAGCTGTTTTGTAGAATACAAACATAATAATCTTCAAAAGAAGAATTTATGCCAATGACTAAAAATTGAATAAGACCCACAGTAAGTGTCTTATTGTCCAAGCCCACATAAGAAGTCAGTTGGTTTACCTGAGGTGCTTGCAGTAGAAATCTGTAAAATTAGAAGCAACAAAAGCCCCTCAGGAGCCCTCATTATGGACCAGATCCAAGATACTAATGTGCTGAAAAAGAAGAAAAGAGATGTCTTTGAACATGTTTTTAAAAAGCATTGAATTAAAATCTTAGTCTGTCTTTGCACCGACCTTGGAGCTGCTGTAGAAGTCCTAGATGGAGAGTTGGAAGGTGAAGCTATTTCTCTGAGAGTGAGAATTTATACCTTTTTGTGAGTCCACCTACTTGTTTGTGAGACATTCATTGATGAAACAAATGAAATAGGTCATTGGCAGCACTGATACAGGGTAAAATTCAATCAGATCTGGCATGAGACCAAAGTGCCAGATCCGCTTTTTTATGGCACTCCAATCAACCAATGTTTGAATTGCTATGGAGTAGCTGAGCACAAAGGAGACCTAGTATAAAGTAGTTTGATGGAATAATCTCCAAAAGTGTCCAAAAAGAGTTTTCTCGTGCTTTTAACTGCATATCAACATTTTTTAAAGTCTAGTCAGCTTGCAGCTGGAATCACCCAAAACATTAAATTCATTATTAAGTTTAAATAGAGAACGAGTGCTTTGTTACTGTAACTGTCTACTTCTGTCCTACTGATATCCAGATTTCTATTTGACAGGACTCCTCATTTGAGGTGATAATCAATCAACAGTTCAATCATGATTGACTGTGAGCCACTTTGTCTACACAGCAGGAGTTTTGTTGACTTATTTTAAGTTTCAGTAATTTTTTTCTTTCATGAAACAAGTGTATGTTTCTCTGAAATTTGGAGCAGTACGTATTAAGCAAGTGAAAAAAAAACCAGAAACCTTCTTTGAGTAGCTGACCTATTTTGTTTATAGATGTGCCACTTCTTGTAGTCATTTATTTATAAGGATCAATGTGCTTCTTCCGTTAACTTTTACACATCATATTTCCAGTGTTTTATTATGCTGGAGGAAACTGTTGACATTTATCTATTGCCAAATGAAAACCATAAAATGTGATCAAGATGTTTGAGGTTTGTGAAATGGTATACTGTGCTCAGTATTTAAAACAATTGAAACACTTCGGAAGTTAGGCATCATTCAAAAGAAAACCTCAAACTTTTCGTCTTACAGTCTTTAGTCTTTCCAGTTCTTCACACTGGATCTCTGTCTCATGTGTAGGTCAAGTATTTTATATCAACAAGGTCATGTACCCAGGGATGACGCATGACGTATCCTATACAAGCCAGCGTCACCCTGATGGGCGTCCCTTTAATCTTCCTGCATGTTCTACGTAAATGCAGGTTGTTATGTAGAAGAGCTCAGTATATTTTTCACTTGGAACACTTAAACCACGAGGTTAGCTCCAAGGACTGTGATAAGTCCTTATTGGCATGGCAGTGATCTCCCCAGGTTCGGCTCTAAGGTATGGCGACGAGGTAAGTATTGGCTGTAAGCCTGAATTCATACACTAAATATGAATCCAATGCCTTGGTGTCACTCACCTTAGGCAAGGGCTGTCTGACAATCAGTGCATGAATTGCAGCTTCATGCCCTGTGATTTAATGCAGGTTTGGCTGGTCGAGGTTGAAGGATGGCAGCAAGGGGACCAATTGTCTCCCTCTGGTGAATCCGCCAGTAGCCTGGGTGGCAGAAAATACCCCCTCCGGGAAGGGTTAAAAGATGCAGGGTCTGGCCGCTAAGGTGGTCCAAGAATTTGCTGAAATTAAGGGTCTGCTTCTTAATCTTCAACCAGGTAGGGGGGTGGCAGTGCAGATGGACAGCACACAGGATGGGGCTCCTACCCCAACAGGTTAGGACGAGGGTGAGCTGTCTACAAGGGCTTCCCGTAGCCAGTTTTGGGTGAGTGGGTCTGCCAACGATGAAGGAGAGGCCTCTCCTCCTGCTTCAGAGATCTGCTCTCATCAGACAGGGTGCAGGTCTGAGGATGGCTCTGAGGCTGCCTCAGCCTTGATCAAACTGACGATTCGCTTAGCACTGATGCATCTGGGTTTGGATGAGGCCCCAGCAGCTGGTGCATCGGGTAACACATTCTTCGGTTGAGTCCTGCCCTGGGCTAATTTCTCAGTGCCACTTTCCCAACCATACGTAGAGGATCTCCACAGGTGTTGGCAGGACCCAAAGTCCATGTCCCACCACAGTGCTGATGGTAGGGCTCTAGCTTCCATGCAAAAGGCCAGCAGCCACCAGCTGGGCCAGATGCCAGCTGTCCAGCTGTCCATTGCCTCCCTTACTGTAGCCCTGGAAGAGGTCTTGAGATCTGATGCCTGCTGCCCTAGGCCAAAGTGTTAGGTTACAAATGACCTTAGAGTGAAGTATAATGATACTACAGACCACATGGAGCGTATTGGGAACTTCCTTTCCTATTTGATTTTGACCTTGTCTCTGGCCATGCAGTCCTCCAAAGTGGATGCTTCTGACCAGAGCTTGAGCAATGCATTATAACAGGCCTTTGCCCTGATGTCAAGGGAGCCTGGCAGGTTGATGTCAACACTCACCCTGACCCGCCATCAGGTGTGAAATGCCCAGTGTTCTCTTTCAGAGTCGGGCCACAGGGCCCTCCGCAGTCTCCTAATGGTTCCAGGGGAGCTGTTTGGGCAGGCGGCACAGCAGGCGCTGGTGAGGGGAATCCAGGCAAACCAGACTTGGCAGCAATTGATTGATTGATTGGTGTTGAATGCAATGGTTAAATTGCTCTGTGCAGATAGCAGACGGTATTTAGCAAAATGTGAATGCTGACTGAATCACAAATAATGACAGGGTCCCAAAACTGTCTAATAGAAATATCTTTTAACTTAGACTGACTTTTATTCAAACCAGAGTGATGATGTTGAAGCAGCATGCTTGATAAAATGTGGCAGAATCTTTTAGTTTTTTTGTTTTCAGTGATTGTATTTCTCCTTTGCAGTAATGAAACATTCAATAATTGACTTTGCTGATATGCAGAGCTGAGTTCCTGCAACTGTGAATTGGCAATCATATGCAAACTTAGCTGGACCAACAATACAAAGAGAGGAAAAGTCTGTACAACTCCATCCTGTGAGCCTCACTTTTCCTCTGCCCCCTCAACACCATGACAGGCAGACAAAGAAGAGATAACACATACCAGAATTTGAAGTAAGTGGACATCATGCCTGATGTATCAAGTAGTCAACTTCATGTGAACACAGCTTTTTGTTTTGTGAATGATTATGAGTTGAATGGAAAATCAAACAGACCGTATTTTTTCAGGTTTTTACTGTCCTTGTCAGATTCAGCCACTAGAGGGCAGTGTTATTTAAAAGAAGACGCAATCCTGCATTTTTACATAGTTGACACTTTATTGAGCACTTCAATTGCATTCACAAATCTGTCATTGATTAAATCGCAACTTTAGGAAGATATACTTGGTCCAAGACAAAGTGCATTTTAAGAATCGTGTGTATACAGTAAACTCACATCGTGTAGGTACTTCTCACTTCTATATTTTGGTTTGATTTCAACCATTTAAATGTGTCAGAACAGAGGAACAACATGAAGTCTGATATGACCGCTTATCTGGAGTAACTTTTCTCATAGTTTGATGTCTTGTTAATGTAAGATACATGCAGTACAAAATAGTATTACAGTCTAAAATGAGTTTGTAAAAGTTTGTGACCAGCTCACTCAGCTGACTTTTGCCCTAAAGATAAAGAAAGAAACACAGAAAACATGAGAGTTATTTCTGTGTTATTCAGTGTTTTAACACATCAGCCCTTTTACCAAATAGAATCTAATACTCACAAGCAACAGGTCCGATGGTGAGGCTCTCCATGGCATCAGAGTTGGACACAGAACGAGCTCTCCTCCTTCCACAGGACTTAAAAAAGTGACAGATGATGTCATCATCCATTTATTTTTAATAACAAGGGTTAAGCATAGATAATGCTAATTATGAAAATACTGTTTGACTTACTGGGACACAGACGGAGTACCTTCGGTCACACAACCTGAGATTACAATGAAGATAAATATCTCTGGATTCATGACCTGGCGGGAAGAGCAGGGCAGTGAATCGAGCACGAGAAGACCTGCCGCTCTCAGTCACAGACACCAGTCGGCTGTCAACGGGACACCTGGAAGAGAGAAGCAGCAACTTATCAGGTCATCAGAGCTTACAGTATAAATGCACATTTAACTTTTCCATCATACTCATCAAACAATACTCTTAGACTTGAAGACTCTCACCTGTTCCGGATAAGAGGGTATAGCGTAGGATTATTAGGGGAGGATGAGTAAGAGATGTAGCAGTTGTCCAGAACAGTAACAAAGTTGTAATCTCTCCCTTGTGCAAAGACACCCACAAACAAAGGTGAACCCACAGGCAGGCTGACCCGGCCAGGTGGATAAATCTGAGTGTAGGCTGAGTTGATAAAAAGAAACATCGAGGCCCTTTCTCTGGGACCTGATCCTGAGATTCCACCTGCTGTCCTGCAAAGATCATATTGTTAATTTTAAGGCAGTCAAAACCTGTTTATACATCCTTTTTTAGTTAGTCCAACAACTTTAGTTAGTTGGAGCTGTGCCCCAAGGCACTATTGTTATAATATGGAGTTTTTCTCATTCCTCTTCCAGACATATTTCAATTTCGTGACAAGTCCTACAGTTTAAAGGGCCGTAGAATAAATTACATACAGTATATTAACGTGTGACTTGATTAAGATCGGTGTACTATCACCATAGACTGTATATACTACGGACAACTTGGTTCCGCCTTCTGCCAGTGTACGGATTTGAAGCCAAAATGCTTTCAGTGATTCAGCGTTTTGTTATCATTTCCTGAAACCAACATTGCGCAGTAGTGTTGTGCGCATTCGGGGGAGAGTCGCTGTGATGACGCTCAGCTGAAACAGCCTATCCCCGGGGTGAGCTACGCTATCCTCGTACGCCCATAGGCTGTATCAAGTGTCAATCATAGAAAGCATGAACCCCCCAAATAACTTTTAAGATTTGAGCTGTACAGAAAAAAGAGGACTTGAGCACAAACCAGTCTGACAGTACCTGATACAGCCGATGGGCCCACAAGGATTGCTTAGCTCACCGGGGGGATATGCTGTTTGAGCCGAGCGTCATTGGAGCGACTCTTGGCGACTCTCCCGCCAGATGCGCACAATACTACTGTACAATGTTGGTTCCAGGAAATGGAGAAAAAAAACGGACTTAACGAGAGCTTTTTGGCTTCAATTTCGTATACTGGCTGACGGCGCAACCAAGTTGTCTGTAGTACATTCAGTCTATGGCAGAGACCAAATTCCCTAACCAGGGACTGCCCTGATGTCTGCATCATTTAATCACTTTCAGAGCAATTTCATTAATGATCAAAAAGCAGAATTTCTAATAAGACGTAATAACAAAAACCATCAAAAACTTTTTTAAGTCAATGGGACAAGGAGTTAAAGGAATGTTTGTTGAAGTAGTGCTCCTTGTATATAATATCACAATAGTATTAACAGTATTAATTCTCTAAAGAATCTCATCATAATGTACACACCCCAGCACTAGCCTCCAACGCCCGTTCAAAATCTCCCAGAGGGAATTTTCTAGTTCCTCTTTAAATGACTAGTTTTACTTGAGAGGTAATAAGTAATTAGAGGCTACTCACGGCAGCACTGGTCTGATAACCACATTCAAGCTGGTGTCTAAATCCAGGGGATACGCACAGGAGAAGGGGACGCTCACAGGAAGGTTAAAGGACCCGTTGGTTGAAGGATAGATAAATAAGATGTTGGAGTAGATGGCATGTGTGACGTTGTTCTGAAAATAACAGAATGATTGGGTTATCAGATAGTTTAATGGCAAGTTAACTTTGGATGATATGATGTTGTCAGTAGCATTACAGACATGACCAAACTGTACCAAAAAAGATCTTATCTTTTATCCTAAATACAATCTGATTCTCAAAGTAAAACCTGTCAAGTCTTTACCGTTAGAGTGGTTCTACAGAGACCCTCGCTGGGCTCCAACTCATACCACACTACATTATTGTATACTCGGTTCCAGGAGCAGCTGGGGGATGCCAAGTGGCCAGAGAGTGGGTTCAAACCGGAGGATGTCAGGCCAGGTATATCCACCCCCAATCGAAGTTTATCCGGGCTACAAATGAGCAGGTACTGCTGAGGTGTAGGGACTGAAAAAAGACCGCAGAATACATTGCATGTGAAAACATAAAATTATAGAGCGTAAGTCCTCTAAAACAAAAATCACAAAGTTTAAAAAAAAACATCAACTTAATGAGAGACATGTTTTTATGCTGGTACAGCTTAAAGAAAATAAAGTAACCTTATAAGGATCAAAGTGGGTTAAAGAAAATGGATTTACCTCCACAGACAACTCCAGCATCTTCAGCATGACCACAATTGTGAACCCCAAACCCTGGATGTCTGCAGTCTGTTATAAATGTTTCATTGCCATAGCAGCTCAGATCATCCATCCAGATGGGTCCACTGCCCTGTCCAAAAGCTGCGTTTGGCAGAGCTAAAAGAGCAGCACCACAGCCCAGCTGTCTACACACCACGTTGGCTTCCCTGAGGTCCCAGGCATCATCACACACTGTCCCCCACTGTCCCTCATGGTAGACCTCCACTCTGCCAGAGCAGGGGCTGTTGGAGTTTACCAGCCTCACTGGAGCAGCAACTGATAAGAAATGTAAGTCATGACATTAATGATATGAACACATCTTAAGAGTGAAATTCATAAAGACAATGATGTGTTTCAATACGAAATAAATCATCTTTTTAGCTAATTGCTCCATCATTAGTGTGGATCAGATAGTTGACAGTGCAGGAAAAGAGGGAATGGGCAGGGAGTGACCTGCAGGAGGGGAGCCACTGGCTGGAATCAAATCTAGAGTCTGCTTGAGAAAAAAACTTTAAACATTGGATGCATGCTTAGACCACAAAGCTAGCTGTCATTAACATATTTATTTTATGTGAAAAGAGAAATAAAAAAATTAAGGCTGAAGATTTGGGTGACAAGTGTGGTGTCCAGGTCATGTTTTATGTAATCTAGTTGGTGACAGATTACTAAACTGTTTATCTTGATAAAGTACCACAGACAGCTTGTGACACATTTTGATGATACGTATTTGCCTTCACAGACAACACCAGCATCCTCAGCGTGACTGCAGTCATGATTTAGATGATTTTAATGGAAATTTCATGTAAATGTGATTTTTATAAAATGTACTTAAAATTCATTTGACTGACAGATTAACATCTCTGATCATATCAATTAAGCTATTTAACAAAAAAGGGCAGTCTGAGTAGTTGAAAGAAACACACTGAAGAAGTAATTTTCTTGCAGGGGGTAAACCCAATAAAAAAAAAATCATTTGATAACTGTCCACACTTACTTTCACAGACGACTCCAGCATCTTCAACATGAGCACAATTGTGAACCCCAAACCCTGGATGTCTGCAGTCTGCTAAAGATGTTTCATTGCCAAAACAGCTCACATCATCCATCCAGATGGGTCCACTGCCCTGTCCGAAAGCTGCGTTTGACAGAGCTGAACGAGCAGCACCACAGCCCATCTGTCTACACACCACATTGGCGTCTCTGAGGTCCCAGCTGTCATCACAGACTGTCCCCCAGCGTCCATTATGGTAGACCTCCACTCTGCCAGAGCAGGAGCTGTTGGAGTTTACCAGCCTCACTGGAGCAGCAGCTGATAGGAAATGTAAGTCATGACATTAATGATATGAACACATCTCAAGTATGAACTTCATAAAGACAATGATGTTCTGTAATACTAAATACTTTATCTCTTCTTTTTCATCTTTTTAGCTTTTTAGAATGTTGACAATGCAGGAAAAGAGGGAATGGGCAGGGAGTGAAAAGAGACATAATAAAATTTAAGGCTGAAGATTTGGGTGACAAGTGTGGTGTCTAAGTCATGTTTTATGTAATCTAGTTGGTGACAGATTACTAAACTGTTTTTTTTAGCTTGATAAAGTACCACAGACGGCTTGTGACACATTTTGATAATATGTATTTACCTTCACAAACAACACCAGCATCCTCACTGTGGCTACAGTCATGATTCCCAAACCCTGGGTGCCTGCACTCACTGAGCTCTGATTCATGACCAGTGCATGAGACCTCATCCATCCAGATGGGTCCACTGCCTTGTCCAAAAGCAGCAAATTGTGGTGCTGACAGAACCCTACCACAGCCCAGCTGTCTGCAGACCACCTGAGCATCCTGCAGACCCCAGTTATCATCACACACTGTCCCCCACTGTCCACGGTGGAAGATCTCTACTCTGCCAGAGCAGGAGCTGTTCCCATTCACCACACTGACCTCCCCCTCAGCTGTTGAGTTGTTTTCTGCTGCTGTATTAAAAGAGAAACAAAGTTTTCTGAAAAGTCCCCAACACTCTACTGCCCCCTCCAGCTTTAGCATTGTTAAACACTGATTCACAGTCCTGGGAAAAACTCTTGAAATATTACCTTGTATTTTTTTAATAACCTGTGTATCTTCTATCAGTGTATCTCTTTATCTTGTCTAAATATGTATTCACATCTAAACAACAAAGGGTTGGACTCCTCCATGGAGCCTGGTTGGGCTCAGTCTGAAGAAACAGCAAGAAGCCACTACCCTGTGGGCCCATCAGCCTCAAGGCTAGGCTAAGTGAAGTGGTACTGTACAGATGTAGTCAGAACCATTGCACTGGCTCTGAGGCTAAACTGCTGGAGAGAGGCTGGGCTCTCTTCCAGCATGGTCCTTGTGAGTGAGGCACTTGATAGGTGTGGGGAGTGTTAGAGTTTTCTCCAGCAACCAAGAAGGTAACCTCTCTGAGGTGTCAGGTTGTAAGGGGGAAGGCAAAGTCTGTTGTTGCGCATAATGGCCAAGTAGCAGGTCAGCGTACACAACCTTCTTAGAGTTTGTGGGTGGGGCCCTGGAAGAGTTCCCAGCTGGAGATTCCATAGTTTTCCAGAGGTTCCTAGTGCACATGGAAAATAATTGAGACACTCTGAGGGAGGAGTGGTTGGGAATAACAGCCTGTTAAAGCTGAGCTAGGGCAGTGCTTTGGACTTCTTTGCGAGTCATGATTAGCAATAGCTTACACCATGTGTGAGCAAATGGTGGTTCGTAAGTGTACCTGGTATCAAGCTACCCTAGGCTAGAGATCAACTGTCATATCATCTGATCTGCAGTTGTATGTTTTGACATTTTGGGTGAAGAGAGGAGCAGAGCTCCCAACTAATCACCACCCAATTAAGAGTGATTATGAATGTCTGGCAAAGGTCCCTATTAGTAAGGTCTTCAACTCCCTCTCTGGAAGGATTTCTTGTGCATCTCAAGAGAGATTGGGGAAATGGAATCATAATGGACCGTGTTCAAAGCCTCCATTGTAGAAGCAGCCAGTAGCAGCTGTGGCCTGGAGTTAATCAATGTCTGTAGTAGCAGCAACCCTCAAACCTGTTGATGGACACCATTGGTGAGGAAGCAGTCAGACTGAGGAAGGAGATCTTTTGAGCTTGGTTATCCCAGGGGTCTTTGGAAGCAGCTGAAAGGCCAGGAGGGCTGCAGTCACAGTGGCTGCAAAAGCAAGAACCCCAACGTGAAAAGAATGTGGAAAGGCTATGAAGGAGGACTTTTGGTTGACCTCAAGGAAGTTCTAGCAAACTATCAGGTGTCTCAAGAAGGAAAAGGCAGGCCTTGGCTCAGGCTGTTCTCAGACAAGGTAGAGAATTTGAAGCCGGACAAGGGATTTTATCAGGCAGTGAAAGGAACAACAGACACTTTTTCTGGTCAAATGTAAACCATTAGAGTTGAGGTTGATATGAGTAAGCGCCAACACTTACCTTCACAAACCACACTGGCATCTTCAACATGACCACAATTGTGAACCCCAAACCCTCGATGTCTGCAGTGTGTAAGATAGGATTCATTGCCAGAACAGCTCACATCGTCCAACCAGATGGGTCCACTGCCCTGTCCAAAAGCAGCATTTGATAGAGCTAAGCGAGCAGCACCACAGTCCAGCTGTCTACACACCACATCGGCATCGCTGAGGTCCCAGAAATCATCACACACTGTCCCCCACTGTCCCTCATGGTAGACCTCTACTCTGCCAGAGCAGCGGTTGTCAGAGTTTACCAGCCTCAGTGGTAAAGCAACTGGCTGTAAACCTGAAACACATCAGAGGTATGAGACACATATAAGAGATTGTTTTTATTAACAAGTTTATTTAAAATCACACATCAGTGCATCTGCTTCTGCTGAACAGAGTATTTTGTGATATCTTAAGACATGGTACAACACAATGTTTTTACCTTCACAAATGACACCTGCATCCTCATTGGGACCACAGTTGTGACTTCCAAACCCTCTGTGCATACAGTCACTGAGCTCTGACTCATGACCAGTGCATGAGACGTCATCCATCCAGATGGGTCCACTGCCCGGTCCAAAAAAAGCATCTGTTGGTGCTGTCAAGACTGAGCCACAGTCCAGCTGTCTGCAGACCACCTGAGCATCTCGTACATCCCATAAATCATCACACACTGTCCCCCACTGTCCACGGTGGAAGATCTCTACTCTGCCAGAGCAGGAGCTGCTCCCATTCACCAGGCGGACCTCCCCATCAGCTGTTGAGCTGTTTCCTGCTGTTGTGGTGGAGGTGATGTTCACATAGTTGGGAGTGGTGGGAGTGTTTGGTTCAGGTGTTGATGAAGGTACCACAGGAGATGTTCCGTTCACCTCTGTTTACATTAAAAACAGTTAGACACTATTGTTTGACCAAAGGTGGCCTTAAATGAGCAAGTTATTTTCAGATTTGTGGACAGCAGCACAGTTGTGTCTCAATCAATTTTAATTTCAATCAATTTCCTTTTTGTCTGAATTACTGAGTATAAACTTTTGTATTTAAAATCAAACAATACCTGCACAGTATGCAAGCCGGCACAGGCCTGGATCAACAAGTTTGTAGACATAGTACTTTCCATAGCAGAGCTTGACATGGATGTTTTGTGAGGCAAAGTGGCAGCAGCTGCCAGACCAGGAGTTACACACAGTGCGACGTTCAATCCGACCTGGCTGTGTGGGATGAGGTGTTGTTATCCACAAAGGGACATGGGTTCCACACCTGTTTGGAGGCACACACCAATCTGGGATTTGAGCGCTGGTTTGTCCCAGAAAAAGCCGATACCAGCCTTGCCAGTAAATATCTCGATCACAGTGAATCTGGTTGGAGGTGTTATTGGTTGATCTCCACTCATCATTCAGTACAGTGTAATGCTGGCAGGGATCAGCACAGCGGAGGGTCCCGTTCACACGGATGCAGTCCATGCCAAAAGGACATGTTGTGTTTCCACACCTGAACTGGCTAGACTGGAAGGATGGACCAGATCTGGAGCTGGGGTGAGGCTCCAGGCATTCAAAGGAGCCTGGAGTGTTTTGGCAAACTTGAGATGGTTTGCAGGGCGAGTCTTTGAGGGAGCATTCATCAGTGTCCACACAGCCTTTGTCTGGTGACCAGTGATAACCATCTTTACAGCAAGAAGAGTCACTGCAGAGCTTTACGTCATAACACCTGAGACCGTCACCTACGAAACCATCTTTACAGACACATGAGAGCGACTGGCTTGAGAAAGTGTCGCCTCTTTCTTTAAACTCCAGACAGGCAGCTTGATCATGACATGATTCACAGGTGGTAACAAGAGTTCCTGTAAAAGTACAAGAAGAGTTTGTTTTATGCAAGGATTAGAGATGTTTTTTCTGGACAAAATCAAGAAAAATAGAGAATCAATGTCAATAATGTCCTTTTTTCTATTGTTTGGAGACAATCACACACACATCAAATCTCATCAGAGGATGATACCTGTGAATCTACATTTAAGGGAGGACCAGATTTTGTTGGAAATTGAGTATCGGAGTAAATTAGTGCCATCTGAGTTTGAATTTGAGTTTCTAGAACTGGATTTTTCAGCATCAAGATTGGATTTTGAATTTCAAAAACCATCAGATTTATAGCACCAAAATTTTTTTTGCCACTAAATTTTTATCCAATGCAAAATAAATAAATAAATAAATAAAATAAAATTATTTTTAAAAAAAACCCTCAAAATTGCCTCAAAAATCTCAATATCTCTAAGAAATTCAGTGTCAAAAACTTCCCAGAGAAAGTACGTATAATCATAGAGGCACCATTGTCTTCACTGGCTGATTATACTGTACACTGAATTTCTTGCTGTTAGATTTTATGAAATATTAAATTCTTTCCATTGTTTTTTTTTTTTTTTTTTTGATGAATTTTTTAAAACTGAATTTTTATGAAACACTGAATTTATTTTCACTAAATTTATTTTCACATTGGATAAAAATTCAATGGCAAAAGAAAAAAAAATTGTGCTAGAAATTTGATTTTTTTTTTCCAATTCAAAATCCAATTTTAATTCTAAAAACCTCAGTTATATACATTCATAATTAAGTTTCTGCAACCAAATGATTTGACCACCTCTTGTGGCACACTCACAACGTTCAGGCTTACTTCACTTGATTTGAGTTGGAATTTGGACTGTGATGCTTTAAAAATCATGACTGAAATTAATTAAAAATGGGACACTGATATTCTTGAAAAAAAAATGAAATTTTGTGCAAGAAAAGACTGAAACTAATGTTCATGTTGAAAAAAGCATCTCTGATATACTGGTTCGCAGATGCTCCACAGCTAATATTAGTGTGACACCCATTCACTTCTCTTACCACTACTTAATTCAGTTTTTGCTTGGCCTACCAGAATTTCAACAAGCTACTGCTCAGTTAATATCATATTGCAGAAACATTTGGTCCTGACCCAACACAGCTCTGAGGATACCCTCAGAGAGTTAAATGAAAGTTTCACTGGAGAACCTTAAAGTTACATGTCATTTGATAGTTTTTAATCTTCACCATATTGTCATTTATGTCAGCTGTTTTGTAGAATACAAACATAATAATCTTCAAAAGAAGAATTTATGCCAATGACTAAAAATTGAATAAGATCCACAGTAAGTGTCTTATTGTCCAAGCCCACATAAGAAGTTAGTTGGTTTACCTGAGGTGCTTGCAGTAGAAATCTGTAAAATTAGAAGCAACAAAAGCCCCTTGAGAGCCCCCATTATGGACCAGATCCACGATACTAATGTGCTGAAAAAGAAGAAAAGAGATGTCTTTGAACATGTTTTTAAAAAGCATTGAATTAAATTCTTAGTCTGTCTTTGCACCAACCTTGGAGCTGCTGTAGAAGTCCTAGATGGAGAGTCTGAAGGTGAAGTTCTTTCACGGAGAGTGAGAATTTATACCTTTTTGTGAGTCCACCTACTTGTTTGTGAGACATTCATTGATGAAACACATGAAATAGGTCATTGGCAGCACTGATACAGGGTAAAATTCAATCAAATCTGGCATGAGACCAAAGTGCCAGGTCGGCTTATTTTATGGCACTCCAATCAACCAATGTTTGAATTGCTATGGAGTCTCTGAGCACAAAGGAGACCTTGTATAGTAGTTTGATGGAATAATCCCCTAAAGGTTTGAGTTTTCTCGTGCTTCTAACTGCATATCAACATTTTTTAAAGTCCAGTCAGCTTGCAGCTAAAATCACCCAAAACATTAAATTCATTACTAAGTTTACCTAGAGAACGAGTGCTTTGTTAACTGTCTATTTCTGTCCTACTGTGATCCAGATTTCTATTTGACAGGACTCTTCAATTCAGGACAGTTCAATCATGATTGACTGTGAGCCACTTGTTCTACACAGCAGGAGTTTTGTTGACTTACTTTAAGTTTCAGTAATTTTTTTCTTTCATGAAACAAGTGTTTGTTTCTCTGAAATTTGGAGCAGTACGTATTAAACAAGAGAAAAAAACAGAAACCTTCTTTGAGTCGCTGACCTATTTTGTGTATAGATGTGCCACTCTTTGTAGTCATTGATTTATAGGGATCAATGTGCTTCTTCCGTTAACTTTTACACATCATATTTCCAGTGTTTTATTATGCTGGAGGAAACTGTTGACCTTTATCTATTGCCAAATAAAAACCATAAAATGTGATTAAGACGTTTGAGGTTTGTAAAATGGTGTACTGTGCACGGTATTTAAAACAATTGAAACACTTCAGAAGTTAGGCATCATTCAAAAGAAAACTCGAACTTTTGGTCTTACAGCTGAAATAAAATGTTATGAGGAAACACATCAGGGTGAAGATTATCTCAGACACTTAACTGATAAGTTATCAAATCAAGAGCAGGGGGAGATTTCATGATGTGTTTTGATCAAACATAAATGAAAGTGTGTGACATAAATTGCCCATGACACGACATGACCCATTTGAGCTACATGGTTTATGATTTAAGGTAAGAAGTAGGTTAGGCAGATAGAAAGTCTGTAACTTATAAGTTTTCTTTGCCAACTCTCATTTTGAAGGATTTCAAAAAGCTGCCAAGATGATGGCTGTTGCAGCCTCGGTAGAGGCCTTATCCCTGTATTAACTGTTCTTCTTTGCTGGCTGAGTTCTATTTCATTCTTCCTGACTGCAAGAGGCAGTTCTTCACACTGGATCTCTGTCTCATGTGCAGGTCAAGTATTTTATATCAACAAGGTCATGTACCCAGGGATGACGCATGACGTATCCTATACAAGCCAGCGTCACCCTGATGGTCGTCCCTTTAATCTTCCCGCATGTTCTACGTAAATGCAGGTTGTTATGTAGAAGAGCTCAGTATATTTTTCACTTGGAACACTTAAACCACGAGGTTAGCTCCAAAGACTGTGATAAGTCCTTATTGGCTATGGCATTTTCCCAAGCATGGCAGTGATCTCCCCAGGTTCGACTCTAAGGCGTGGCGACAAGGTAAGTATTGGCTGTGAGCCTGAATTCATACACTAAATATGAATCCAATGCCTTGGTGTCACTCACCATAGGCAAGGGCTGTCTGACAATCAGTGCATGAATTGCAGCTTCATGCCCTGTGATTTAATGCAGGTTTGGCTGGTCGAGGTTGAAGGATGGCAGCAGGGGGACCAATTGTCTCCCTCTGGTGAATCTGCCAGTAGCCTGGGTGGCAGAAAATACCCCCTCCAGGAAGGGTAAAAAGATGCAGGGTCTGGCTGCTAAGGTGGTCCAAGAATTTGCTGAAATTAAGGGTCTGCTTCTTAATCTTCAGCCAGGTAGGGGGGTGGCAGTGCAGATGGACAGCCTACAGGATGGGGCTCCTACCTCAACAGGCTGGGATGAGGGTGACCTGTCTACAAGGGCTTCCCGTAGCCAGTTTTGGGTGAGTGGGTCTGCCAACGATGAAGGAGAGGCCTCCTGCTTCAGAGATCTGCTCTCAGCAGACAGGGTGCAGGTCTGGGGATGGCTCTGAGGCTGCCTCAGGCTTGATCAAACTGATGATTCGCTTAGTGTGGCACTATGATATAGATGGATGAATAAAAATAGTTGACCCCCCATTTTATTTTTATTTCTAAAGGTAACTTAAAGGTAACTTTCTACAGGAACACTACTGTTATGTCTGCTTGGTTTGAATCCAGCTTAATATGAGTTTCGCCAGCAGAGGGCGCTCCGTATTTCACGCATCAGTAGCTGACGGTAGAAGAAGTCTGGTCAGTACTTGATGAGAGTTGACAGAAGATGCAGCATGTGCTCCTGTTCACCTGTATGTAATTGTGTATTCACAGGTAAGCTGGATGGTAAACAATAGTGATGGCGAGATGAAGCCTCATGAAGCATCGAAGCTTTCCATCCAATTACTCGCCTCCTGGGCCGAAGCTTCATGGTTGTGCTTCATTTGCTCTACTGCGCCATCAAGTGGACAATAAATGTAAAACAGGCAGAGTGATAAACCAAAGACACCCCGAGGCTTTGGTGCGCGAAGCTTTGAATCCAATGAATGAATGGATGTGATGCCGTGTGTTTGTGATACAATACAGAAATGATAAAGTTATTAATATGGTGTTTGTCTTTAAGACACAGTTGCAGTGTCAAAAAGGGGAAGAGGACATAAATTATCGAGAGGGTTGTGATGTGAATGTGTTACTTAGTTTGTTGTTCGTACTTTTGTTACGGGGACAACAAATAAAACATAAACATTTCATTTATATTTATTTATTTTTATTTAAAAACAACTTTTCAACAAGTCTCGAGTCTATGGATTGTGAGTGGGGCAGGACTCCATTGCGTTTCGCTGCCTGTGAAATCATCCGCCAAACCCGTGAACCGTTTCTTGAACCAGTCACGTGGTATAGCCGGGTAGCGAGGCTTCGGACGTCATCATTTTTGGCTCCACCCCTACATGAAGCAAGCCTCGATACGCGCTTCGCGGAAACGCCCCCTTCATTACTCGACACACGCTTCGAAGCCTCGGCACTGAAGGACACATCACTAGTAAACAATATATTAATATAAAACAACAGTAGTGGTAGATTATAAGTGCCTTAGAATGTAAAGGATGTCGATCTGCAGAACGAGTTCACAAGTTTATGAGCCCGTGAAGGCGACTCGTCACGTTGGTGTATCTAAAATGGCGGTCTCGTAGTGCGCGGCGATCGCGGTAATGAACCAGAGAAGTGTTTTAGGTTGTATTAGCTCTGATAGGTTAAACTTTCTACTTTAGATGCACATAATCCCTGTGTAAGCATGAGTTAATGGCCAAAACTTATGTCAAGTAGAGTAGATGTGTTATTCCAAGCAGATGCTTGTGTAAACCGAGATACAGAGTGAGGTGAAGAGTTAAGTTGAACGTAAGGCTAAGCTAAAGAGTGAACTGGTCTCATATCAATGCTTAGGCAGTGATGAGAGTCTATTTTTTGTTAACAGTGTGTTTTAGATTAAAGCTACACTATGTGATGTTTGTGTAGACAAAGTAGAATAATTTAGGTTTATTTCATTGAGAATAAATAGGACATAAATAGAGTTTAAAAAGACATTTGTGCAGAAGAGATTTAATGTAATACATGCAGTTAATAAAAGGTTAAAAACACTATAAAACCTCATTTTGAGTATATTTAGATATTTGTTTATCAAGTTAAATGCGTTATGTGATTTTGGCAGTTCATAGGAAAGGATGTATGTGATTAAAAACTCTAAACGTTGAGACAGTCATGTCACTTGTAACATTTCAGTTCTACTGTAGTATTGTGTTTTGTAGTACGAGTGTACATGTTTTGGTTATTGGAATATAGACTAGAAGAAGTCTGGTCAGTACGTGATGAGAGTTGACAGAAGATGCAGCATGTGCTCCTGTTCACCTGTATGTAATTGTGTATTCACAGGAGTCCTGTTAAAATAAATGTGTTGCACGGGAGATGAGTTGGCCCATCATTTTCTGCAGTGTAACATTAGCACTGATGCATCTGGGTTTGGATGAGGCCCCAGCTGCTAGTGCATCGGGTAGCACATTCTTCAGTTGAGGCCTGCCCTGGGCTAATTTCTCAGTCCCACTTTCCCAACCATACGTAGAGGATCCCCACAGGTGTTGGCAGGACCCAAAGTCCATGTCCCACCACAGTGCTGATGGTAGGGTTCTAGCTTCCATGCAAGAGGCCAGCAGCCACCGGCTGGGCCAGATGCCAGCTGTCCAGCCGTCCATTGCCTCCCTTACTGTAGCCCTGGAAGAGGTCTTGAGATCTGATGCCTGCTGCCCTAGGCCATAGTGTTAGGTTACAGAAAACCTTAGAGTGAAGTATTAGGATAGTGCAGACCACATGGAGCGTATTGGGAACTTCCTTTCCTATTTGATTTTGGCCTTGTCTCTGGCCATACAGTCCTCCAAAGTGGATGCTTCTGACCAGAGCTTGAGCAATGCATTATAACAGGCCTTTGCCCTGATGTCAAGGGAGCCTGGCAGGTTGATGTCAACGCTCACCCTGACTTGCCATCAGGTGTGGAATGCCCAGTGTTCTCTTTCAGAGTCGGGCCACAGGGCTCTCCGCAGCCCCCTAGTGGTTCCAGGGGAGTTGTTTGGGCAGGCGGCACAGCAGGCCCTGGTGAGGGGAATCCAGGCAAACCAGACTTGGCAGCAATTGATTGATTGATTGGTGATAGAATGCAATGATTAAATTGCTCTGTGCAGATAGCAGACGGTATTTAGCAAAATGTGAATGCTGACTGAATCACAAATAATGACAGGGTCCCAAAACTGTAATAGAAATATCTTTTAACTTAGACTGACTTTTATTCAAACCAGAGTGATGATGTTGAAGCAGCATGCTTGATAAAATGTGGCAGAACCTTTTAGTTTTTTTGTTTTCAGTGATTGTATTTCTCCTTTGCAGTAATGAAACATTCAATAATTGACTTTGCTGATATGCAGAGCTGAGTTCCTGCAACTGTGAATTGGCAATCATTTGCAAACTTAGCTGGACCAACAATACAAAGAGAGGAAAAGTTAGTACAACTCCATCCTGTGAGCCTCACTTTTCCCCTGCCCCCTCAACACCATGACAGGCAGACAAAGAAGAGATAACACATACCAGAATTTGAAGTAAGTGGACATCATGCCTGATGTATCAAGTAGTCAACTTCATGTGAACACAGCTTTTTGTTTTGTGAATGATTATAAGTTGAATGGAAAATCAAATAGACCGTATTTTTTCAGGTTTTTACTGTCCTGGTCAGATTCAGCCTGAGACGTTCAGCCACTAGAGGGCAGTGTTATTTAAAAGAAGACGCAATCCTGCATTTTTACATAGTTGACACTTTATTGCGCACTTCAATTGCATTCACAAATCTGTCATTGATTAAATCAAAACTTTAGAAAGATATACTTGGTCCAAGACAAAGTGCATTTTAAGAATCGTGTGTATACAGTAAATTCACATGGTGTAGGTACTTCTCACTTCTATATTTTGGTTTGATTTCAACCATTTAAATGTGTCAGAACAGAGAAACAACATGAAGTCTGATATGACCGCTTATCTGGAGTAACTTTTCTTGTAGTTTGATGTCTTGTTAATGTAAGATACATGCAGCACAAAATATTATTACAGTCTAAAATGAGTTTGTAAAAGTTTGTGACCAGCTCACTCAGCTGACTTTTCCCCTAAAGATAAAGACAGAAACACAGAAAACATGAGAGTTATTTCTGTGTTATTCAGTGTTTTAAGACATCAGCCTTTTTACCAAATAGAAACTAATACTCACAAGCAACAGGTCCGATGGTGAGGCTCTCCATGGCATCATAGTTGGACACAGAACGAGCTCTCCTCCTTCCACAGGACTTAGAAAAGTGACAGATAATGTCATCATCCATTTATTTTTAATAACAAGGGTTATGCATAGATAATGATACTTGTGAAAATACTGTTTGACTTACTGGGACACAGACGGAGTACCTTCGGTCACACAACCTGAGATTACAATGGAGATAAATATCTCTGGATTCACCATCTGGCGGGAAGAGCAGGGCAGTGAATCGAGCACGGTAAGACCTGCCACTCTCAGTCACAGACACCAGTCGGCTGTCAACGGGACACCTGGAAGAGAGAAGCAGCAACTTATCAGGTCAACAGGGCTTACAGTATAAATGCACATTTAACTTTTCCATCATACTCATCAAACAATACTCTTAGACTTGAAGACTCTCACCTGTTCCGGATAAGAGGGTATAGCATAGGATTATTAGGGGAGGATGAGTGAGAGGCGTAGCAGTTGTCCAGAACAGCAACAAAGTTGGGATCTCTCCCTGGTACAGAGACACCCACGAACAAAGGTGAACCCACAGGCAGGCTGACCCGGCCAGGTGGATACATCTGAGTGTAGGCTGAGTTGACAAAAAGAAACATCGAGGCCCTGTTTCTGGGACCTGATCCAGAAATTCCACTTGCTGTCCTGCAAAGACCATATTGTTAATTTTAAGGCAGTCAAAACCTGTTTATACATCCTCTTTTAGTTAGTCCAACAACTTTAGTTAGTTGGAGCTGTGCCCCAAGGCACTATTGTTATACTGTGGAGTTTTTCTTATTCCTCTTCCTGACATATTTCAATTTCGCGACTAGTCCTACAGTTTAAAGGGCCGTGGAATAAATTACATATATTAACGTGTGACTTGATTAGGATCGGTGTATATACTATGGACAACTTGGTTCTGCCTTTCGCCAGTATATGGATTTGAAGCCGAAAAGCTTTCAGTGATTCTGCGTTTTGTCTCCATTTCCTGAAACCAACATTGCGCCATAGCATTGTACGCACTCCACTACTTGCACAGTAGCATTGTGCGCATTCGGGGGAGAGTCGCTGTGATGACGCTCAGCTGAAAGAGCGTATCCCTCGGGTGAGCTACGCAATCTTCGTACGCCCATAGGCTGTATCGAGTGTCAATCATAGAAATCATGAACCCCCAAATAACTTTTAAAAAGTGAAAAAAGAGGACTTGAGCACAAACCAGTCTTACTGTAACCACATGTCAACATCGCAACCAAGGGGGGAGAAACATTTATATTCTGTGTAATTAATTTCTAAAGTTTGTCCACAGCTCCATTAAGTTTGCTTGAGGAGGCGGGATTTATGACCTATACTGCAGCCCGTCACCAGAGGGTGCTGTTCACAGGGTGGCTTCACCCAGCGAGGAGGCAGACGGCATCCATTCTATATTCAGTCTATGGCTATTACTTTTCTAGTTTTCAAGTTTTCTATGATTGACACCTGATACAGCCTATGGGCATACAAGGATTGCTTAGCTCACTGGGGGGATACGCTGTTTGAGCCGAACGTCATCGGAGCGACTCAGCAACTCTCCCGCCGGATGCGCACAATACTACTGTACAATGTTGGTTCCAGGAAATGGAGAAAAATGCGGACTTACTGAGAGCTTTTTGGCTTCGATTTCGTATACTGGCGGACGGCGCAACCAAGTTGTCTGTAGTACATTCAGTCTATGGCTGAGACCAACTCCCTAACCAGGGACTGCCCTGATGTCTGCATGTCTCATTTAATCACTTTCAGGGCAATTTCATTAATGATCAAAAAGCGGCCTCTGTTGTGACGAATGTCACAAAAACCATGAAAAAATTTGGAAGTCATTGGGACAAGCAGAAAAAAGAACAATTATTGGAGTTAAAGGAATGTTTGTTGTAGTAGTGCTCCTTGTATATAAAATCACAATAGTATTAACAGTATTAATTATTTACAGTCTCTGAAGAATCTCATCATAATGTACACACCTCCACTAACCTCCAACACCTGTTCAAAATTTCCCAGAGGGAATTTTCTAGTTCCTCTTTAAATGACTAGTTTTAAGCATTTCAGAGTACTCTGGACATATCTTTGTGTTTTTAGTTGATTCAGAAATATACATCATGCAGCAAATTGAAACATTTCCGTGTCTGCTAAAGTCAAAATCAGAGTACGTCCTAAAAGTACATCAAGTCCACTTCAGAGTTAATAAGTAATTAGAGGCTACTTACGGCAGAACTGGTCTGATAACCACATTCAAGCTGGTGTCTAATTCCAGGGGATACGCACAGGAGAAGGGGACGCTCACAGGAAGGTTGAAGGACTCATTGTTTAAAGGATAGATAAATAAGATGTTGGAGTAGATGGCATGTGTGACATTGTTCTGAAAAATAACAGAATGATTGTGTTACCAGAAAGTTAACTTTGGATGATATGATGTTGTCAGTAGCATTACAGACATGACCAAACTGTACCAAAAAAGATCTTATCTTTTATCCTACATACAATCTGATTCTCAAAGTAGAACCGGTCAAGTCTTTACCGTCAGAGTGGTTCTACAGAGACCCTCCCTGGCCTCCACCTCGTACCACACTACATTATTGTGCACTCGGTTCCAGGAGCAGCTGGGGGATGCCAAGTTGCCAGAGAGTGGGTTCAAACCGGAGGATGTCAGGCCAGGTATATCCACCCCCAATCGAAGTGTATCTGGGCTACAAATGAGCAGGTAATGCTGAGGTGTAGGGACTGAAAAAAGACCGCAGAATACACTGCATGTGAAAACATAAAATTGTAGAGCATAAGTCCTCTAAAACAAAAATCACAAAGTTTAAAAACATCAACTTAATGAGAGACATGTTTTTATGCCGGTACAGCTTAAAGAAAATAAAGTAACCCTATAAGGATCAAAGTGGGTTAAAGAAAATGGATTTACCTCCACAGACAACTCCAGCATCTTCATGATGACCACAATTGTGGTTCCCAAACCCTCCATTTCTGCAGTCTGCTAAAGATGTTTCATTGCCAAAACAGCCCAGATCCATCCAGATGGGTCCACTGCCCAGTCCAAAAGCTGCGTTTGAAAAGCTGAAAAGAGCAGCACCACAGCTGTCTACACACCACGTTGGCATCCCTGAAGTCCCAGAAATCATCACACACTGTCCCCCACCGTCCATCATGGTAGACCTCCACTCTGCCAGAGCAGGGGCTGCCAGAGTTTACCAGCCTCACTGGAGCAGCAGCTAATGGGAAATGTAAGTCATGACATTAATGATATGAACACATCTCAAGTGTGAACTTGATAAAGACAATGATGTGCTGTAATACTAAATACTTTATCTCTTCTTTTTCATCTTTTTAGCTTTTTGTTCCATGATTAGTGTGGATCAGAATTTTGACAATGCAGGAAAAGAGGGAATGGGCAGGGAGTGAAAAGAGAAATAAGATTTAAGGCTGAAGATTAGGGTGACAAGTGTGGTGTCTAAGTCATGTTTTATGTAATCTAGTTGGTGACAGATTACTAAACTGTTTTTTTTTAGCTTGATAAAGTACCACAGACGGCTTGTGACACATTTTGATAATATGTATTTACCTTCACAAACAACACCAGCATCCTTAATGTGTCTACAGTCATGAACTCCAAACCCTGGGTGCCTGCACTCACTGAGCTCTGATTCATGACCAGTGCATGAGACCTCATCCATCCAGATGGGTCCACTGCCTTGTCCAAAAGCTGCTAATTGTGGTGCTGACAGAACCCTACCACAGCCCAGCTGTCTGCAGACCACCTGAGCATCCTGCAGACCCCAGCTATCATCACACACTGTCCCCCACTGTCCACGGTGGAAGATCTCTACTCTGCCAGAGCAGGAGCTGTTCCCATTCACCACACGTACCTCCCCCTCAGCTGTTGAGTTGTTTTCTGCTGCTGTATTAAAAGATAAAGAAAGTTTTCTGAATAGTCCCCAACATTCTACTGCCCCCTCCAGCTTTAGCATTGTTAAACAATGATTCACAGTCCTGGGAAAAACTCTTGAAATATAACCTTGTATTTTTTTAATAACCTGTGTATCTTCTATCAGTGTATCTCTTTATCTTGCTTAAATATGTATTCACATCTAAACAACAAAGGGTTGGACTCCTCCACGGAGTCTGGTTGGGCTCAGTCTGAAGAAACAGCAAGAAGCCACTGCCCTGTGGGCCCATCAGCCTCAAGGCTAGGCAAGGTGTAGTGCATTGGAAGCCTGTCAAGTCATTGCAGTAGGTTTGGGCATGCTTGTTCATGGAGTCATGGATTTGTTCTTGGGATGTGGAAATTTTCCTCACTGGTAGGTAAGGAGCTGAAGTTGGTGCTTTAGGTTAAGTGGTACTGTACAGATGTAGTCAGAACCATTGCACTGGCTCTGAGGCTAAACTGCCGGAGAGAGGCTGGGCTCACTTACCTTCACAAACCACACTGGCATCTTCAACATGACCACAATTGTGAACCCCAAACCCTCGATGTCTGCAGTGTGTAAGATAGGATTCATTGCCAGAACAGCTCACATCGTCCAACCAGATGGGTCCACTGCCCTGTCCAAAAGCAGCATTTGATAGAGCTGAGCGAGCAGCACCACAGTCCAGCTGTCTACACACCACATCGGCATCGCTGAGGTCCCAGAAATCATCACACACTGTCCCCCACTGTCCCTCATGGTAGACCTCTACTCTGCCAGAGCAGCGGTTGTCAGAGTTTACCAGCCTCAGTGGTAAAGCAACTGGCTGTAAACCTGAAACACATCAGAGGTATGAGACACATATTAAAGATAGTTTTTTTTTTACCAGTTTTTTAAAATCACACATCAGTGCATCTGATTCTGCTAAAGAGTATTTTGTAAAAGCTTCAGAGATGGTGCAACACAATGTTTTTACCTTCACAAATGACACCTGCATCCTCAGTGTGGCTACAATTGTGACTTCCAAACCCTCCGTGCACACAGTCACTGAGCTCTGACTCATGACCAGTGCATGCGACATCAACCATCCAGATGGGTCCACTGCCCGGTCCAAAAAAAGCATCTGTCTGTGCTGTCAAGACTGAGCCACAGTCCAACTGTCTGCAGACCACCTGAGCATCTCGTACATCCCATAAATCATCACACACTGTCCCCCACTGTCCACGGTGGAGGATCTCTACTCTGCCAGAGCAGGAGCTGTTCCCATCCACCAGGCGGATCTCCCCGTCAGCTGTTGAGCTGTTTCCTGCTGTTGTGATGGAGGTCATGTTCACATAGTTGGGAGTAGTAGTTGGTTGAATTGGACCAGGAGTAGCTGTGACTGTGCTGTTAAAGTTTGGATCACCTAAAAGATAAGACTTTTTCAGGTCTGGACACATCTTCAGCCTTCAGGGTCATCAATGGTTATGAGCCAAAGTTCTTTGTTAATTCTACATGTTAATATTCATGATGTATTTTATTGTTGTTGGATGTAAAATTCAGTTTTCTTCTCATTGAGAGGTGAGTACTGTGAGATTTTTGTGTAAATATTTACCTTCACAGATGACACTGGCGTCTTCAACATGAGCACAATTGTGGTTCCCAAACCCTGGATGTCTGCAGTCTGTAATGGATGGCTCATTACCAAAGCAGCTCACATCATCCACCCAGATGGGTCCACTGCCCTGTCCAAAAGCTGCGTTTGACAGAGCTGAACGAGCAGCACCACAGCCCAGCTGTCTACACACCATGTTGGCTTCCCTGATGTCCCAGCTGTCATCACACACTGTCCCCCACTGTCCACGGTGGAAGATCTCTACTCTGCCAGAGCAGGAGCTGTTCCCATCCACCAGGCGGACCTCCCCTTCAGCTGTTGAGCTGTTTCCTGCTGTTGTGGTGGAGGTGATGTTCACATAGTTGGGAGTAGTAGTTGGTTGAATTGGACCAGGAGTAGCTGTGACTGTGTTGTTAAAGTTTGGATCACCTAAAAGACAAGACTTTTTCAGGTCTGGACACATCTTCAGCCTTCAGGGTCATCACTGGTTATGAGCCAAAGTTCTTTGTTAATTCTACATGTTAATCTTCATGATGTAGTTTATTGTTGGTGGATGTAAAATTCAGTTTTCTTCTCATAAAGAGGTGAGCATTGTGGGATTTTGGTGATACAATACAGTGCTAACTGGTCTGTGGTCAGTATTAAAAATGAAAGATGAGGGTTTTTTCTCATCAGCAACAAACTGTTACGTCAGTATTTACCTTCACAGATGACACTGGCGTCTTCAACATGACCACAATTGTGAACCCCAAACCCTGGATGTCTGCAGTCTGTAACGGATGGCTCATTACCAAAGCAGCTCACATCATCCATCCAGATGGGTCCACTGCCCTGTCCAAAAGCTGTGTTTGACAGAGCTGAATGAGCAGCACCACAGCCCAGCTGTCTACACACCACGTTGGCGTCCCTGAGGTCCCAGCTATCATCACACACTGTCCCCCAGCGTCCCTCATGGTAGACCTCCACTCTGCCAGAGCAGCGGCTGTCAGAGTTTACCAGCCTCACTGGAGCAGCAGCTGGTGCTGAAAAAAAGAGAAATGATCTGATATCAAACATGAATGCAAGACTTATAGATCCTTTTCTATTTGCTTAGAGGAACATGTCCTTCTGCTGAAAAATCATAGATATATCTGAGGCTGATGAGTGTACAGATATAAATATGGTCAAAGTTATATTTTATGATTCTTTAACAGCTGACTTTTCTTATTCTACAATGGGCTGAACACAAAAACCTAAAAATTGTACTTACCTTCACAAACAACTCCAGCATCCTCACTGTGGCTACAGTCATGATTTCCAAACCCTCTGTGCCCGCACCATCTGAGCTCTGATTCATGACCAGCGCATGAGACTTCATCTAACCAGATGGGTCCACTGCCTTGTCCAAAAGCAGCAAACTGTGGTGCTGACAAAACCCCACCACAGCCCAGCTGTCTGCAGACCACCTGAGCATCCAGCAGACCCCAGTTATCATCACACACTGTCCCCCACTGTCCACGGTGGAAGATCTCTACTCTACCAGAGCAGGAGCTGTTCCCATTCACCAGGCGGACCTCCCCTTCAGCTGTTGAGCTGTTTCCTGCTGTTGTGGTGGAGGTCATGTTCACATAGTTGGGAGTAGTAGTTGTTTGAATTGGACCAGGAGTAGCTGTGACTGTGCTGTTAAAGTCCGGATCACCTAAAAGACAAGACTTTGTCAGGTCTGGACACACCTTCAGCCTTCAGGGTCATCAATGGTTATGAGCCAAAGTTCTCTGTTAATTCTACATGTAAATATTCATGATGTAGTTTATTGTTGTTGGATGTAAAATTCAGTTTTCTTCTCATTGAGAGGTAAGCACTGTGAGATTTTTGTGTAAATATTAACCTTCACAGATGACACTGGCGTCTTCAACATGAGCACAATTGTGGTTCCCAAACCCTGGATGTCTGCAGTCCGTAATGGATGGCTCATTACCAAAGCAGCTCACATCATCCAACCAGATAGGTCCACTGCCCTGTCCAAAAGCTGCGTTTGATAAAGCTGAACAAGCAGCACCACAGCCCAGCTGTCTACACACCACGTTGGCATCTCTGATGTCCCAGCTATCATCACACACTGTCCCCCAGCGTCCACGGTGGAAGATCTCTACTCTGCCAGAGCAGGAGCTGCTCCCATTCACCAGGCGGACCTCCCCCTCAGCTGTTGAGCTGTTTCCTGCTATTGTGGTGGAGGTGATGTTCACATAGTTGGGAGTAGTGGGAGTGTTTGGTTCAGGTGTTGATGAAGGTACCACAGGAGATGTTCCATTCACCTCTGTTTACATTAAAAACAGTTAGACACTGTTGGTTGACCAAAGGTGGCTTAAATGAGTAAGTTTTATTCAGATTTGTGGACAGCAGCTCAGTTTCTTGATTTGTAAGTCATTTATAAGACTGTATCAATTTCCTTTTTGTCTTAATTACTGAGTATAAACTTGTTTTTTTGAATTAGCTTTAAAATCAAACAATACCTGCACAGTATGCATGCCGGCACAGGCCTGGATCAACAAGTTTGTAGACATAGTAGTTTCCATAGCAGAGCTTGACATGGATGTTTTGTGAGGCAAAGTGGCAGCAGCTGCCAGACCAGGAGTTACACACAGTGCGACGTTCAACCCGACCTGGCTGTGTGGGATGAGGTGTTGTTATCCACAAAGGGACATGGGTTCCACACCTGTTTGGAGGCACACACCAATCTGGGATTTGAGCACTGGTTTGTCCCAGAAAAAGCCGATACCAACCTTGCCAGTAAATATCTCGATCACAGTGAATCAGGTTGGAGGTGTTATTGGTTGATCTCCACTCATCATTCAGTACAGTGTAATGCTGGCAGGGATCAGCACAGCTGAGGGTCCCGTTCACACGGATGCAGTCCATGCCCAAAGGACATGTTGTGTTTCCACAGCTGAACCGGCCAGACTGGAAGGATGGACCAGATCTGGAGCTGGGGTGAGGCTCCAGGCATTCAAAGGAGCCTGGAGTGTTTTGGCAAACCTGAGATGGTTTGCAGGGCGAGTCTTTGAGGGAGCATTCATCAGTGTCCACACAGCCTTTGTCCGGTGACCAGTGATAACCATCTTTACAGCAAGAAGAGTCACTGCAGAGCTTTACGTCATAACACCTGAGACCGTCACCTACAAAACCATCTTTACAGACACATGAGAGCGACTGGCTTGAGAAAGTGTCGTCTCTTTCTTTAAACTCCAGACAGGCAGCTTGATCATGACATGATTCACAGGTGGGGACAAGAGTTCCTGTATAAGTACAAGAAGAGTTTGTTTTATGAAAGAATTAAAGATGTTTTTTTCTGGACAAAATCAAGTAAAATAGAGAATCAATGTCAATAATGTCCTTTTTTCTATTTTTTAGAGAACAATCACACACACATCAAATCTCATCAGAGGATGATACCTGTGAATCTACATTTAAGGGAGGACAAGATTTTGTTGGAAATTGAGTATCGAAGTAAATTAGTGCCATCTGAGTTTGAATTTGAGTTTCTAGAACTGGATTTTTCAGCATCAAGATTGGATTTTGAATTTCAAAAACCATCAGATTTATAGCACCAAAAAGTTTTTTGCCACTAAGTTTTTATCCAATGCAAAAAAATAATAAAATAAAATAAAATAAAATTAGCCTCAAAAATCTCTATCTCAAAAAAATCCAGTTTATAAAAATTCAACTTATCAAAAAATTCAGTGTCAAAAAATTCCCAGAGAAAGTACGTATAATCATAGAGGCACCATCGTCTTCACTGGCTGTTTATACTGTACACTGAATTTCTTGCTGTTAGATTTTTTGAAATATTAAATTCTTTCCATTGTTGTTTCTTTTTTGATGAATTTTTTAAAACTCAAATTCAAAATCCAATTTTAATTCTAAAAACCTCAGTTATGTACATTCATAATTAAGTTTCTGCAACCAAATGATATGACCTCCTCTTGTGGCACACTCACAATGTGTAGGCTTACTTCACTTGATTTGAGTTGGAATTTGGACTGTGATGCTTTTAAAAACATGAATGAAATTAATTAAAAATCTGACACTGATATTCTTGAAAAAAAAAAAGAAATTTTGTGCAAGAAAAGACTGAAACTAATGTTCATGTTGAAAAAAGCATCTCTGCTATACTGGTATACTAATACTGATTCGCAGATGCTCCACAGCTAATATTAGTGTGACACCTATTCACTTCTCTTACCACTACTGTATTCAGTTTTCACTTGGCTTACCAGAATTTCAACAAGCTACTGCTCAGTTAATATCATATTGCAGAAACATTTGGTCCTGACCCAACACAGCTCTGAGGATACCCTCAGAGAGTTAAATAAAAGTTTAACTGGATAACCTTAAAGTTACATGTCATTTGATAGTTTTTAATCTTCACCATATTGTCATTTATGTCAGCTGTTTTGTAGAATACAAACATAATAATCTTCAAAAGAAGAATTTATGCCAATGACTAAAAATTGAATAGGATTCACAGTAAGTGTCTTATTGTCCAAGCCCACATAAGAAGTCAGTTGGTTTACCTGAGGTGCTTGCAGTAGAAATCTGTAAAATTAGAAGCAACAAAAGCCCCTTGAGAGCCCCCATTATGGACCAGATCCAAGATACTAATGTGCTGAAAAAGAAGAAAAGAGATGTCTTTGAACATGTTTTTAAAAAGCATTGAATTAAAATCTTAGTCTGTCTTTGCACCGACCTTGGAGCTGCTGTAGAAGTCCTAGATGGAGAGTTGGAAGGTGAAGCTCTTTCTCTGAGAGTGAGAATTTATACCTTTTTGTGAGTCCACCTACTTGTTTGTGAGACATTCATTGATGAAACAAATGAAATAGGTCATTGGCAGCACTGATACAGGGTAAAATTCAATCAGATCTGGCATGAGACCAAAGTGCCAGATCGGCTTTTTTATGGCACTCCAATCAACCAATGTTTGAATTGCTATGGAGTCTCTGAGCACAAAGGAGACCTAGTATAAAGTAGTTTGATGGAATAATCTCCAAAAGTGTCCAAAAAGTGTTTGGGTTTTCTCGTGCTTTTAACTGCATATCATTTTAAAGTCCAGTCAGCTTGCAGCTGGAATCACCCAAAACATTAAATTCATTATTACGTTTACCTTGAGAACGAGTGCTTTGTCAACTGTCTACTTCTGTCCTACTGACATCCAGATTTCTATTTGACAGGACTCTTGATTTGAGGTGATAATCAACAGTTCAATCATGATCGACTGTGAGCCACTTGGTCTACACAGCAGGAGTTTTGTTGACTTATTTTAAGTTTCAGTAATTTTTTTCTTTCATGAAACAATTGTTTGTTTCTCTGAAATTTGGAGCAGTACGTATTAAACAAGAGAAAAAAAACAGAAACCTTCTTTGAGTCGCTGACCTAGGACCAAGGATCAATGTGCTTCTTCCGTTAACTTTTACACTTCATATTTCCAGTGTTTTATTATGCTGGAGGAAACTGTTGACATTTATCTATTGCCAAATGAAAACCATAAAATGTGATCAAGACATTTGAGGTTTGTGAAATGGTATACTGTGCTCAGTATTTAAAACAATTGAAACACTTCGGAAGTTAGGCATCATTCAAAAGAAAACTCGAACTTTTAGTCTTAAAGTCTTTAGTCTTTCCAGTTCTTCACACTGGATCTCTGTCTCATGTGCAGGTCAAGTATTTTATATCAACAAGGTCATGTACCCAGGGATGACGCATGACGTATCCTATACAAGCCAGCGTCACCCTGATGGGCGTCCCTTTAATCTTCCTGCATGTTCTACGTAGATGCAGGTTGTTATGTAGAAGAGCTCAGTATATTTTTCACTTGGAACACTTAAACCACGAGGTTAGCTCCAAAGACTGTGATAAGTCCTTATTGGCATGGCAGTGATCTCCCCAGGTTCGGCTCTAAGGTATGGCGCCGAGGTAAGTATTGGCTGTGAGCCTGAATTCATACACTAAATATGAATCCAATGCCTTGGTGTCACTCACCTTAGGCAAGGGCTGTCTGACAATCAGTGCATGAATTGCAGCTTCATGCCCTGTGATTTAATGCAGGTTTGGCTGGTCGAGGTTGAAGGATGGCAGCAAGGGGACCAATTGTCTCCCTCTGGTGAATCTGCCAGTAGCCTGGGTGGCAGAAAATACCCCCTCCAGGAAGGTGCTCCCCCGCCAAAGAAGGGTAAAAAGATGCAGGGTCTGGCTGCTAAGGTGGTCCAAGAATTTGCTGAAATTAAGGGTCTGCTTCTTAATCTTCAACCAGGTAGGGGGGTGGCAGTGCAGATGGACAGCCCACAGGATGGGGCTCCTACCTCAACAGGTTGGGACAAGGGTGAGCTGTCTACAAGGGCTTCCCGTAGTCAGTTTTGGGTGAGTGGGTCTGCCAACGATGAAGGAAAGGCCTCTCTTCCTGCTTCAGAGATCTGCTCTTCGCAGACAGGGTGCAGGTCTGGGGATGGCTCTGAGGCTGCCTCAGCCTTGATCAAACTGATGATTCGCTTAGCACTGATGCATCTGGGTTTGGATGAGGCCCCAGCTGCTAGCGCATCGGGTAGCACATTCTTCGGTTGATGGTAGGGTTCTAGCTTCCATGCAAAAGGCCAGCAGCCACCAGCTGGGCCAGATGCCAGCTGTCCAGCCGTCCATTGCCTCCCTTACTGTAGCCCTGGAAGAGGTCTTGAGATCTGATGCCTGCTGCCCTAGGCCACAGTGTTAGGTTACAAATGACCTTAGAGTGAAGTATAATGATACTGCAGACCACATGGAGCGTATCGGGAACTTCCTTTCCTATTTGATTTTGACCTTGTCTCTGGCCATGCAGTCCTCCAAAGTGGATGCTTCTGACCAGAGCTTGAGCAATGCATTATAACAGGCCTTTGCCCTGATGTCAAGGGAGCCTGGCAGGTTGATGTCAACACTCACCCTGACCCGCCATCAGGTGTGGAGAATGCCCAGTGTTCTCTTTCAGAGTCGGGCCACAGGGCCCTCCGCAGTCTCCTAGTGGTTCCAGGGGAGCTGTTTGGGCAGGCGGCACAGCAGGCCCTGGTGAGGGGAATCCAGGCAAACCAGACTTGACAGCAATTGATTGATTGATTTGTGATAGAATACAATGGTTAAATTGCTCTGTGCAGATAGCAGACGGTATTCAGCAAAATGTGAATGCTGACTGAATCACAAATAATGACAGGGTCCCAAAACTGTCTAATAGAAACATCTTTTAACTTAGACTGACTTTATTCAAACCAGAGTGATGATGTTGAAGCAGCATGCTTGATAAAATGTGGCAGAACCTTTTAGTTTTTTTGTTTTCACTGATTGTATTTCTCCTTTGCAGTAATGAAACATTCAATAATCGATGTTGCTGACATGCAGAGCTGAGTTCCTGCAACTGTGAATTGGCAATCATTTGCAAACTTAGCTGGACTAACAATACAAAGAGAGGAAAAGTCTGTACAACTCCACCCTGTGAGCCTCACTTTTCCTCTGCCCCCTCAACACCATGACAGGCAGACAGATAAGAGATTACACATACCAGAATTTAAAGTAAGTGGACATCATGTCTGATGTATCAAGTAGTCAACTTCATGTGAACACAGCTTTTTGTTTTGTGAATGATTATGTGTTGAGTGGAAAATCAAATAGACCGTATTTTATCAGGTATTTACTGTCCTTGTCAGATTCAGTCTGAGACATTCAGCCACTAGAGGGCAGTGTTATTTAAAAGAACACGCAATCCTGCATTTTTGCATAGTTGACACTTTATTGAGCACTTCAATCGCATTCACAAATCTGTCATTGATTAAATCACAACTTTAGAAAAATATAATTGGTCCAAGACAAAGTGCATTTTAAGAATCGTGTGTATACAGTAAATTCACATCATTTAGCTACTTCTCACTTCTATATTTTGGTTTGATTTCAACCATTTAAATGTGTCAGAACAGAGAAACAACATGAAGTCTGATATGACCGTTTATCTGGAGTAACTTTTCTCATAGTTTGATGTCTTGTTAATGTAACATACATGCAGTACAAAATAGTATTACAGTCTAAAATGAGTTTGTAAAAGTTTGTGACCAGCTCACTCAGCTGACTTTTGCCCTAAAGATAAAGAAAGAAAGACAGAAAGTATGAGAGTTATTTCTGTGTTATTCAGTGTTTTAATAAATCAGCCCTTTTACCAAATAGAAACTAATACTCACAAGCAACAGGTCCGATGGTGAGGCTCTCCATGGCATCAGAGTTGGACACAGAACGAGATCTCCTCCTTCCACAGGACTTAGAAAAGTGACAGATTATGTCATCATCCATTTATTTTTTAATAACAAGGGTTATGCATAGATAATGATACTTATGAAAATACTGTTTGACTTACTGGGATACAGATGGAGTACCTTCGGTCACACATGCTGAGATTACAATGGAGATAAATATCTCTGGATTCACCGTCTGGCGGGAAGAGCAGGGCAGTGAATCGAGCACGGTAAGACCTGCCACTCTCAGTCACAGACACCAGTCGGCTGTCAACGGGACACCTGGAAGAGAGAAGCAGCAACTTACCAGGTCAACAGGGCTTACAGTGTAAATGCTCATTTAACTTTTCCATCATACTCATCAAACAATACTCTTAGACTTGAAGACTCTCACCTGTTCCGGATAAGAGGGTATAGTGTAGGATTATTAGGGGAGGATGAGTAAGAGATGTAGCAGTTGTCCAGAACAGCAACAAAGTTGGGATCTCTCCCTTGTGCAAAGACACCCACAAACAAAGGTGAACCCACAGGCAGGCTGACCCGGCCGGGTGGATAGGTCTCAGTGTAGGCCGAGTTGACAAAAAGAAACATCGAGGCCCTGTTTCTGGGACCTGATCCTGAAATTCCACCTGCTGCCCTGCAAAGACCATATTGTTAATTTTAAGGCAGTCAAAACCTGTTTATACATCCTCTTTTAGTTAGTAAAACAACTTTAGTGAGTTTTTCTTATTCCTCTTCCAGACATATTTCAATTTCGTGACTAGTCCTACAGCTAAAAGGGCCGTGGAGCAGATTACACATATAAACATGTGACTTGATTTGGATCGGTGTGCTATCACCATAGACTGTATATACTATGGACAACTTGGTTCCGCCTTCCGCCAGTATACAGATTTGAAGCTGAAAAGCTTTCAGTGATTCCACGTTTTGTCTCCATTTCCTGAAACCAACATTGCGCCATAGCGTTGTACGCACTCCACGACTTGCACAGTAGCATTGTGCGCATTCGGGGGAGAGTCGCTGTGATGACGCTCAGCTGAAACAGCGTATCCCCTGGGTGAGCTACGCAATCTTCGTACGCCCATAGGCTGTATCAAGTGTCAATCACAGAAACCATGAACCCCCAAATAACTTTTAAAAAGTGAAAAAAGTGAAAAAAGAGGACTTGAGCACAAACCAGTCTTACAGTAACTACATGTCAACATCGCATCCAGGGGGGAGAAACATTTATATTCTGTGTAATAAATTTCTAAAGTTTGTCCACAACTCCATAGAGATTGCTGGAGGAGGCGGGATTTATGACCTATACTGCAGCCCGTCACCAGAGGGTGCTGTTCACAGGGTGGCTTCACCCAGCGAGGAGGCAGACGGCATCCATTCTGTATACAGTCTATGGCTATTACTTTTTAACATTGTATGTGTATATAGAATGGACAGGTTCAAGTTTTCTATGATTGACACCTGATACAGCCTATGGGCATACAAGGATTGCTTAGCTCACCGGGGGGAAATGCTGTTTGAGCCGAACGTCATCGGAGCGACTCAGCGACTCTCCCGTCGGATGCGCACAGTACTACTGTACAATGTTGGTTCCAGGAAATGGAGAAAAAGCGCGGACTTACCGAGAGCTTTTTGGCTTCAATTTCGTATACTGGCGGACGGCGCAACCTAGTTGTCTGTAGTACATTCAGTCTATGGCTGAGACCAATTCCCTAACCAGGGACTGCCCTGATGTCTGCATCATTTAATCACTTTCAGGGCAATTTCATTAATGATAAAAAGCGGCCTCTGTTGTGACGTATGTCACAAAAACCATAAAAAAATTTTGAAGTCAATGGGACAAGCAAAAAAAAGAACAATTATTGGAGTTAAAGGAATGTTTGTTGTAGTAGTGCTCCTTGTATATAAAATCACAATAGTATTAACAGTTTTAATTATTTACAGTCTCTGAAGAATCTCATCATAATGTACACACCCCGGCACTAACCTCCAACGCCCGTTCAAAATTTCCCAGAGGGAATTTTCTAGTTCCTCTTTAAATGACTAGTTTTAAGCATTTCAGAGTATTCTGGACATATCTTTGTGTTTTTAGTTGATTCAGAAATATACATCATGCAGCAAATCGAAACATTTCCGTGTCTGCTAAAGTCAAAATCGGAGTACATACTAAAAGTACATCAAGTCCACTTCAGAGTTAATAAGTAATTCGAGGCTACTTACGGCAGCACTGGTCTGATAACCACATTCAAGTTGGTGTCTAATTCCAGGGTGTACGCACAGGAGAAGGGGACGCTCACAGGAAGGTTAAAGGACTCATTGTTTAAAGGATAGATAAATAAGATGTTGGAGTAGATGGCATGTGTTCTGTTGGTCTGAAAATAACAGAATGATTGTGTTACCAGAAAGTTAACTTTGGATATGATGTTGTCAGTAGCATTACAGACATGACCAAACTGTACCAAAAAAGATCTTATCTTTTATCCTACATACAATCTGATTCTCAAAGTAAAACCGGTCAAGTCTTTACCGTCAGAGTGGTTCTACAGAGACCCTCCCTGGCCTCCACCTCATACCACACTACATTATTGTTCACTCGGTTCCAGGAGCAGTTGGGAGATGCCAAGTTGCCAGAGAATGGGTTCAAACCGGAGGATGTCAGGCCAGCTATATCCACCCCCAATCGAAGTGTATCTGGGCTACAAATGAGCAGGTAATGCTGAGGTGTAAAGACTGAAAAAAGACCACAGAATACATTGCATGTGAAAACATAAAATTGTAGAGCGTAAGTCCTCAAAAACAAAAATCGCAAAGTTTAAAAACATCAATTTAATGAGAGACATGTTTTTATGCCGGTACAGCTTAAAGAAAATAAAGTAACCCTATAAGGATCAAAGTGGGTTAAAGAAAATGGATTTACCTCCACAGACAACTCCAGCATCTTCATGATGACCACAATTGTGGTTCCCAAACCCTCGATGTCTGCAGTCTGTAATAGATGTTTCATTGCCAAAACAGCTCACATCGTCCATCCAGATGGGTCCACTGCCCAGTCCAAAAGCTGCGTTTGACGGAGCTGAAAGAGCAGCACCACAGCCCAGCTGTCTACACACCACGTTGGCATCCCTGAGGTCCCAGAAATCATCACACACTGTCCCCCACCGTCCATCATGGTAGACCTCCACTCTGCCAGAGCAGGGGCTGCCAGAGTTCACCAGCCTTACTGGAGCAGCAGCTGATGGGAAATGTAAGTCATGACATTAATGATATGAACACATCTCAAGTGTAAACTTCATAAAAACAATGATGTGCTGTAATACTAAATACTTTATCTCTTCTTTTTCATCTTTTTAGCTTTTTGTTCCATGATTAGTGTGGATCAGAATTTTGACAATGCAGGAAAAGAGGGAATGGGCAGGGAGTGAAAAGAGAAATAATAAAATTTAAGGCTGAAGATAAGGGTGACAAGTGTGGTGTCTAAGTCATGTTTTATGTAATCTAGTTGGTGACAGATTACTAAACTGTTTTTTTTTTAGCTTGATAAAGTACCACAGACGGCTTGTGACACATAATATGTATTTACCTTCACAAACAACACCAGCATCCTCACTGTGGCTACAGTCATGAACTCCAAACCCTGGGTGCCTGCACTCACTGAGCTCTGATTCATGACCAGTGCATGAGACTTCATCCATCCAGATGGGTCCACTGCCTTGTCCAAAAGCAGCAAACTGTGGTGCTGACAGAACCCTACCACAGCCCAGCTGTCTGCAGACCACCTGAGCATCCAGCAGACCCCAGCTATCATCACACACTGTCCCCCACTGTCCACGGTGGAAGATCTCTACTCTGCCAGAGCAGGAGCTGTTCCCATTCACCACACGGACCTCCCCCTCAGCTGTTGAGTTGTTTTCTGCTGCTGTATTAAAAGATAAGAAAGTTTTCTGAATAGTCCCCAACATTCTACTGCCCCCTCCAGCTTTAGCATTGTTAAACAATGATTCACAGTCCTGGGAAAAACTCTTGAAATATAACCTTGTATTTTTTTAATAACCTGTGTATCTTCTATCAGTGTATCTCTTTATCTTGCTTAAATATGTATTCACATCTAAACAACAAAGGGTTGGACTCCTCCATGGAGCCTGGTTGGGCTCAGTCTGAAGAAACAGCAAGAAGCCACTGCCCTGTGGGCCCATCAGCCTCAAGGCTAGGCAAGGTGTAGTGCATTGGAAGCCTGTCAAGTCATTGCAGTAGGTTTGGGCATGCTTATTCATGGAGTTATGGATTTGTTCTTGGGATGTGGAAATTTTCCTCACTGGTAGGTAAGGAGCTGAAGTTGCTGCTTTAGGTGAAGTGGTACTGTACAGATGTAGTCAGAACCATTGCACTGGCTCTGGGGCTAAACTGCCGGAGAGAGGCTGGGCTCTCTTCTTGCATGGTCCTTGTGAGTGAGGCACTTGGTAGGTGTGGGGAGTGTTAGAGTCTTCTCCAGGAACCAAGAAGGTAACCTCTCTGAGGCGTCAGGTTGTAGGGAGAAGGCAAAGTCTGTTGTTGCGCATAATGGCCAAGTAGCAGGTCAGTGTACACAACCTTCTTGGAGTATGTGGGTGGGGCCCTGGAAAAGTTCCCAGCTGGGGACTCCATAGTTTTCAAGAGGTTCCTAGTGCACATGGAAAATAATTGAGACATTCGGGGGAGGAGTGGTTGGGAATAACAGCCTGCCAGAGCTGAGCCTGGGCAGTGCTTTGGACTTCTATGCTAGTCATGATTAGCAATAGCTAACACCATTTGTGAGCAAATGGTGGTTCGTGAGTGTACCAGGTATCAAGCGACCCTAGGCTAGAGATCAACTGTCATATCTGATCTGCAGTTGTATGTTTCAACATTTTGGGTGAAGAGAGGAGCAGAGCTCCCAACTAATCACCACCCAATGGAAAGTTGGCTTAGATGGTGGGTGAGGCTCCCGGATATACCTGGTGAACCAAAACATAAAGTACAGGTGGATTATGAATGTCTGGCAAAGGTCCCTATTAGTAAGGTCTTCAACTCCCTCTCTGGAAGGATTTCTTGTGCATCTCAAGAGAGGTTGGGGAAATGGAATCATGATGGACTGTGTTCAAAGCCTCCATTGTAGAAGCAGCCAGTAGCAGCTGTGGCCTGGAGTTAATCAATGCCTGTAGTAGTGGCAACCTTCAAACCTGTTGATGGACAACATTGGTGAGGAAGCAGTCAGACTGAGGAAGGAGCTCTTTTGAGCTTGGTTAGCCCAGGGGTCTTTAGAAGCAGCTGAAAGGCCAGGAGGGCTGCAGTCACAGTGGCTGCAAAAGCAAGAACCCCAATGTGAAAAGAATGTGGAGAGGCTATGAAGGAGGACTTTTGGTTGACCTCAAGGAAGTTCTGGCAAACCATCAGGTGTCTCAAAAAGGAAAAGGCAGGCCTTGGCTCAGGCTGTTCTCAGACAAGGTAGAGAATTTGAAGCCAGACAAGGGATTTTATCAGGCAGTGAAAGGAACAACAGAAAATTTTTCTGGTCAAATGTAAACCATTAGAGTTGAGGTTGATATGAGTAAGTGCCAACACATACCTTCACAAACCACACTGGCATCTTCAACATGACCGCAATTGTGAACCCCAAACCCTCGATGTCTGCAGTGTGTAAGATAGGATTCATTGCCAGAACAGCTCACATCGTCCAACCAGATGGGTCCACTGCCCTGTCCAAAAGCAGCATTTGATAGAGCTGAGATAGCAGCACCACAGTCCAGCTGTCTACACACCACATCGGCATCGCTGAGGTCCCAGAAATCGTCACACACTGTCCCCCACTGTCCCTCATGGTAGACCTCCACTCTGCCAGAGCAGCGGTTGTCAGAGTTTACCAGCCTCAGTGGTAAAGCAACTGGCTGTAAACCTGAAACACATCAGATGTATGAGACACATTTAAGAGATAGTTTTTATTAACAAGTTTATTTAAAATCACACATCAGTGCATCTGCTTCTGCTAAAGAGTATTTTGCAATAGCTTCAGAGATGGTGCAACACAATGTTTTTACCTTCACAAATGACACCTGCATCCTCAGTGTGGCTACAATTGTGACTTCCAAACCCTCTGTGCACACAGTCACTGAGCTCTGACTCATGACCAGTGCATGCGACGTCAACCATCCAGATGGGTCCACTGCCCGGTCCAAAAAAAGCATCTGTCTGTGCTGTCAAGACTGAGCCACAGTCCAGCTGTCTGCAGACCACCTGAGCATCTCGTACATCCCATAAATCATCACACACTGTCCCCCACTGTCCACGGTGGAGGATCTCTACTCTGCCAGAGCAGGAGCTGTTCCCATTCACCAGGCGGACCTCCCCGTCAGCTGTTGAGCTGTTTCCTGCTGTTGTGGTGGAGGTGATGTTCACATAGTTGGGAGTGGTGGGAGTGTTTGGTTCAGGTGTTGATGAAGGTACCACAGGAGATGTTCCGTTCACCTCTGTTTACATTAAAAACAGTTAGACACTATTGTTTGACCAAAGGTGGCTTAAATGAGTAAGTTATTTTCAGATTTGTGGACAGCAGCTCAGTTGTTTCTCAATCAATTTCAATTTCAATCAATTTCCTTTTTGTCTTATTTACTGAGTATAAACTTTTGTATTTTAAATCAAACAATACCTGCACAGTATGCAAGCCGGCACAGGCCTGGATCAACAAGTTTGTAGACATAGTAGTTTTCATAGCAGTGCTTGACATGGATGTTTTGTGAGGCAAAGTGGCAGCAGCTGCCAGACCAGGAGTTACACACAGTGCGACGTTCAATCCGACCTGGCTGTGTGGGATGAGGTGTTGTTATCCACAAAGGGGCATGGGTTCCACACCTGTTTGGAGGCACACACCAATCTGGGATTTGAGCGCTGGTTTGTCCCAGAAAAAGCCGATACCAACCTTGCCAGTAAATATCTCGATCACAGTGAATCTGGTTGGAGGTGTTATTGGTTGATCTCCACTCATCATTCAGTGCAGTGTAATGCTGGCAGGGATCAGCACAGCGGAGGGTCTCGTTCACACGGATGCAGTCCATGCCTAAAGGACATGTTGTGTTTCCACACCTGAACTGGCTAGACTGGAAGGATGGACCAGATCTGGAGCTGGGGTGAGGCTCCAGGCATTCAAAGGAGCCTGGAGTGTTTTGGCAAACTTGAGATGGTTTGCAGGGCGAGTCTTTGAGGGAGCATTCATCAGTGTCCACACAGCCACTGTCTGGTGACCAGTGATAACCATCTTTACAGCAAGAAGAGTCACTGCAGAGCTTTACGTCATAACACGTAAGACCGTCACCTACAAAACCATCTTTACAGACACATGAGAGCGACTGACTTGAGAAAGTGTCGCCTCTTTCTTTAAACTCCAGACAGGCAGCTTGATCATGACATGATTCACAGGTGGTGACAAGAGTTCCTGCAAAAGTACAAGAAGAGTTTGTTTTATGAAAGAATTAAAGATGTTTTTTCTGGACAAAATCAAGAAAAATAGAGAATCAATGTCAATAATGTCCTTTTTTTCTATGCAGGATAATTTAATATTCAGAGAAGAATCAAATCTCATCAGAGGATGATGCCTGTAAACCTACATTTAACAGCAGACCAGATTTTGTTGGAAATTGAGTATCGAAGTAAATTAGTGCCATCTGAGTTTGAACTGAGTTTCTCGAACTGGATTTTTCAGCATCAAGATTGGATTTTGAATTTCAAAAACCATCAGATTTATAGCACCAAAAATTTTTTTGCCACTAAGTTTTTATCCAATGCAAAAAAAATAATAAAATAAAATAAAATAAAATTAGCCTCAAAAATCTCAATATCTCAAAGAAATTCAGTTTATAAAAATTCAACTTATCAAAAAATTCAGTGTCAAAAAATTCCCAGAGAAAGTACGTATAATCATAGAGGCACCATCGTCTTCACTGGCTGTTTATACTGTACACTGAATTTCTTGCTGTTAGATTTTTTGAAATATTAAATTCTTTCCACTGTTTTTTTTTTTTTTTTTTCAAAACTGAATTTTTATGAAACACTGAATTTATTTACACTAAATTAATTTTTACATTGGATAAAAATTCAATGGCAAAAGAAAAGTGATAGAAAGTGATTTTTTTTTTCAATTCAAAATCCAATTTTAATTCTAAAAACCTCAGTTATATACATTCGTTATCAAGTTTATGACCCCCTCTTGAGGCACACTCACAATGTTCAGGCTTACTTCACTTGATTTGAGTTAAAACTTGGACTGTGATGCTTTAAAAAGCATGACTGAAATTAATAAAAAATGTGACACTGATATTCCTGAAAAAAAAAACCTGAAATTTTGTGCAAGAAAAGACTGAAACTAATGTTCATGTTGAAAAAAGCATCTCTGCTATACTGGTTCGCAGATGCTCCACAGCTAATATTAGTGTGACACCTATTCACTTCTCTTACCACTACTTTATTCAGTTTTCACTTGGCCTACCAGAATTTCAACAAGCTACTGCTCAGTTAATATCATATTGCAGAAACATTTGGTCCTGACCCAACACAGCTCTGAGGATACCCTCAGAGAGTTAAATGAAAGTTTCACTGGAGAACCTTAAAGTTACATGTCATTTGATAGTTTTTAATCTTCACCATATTGTCATTTATGTCAGCTGTTTTGTAGAATACAAACATAATAATCTTCAAAAGAAGAATTTATGCCAATGACTAAAAATGGAATAAGATTCACAGTAAGTGTCTTATTGTCCAAGCCCACATAAGAAGTCAGTTGGTTTACCTGAGGTGCTTGCAGTAGAAATCTGTAAAATTAGAAGCAACAAAACCCCCTTAAGAGCCCCCATCATGACCAGATCCACGATACTAACGTGCTGAAAAGGAAGAAAAGAGATGTCTTTGAACATGTTTTTAAAAAGCATTAAGTTAAATTTTTAGCCTGTCTTTGCACCGACCTTGGAGCTGCTGTAGAAGTCCTGGATGGAGAGTCTGAAGGTGAAGTTCTTTCACGGAGAGTGAGAATTCATACCTTTTTGTGAGTCCACCTACTTGTTTGTGAGACATTCATTGATGAAACACATGAAATAGGTCATTGGCAGCACTGATACAGGGTAAAATTCAGTCAAATCTGGCATGAGACCAAAGTGCCAGATCGGCTTTTTTATGGCACTCCAATCAACCATGTGTGAATTGCTATGGAGTCTCTGAGCACAAAGGAGACCTTGTATAGTAGTTTGATGGAATAATCCCCTAAAGGTTTGAATTTTCTCGTGCTTCTAACTGCATATCAACATTTTTTAAAGTCCAGTCAGCTTGCAGCTGGAATCACCCAAAACATTAAATTCATTATTAAGTTTACCTAGAGAACGAGTGCTTTGTTAACTGTCTACTTCTGTCCTACTGACATCCAGATTTCTATTTGACAGGACTCCTCATTTGAGGTGATAATCAATCAACAGTTCAATCATGATTGACTGTGAGCCACTTTGTCTACACAGCAGGAGTTTTGTTGACTTATTTTAAGTTTCAGTAATTTTTTTCTTTCATGAAACAAGTGTATGTTTCTCTGAAATTTGGAGCAGTACGTATTAAACAAGAGAAAAAAAAAACAGAAAACTTTCTTGAGTCGCTGACCTATTTTGTTTTTAGATGTGCCACTTCTTGTAGTCATTTATTTATAGGGATCAATGTGCTTCTTCCGTTAACTTTTACACATCATATTTCCAAAGTGTTTTATTATGCTGGAGGAAACTGTTGACATTTATCTATTGCCAAATGAAAACCATAAAATGTGATCAAGACGTTTGAGGTTTGTGAAATGGTGTACTGTGCTCAGTATTTAAAACAATTGAAACACTTCGGAAGTTAGGCATCATTCAAAAGAAAACCTCGAACTTTTAGTCTTACAGCTGAAATAAAATGTTATGAGGAAACACATCAGGGTGAAGATTATCTCAGACACTTAACTGATAAGATATCGAATCAAAAGCAGGGAGAGATTTCATGATGTGTTTTGATCAGTCATAAATGAAAGTGTGTGACATAAATTGCCCATGACATGACATGACCCATTTGAGCTACATGGTTTATGATTTAAGGTTAGAAGTAGGTTAGGCAGGTTTTCTTTGCCGACTCCCATTTTGAAGGATTTCAAAAAGCTGCCAAGATGATGGCTGTTGCAGCCTCGGTAGAGGCCTTATCCCTGTATTAACTGTTCTTCCTTGCTGGATGAGTTCTATTTCATTCTTCCTGACTGCAAGAGGCAGTTCTTCACACTGGATCTCCATCTCAGGTCAAGTATTTTGTATCAACAAGGTCTTGTACCCAGGGATGACGCATGACGTATCCTATACAAGCCAGCGTCACCCTGATGGGCGTCCCTTTAATCTTCCGGCATGTTCTACGTAAATGAAGGTTGTTATGTAGAAGAGCTCAGTATATTTTTCACTTGGAACACTTAAACCACTAGGTTAGCTCTAAGGACTGTGATAAGTCCTTATTGGCTATGGCATTTTCCCAAGCATGGCAGTGATCTCACCGGGTTCGGCTCTAAGGTATGGCGACGAGGTAAGTATTGGCTGTGAGCCTGAATTCATACACTAAATATGAATCCAATGCCTTGGTGTCGCTCACCTTAGGCAAGGGCTGTCTGACAATCAGTGCATGAATTGCAGCTTCATGCCCTGTGATTTAATGCAGGTTTGGCTGGTCGAGGTTGAAGGATGGCAGCAGGGGGACCAATTGTCTCCCTCTGGTGAATCTGCCAGTAGCCTGGGTGGCAGAAAATACCCCCTCCAGGAAGGTGCTCCCCCGCCAAAGAAGGGTACAAAGATGCAGGGTCTGGCTGCTAAGGTGGTCCAAGAATTTGCTGAAATTAAGGGTCTGCTTCTTAATCTTCAGCCAGGTAGGGGGGTGGCAGTGCAGATGGACAGCCCACAGGATGGGGCTTCTACCCCTACAGGTTAGGACGAGGGTGACCTGTCTACAAGGGCTTCCCATAGCCAGTTTTTTGGGGAGTGGGTCTGCCAACGATGAAGGAGAGGCCTCCTGCTTCAGAGATCTGCTCTCAGCAGACAGGGTGCAGGTCTGGGGATGGCTCTGAGGCTGCCTCAGCCTTGATCAAACTGATGATTTGCTTAGCACTGATGCATCTGGGTTTGGATGAGGCCCCAGCAGCTAGTGCATCGGGTAACACATTCTTCGGTTGTGTCCTGCCCTGGGCTAATTTCTCAGTGCCACTTTCCCAACCATACGTAGAAGATCTCCACAGGTGTTGGCAGGACCCAAAGTCCATGTCCCACCACAGTGCTGATGGTAGGGCTCTAGCTTCCATGCAAGAGGCCAGCAGCCACCAGCTGGGCCAGATGCCAGCTGTCCAGCTGTCCATTGCCTCCCTTACTGTAGCCCTGGAAGAGGTCTTGAGATCTGATGCCTGCTGCCCTTGGCCACAGTGTTAGGTTACAAATGACCTTAGAGTGAAGTATATTGATACTGCAGACCACATGGAGCGTATTGGGAACTTCCTTTCCTATTTGATTTTGGCCTTGTCTCTGGCCATACAGTCCTCCAAAGTGGATGCTTCTGACCAGAGCTTGAGCAACGCATTATAACAGGCCTTTGCCCTGATGTCAAGGGAGCCTGGCAGGTTGATGTCAACACTCACCCTGACCCGCCATCAGGTGTGGAATGCCCAGTGTTCTCTTTCAGAGTCGGGCCGCAGGGCCCTCCGCAGTCTCCTAGTGGTTCCAGGGGAGCTGTTTGGGCAGGCGGCACAGCAGGTCCTGGAGAGGGGAATCCAAGCAAACCAGACTTGGCAGCAGTTTGCCAGTCTGCGAGGGCCTGAACCAAGTCTGAGGCAGTGGACTCCTTAGAGTTACAGTCCAACCGCTCTTCACCCTCAGTTTGCTCAGGCTCCACGGGCCCCTCTTGCCCCTGAATGGCCTGATCAATACAGACAGCATCATCCACAGTCTACGCACCAAGCGCAATGAGGTCAGAGATCTGGGTTTCACCCCTCCAAGGGACCGGCTTCTCTCAGCAGCACCTTGGCTACTGGGAGAGCTCCACTTCAGACACTTGGGCGGTGGCAACACTGCTCCAGGGGTACCATCTGCAGCTCAGCAGCTGCCCTCCAACTTTCAGCGAGATCCAGCAGACTTCTGTCAGCGATCCCATTGAATGTCAAGCTTTTACCCTCCTGGAGAAGGATGCCGTAGAAGAGGTAGACCTTCAGAGACAACAAGGTGGGTTCTTCTTGGTTTATTTTCTGAACGCAAAGAAAGAGGGTGAGTTTCACGTTCATGGACTTTCATGTGCCATTTGTAGTGCATCACAGGCAGTGCCCTCACTTTTCATTTGAAGGCAGGGGTTATCAGTTCAAGGTGCTCCCATTTGGACTTTCCCTAGCCCCATGGGTATTCACAGGATACACGCAAGCAGCATTGGCCCCAATGTAGGCCTGAGGCATGCAGATCCTTCCAGAAATGGCATAAAGTCATTTTTCTAATCCCAAGGAAGACGTTCTGGGGTCGATCCATTGCAGAATTTATTTTGATTAACCCGGGACAATAAGACTCGTTAATTCAGGGCTACTGAGCATCCAGACATTTTGTGGCAGATGACCAAAAGTTCTCATTTAATATTGATAAATTAACATTATTATGTACTAGTTTACTTAAAGAAAATGCAAAAAAAAAACATAGATAACAATTATACACATCAATAAAGCCTTAGGAAAGATGAAATTGAATGGAAAAGAGAAATGATATGTGTTTCTATGATGTTTCACTCAAAGTTCTTTCTTCACAACAAATACTGTGTTTGGTCTAAGTGAGGTTGTAGTGACTTGGGGTTAGGAGCTTCTGCTGTTAAGATGTATTGTTACAACGCCAAATAAAGAAAAAATAAAATGTTAAGGTAAAACACTCCATTTAATAAAAAGATAGTCAATACACAAGTTCTGTTAGCATATCCTGTCAAGCCTGAGTGGATGAGGTAAGAGAAAAGAGGTGTCTAGTGTTTTAGGTGTGTGACTCCTTCTTCCTCTCTACTGCAACTACTGCCAATCTTCAATCACTCATGTGGTTGAAGATGAGATGGAGCCCCCATCTTATCTCATAGGATGGAGCTCAATCTGATCCCATCTTTATGTTTAGTCTTTGTAAATGACTGAACATTAAGATGTATCATAAAGAGTATGAGTTTGTGTTTCATAGCCTGACAGTTCTGTGCAGATAGCAGACGGTATTTAGCAAAATGTGAATGCTGACTGAATCACAAATAATGACAGGGTCTCAAAACTGTCTAATAGAAGTATCTTTTAACTTAGACTGACTTTTATTCAAACCAGAGTGATGATGTTGAAGCGGCATGCTTGATAAAATGTGGCAGAACCTTTTAGTTTTTTTGTTTTCAGTGATTGTATTTCTCCTTTGCATTAATGAAACATTCAGTAATCGACTTTGCTGACATGCAGAGCTGAGTTCCTGCAACTGTGAATTGGCAATCATTAGCAAACTTAGCTGGACCAACAATACAAAGAGAGGAAAAGTCTGTACAACTCCACCCTGTGAGCCTCACTTTTCCTCTGCCCCCTCAACACCATGACAGGCAGACAAAGAAGAGATAACACATACCAGAATTTGAAGTAAATGGACATCATGCCTGATGTATCAAGTAGTCAACTTCATGTGAACACAGCTTTTTGTTTTGTGAATGATTATGAGTTGAATGGAAAATCAAATAGACCGTATTTTTAAGGTTTTTACTGTCCCTGTCAGATTCAGCCTGAGACATTCAGCCACTAGAGGGCAGTGTTATTTAAAAGAACACACAATCCTGCATTTTTACATAGTTCACACTTTATTGAGCACTTGAACTGCATTCACAAATCTGTCATTGATTAAATCACAACTTTAGAAAAATATACTTGGTCCAAGACAAAGTGCATTTTAAGAATCGTGTGTATACAGTAAATTCACATGGTGTAGGTACTTCTCACTTCTATCTTTTGATTTGTGTTTCAACCATTTAAATGTGCCAGAACAGAGAAACAACATGAAGTCTGATATGACTGCTTATCTGGAGTAACTTTTCTCATAGTTTGATGTCTTGTTAATGTAAGATACATGCAGTACAAAATAGTATTACAGTCTAAAATGAGTTTGTAAAAGTTTGTGACCAGCTCACTCAGCTGACTTTTCCCCTAAAGATAAAGAAAGAACGACAGAAAGTATGAGAGTTATTTCTGTGTTATTCAGTGTTTTAAGACATCAGCCTTTTTAACAAATAGAAACTAATACTCACAAGCAACGGGTCCGATGGTGAGGCTCTCCATGGCATCAGAGTTGGACACAGAACGAGATCTCCTCCTTCCACAGGACTTAGAAAAGTGACAGATAATGTCATCATCCATTTATTTTTAATACCAAGGGTTATGCATAGATAATGATACTTATGAAAATACTGTTTGACTTACTGGGACACAGGTGGAGTACCTTCGGTCACACAACCTGAGATTACAATGGAGATAAATATCTCTGGATTCACCGCCTGGAGGGAAGAGCAGGGCAGTGAATCGAGCACGGGAGGACCTGCCACTCTCAGTCACAGACACCAGTCGGCTGTCAACGGGACACCTGGAAGAGAGAAGCAGCAACTTACCAGGTCAACAGAGCTTACAGTATAAATGCACATTTAACTTTTCCATCATACTCATCAAACAATACTCTTAGACTTGAAGACTCTGACCTGTTCCGGATAAGAGGGTATCGCCCGGAATCATTAGGGGAGGATGAGTGAGAGGCGTAGCAGTTGTCCAGAACAACAACGAAACTGGGATCTCTCCCTGGTACAAAGACACCCACGAACAAAGGTGAACCCACAGGCAGGCTGACCCGGCCAGGTGGATACATCTGAGTGTAGGCTGAGTTGACAAAAAGAAACATCGAGGCCCTGGTTCTGGGACCTGATCCTGAAATTCCACTTGCTGTCCTGCAAAGACCATACTGTTAATTCTAAGGCAGTCAAAACCTGTTTATACATCCTCTTTTGGTTATTCATCAACTGACTTTTTTTAAGCATTTCAGAGTGCTCTGAACACGTCTTTGTGTTTTGAGTTGATTCGGAAATATACACCATGCAGCAAATTGAAACATTTCTGTGTCTGATCAAGTCAAAAACAAAATATGTTCACTTGATGTGTCTTTAGAGGTAACAAGTGAGGCTACTTACGGCAGCACTGGTCTGATAACCACATTCAGGCTGGTGTCTGTTTCCAGGGGATACGCACAGGAGAAGGGGACGTTCACAGGAAGGTCAAAGGACCCGTTGGTTAAAGGATAGATAAATAAGCTGTTGGAGTAGATGGCATGTGTGCTGTTGGTCTGAAAATAACAGAATGATTGGGTTATCAGAAAGTTAACTTTGGATGATATGATGTTGTCAGTAGCATTACATACATGACCAAACTGTACCAAATAGTTTAAAAGATCTTTAGGTGGAGATGCTGGGATCTCAAGCTGTTAAAAATTTTTAACGCTTGGTCTTTGTGACATAACCTTTGCAACCAAACAAATGCACGTTCCGTTTTCTTTTAATAGATCTTATCTTACATCTTAATTATAATCGTATTCTCAAAGTAAAATCTGTCAAGTCTTTACCGTCAGAGTGGTTCCACAGACACCCTCCCTGGCCTCCACTCCATACCACACTACATTATTTTGCACTTGGTTCCAGGAGCAGTTGGGAGATGCCAAGTTGCCAGAGAATGGGTTCAAACCGGAGGATGTCAGGCCAGCTATATCCACCCCCAATCGGAATGTATTCGAGCTACAAATGAGTTGGTAATGCTGAGGTGTAGGGACTGAAAAAAGACCAGAGAATACATTACAAGAGAAAATTATGAAAGAGGATAAGGGCCACATGAAAGGAAAAAAATTAGCTACTGGAAGGAGATTAAAGATGAAATTTTTGACATAAAAAATTCTAAGTGATGTCAATAAAGTCAAAATTACAAGATTAAAAATTGATTTTTTGAGATCAAAGTTGAAATTTTGAGATTACAAAATGTCGCAATATTGTGAACGATGTCCAAATTTCGAGATTTTAAAAACAATTTGAGATTAAAGTCGACATTTGAATTTTTCACGTAATTTCTGGGTTTTTTTTAAATCTTGAAATTTCGACTTTAGTGTCAAATTTCGATTTTTTTTCATTTCGACTTTATAATTAAGACTCTAATCTCGAAATTTCGACTTAAATCTCGAAATGAAAATTTGAAAAATCTCCTTCCTGTAATTATTTTCTTCTCTTCTTTTGGCCCTAATCCTTTTTTGTAGAAAACACATAAAATTATACAGTAAGTCCTCTAAAACAAAGATTACAAAGTTTACAAACATCAACTTAATGAGAGGCACATCTTTATGCTGGTACATCTTAAAGAAAACAAAGCAACCCTATGCGGATTAAAGTGGATGAAGGAAGATGGCTTTACCTTCACAGATGACACTGGCGTCTTCATGATGAGCACAATTGTGGTTCCCAAACCCTAGATGTCTGCAGTCTGTAATGGATTGCTCATTGCCAAAACAGTTCACATCATCCAACCAGATGGGTCCACTGCCCTGTCCAAAAGCTGCGTTTGACAGAGCTGAACGAGCAGCACCGCAGCCCAGCTGTCTACACACCACATTGGCGTCCCTGAGGTCCCAGCTATCATCACACACTGTCCCCCAGCGTCCCTCATGGTAGACCTCCACTCTGCCAGAGCAGCGGCTGTCAGAGTTTACCAGCCTCACTGGAGCAGCAGCTGGTGCTGAAAAAAAGAGAAATGATCTGATATGAAACATGAATGCAAGACTCATAGATCCTTTTCATTTGCTTAGAGGAACATGTCCTTCTGCTGAAAAATCTTAGATATTTCTGAGGCTGATGAGTGTACAGATACAAATATGGTCAAATTTATATTTTATGATTCTTTAACAGATGACTTTTCTTATTCTACAATGGGCTGAACACAAAAACCTAAAAATAGTACTTACCTTCACAAACAACTCCAGCATCCTCACGGTGGCTACAGTCATGATTTCCAAACCCTTGGTGCCTGCACCATCTGAGCTCCGATTCATGACCAGCGCATGAGACTTCATCTAACCAGATGGGTCCACTGCCTTGTCCAAAAGCAGCAAACTGTGGTGCTGACAAAACCCCACCACAGCCCAGCTGTCTGCAGACCACCTGAGCATCCAGCAGACCCCAGTTATCATCACACACTGTCCCCCACTGTCCACGGTGGAAGATCTCTACTCTACCAGAGCAGGAGCTGTTCCCATTCACCAGGCGGACCTCCCCCTCAGCTGTTGAGCTGTTTCCTGCTGTTGTGGTGGAGGTGATGTTCACATAGTTGGGAGTAGTAGTTGGTTGAATTGGACCAGGAGTAGCTGTGACTGTGTTGTTAAAGTCCGGATCACCTAAAAGACAAGACTTTGTCAGGTCTGGACACATCTTCGGCCTTCAGGGTCATCAATGGTTATGAGCCAAAGTTCTTTGTTAATTCTACATGTAAATATTCATGATGTAATTTATTGTTGTTGGATTTAAAATTCAGTTTTCTTCTCATTGAGAGGTAAGCACTGTGAGATTTTTGTGTAAATATTTACCTTCACAGATGACACTGGCGTCTTCAACATGAGCACAATTGTGAACCCCAAACCCTGGATGTCTGCAGTCTGTAATGGATGGCTCATTACCAAAGCAGCTCACATCGTCCAACCAGATGGGTCCACTGCCCTGTCCAAAAGCTGCGTTCCACAGAGCTGAACGAGCAGCACCACAGTCCAGCTGTCTACACACCACATCGGCATCCCTGATGTCCCAGCTATCATCACACACTGTCCCCCAGCGTCCGTTATGGTTGACCTCCACTCTGCCAGAGCAGCGCCTGCCAGAGTTTACCAGCCTCACTGAAGCAGCAGCTGTCAACAAACATGAAATAATAAAAGTATGAGGCACATAATAAAACCTGAAATCCTGCAGACATCAGTACTTTTCAGAAGTACTGGATATTGTCATAGATAGTATCGTCCCAAAAAGACACTTGATTGTTATTCTTTGGAAACCTCAAGTCCATTTCCCCCCCTGCACACACACACCTATTCCCCGTACACCCCCTTCTGCCACTCAGCATCTCTCAGTTTTAATTGTTGTCTGACCTGGAACTCTCCTCTAACTACAGATTTTTATCACCTCACCCTCCTCATCATTCTCAACCTCAACAAATTTCTCCTTCCTCATCTGGAATCATTATTTAGCATCTCTGGCATGGCCTGTCCTGGTTCAGGTCATGTCTATCACCCAGGCAACAGTTCACCCAAAATCAACAACTGCTGCTTCTCTACCTTTCCTGTGTCTCACGGTGTACCACCGGGTTCAGTGGTTGGTCCTCTCTTATTTATTCACTGATGATAACCAGATTTACATTTCCACCTGTTCATCATATCCTCCACTCCACACTGACTGACGTCCTCTCAGAAATTAAAAATGGATGCAAACCAACTTCCCTCAGACAAATCACAACAAATTTCACTTTATCATCGGCTCCAAATCCCTCACCAAAACAACCCCCCACTTCCCCCTTAAATTCAACAACATAACTCTGTGTCTCCACCCTATCTCACAGACCTGCTCATCTCTAAACCCTGTCCTACAGTCTCCTCTCCTCATACTATACTATTCCTTATGACATCCATGACTGTCCTAATCTACCCACATTCAAATCCCCTCTTTTATGACCTTCTAATAGCTGGAGATGTTTTTTCTTTTGTTTATTTTTAAAAATTGTTTGTTGTTTTATTTGTGTGGTTATGAGTTTGTACAGGATCTTCAAGGACTTGAAAAGCACTTGATCAATTAAATTCAATATTTCTTTCTCTTATATTTTCATTTCAGTTTTCATTTTACTTCAACTTAATTATGTCCCAAAAATGGGCAAATCGGGTTGCAGCACAGGCATTTAAAACACTGCCATACATCATAAAAAGAAAATAAATAACATAGAATACATTTACATAAAAAATTGTTCAGAAAAAAATTTAAGAGGATTTAGAAGGTAAAAAATCGTCTTTTTTAACTTAATGAATGAAATACTACATTGAAAGGTGCAAAGTGTTTAGATTTGGTCAAACTCACAAAACTGTTCAAACTCAAAATTAGAGTAATAGGAGGTTGTTCACACAGGAAAACAAAATGTACTCACCCTCACAAACAACTCCAGCATCCTCATTGTGGCCACAGTTGTGACTTCCAAACCCTCTGTGCCTGCACTCACTGAGCTCTGATTCTCTGCCTGAACACGCAACGTCATCCATCCAGATGGGTCCACTGCCTTGTCCAAAAGCAGCAGACTGTTGTGCTGACAGAACCCTACCACAGCCCAGCTGTCTGCAGACCACCTTGAGCATCCTGCAGACCCCAGCTATCATCACACACTGTCCCCCACTGTCCACGGTGGAAGATCTCTACTCTGCCAGAGCAGGAGCTGCTCCCATTCACCAGGCGGACCTCCCCCTCAGCTGTTGAGCTGTTTCCTGCTGTTGTGGTGGAGGTGATGTTCACATAGTATGGGAGTAGTAGTTGGTTGAATTGGACCAGGAGTAGCTGTGACTGTGCTGTTAAAGTTTGGATCACCTAAAAGACAAGAGTTTGTCAGGTCTGGACACATCTTCAGCCTTCAGGGTCATCAATGGTTATGAGCCAAAGTTCTTTGTTAATTCTACATGTTAATATTCATGATGTAGTTTATTGTAGATGGCTGTAAAATTCAGTTTTCTTCTCATTGAGAGGTGAGTACTGTGAGATTTTTGTTTAAATATTTACCTTTACAGATGACACTGGCGTCTTCAACATGACCACAATTGTGAACCCCAAACCCTGGATGTCTGCAGTCTGTAATGGATGGCTCATTACCAAAGCAGCTCACATCATCCATCCAGATGGGTCCACTGCCCTGTCCAAAAGCTGCGTTTGACAGAGCTGAACGAGCAGCACCACAGCCCAGCTGTCTACACACCACGTTGGCGTCTCTGATGTCCCAGCTGTCATCACAGACTGTCCCCCACTGTCCACGGTTGAAGATCTCTACTCTGCCAGAGCAGGAGCTGTTCCCATTCACCAGGCGGACCTCCCCCTCAGCTGTTGAGCTGTTTCCTGCTGTTGTGGTGGAGGTGATGTTCACATAGTTGGGAGTGGTGGGAGTGTTTGGTTCAGGTGTTGATGAAGGTACCACAGGAGATGTTCCGTTCACCTCTGTTTACATTAAAAACAGTTAGACACTATTGTTTGACCAAAGGTGGCTTAAATGAGTACGTTATTTTTTTAGATTTGTGGACAGCAGCACAGTTGCTTCTTGATTAGTAAGTCATTTATAAGACTGTATCAATTTCCTTTTTGTGAGTATAAACTTTTGTATTTTAAATTGAACAATACCTGCACAGTATGCAAGGGAGGAAGAGCTTGGACGAACAAGTTTGTAGACGTAGTAGTTTTCATAGCAGAGCTTGACATGGATGTAGTGTGAGACAAAGTAGCAGCAGCTGCCAGCCCAGGAGTTACACACAGTGCGACGTTCAATCCGACCTGGCTGTGTGGGATGAGGTGCTGTTATCCACATAGGGACATGGGCTCCACACCTTCTTGGAGGCACACACCAATCTGGGATTTGAGCACTGGTTTGTCCCAGAAAAAGCCGATACCAGCCTTGCCAGTAAAGATTTATATCATTGTGAATCTGGTTGGAGGTGTTATTGGTTGATCTCCACTCATCATTCAGTGCAGTGTAATGCTGGCAGGGATCAGCACAGCGGAGGGTCCCGTTCATGCTGATGCAGTCCATGCCCAAAGGACATGTTATGCTTCCACACTGGAACTGGCTAGACTGGAAGGATGGACCAGATCTGGAGCTGGGGTGAGGCTCCAGGCATTCAAAGGAGCCTGGAGTGTTTTGGCAAACCTGAGATGGTTTGCAGGGTGAGTCTTTGAGGGAGCATTCATCAGTGTCCACACAGCCTTTGTCCGGTGACCAGTGATAACCGTCTTTACAGCAAGAAGAGTCACTGCAGAGCTTTACGTCATAACACGCAAGACCGTCACCTACAAAACCATCTTTACAGACACATGAGAGCGACTGGCTTGAGAAAGTGTCGCCTCTTTCTTTAAACTCCAGACAGGCAGCTTGATCATGACATGAGTCACAGGTGGGGACAAGAGTTCCTGCAAAAGTACAAGAAGAGTTTGTTTTATGAAAGAAATAAAGATGTTTTTCTAGACAAAATCAAGTAAAATAGAGAATCAATGTCAATAACGTCCTTTTTCCTATTGTTTAGAGAACAATCACACATGCATCAAATCACTTCAGAGGATGATGCCTGTGTAAATCTACATTTAACGGTAGACCAGATTTTGATGGGAAGTAAGATTCTGCAGCTGAATGATATGACCCTCTCTTGTGGCATTCTAACAGTAGCTGCTTTTACCTGGGCATAAATAATCGGAATACATGCTCAATCGGAATAAAAATGCCTCATGTGAACATCCTGTTCGGCTCAATCAGAAAGTAATTGTATTCCGATCGAGAGGGGTAGTTTATGCCGATCGTTATTCGCATCCATTTAAACACTTTTTCCATTCGTGACTCTCTTACCTGACTCGATCGTCACTCTTAAGCCTTTGGTTTATTGATTGAGGTCAGTACAGGAGGTTTCATTATTAACACTCTGGCCTAAAACACAACCGCAGGTGCCGTGTCTGCTCCTCCAGTAACATATCAAGGCGTACAAACCATGTAATGATGTCACATTTGTACGCACAGTGCAACCTTTGACAGAACAGTAAAATAAGTACGCAAGGGCGCCATCTAGTGACAACATTTAACAGAGGGGAAAACCCTTGAATCAGATGGAGTGGGTGAGCCACTACTGTTGGTTTGTTGACAGCACAGCCGTAAATACAACTCTCCTTCTGCGGTTGTTTGAGCGAAATCAGACACTTCTGCGCATGTCCAAATGCTTAGATCATCCGATCCCTCAAATTTTAATCGGGTCAATACATTTTGCACATATAAACATGGCTAATGGCCATATGGCTAATGGATTTTGACTGTGATGCTTTAAAAGGCATGATTGAAGTTACTCAAAAAGTGACTTTGATATTCCCTGAAAAAAAAAAATGAAATTTTGTGCAAGAAAATACTAAAACTAATGTTCATGTTGAAAATAGCATCTCTGATATCAAAGTTTCATGTCCAGTGGTGGCTTTGAGGATACCCTAAGAGAGTTAATCAAAGGTTTCACTGGAGAACTTTGTATCATGAATCAGAGGAAAAAGTTCAAATAAAATGTCATTTAATAGTCTGTAATCTTCACCATAGTTTTATTTATGTCAGCTGTTTGGATTTGTTTGTGGGAAGACAAACCTAATAATCTTTAAAAGAAGCATTTTTGTCAATTACTGAAAATTGAATAAGATGCACAGATTTTTCCCCCATGGAGTCATTACAATAAATTTACATGATAAAAGTGTCTTATTGTCTCAGCCCATTTAAGAAGTCAGCTGGTTTACCTGAGGTGCTTGCAGTAGAAATCTGTAAAATTAGGAGCAACAAAAGCCCCTTAAGAGCCCCCATTATGGACCAGATCTAACGTTCTGAAAAAGAAGAAAAGAGATGTCTTTGAACAAGTTTTTAAAAAGCACTGAAGTAAATTCTTTGCCTGTCTTTACACCAACCTTGGAGCTGCTGTAGAAGTCCTGGATGGAGAGTCTGAAGGTGAAGCTCTTTCACGGAGAGTGAGAATTTATACCTGTTTGTGAGTCCACCTACTTGTTTGTGAGACATTCATTGATGAAACACCTGAAATGGGTTATAAAAAACACAGATACATCCATTGTGACATCAGAAGAGTTAATAATTAATCAAAATAAGACAAAGGATCAAATTCAATCAGATCTGGCATACAAAAGAAAAGCCAGATATTTTTACGATGCCACAATCAGTCTTATGTAAGGGCTAAAATTAATGGACACCTCTTGACCTTGAACAGTTTGAACATTCCAGCATCACTCTGTCCACCACCTCGCCTCTCTTTGAGCCACCTTTGGTAAACAGCTGTGACTGGAATGCTGTGGAGTTTCTGAGCATAAAGGTGATGTCTGAAGAAAGAGAAAAATTCAACCAGGAAAAAAAAACTGAACATTACATTGAGGTAGACATCTAGAATTAGTGTGTCACTTCTCACAATCAGTTATTGGGATCCTTCCCGTAACTCTTACCTATTGTATTTCTTCACTTCAAGTTTTATTATGCCGGCGTAATCAGTTGACCCAGCACTTTGTTCCATTACTGAATAAATGCCATATAAATTATTTCACAACATTTTGTTCTGCAAGTCAGCACTTTTGTTGCACCTCTTTTGGCTTGCAAAATACACCCCTGAAGAGACGAGCATCGTTAATAGAGGAGACTTTCTCTAAGCACAGCTTTCAGTGACAAGACTGCAAACATCTAAAACCATCTCGCAGAAATGAAATAATGTTGGTTATCTAACTCAGCCTAATGTTCAATACTTTATCTCTCTGATATAATAACTGCCTGAATTAGTCATCATCTAATGATTAACAAAAATTAAATTTTAACATGACCTTACTTGCCAGGGCACCATCATGAACTTCTCATACAACACTGGAAAATTGGCCCATTGTGGTGATTAACACATAAATTCATAGCATTTATTAAAACTACATGTCAATGCATAAATTAATAGTGATTTATAATTTACTCAGACTTAAATTGCACATACTCTTCATTATTTAATGAGGATTTTTGAGTTACACATTAACTCGGGATTTTCTGAGAATAAACGCGTACGAGTGGGAAAGTGTGGTTAAATGTTCTCATTTTATTTGTTCAGAGGACTTTTTCTCACAGCTGAACAGTGGAGTAGTATCGATGAGAGAGAAAGCCAACCACCTTCAAAGGGCTCGAATGTCCCCACCACACAGGTCAACATCTCCTCTTCTGTCTCTGCACCGATCAAAGTGCTGATACTACAGTTTTAGGTCCCCCTTTACAAAAACATTGACACATGATTCACTTTGGGTCACCTGAAGAAACACAATAATAGAAAACTGTGTCGACATATCGTAAATACAAAGAGAAACAAAAGACATTTAACCTTTTTTGCATTTAAAATCCATATTTAAAAGTGCTTGTACAGTGAAGTCAGTTAAAAAAGATTCATAACCAAAGGTTAGGAAGGACAAATGGTCCTGAACTTCATACTATCAAAAAAAAGTCAGATAAAACACGTGTTTTTTGTAGCTTTGATTGTATGGTTCAAAAGTGTTTTTTTGTGCTTGTTAAACAGTGAACAGGTTGAACCCAATCATTACCTAACTTCAGGGAAACACACAAGGTGTGCTGCTTTAAATATGCATGTACTTTTTGAAGGGCTTTTTATCTCTGAAAGAGCCTGGTAAACAATGACTTAAGCTACAAACAGTTGACAGATTACAGGGGCAGAGGACAGGGATGAATAGCACAGGTTCAACTGACCCAAAGTGCACAAACACTCCATTGTTTTGTATATGTCAGACCAGCTTGAGGCTGGACTTTTAACCTGTATTGCCTTCAAATAGATGATATCAATAAAAATGAACAAAAGGTGTGGAAAGGAAATATAAAATGAGTTTTGACTGATACTGAATATGTTATGATTAAACATCGTCTTTGCCTATAAAGAGTTTTCACCCTCCTCTAAAATTTGTACAGGTTAAGCCATGGTCAAACACACTGTAACACCAAGTTAGACTCCCCCTCAAGAGATAAATGTTACCAACTGCTTGCTTCTCTAGTTATACCAACTTCAGCAACAACCACACGATAGCAATACACAGCGGTCTACGTCTCCATGCACAAACCTCACCCAAAACGCCACTCTATAGCCACAAATAATGCTCAGAACAGCACCTAACTTCATCAACAGTACATATAGGATCCCAGCCATAGTACTAGCCATCAAACATCTTTTTTAACTTTGCCTGGTTTCTATAGCAAAGAGACTAAACACATCTCACCCACTCTCCTCCAGCAGCCATTTGTTTGTGGGGAGCCCTGATGAGTCGATCACCGAGTGCAGCGGAAAATTTATGATTATTCTTTCATAGAAAAGCAATCACACCGAGACGCTAAGGCAGAAGAACTACCGCGTCTGCAGTGCAAAATGATTATTGTGATGATTATTACTTCATGGAAATGATCCGCTGTGCTCTGTGATCGACTCATCATCGCTCTCCCACAAAGAAGCGGCTGCTGGCGGAGAGTAGGTGAGTTGTGTTTAGTCTCTTTGCTAAAGAAATCAGGCAAAGTTAAAAAAAAGTTTGATGGCTAGTACTATGGCTGTGATCCTATATGTACTGTTGATGAAGTTAGGTGCTGTTCTGAGCATTATTTGTGGCTATAGAGTGGCGTTTTGGTTGAGGTTTCGCGTGGATACGTAGACCGCTGTGTATTGCTATCGTGCGGTCTTTACTAAAGTTGGTATAACTAGAGAAGCAAAACTGTGACTCTTCAATTTGATTCTTACTCAAAAACAATATTTCAGAAATAACACCCCTCACAGATCGATGATATCATCAGTTAGAAAATCACTGATACTCTAGTGGCCAATGACGCCCCTTTTCTTAAATAATGAGACCCTCTCTGACAAAGTCAGGAAAAATAATCACCCCTGTATTTGAATCTGCTTTGTAAAAGATATTTCCTGAAGTGCTAAAACAAAGGGAAGTCTCTGCATAAAAATATATATATAAATATTTGTCTCATATAATTTCTCAAGTTTCTCCTTTTTCATACAAACAGCATCCTCGTAGTCATACTGAGCTTATAAAATGCTACAAAATGCCGAGCAGACTCGTGGTCCAACATGGTGATAATGTAGTGTCAGGAGGTCCCACAAAGATTTCCAAGTTTGTGGTGTAATACTTCCTTAGACTTGGTACCTTGCAGACTCTCAGGGTCCAACAGCCAGTTAATCAGTTAGTGGAGGTAGTTATTTACTGTTCAACTTCATAATCTCCAAACTGAATCATCACTGGTCTTTGAGGAAACTCCATGATTCCACCTGCAGAGCTTCCTCCATAGTGCTCGTATACTTGAAGCCCTGCAGATCAGCAGCCAGGAGGACATCCAGGACAGAGGGCTGCAGGTAGAGAAGAACAAAGAAGAGGGAGTGTGTACTCAAAAAAACAAACATCCTGAAGGGCTTCATGACAAAAAGTCTGTCTATGTAGTGAGTTTCAGGTCTTACCCGCAATCCAGAAAAGACAAGATGCACTCCTCGTAGTTTGAACTGCCTCAGCAAATCCCTGAGCTCACTGATCACAGAGTAATCAATGACGCTGACATGATGGCAATCCAGGACCACTGACTGCGGGGGAGACGCTGAGTGGGTGACAATTAAAGAAGGAGTAGATGAGAGGACAAAGTGACAACATCACATCATTATGACGAGCGTCTTCTAAACAAACAGAGATCTTTAAACAAGTCCTCACCCTGAAGGGCCTGAGTGTGTATGATGCGGCTGAGATACTCCGTGGCAGGAAAACTGAGTCCGCTACCCAGCTCCATCAGCAGCACACCGTGATCTGACACCTGAGTGCAACAGGGACATACAGTCAACGCAATCTACACTATTAAATATCTAAAGGCATTTAAAGGGATATTCCGGCGTAAATTTAAGTTAGGGTCAAACACGCTGTAACACCGAGTTAGACACCCCCTGGAGAGATGGATGTTGCTAAATGCTCGCTTTTCTAGTTATACCAACGTAAGTAACAACCGCACGATAGCAATACACAACGGTAGTACTAGCCATCAAACACCTTTTTAGCTTTGCCTGATTTCTTTAGCAAAGAGACCAAACGGAACTCACCCACTCTCCTCCAGCAGCCGCCTGTTTGTGGGGAAACCCTGACAATTCGATCATGAGTGCAGCGGAAAATTTACGACTATTACTTTATGGAAATGCAATCAGGCCGAGACGCTAAGGCAGAAGAACTACCGCGTCTGCAGTGCACATACAGGATACACAAAAACTCTGATTGCATTTCCATGAAGTAATAATCATACATGTTCTTCCTTGAGCTGCGAAACTCCACTACACTCTGTGATCGACTGGTCAGGGCTAGTACTATGGCTGGGACCCTATATGTACCGTTGATGAAGTTAGGTGCTGGTCTGAGCATTAATTGTGGTTATGGGTGGCTTTTTGGTTGAGGTCTTGTCTTGTCAGCTCTTGTCCGGTCTACCACCTTTTTAAGGGCCCGTTATTCCTCCAGACATTCCGTGGTCAAAGGAGGACTCAGAAAATTTTGGTCGGTTTCTACTGTCAGATATTGTAGCACGCTAATTTTTATTTGGGCTCCTGCACGTTATCTGAAGACGTGGAGCGTGCCTCACGTGCCAACACAAGGGAGCAGCGACTTCCTCACAACCAATCAGGTTGGGGAGGTGGAGAACAGCTTTGTTTACAATCAGAAAGAGCGGACCGCTAAAAAATTTTAAAATGTTGACTACTCAGACATTAGAGAACACAGCGATTTTGTGATATTCATAAATGTCATCAATAACTAATAGCTATTGACTGATATTTACAGCTTTTTTGTATATACACCACAAAAAAGATGCTTTCTTAACAGATTCCTGCCTACCCCACCTTTAAATAAAAAACAACCATCCCTTTTACAGAAATCAATCAAAGCAGCATTTTCACGCTGATGTCCACATACTTAGGATATTAGATGAAGTGTCCCACATACCCTCACTTGGTCTTATTTAGACTATTTAAGTACCTTGATCTGTGGTCTTGCCGTGTTGTAGAGTAGCAGGGCTCCAGATACAGCCACACCTCCGACGATGCCGTACTGCACCTCCCAGAAACTCATCAGGAATGTCACCACAAAAGGCAGCAGGTCCAGCTCTGAGGAGACACGCTGGTATTAAACCATGATCGATAAAACACACATGAGACAAGGAAACACTGATTGAACAGGACACCCACTGTGTATCCTCCACATCTTCGCCACAACGCCATAATCCACCATGGGAGCCACTGCACAGATGATAACAGCAGCGAGAGAAGCTTTGGGGATGTAGTAAAAGGCCGGCATGAGGAAGGCCAGGGAGAGCAACACAATCACACCTGCAAAAAGGAAGATGGTGATAGTTATTTGTATCTATATTCACATGCAGTTTGACGTTATGTTGTCTTGATTTTATTAGATGCTAAAGCTATTTAACTTGACTTAAACACTTCTATTTTAGACCTCCAAGATCAAAGTTACAAAGTAAATGCAAAAACAGAGCACGACAAGAGTCAGTAGAGATACAGGGGAGGAGAAAAGAGGTCGGACTCACTTGTGATGATCCCTCCAGCTGGAGAGCAAACACCGGTCTGAGAGTTCACGGCTGTCCTGGATGTGAGGGGAAAAAATAGCACTGTAAAAATACGACATCACTCAAATAAACTTCCACACCAACAATCACAGACCTGCCAAAGCTGCCCGTGACAGGGTACGCCGACACAAAAGAGCCCATGATGTTGGTCACACCGATGGCCAGCAGCTCCTGATTGGCGTCGATCCTGTAGTCGTTCTGACTGGCTATGAAGAAACAAAGAGTTCAAATTAAACACTCATCCTTACTTTTGTTCATAATCTTATCCCTCCACATTTAAAACCTCTAAACCATGACTTCTTTTTGTAAAATGTATGAACAAAATTTCTGATTTCTGAAATTCTGATTGGTCAACTTGATTTTTTTCTGTGTTGATTTACAGTCACTGATAAATCTCATCAGGAGGAACGTACCAAGTGCTAATAGGGGTGTTTTCAGAGCATCCCAATTTCACAGGTAACCGGAGACCGGCTCGAGACAGGAAGATTGAAAAGCGTCCACGTTAATCAACGTCCGGTGATTTGCTAAATATAATATTTGTGTTTAATTGGTCGATTTTTGGTTGAAGATTTCAGGGTTTTAGTCGACCAAGACTTTCTTTGGTTGATTAACGCCCTAGTGGGTTTTAATAAACTCACTGTGACTTCTTAAGGAAGACAGAAATCATGTGACTATTTCAGCCTCTCTGTTGGGCCTCACGTTGACTACATAGCTGACTACATTTTTCATGCTGATGTTTTGCACGTAAAGCTGAGCCACAAAAAGAGCATCTGATGTTTGTGGTCGTATTATTACTCTTTCAGGGCCTCTGGTTATAAACAGAAGTAATGGCCAAATACAAATTCAATCCTCATGATACAATAAGAGAATACCAAAGTTATTGCAGATCATCCTGAAGAGGAAATGAAAGTCTGTCACAAATTTTCAGACATTCTTACAGCTGACACATTTTGCTCAGACTTCCCAGAGTATTGGGCCCATCATAGTCACTGGGATTTATCCTCTGAGGTCTGAAGATGATTAAATCTTTAACAAATCATGACAGACGTCCATCTGTGACTATTTTAGCTTAGATTAAAGCAGCAAACCTTAAAGACTATTTCCCACAGTCATGTTTAAATACACTTACCGAAAGCTTTAGCGATGGCAATACTCTCCAACAGACCCATGAGGGGAATCACAGCCAAACCTCCTCCAAAACCCTGCAAAGCGAGCACACAGAGAGGAGTAGTTATACTGGGCTGCTCTTTTTTAGGGAAAGATTTTAGGAAGTGAAAGTTTCTCTTCAATCACTGATTAAAAAATGAACTGCTCTCACACAAAAACCTTACCTCCACGATCTCTCCAAAGGAGATGACAGTGCCGTTGGCTGCGGTGTCGGTGGTGGGTGGAGGCCTGAATGGAGGAAGCCCCTGAGCTGTTTGTCCAGTAATTGTGAACACTTTGTAACCATAAGCATCCCACGAGAAAGCTACACAGGAAGCGGCCACGACCACCAGGGCGTTACGCACTGAAACAGAGACGAATGGAAAGAGGAAGGTTAAAACAGCGCAGACACACAGTCGACTCTCAGTCAGAAGATTCTTATTTGTCTCTTTTTAGGTAATGATGACAAGTCCTACACTGAAGCCAGTCCTGGCTGCTAATGGGCCTGTTGTTTGGATGTGTACTCAATGAAGATAAAGGCCTTTATAGTAAAAATGCTAAAAATAATATAAAAAAAAACAGTAATCGTAAATCAGAGCACAGTCAAAAACTGTTTGCTTCCCTAGTAGCATCCTTGACACAATAATCACTGAACTTTAAACACCTGTGGCCAGACTCAACTGCCACTAAAATCCCTCTTGGCTGCCCTCTAGTGACTCAAAGGATAAGGCTCTTACAACAGCAGACGCTCTCACGCTCTCACACACTCACACACTCACACACTCACACGCTATCTCAACCTGACAGGTACTGACTTGTTGCAACTGTCCACACTAGTTTCCTGGCGACTGTGGAGCAGGTTGAGTCATCAGGGTCACTGGAGGTCAGATTGGTCTTCATCAACATCAACATGATAAGCACGCCAAGACAGAGCAGACCCAGCACCACGTCACCTGTCCTGGCCTCTGGGATCTTCTTAAAGGTGTAATACACCTGCAGGAAGAACTCTTGGGGGACGCCCGTAAGACCTAGAATATTCTAGAAAAAATATGCAGAGTGTCAATTTGTGAAGAATAAACTGAAACTGATGCGGACAACTAAGGCTGATTAAAACTTGATGTATGAGCAAAAAGGCTCCAAACTACCAACAATGCATGAATTTTGAGGGTAATCCATTTCTTTTAGGAGTTTGATTGTGTGTTGAGTTCATTGTTCATTGTTTTATCCTCATTGCTTCATGTTATTCACTTTTTATTGTTCTATTTTCAATTGTTCAGTCTGATAAGTTCACATATAAAACTGGAATAAAACTGGTTGTAAACTATAAACGTGAAAAGTTGAATAGTATCGTAAGGAAATGGACACAGGATCCAGTAAAGGGCAGAGCTCTAGATTTTATGTGTGTGTGTCTGATTTTGTTGCCTTTTGTAGTTGTATAAGAGTGTGTGTGTGTGTGTGTGTGTGTGTGTGTGTGTGTGTGTGTGTGTGTGTGTGTGTGTGTGTGTGTGTGTGTGTGTGTGTGTGTGTGCATGTGTGAGTAAGGGGTGGGGGATGGGGGGGGTCTGTGAGTTGAACTTTCACCTTAACCTGGCCAAAGCCGATTGTAATGGCAGCAGCACAAGTGAAGCCTTTTATGACGGGGAAAGAGATGAAGTCCAGCAGGAATCCTGCAGAGGCCGATGAGAAACATGAATGATTCACAGAGCCATGACACTGACCTCGACCAAAAACTAAAAACATCTGCAGTTCTGTCCCATAAACTTTGTAAGTTTGACCCTCTGTTAGTTCTGATTATAATAAAAGTGTTTAAACAGGTTTAAGTGCAGCTCACTCTCTTTTCAGGTGTGAACATGTTACCCAAATAAATATAGTTGAAACCTGTAGAAAATACTCTCTTGCACGTTTTTTTCTGTTTCACTAAAAACTGTTATGCGCCTCGAGTCACAAGTTTTGATCAAAATTTTAAAAAAAAAAACACCACAAGAAGTCACAGGTTTCTCACATGACCAGAGCAGCCCTCCCCTCACCTAATCTCAGTAATGCCATAAAAGCCTGGATGAGTCCGCAGAGGAGACTGAGCAGCACGGCTTGGTTTGGGTGTCCACCCACCACCGACAAACACAGCAGGGACATAATCGCTGTGGGACCCAGAGTCACGTCCTTAGAAGTCCCCAGAAGAGTGTAGATGAACCCCCCCATGAAAGCAGAGTAGAGTCCATACTGTAGAGATTAAATGGTAGAAAACAGATGAAATTGATAAATACTCCAGTGAAGATTAGATAAATTAGGACAGAACTCTATTTATCCCTGTAGCACCAGTTTGCCTTCAAGTTATCAGAACTTAACAAAAAGTCACAAATATAATTTATAAAATAAAAACATTTAGTATTTGATGGTTGAATGAAAAAAAAAAACAGTGCCAAATATTTATTAGCTATAAAAGTACAAACAGTTCAGGGACATAAGTTCGCTAACAGACAAGTAATGGTGCTACATTTACAGTGTTATCAGTATTGGTGCTGAGGGCCACAAAAACTCTGAATATGCAAAATAATAAATAAATTAACACTGGGAGACAAAAGAAAGTCTAACTGCAATTAAAATTAATGCTGCACATTATAGCAAAATCAAAGTTATATTCAAAAATGGTGCTGATGAGACTGATGGATGAGTAAAATTGCACATGGCCCCTCAAGACTGAAAGATATAACACTAAAGCGATGTTGCATTATATAAATAGTTCTGTTTCTCATGATACAGAAAGATCTATTGTGCATGATGTATAAAGTTCTAGTGCAGACAGTATGAAAAGAAACATTGCACATGCATTAAAATATGAAATTTTAAATTAAATAAAAAGTAATCTTCCTAATGATTCAAAAAGTTATTACACATTTGATACAGAACCTAATTCCCCACATGATATGGGAAGTTAGAATTCACATATTAAAGCAGTTTGCATAGAACATGAGGAGTTACATTGCACATGATATGTAAAGTTATATCCCACATAATTTGAAAGTTCGAAGTACATTTGCACAAGTCAGTAAGAATTTACCTGCACAGGAAGGCCAGCTATGTCCGCGTAAGCCAGCCCTTGTGGTACAACTGTTAACCCGACAGTGAGGCCTGCCAGCACGTCCATCTGAAGCCACTTCAGGTTGTACTTGGGCATCCAGGAAAGGCAGGGCAGCCATGCTTTTAGGGTGCTGTAGGAGCAGCAGCCCCGGCGACTATCTGAGGCTTGTCCTAACAGAGGCTGGTCCATTGCTTGAGGATTAGAGGTGAAGGAGGAGAACCTAGACTGGGAGATGACGGTAGAAAGGATGAAGAGACAGGAGCAAGTGCACTTTACATACTCAAATGTGCATGAGGCTACTGGTTACAGAATTAAAAAAAACACTTACACAAAGAGATTAATTTTCCTCCTCAGCTTAAAATGTCACTTATCAGCTTGTCAGGAGCACTACTTGTTTTTTTCCGGTCTTCTTTCCACACACGCCACGCTTTCAAGATAACACAACAAAGAGGTGCTCTGTGTGGTTGCATGTGTCTGCATATTCATGGGTTTTCTTGCACAAGTGCACGGCACAGAGAAGGAGGATGGACACCATATCTGCAGGTGGGTGCTGTGATCTGTGGGTAAAGAACAACCAAAGTCATCCGGGGGAATTTTCAAGCTCCATATGACAGACATGCAAGATAATTCTGTCGTTTACAAGATGGATTTATGTTTAAATACACAATGTCAATGTCAGCTTTATTTATAAAGCACATTTAAAAACAGCCAGTGGCCTACCAAAGTGCTTTACAGTAAAATAGCCGGAGACAATAAAAACAATAAAACTTTCTCAGCTATAATTCAGACTTTTGCATCTTTTTCTCAGATGTTTCAAGGAATTTTTTAAACAGGGATTTAACATATATGCAAACCGTGTGACAGGTGTAAAAAGACAAGAGTATAGAGTAGATAACAGGTGTTAAAGGAGAGAAAAGGAAACTCACCAGACAGAATAAAAGACAACATATTTACAACATGATGGAAATATAAAGGAAAATAATAATAATAATAATAATAATAATAATAATAATAATAATAATAATAATAACTTTATTTTCATAGCACTTTTAAAAACAGAAGTTTACAAAGTGCTTTGACAAACAGTTGCAAAGCATCAGCACACGGAAATAAAAACAAAAGCTCAGTTACAAACAAGGCCTCAGAATTGAAGGCCAATTTCATTTGTCATAAGGAGCAAAGACAATACAAGAACCCTACAACATAAAAAGACAAAAGACAACACCACGAAACACTGAGTGACACAACATTTGAGGGAGACAACATTATCGAAAATATTATCAATAAATTTATAATTAACTATACCAGAGAAAAATCCAGATATATATAGGACACAATAGAGAAAAAGTATCAGAACAGGAAGCATTCAAATAAATAAAATAGCAGACAATAGTCAAAGCTCATACCTCGTCTCATTTTCCCTCCTTTGCCATTATTCTCGGCGCTAATGTCTGCAGTGATTTTCTGCTGTTCCTGTCGCTAAAACCCACTTCCCAAATTTTTACACTTTTGCTTATGCAGCGCGACACCGCAGTTCCTGTTTTCCAGTCTCACATGATCGAGGTCATGTGACCGGACATGGGTGGGGCTTAAGTTGTTTGAGGAAGAAAGTTGAAACACGCAGAGATAACGCACATATCAGTGATGAGAGAGGATGTCTTTACCAGGCTGCGACTGTTCTGGTCATAAAAGTCCACTTATTTGTTGAACCGCGTGTTAGTTTTAGCTTTTTCAACATGTTTTAAACTCAAACCAGCGGAGGTTGTAAGACTTAGTACGCGAGGGTTTGTTATTTTGAGGATTTCTCATCTTCATCATGCTGTGTAATTTGTTTTTTCTCATTTTAACATCATGTTGCATCGGAGAGTCAAAGAGGAGAAATGTCCTTCTAATTATTGGTGAGTTTACTAAATAAAACACTTTTCTGTTTTGGTCCTGGTGTTGCAAGAGGAAGGATAGGGGAGAGTGGGGTAAGTTGAGCCACCCCCTGTTGCTTGGAAATGGAAAAAGAAATTGATCATGTGACCAAATATTTTGGAGATGGGCATCAATTCATGGAGTCTGTGAAGGTTAGAAGCACATGAGTGAAGGGGTTAGACATTTATTTACAAAAAAACATTTTTCACTCTAGAAAGTGAATTTAGTCTGTTATAAGTTTTATTAGAATTGTGTTCAGACCAAAAAGTGATCTGAAATATGAAAAATGACTCATCTTACCCCACTCTCCCCTACAGTAAGCAGGTGGTCGTCATGTTATGTTTGATTAGTGTATTTAGAATTGTGTTGCACGGCACTGTCACAGTTTTAATAAATGTTTTTTCTTCTCTAGCTGATGATGCTGGTTTTGAGACAGAGGTGTACAACAACTCTGTAGTCCACACGCCCCACCTGCGCTCTCTGGCCCAGCGAAGCCTGGTGTTCAACAATGCTTTTACCTCCGTCAGCAGCTGCTCCCCCAGCCGCTCCACCATCCTCACAGGCCTGCCACAGGTAGGTACACATACACCACTGGATCTCTCCTTTTTTGCATGCAGTCACAGTACGTAAAGGAATATACCGGCGTAAAATTAATTCAGGGTCAAACACACCATAACACTGAGATAGACAGAATATCCCTTTAACTCTGTATGATTTTCAGCACCAGAACGGCATGTATGGGCTTCATCAGGGTGTTCACCACTTTAACTCCTTCGATGGAGTTCAAAGTCTGCCTCTGCTCCTCAGCCAAGCGAACATACACACCGGTGAGTAGCAACCTGAGTGTTTTGTGTTCTTTTACACAGTTTTTTTCCATCTCCATCTCTCACACTCTTTTGCTCATATCTACAGGTATAATTGGAAAAAAGCATGTGGGTCCTGGACCTGTGTACCCGTTCGACTTCGCCTACACAGAGGAGAACAACTCTGTCCTCCAGGTGGGGAGAAACATCACCCGCATCAAACTCCTGGTCCGCAAGTTTTTCCAAACTCATAAGGAGGAAGCTTTTGGACAAGGTCAAGAGAAAGAAAAGAAAAAGAAGAAGGACGATGAGGAGGAGAGGCCATTTTTCCTCTATGTTGCTTTTCATGACACCCATCGATGTGGACACTCGCAGCCTCAGTACGGGGCTTTCTGTGAGAAGTTTGGAAACGGGGAAATGGGGATGGGAAGAATACCTGATTGGACGCCAGAGTATTACACACCAGAACAAGTGAAGGTCAGGGATGTCAAGTTTATTGATATTTCATGCTGTGAAATAATGGTAGTAATGTTTTTATCATGCAATTACTGAAAACAAATACACCTGAGAGATCAAATCACAGTGCCTCAGAAAATGATTTGTTGTCCACCTCATGTCTCTTATTTCAGGTTCCTCCTTTTGTGCCAGACACGCCTGCAGCACGAGCAGACCTGGCTGCACAGTACACAACAGTGAGCCGGCTGGACCAAGGTGTGTTCCAATGTTAGAGACGATAGAGGGTGCCTACAGATCATTCCTGTTACACTCACAGTTATGATGGTGTCTTCTGCAGGTATTGGTCTAGTTCTGCAGGAGCTCAGGGACGCTGGTTATGAGAACGACACTCTGGTCATCTACAGCTCAGATAACGGCATCCCCTTCCCAAATGGGCGGACCAACCTGTATCACTCTGGGACAGCAGAGCCTATGCTGGTGTCTTCACCTGAGCACAGACAGCGGTGGGGAGACACCAGCCAGGCCTACGTCAGCCTGCTAGGTAAGCCATGGACGCCTGAGAGGAGCTTTGGAGGCTCTAGGGAGAGAGTCTTTTTAGAAAATAGTGGAAAAAAATGTAAAAGTAGTTACCTCTGTCTTCATCATATTGGGATGAATCTGTTATGACCCCTGAGGTTGGTACCACTCTGGCACAAAGGGGCAATAAGAGATGTCAGTGTGAGTAGATGATGCTTTTAATCCACCACAAGAGGGAGACATAACAATGATGCATCAGCAGCAGATCTAACAGCCTGAACAGTTTCTTCTAAAGAGATCAAACGAAGGATGAAAGGAAACATAATGTTAACAAATCAACCTAGAATATAAAAAGTCAGTTAGGATAGAAATGTCTGCAGAACATACTTGTTACACTCTTCATAAAATGGTAAGTATTGAAGCAAACAGTGCTCTTAAAACAGTTTGATATATAGCGTTCAGACTGTGGTAGTGACATGTTGGAAATGTCTTTTGATGACTTTCTAAATGTCTTTTTCCTCAGACATCGTTTCTTTATTTCTCTCTTTTCTCCCTCTCTTTTTTCCTCAGACATCACTCCCACCATCCTGGACTGGTTCTCGGTTTCCTACCCATCTTACAGCCTCCCTGGCAGCCCTTCGGCCCCCGTCCACCTCACCGGCCGCTCCTTACTGCCTGCTTTGGACTCAGAGCCCAGCAGCTGGCACACTGTCTATGCCAGCCAGTCTCTCCATGAGGTCTGCCCCCCCACGGGGATCCTGTAGTGACTTATACTGAGAGAAAAGCATCAGTGAAAGAACTTAAGACATGCTGTCTCTTTGTTTTCAGGTCACTATGTATTATCCAACCCGCTCTGTCCACCAGGGGGCGTACCACCTTCTTCATAACCTGCACTACCGTATGCCTTTCCCTGTTGACCAGGACCTGTACGTGTCCCCCACCTTCCAGGACCTCCTAAACCGTACTCAGCTGAGAGAGCCCACAAACTGGTTCAAGAGCCTGCAGCAGTATTACTACAGAGAGCGCTGGGAGCTGTACGACTCCAGGTCTGTCATATGTGCACAGCCATGATCCCAGTTAGGAGGATTTTTGGCAAAACTCAAAGCCAAGTGTCTTATGAGTAGGTGATCAGAAAGACGCTTCTAAATGCTAATAGAGAGAAAATTTACAACACAGAAATCTAATATTAAAAGCTACAAGAGGAATGAGTGGACATCTCAAGAACTTGACTATTTTTGGAGCGAATAAGAGAGCAGGTCAGTTGATATATAATCCCAATCTCACATTGGTTTGTCTTTTTTTATGCATTTGACCAAATAGAACAATTTAGCATTAAGACTAACTATTGTGAAACAGAGTTGATGCACATGGATGTAGATGGAAAAACATTTTGCCAAGCAGAGCGCTGCCCCAAACGGAGTTTAGGATTTCTGTTCAACTATTAAATCATTTTAGGGAAGGAATAAAAGTGAAATGTTGCAATTAAAATCTCCAAAAGTCAGGTATAAATCCATTATTTCACCCACATTCATGTTTATTGTAGCCAGTAAAATGCTTTGAATAGATATTTAACGAATGGCCAGTGTGATACCAATTACTGGGAAAACCACCAGATTAATTGGCTAATTGATTAATCTGGAGCATTTATTCTTTCTATTTCTAGATGTCAATATATATTTTATTTGATAACTTTAAACTCTGTGACTGTCAGAAAGAAGTTCCAAAACGCTATCACATTTATTCGGTTAAAGAGTGTACAAGCACTGACTGTTTTATGATGTTTTAATTAAAAATAATTCTTCCCTCTCACAGGGCAGACCCTCTGGAGACAAAGAACCTGGTCTCAGACCCCTCCTACAGCACTGTGCTGGAGAGCCTGAGGCAAAGTCTGCTGAAGTGGCAGTGGGAGACAGGGGACCCCTGGGTTTGTGGACCTGACTTTGTCCTGGAGGACAAACTGGAGCCTCACTGTAGACCACTTTATAACGGACTGTAGTGGAACTTTGACACATCTGGACTGAACTGGTTTCTGCATAAATCGACAAACTCTAATTTTTCAAATGATGGTGTTCTTTTTTTATTTGTATTTTTATATCTAAGTGTTGTATTTGGTGAAAATAAAACCTGAATAACCTGACTTCCTTCACAGTTTTCACCGTGTGTCTTCATTGTTCTGATATAATCTCATCTCTCCAGTCTGAGGTCTGTATTATCCATTTCTTTACATTAGAAGAACATTACCCGTCATCCAGACCCCTGTCATTATCCTGTTTCATGGAAAGGCAATATGGCTGCAACTACATGTCTGTTGATATTACTATTTAATTAAAGAAATGCAAGCCCGTGATTGTTTTCCTCTCCATCTCTGCTCCCTTTCAGATCGACTGATTACGCAGGATCTGGGATTCATGACGCATGACCGGTGAGGTCAAAAGATCAATTCAGGAAAGAGTTTTTATTGACTGATCAGAGCTGCACTTTGATGTCAAACTGATGCACAGTCCTTCCATGTAAAAAGCTCTTGGTACAATTTGGATAAGTCGATTATTCGCTCATGTTTATTGATCTTTTTACTCCAAATGCGTCCATTTCCACTCATGTTGGGAGTCTTTTAAGACCTCCAATTCTGCTTTGTTCTCCTTCGCTGATCCAGTTTAATGACGTTATTGCCTTATGTATAGAAGCCGAGAACTGCCACTACAGCAAATAATAAAAAAAAAGATGTCGCAATGGAAGTTACTGTTTTTTTTTAGCATCACCACTTTTTTGCGTCATTAACATCCGTTGTGGGTTTTTTTTTTTTTAATCTGCACCGTTTCTTTTTTTTATTTACAGCTGGCTTTAGTTTCTTTTTCTTTTTTTTTTGCATCAGTAACTTCCATTGTGGTTTCTTCTTTTTTTTTTTTTTTTTTTTTGCATTCTTTTTATTTGCAGCAGTGGCGGCTCTCAGCCACTGTGAAATGGTAAACTTTTGTACGGTGGCTGAGAACTGCCACTGCTGGGAAAAAAAAGAATAGAAAAAAAAGAAGTCACAAAAGTTACTGATGCAAAAAAAAAAAAGGAACTAAAGCCCACTGCAAATAAAAAAGGAATGATGCAGATAAAAAAGACACAACGGAAGGTAACAATGCAAAAAAAAAGTGTCAATGGGAAAAAAAATGACATACTGTGAAAATAAAAGAAAAAGCACTAACGGAAGTGAGCTGCCGGGGACCAATAATGATGATGCACCGGTGTTTTACGAGCCAGGCAGAGGGGAAGACGGCAAAAAGACTAACAAAGAAATAAGTGAAAAGGTTATTGTTTAATCTCGTAAACTTTTCAATGTGTCATTCGGTTAGGCCATGTTGTGCCCGAGTCGATATCATTAACTTCCATTGTGTTTGTTTTTTTTTTTTTCTCAATCTGCACCTTTCCTTATTTTATTTGCAGCAGGCTTTGGTTTCTTTCTTTCTTCTTTTTGCATCATTAACTTCCGTTGTGGTTTCTTTTTCTTTGCATTCTTTTTTATTTGCAGCTGTGGCGGTTCTCGGCCACCATACTTATGTGTATCCCGACCATTTAAATCCAGATCTCCAAATTTACCTGGATGAGGGTTCACTCTGCCTTCTGAAAGCTGGACAAGCTCTCTATGAAATCTGACATGAAGGATTTAACGCCCAAGTCGACCTTCAGTCACCTGTAGGATTTGTGGTTTTGACGTCTTACCTCTGTGTCTAACACTGATGTTAATCTCTGTTACTTTACAAACGTCAGAGATCGAGCTGACGTCTCCATACATCTCAACCCCCCTCACGGCCATACCACACACGCACACACACACACTCAGGATCATCCACCCACATCTTTTGTGATTTGACGAACGTCCTGGGTCGTAATAACGTCGCCCAGTCAGCCTATATAAGCAGCAGACAGTTTCCACAGACCAAACAAAACATCAAGTCAACCAGAACAGACGAGAAAAGCTCCGTTTTTGTCCTGCGTAAAAGTGCCAAGACAGTTCCAAACATGGAGAGGTCCGTCAGATTTGCTGTCGTGTGCGTCGCAGTGTCTCTGCTCATCTCTTGCCAACCAGTGGAAGCCTGGTACAAGCAGTCCACCGGGCCCAGCTACTACTCGGTGGGCCGAGCCTCCGGTTTGCTGTCCGGTATCAGGAGGTCTCCATACGTCCGGAGGGCTGAGTCCGAGGAGACACTGTTGGACAGCGGGGAGACAACAGGTAACAGCGTGCTTCCAGAGACCAACAGGGAGATCTCCATCCTCAAAAGCATGGTGAGTACATTACAGATTCTGTTTCTCTATTCCTTTTTTCTTTCTCAGATCAAATGAAGTGGAGATGCGCCTAAAATGGCTTCTGTTTACGCACAAGACGAAGCGTCTGAATGTCTTAAAGCTTAAATATCTAGAGTGATACGCATTAAAGATAAAGAATCAGTATATGTTTTACGACATGAATGCTTTTAGGTAACTTTTGCACCAAAAAAGGAAGCTGAGAAAAATTGCTGGAGAAGTTCAATAGCTGGTGCGCACAGATGAGAGCGCAGCCAACAGTATTCAAAGACGGTGAAAACGATCTTTGACCAGTTTAATAGAGACGTTTAAGGGATTTTGACTGGACAAACAAGGGGATAGGCTAAAAAGGAGAAATTATAAGAGGTTTAATTAATATTAGAGGTCTGTTTCAGTCTGTATGTAACCAAATGTAACCTCTGATTGTCTCATCACTTTATTCTCCTTCCCTCTGCGCTCAGGCTATCTGCGTAAAGGACATCTCTCCAAACCTGAAGAGCTGCGAGCTGCTGCGGGACGGCACAGGAACCTTCCAGTGTAAGGCGGACGTCTTCCTCACTCTGGACTCCCTGGACTGTCTGTCCGCATGAGCCCCGGTCCTCCACCGAGCCCCGGGAGCGCCTCTCTGGAAAAACGACACATTTTGATGAAGGAAGGAAGGAAGGAGGGATGCTGGTGGAGGAGGAGGAGGGTGAGGGTCAGGGGATGACGACGCAGAGGAAAGCCCCCTCATTGACGATTATGGACCGCTGCAGACTCTGAATGTTTCCTGATTTAAAGAGAAAAAAAAAGACCACAAACGTTGTTCATTTTTTGTCTTGGCTTCAAACTGTAAAAGAAAAAAGAAAAACAAATATTGCGACCTTCCTCTTCCCGGTTTCTTCCCACCTTTGCTGTTCATTCCTGACATGTACCCACAGTTGTCAACATTGTATTAAATGTCCAGAAATTTGACTGCAAAGAAGATTTCCTGGAAAGTACTTTTATTTATTTTATCTATTAAAAGGAACAAACACTGGTAGGCTGTTGTGTGGCTTAAATTTGTCTTGAAATGTACTTGGTGAAAAGAAAAGGATATTTGATAAAAATGATCATTAAATAAGCCCAGAAACACATCATTTCATATGTATTGTAGTTTTACTCAGTACATAACACAAACTTCACAAATACCAGTCTGAGATACTCTTTGAAATAAAGTTTCTGAAAGTGGAAAAATACACAAACATGTCAGATTTGAGCTTTTCAGGCACATCATCAAAAAAAGGCACTTGAGGGTTTGTTTTTTCTCTTTTCTCAGAATCAGTCTTTACCAGATCTGGTTTACTCCTTATGTCGGAGGAGCAAGTGTGATAAAACAGCCTCCAGCAAAGTCAACGCACGCACAAACCGCTTAGTTTGATCATGGATGACGAATCGGGGTTTATGTGCGTTAGGAGATTGGAACAAAACAGTCATAGCAGTAAAAAAAAAAAGGGGGACTCTGGCGTCATCGGCGGCTGGTTAGAGTCGAGGGAGTAAGTGACTTCAGTTTAGAAAAAGTAAACACAAACTGGGATAGCATTAGGAAAGTGTGACGCACAGGATGTGGACAGCGGTGATGGATGAGCAGCAAACACATGGCGGTATGCATGAGTGAGTCCTGTGCCGTGGAAGTAACGGACAAACAGTAAATCCTCACACCCTCCGTGTCCTGCCCACACACACAGGAGAAGAGATTGGCCAATAAATGGGATTTAGGTTTATATTAAGTCTTTTAAAAAGTGGCCTCACCATATACAGTCTGTTCTTTGAGTATAGTTCATAATCAAAATGCCGTTAAACTCAACACGCAGTTTCATAAGTCAACATTTTAGGGCTCAACCCTAAAGATGGAGGATATGCAGAGTCGTCCGTTCTTCACAGCTTTTGGTGAGGAGAGTCAAACATGTAGAGATGAAGATGAAGCTCATGTTCTGTGCAACGCTGAGGCATCCAACGATGGACTGTCTCAGACCCGGGGCTGCAGCTACAGGAGCGACACAGCCTCCAGGTTTTCCCTGATTATCGTGTCCATGACCACCTGGAAAACCACCTGGATGTTGGAGGTGTCTGTTGCCGTGGTGAAGTGGTGGTAGATGAGTTTGCTGGGCGTGGTGTTGAGAGAGATAAAGGTGGCGGCGATGAAGCGGGCAGCAGAATCCACATCGCAGTCTGCTCCTGGAGGACGAATGAGCCGAGAATCAAAACTCCAAAATAAAAATAAAGCAGTGCATTAATCAGAGACAAAGGGGAGGTAGTGAGGCTGTGAAGTTGCTCTGTGTACTTTAAAACAACTGTAAATAACCATTGATGAATTTGTGTTTAAAGAAAATCAAAACAAAGAGAGCTGGTAAAAGTATGTTTCCAACATTTACTGTCAAGCAAACAGACACAGGAAGAGCATCAAACCATCCTGAGAGAGCAGGAACCGGCAACACTGAGGAGATATGGCCACTGTGTTAGAGGGATATTCCGGCGTAGAATTAATTTAGGGTCAAACACACCATAACACAGAGTTAGACACCCCCTCGAGAGCAGTAGTTCTTGCGCCTTAGCGTCTTGGTCTGATTGCATTTCCATGAAGAAATGATCATAAATGTTCTTCCTTGAGCTGTGTCACCCCACAGCAGTCTGTAATGGACTGGCCTGAGGTCTCGCTACAAACAAGGAGCTGCTGGAAGAGAGTAGGCGAGCAGACCACAGGACAGTTAAACATTGTACCTCAGTCCACCTCATCCAGACTTAGGTCTTGAGAAGTTGCCAGGGTATCTGGATCATGTAGTAGGATGACCATATTCTAAATTCAGAGGACACGACTGCGCGGGGCGGAGTTGTGGGCAGTTTGAGTGTTTTTTACGCGCTTCTAAGTCAGTAAGTCCACGCGACACAAACTCAAAACTTCCATACAAAACCTCGGACATTTGAAGGATTTTATAAACTGCCCCTGACACGAACTTTTTTTTTGTAGGATAGTAGGGGAAGGTCCCGCCCTCCTTTGCCTCTGATTGGCTAGAGGTGTTGGGCTCCGATTGATTATTCCTTATGGATGTGAAACGTCATCATCTGTCGGGTTAGGGTTTGGAGATTCAAAAGTGCGATAACGTTCTGTAAAGTTCTGTTCGATGTACAGAGCCGACAGCCCATGTTTGGCTTGAGCATGTGATGATGTTTCCAGCTTTTCTAGCCAATCAGAGGCGAAGGAGGCGGGACTTTCTCCTACCATCCTACAAAGAAATATATCACCCCCCGGACAAGGCCAGACAGCCCCAAAAAAGATGACATGTAAAAGAGGACGTATCGCCACCCTATCATGTAGTAAATTCACCCTTCCTACAGTCCATTGATTACTCAGAGTGTCGATACATTTCAACACACTGATCCACCCGCTCCACCTTTTTATGAGTGAATGGGTGAATGGATGCGGTTTTTAGTTCATGCATTGATTTCAGCTCCAGAGTCATGTCTGTTTTTAAGGCAGTGCCACCTTTGGGCCAGAGGATCGTTGCTCCCCAGCTTCGGTTTCTAGTCTCACCCTTTCTCCAAGAAATCTCCAAATTATTTTCAGTTTAACTCTGAGGGACTTTATTATGAAACTGTCTCGCAGTCCTTCACAGATTCGTAAACCTCATCCTCTCTGAATCACCTTTTTCATATCCTTCCTGATCTGTTGAAAAGAAGACGCTCCTTCAACTATTTCAATATTTTAAAACGAACATTTATTTCTCTTCAAACAATGTTTTTGAAACATTTGGTGCATTTTTTTTTGCACTATTTTTGATTAATTGTTGAGTTTAAGCCATTAGAATCTGTTCCTATCAACATTTCAGACAGTGTCTGAAGGAGAAACGACCTACCTTTAAACTGAGGCAGGTATAACCGCAGATGTCGGCCGGAGTGTAGGATCTTGTCCTGAAAAAGGTCTATCTTGTTCATGAATAAAATCTGCAAGAAACACACAAGCACACACATGATCAGCTGAGACATGTAAAGGTCTCCGTTCAGCTAGAAAAGAAAAATCAATCCAGGAGATCTGAGAGAAAGAAAATGTTGATTTGATTTGGAGACTTCATCTGCAGCTCAGCAATAACTAACCAAACAATCAAACCAATAAATCAGTTTAAAGTAATCCCGTCTCAGTTATTGTCTCTTTACAGATATTTATGTGAAATGACTTCAAATCAATAGCTGAGTTGATTCCAGCCGCAGGTGGTGATGATCGTCGATCAATGACCTTGCTCATGTGTGATTAATCACTCGTGCAGCCCTCTGCGCAGGAAATGAGCTACATCTTCCACGGCTTCTACTTCCTCGTGTCACTGCCTCCACGTTTTTACTTTAAGCTTTGTAGTCAACCAATTAAAAATGCAACCACGTTCTCTCTCCTCCGTCCTGTTTGATCAGAAAAAAAAAGGAAAAAAAACTGAGAAAGCCCCAACAATAACAAGGGCGGCACGAGGTAGCGCACACTTTCAACGGGCCTGATTCAGAGCAACGTCTAGGTGTGTAATTAAGAGTTAACTGAGGTGGAGGTTACAAATCTCCCTCCCACGTTAAAAAGGTATCATTAAACACTTTTGTTTAATGAGCCTGTTAGCCACGCTAACATGCAGGCCCACACATTACCCTGCACATAAACACGTCACACACAAAACCTTTAACTGCCTATTTGGCTGTAATAAAGTCGTCAATTGGGGATTATATGGTTAGAAAATGATTAACAAAAACACACTTTGGTTCAACTCTCCGGCTCTTTTAGTGACGAAGAACAAACTAAGAACAAAAAGAGAACAAAGACAAAAAACATCCAAGATCCTTTTTTTTTAACTTTATTTCATTCTGTTCATAAATAAAACATTCAATACAAACAAGATTTTTCCTTGTTTGTATTGAACGTTTTATCTTTGGTCATTTAATCTTGAATGTTTCTGTCTTTGGTCTTATTTAAATGTTTATATGTTAATACCAGACTAAAAGATACGGATTTGAAGCCGAAAAGTTCTCAGTATTTCCGTGATTTATCTCCACCTTCTGAAACCAACATTGCACAGTAGCATCGTACGCACTCCCCCACTTGTGCAGTAGCATCCCATTGAGCAATAGACGGCTACTAAACATCTAGCTTTTTCAGACCTAATTTTAACCGTCTAGATTCTGTACAATTTTAGACATAATTCAGTCATTGCACTTTAACCCATTATTCGATAACTATTTATTTCAAAAAGCAACTGAGTTGCAAAACTGATCTTCAAGTACTTAACCAAAATAATTATAATAGCTGTTGGGCAATATACAGTGTAGTATAAATATAGCCCAGATTTAGATTTAGTCTAAACTTGGTCTAAATTTAGACGTCTAAAAAACGTTTATTTTTAGACCTGTGGTAGTCTGGTTTTAGACCAGTCGTCTAGCCTATATTTAGACGTCTGTTAGACCAAAAAATGCTCAGTGGGATTGTGCGCATCCGGCGGGAGAATCACAGAGAGTTGCTGTGATGACGCTCGGCTCAAACAGTGTATCCCCCAGGTGAGCTATGCAATCTTCGTACACCCATAGGCTGTATCAAGTGTCAATCATACCAAACATGAACCCCCTGATAACTTTTAATGACGGAGCTTCACAGAAAAAAGAGGACTTGAGCACAAACCAGTCTTACAATAACTACATGTCAACATCACAACCAAAGGAGAGAAAAATTTATTTTCTGTGTAATAAATTTATAAAGTTTGTCCACAGCTCCATAGGGATTACTGGAGGGGGCGGGATTTATGACCTATACTGCACATCGCTATTCGCTATTTGCTGATGTAAGTTTACAGGAGGGCGGCGTTCACTTCCCTCTGTAATGTCACATTCATCGGAGCTTTCATTTACATCCCTGTATCTGGTTTGTACTTCCATCCACCCGCTGGCTTTATTGCCTCCTCTGTTACTGTGTGTACGAGATGTGATGTTTGCCAGGCTATACGTAAAGGCGGGAACTGAATTCTGGAACAAATAAAGAAATCTGAGCTGAACATTGATGTTTGAATCCCCGTGTCACATCAGAAATCAAGTCACACATGTCCCCCCCACCTTAAAAACTAATTTTTATTTTGTCAGTCTGTGTTTGTCCCAAAAGTCTAAAAGCCATCGATCAGGCGAGGATTGAACAGCAGCAGACTGTCACGTCATCATACGGTGACTTGTATTTTCAGGGGGGCATCAAATGTAGAGTTAAGTGGAATAGACTGAATAAGCTTGTTACACGCTTGTTTTTATATTCTCAATTACCGGAAATGAGCGAGGAAAAACACAGAGAGGGGAAAATGTCACTCTGCTGAAACCCGCCCTAATTACAACTCACCGTTTAATTACGAGTGACAGGGGACGAAGAGACAAAGAGCTGAGACTGGGCCCTGGTGGTGTGTGTGTGGAAACAGCATTCATCAAACACATTAGTGTTATTCTTGTCTCGTGGTGTCATGGAGAACAAAGAGGGATAACAAAGAGATTTCGCTTGTGTCTCCTCCACTTATCTACGAGCTCTGTCCACAAACTGAGCTGCGGTTTCCACCCCCTTCAGCTGAACTTTGTCGTCCGCCGTTTATCGGTAAAAACTGTTGCTGTGGAATCTGCCACGTCCCAGCATCAGGGCCCAAGTGAAACCAGTCGTAGATGCACAGCAAAGAGTGCAAATACAACTGCTTGTCTCCAACCATCGGTGAGTTTTTGGGAAACATTCATCCAACAGATCACAGAGTTTGTGTTTCATTTGACAGGTTTTTGTGTCAGCTACTTTGACTCAAGAGGACTCGAAATCATCGAGTCTCCATGGAGGAAATCTGAGAGTTACGTTTCCCTTACCATAGATGTGCTGCGGAAGAAAATGTTGTTGCAGATGGATGAGAAGAGTTTTAAACTCTCCTGAAGACGATTCTGCAGAGAGAAGACAATAACGTGATCAGACAGCTGCAGAGGAGCGCAGAGGCAGACATTCAGTCATTTTTAAAACATGGTTTTATGAACTCAGAATATAATCTGACAGGGTAAGATTTTATAAAACGCCCTCTTGTAGCTCAGTGTGGTGAACATGAACGTTTGTGAAGGTTCCTGTACCATAGAGGTGTCTTCCACCAGGGTCATATCATAGCCGCTGAGTGACACCACAAACAGCACCGCTCTGACGTCCTCGAAGCAACCGATCCACTTCCTCCGCTCAGTCCTCTGGCCTCCGACATCGTACATCCTGTGAAGAGCAGGACAATGTCTGAGTGTTATTTTGTACTGGTTTCAAAATACACATCCTCAATCCAGTCTGAGAGAAAGTCTGAAGAGAGTCACCCTGGCTGCTTAGTTGGCATACTGTTTTATGACCAATCGGGCTGCCTCCTATGTTAACAAATGGAGCTAAAGTGTGTCCTTGAGGCCGACTGAAAACCCACAGAGGCGCCGTTAACAGCTTGTTAAAACACTCTGTTTCACAGTGCACTGTGCAATGATTGAAGTGCATCACAACTAATCTGTCCTAATATTATTACTGCTGAGAGTTACACATTAAATTGCGTAACCCAGGGTGTGGTGAGTTCACTTAAAGCTGTTTGCCAGGAGGATTAAAGGGATATTCCGGCATGAAATTAAATTATGGTCAAAAACACGGTAACACCAAGTTAAACACCCCCTCGATAGATGAATGTTGACGACCACTCGCTTCTGTAGTTATACCAACTTTAGCAACGACTGCAGGATAGCAATACACAGCGGTCTATAGTCCGTGTACTTAATGGCCAACGAATTTTCGTTTTCAAATGAAAAAAACAAAAATCGGGAGATGATTGTGGGGGAGCCCTGACAAGTCGATCACCGAGGATCATTTCCATGAAGTAATAATCATCTTAATAATCATTTTGCACTGCAGATGCGGTAGTTCTTCTGCCTCAGGGTCTTGGTCTGATTGCATTCCCATGACTGATTCCCTGAAGTTGGTATAACTAGAGAAGCAAGCAGGCGACAACATTCATCCCGTGAAGGGGTGTCTAACTGGGTGTTACGGTGTGTTTGACCCTAACTTAAATTTACACCAGAATATCCCTTATAGGTCCACCTCAGCCCTTCCTCTTTGTCTGTGTTTAGATGAATAAAAAGTCAGATGACTCCGCATTTCTTTAAAGGTGGCGTCATCAATTGGCTTCATTAAAATCTGAGATGGTTAATGTGAAAAAAAAAATGTAACTATTAACACACAGAGCAAATGCTTGAGATTCCCAGAAGACAAACTGATAAACAAATGTCTTGTAGTTCTTCACTTTGTGTTAGGTGTTTAAAAAAAATAAAACAAGGATGTGAAAACCAAACATCAGCTTGAAGAGCTCACACTAACAAGAACTGAGGGACTGACGTATGTACTCAGATTGTTCGTCGGTAAAAAGCAGATGTGGGAACACTTATGGTAGAACACACATTTGGGCAACAATTACTGTCTTCTTAATGATTTCCTTTCTCATATTCCTTTAATTTCAACTTCAGTTTTTCTAATTTGCTCGCAGGATTTCAGGGTCTCTGCAGCTGTATCTGGAAGACGTTGTGACGTTTCCATTTTTCATCGTATCCATCCACTATCAGACGGCTGGAGCCCATCCCAGCTGTCATTGGGAGTAAATACACCTATCGGTTATTTTGAATGACCAAATAACCTGTTTCCAATTTTTAGGTGAAAGCAATATTTCACAGACAAGTCCTCCTTTTTCCACAGCTGACATTTTGAGTATCATTGCAGAAAAACACCAGGGAAATTAAAGATCCGGAAGTTTGACTCATAAGCATGCTTTAAAACTGCGGAGCTATTCAGCAATAACGTGTCATTCTTAGACTGGGCTTGAAGTGACAAACCCAAATAAACTCGGCTATAACAGACATGCAATAACTAAAGACATAAAATATCAATTAAGTCAAAAATTAAAAAAAATTAAAAATCTTAAAGCAGGAAACAAAAAAATGAGCGAAGGATTTTCACTCTCAGCGTGGACCCAGGTGCTCATGATTCAGCAGCCAATGAAGAGAGCGAAGCTTTGCCTACACACATAACTACACACACACACACACACACACAACAGTTAGTTCAGCATCTTTAATCTAATAAAAAGTGAAAAAAAATTCCTTTTTGGAGGATATTAAACTACTGTTATAACTAGATTGATTTTTGCTGTTACAGCTCTGCTGTTTTCTCGTTACTTGGAGCTCTTTTGGTGAATGCACAATACTGAAAGTATAGTTATCTCTCCTGACTACGTTCTTGTAGTCTATGGAAACAGACTTCTGTGTGGCTTCGTGCAGCCAACAACAGAGCAACTGCTGTGTCTTGCTCGCACCTTCGCCATTTCAAACCAGTGTTTGTGGGGGAGAAAAATAGTGTCTTGGTGGAAATTTTCTGGGGGCAGAACAATCATCCTGGGCAGGGTCACCAACCTGGAGGGGAGGAGTTAACGCCGTCCATAACGTCATGGAAGGCAATAGTTTCAATCCACCTGTTTGAGCAGACATTTTCTGAGAGGTGGAACAAGTAAGAGAGGGAGAGGAATGAGAATTTTCTCCATTATTGTTAGAAAACCATTCTAAAGTGAAATTTGCTAAATATGGGACCTTTAATGATAAATCCTGTGTATCCTGTTTAAACCTCGACACCCACTAACCTGTCTGCTGTCCGATTCCAACACTTTAAAATACTCTCATGTGTTTCACATGTTGAAGCCCACTGTCTTCACATGCTCAGTATTAAATGCATCACCTTATTGGCTACACACACACCCATGCAGATAATTGACTTTTGAAGCCGTTATCTGCTTATTCTGCTCAGTTTTACAGATTTCTGTCTCTGCTGTCTTCTATCAGACTCTTAGAAGACCTCCTCATTCTCTGTGTGGTTGTATTAAAACTATCAGAGATTGAAGGATCTGTTCGTGTGTCATTCAACACACACTGAAGGCAGCGCTCTATATGAGACGTGTGTGTATCTGTGTGTGTGACAGTGTAGTATGTGAAATGAAATCTCATTGTGACTGACATGTCCTTTATCGGGGTTCAATTTCCACCAGATACGTGCACAGCTGTGCGTTGTGTGTGTCTGTGACCTTGCATACTGATGCTGCAGCCTGCTGGAGTGCTGACTCGGATCAATGACAGATTGTATTACTTTCAGATAAGGTCAGATATTCCTAAAATATGAGATTTGCACTCACTTACACACACACACACTCTCTCTCACACACGGAGGAGTTGTCACACGTCTCAGCAGACCAGGTGAAACCCTTTTCAATTTTTCCTGAGACAATCACAACATTTTTCAGAGACAATCACAACACGGCGGCGTGAAGAGCTTAAAGGTCAGTGTTCTCTGAAAGGACTGCAAAAAAACAAACCAGAGAAGAAGAGCGGAGAAAGAGGGGGATCAGTTCCTCCCTCTTCACCTGTTTTTAAAACCAGATGTGTCATCTCCCACCTTCCACTGGAGCGCCCGTCGAGTTCGTGCGGCTTTATTGAGAGGAGGAATGACTGTGTGGAGACACACGATCAAAGAGGGACGCAAACAGCAGAGACGCTGCGGCACAAGATGAGATTTCCAGTGGAAATTTCTGTGGGAATTGAAGCCAAACACCGGACATGTCAGTGAATGTGATGCTTCATTACACAAACCTACTCACAAGCACATGTGTACCCCCTCTAATAACACTCTGAACAGGAGTAAGTGCTGTGTCGGTTCACAAACACTGACCAAAGTCCTTTTCTCTGCTTTCTGCTGAGGATGTGTGAACCACACACAACGCTTATTTCTCAAGTCTCATGGTTACAAACTACAAATCTCACTACAGCCTCATCATACTGACAGTTGACGGCAGGAATTAGTGTAACAATGGATGTCTGATGATGAGTGAACTCATCTCATTGGTTGATTTTAATCTGACGATGGAGATAACACTCTTAATGTACTTAAAAACTACAAATCTCGATGCAGAGCAAACATCTTATAAAATGTTCCTCTGTTCGCAGAAAAGGCGATTTTTTTAACAGATCTTTCTATGTCTCCAGCCCTTCCTCTTCATCCCACCAATAATGTTCACTTTCCTCCACAGTTCTGTAATTATAATTATCCGAGCACTTGATGTTAATGAGGCGAGAAAAGAGCTAGATCTTTATTACAAATAAGGGTCCAGGGTCAAACAGGACATCTGTATGCAAAGTAGGCGGCCGGGTGTAAAGTTTTCAGACTTCACGCTCCTCCACACACACACACACACGTATTTCTCATTTGCATACACACAGACACACACACACACACACACACACACACACACACGTATTTCCCATTTGCATACACACACACACACACACACACACACACACACACACACACACACGTATTTCTCATTTGCATACACACAGACACACACACACACACACGGACACTCACACCGGAGAGATAATGGCTCGGTGAGAGACTATCACCCCCATGCACTCTTCATGTAGTCGTATTAGTAACGAGTCAAAGGTTTAAACATCCAGGCTGAGATTCTCTTTATGCGTTTCTCTCTTGTTTAAAGGTCCCACATTATACTCCTTTTCAGCAGGTTCACAAAGGCCTCAGGAGGTCCCATAACGGTCAATTTGAAGTTTGTTGTCTAAAAAAAAAAATATTTTCCTGGACTTTAATCAGCCTGAAAACTCTCTCTAGTGAGCTCTACCGAGAACATGCTGTTTCTGTGTGCTGTGCATGTCCATGCCTCCTTAAGCACAAGCCACGCCCTTCCCTGTCTCTCTGGAAGAAGGGGGCGTGGCTTGCGCTACGGAACCGTGCGCTGATGTTTACTTCTGAAAAAAATTCCAACTCTGTGGCTGCAGCAGGATGTTTCTGAATAAATGAATGGTTAGCTAGCATGTAGCTAGGTAACATACACTGTATATAGAATGGACTCCGTCTGCCTCCTCACTGGATGAAGCCAATCCGGGAACAGCACCCTCTGTTGACAGCCTATGGACATACAAAGATTGTGTAGCTCACCCGTGGGGATACGCTGTTTGAGCTGAGCGTCATCACAGCAACTCTCGGCGACTCTCCCACCGAATAAGTACAATTCTACTACGCAAGTGGTGGAGTGCGTACAACGCTACTGCGAAATGTTGGTTCCAGGAAGTGGAGAAAAATCACGGAAATACAGAGAGCTTTTTGGCTTCAAATCCGTATACTGGCGAAAGGCGGGACCAAGTTGTCTATAGTGTATACAGTCTATGCTAGTTCACATTAACTCCTGCTAACAGTTACATCTCTGCTGTCATCTCATTATTTGGAGCTTTTTTGGTGTATGCGCACTATTGTAAGTATAGTTATCTCTTGTGACTACGTTATTGAAGTCTAGGAAAAAAGATTTCAGTTGAGTCGTGAACAGTGGGTGTCGATCCAGGATTTAGCCTCAAATTCTTAGCGAATCCTGCTTTACACCGGCCCTTGTTGAGAAAGCAGTCCAAAGTAAAGTGGTAGGCACACACACACACAACATTTTAGGAGTTGTTGTAGGTACATTTCCATCAGAAATAACATGACTCCAGCGGGCCTTCAAAACGTCAGACGAAGAGGGAGGTAAAAACAAACTTCTGTGCTGCTTTCGGCTACATTCATCTCTCAAGGGGATGTCTAACTTGGTGTTTTTCGGGTGTGTTTGACCCTAACCTAATTTTACGCCGGAATATCCCTTTCAAAAGACTTTTCCTGTGTTTTAAATTGACTCACTGGTGGATTTTGTTGGTTTATTTGTGCATCTTCTCCACGCCCGAACAAAGAAACTTGCCATGTGTTAGCTCTTCCTCTCCTAAATCCTTTTGATTTCCTTTTGTTGCTCAGGTTGACATAATGGCATCAACTTATGCTAAGCTCTTCAAGTCCCCCCGACAGTCTTAAGATGCCTTTTGTCTACGATCTAAAGCTACTTATAAGAGAGAGGTTGTGTGAGAGAGAGGAGAGGGGAGGCTGGGTCCCATCCTGCGGCACCACCTGGGACTCTGCCCCCCCTTTGAGATCTGACAGTCGCCTAGTGGGGACGTCATCATCACAACGTCTGAGAGAGAAGAAGAAACAAACATCCACATGCACAACAAGTTAAAAAGCAACAACAACAAGCAAATGACTCAGCGGTGACGCAAACAGTAATACTGTGAGGAGCAGCGGCGTTTATCTGCACAGGACCACACATTTATGATTATTACCACTGTTTCTTTGCTGCCTTTCGACACTTTTCCTCGTTTGAGATACCAGGAAGTTTACTGCGTGTGTGCCGTTTGATCCAAAAAACACACCCGAAGAAATACAAGAAGTGTTTAGATGTGACACAAATACCCCAGACTGAAGTCATCTGCTGACAAACTGACTCACTCTACAAAGTTTATATGCTAAACAGAGGCCTTATGAAAAACAGAGCTAATGTGTTTTATTGTTATAATTCCACAAGAGATGTGACGCGGAGCACAGAGGAAGGACAGGTTGTTTTTATTGTGGCTCCTCAGGTACACAACATTAAGAAAAAGGAAGAAAGGAATTGGATTTTCATGACATGATGGACACACCGTAAGCAGACACTAAGAGACACACATGCAGTAATGTGTGTGAGAGGACCCTTGTTAACTCAGCATGGCCCATTACACTTCAATTAAAACCAAACCCTGGAAAATCCCCACAATCCTTCACGTTGAGTTATGAGCAAACACTCACACTGACCTCTTGGTCTTACACTCACTGGCTTTGGATGAATGTCTCAAAAAGTGACTGCCGTGACATTTAGAGGACTTATCCATCTCTTCATGATAAACTGAACCAACCTCGGCCATCTTAAAAGGATTTAAAGAGGAGACATCGGGTCATGTGTTCATTCAAACACTAGCTGTGTTCACATGAGGACAAATAATCTGAATAAATGCCCGATTGGAATAAAAAAGCGTCATGTAAACGTGTCGATCGGAAGATTCTGATCCAATTCAGCTCAATCCGAAAGAAATTTGATTACGATTGAGAGTGGTGGTTTATGCCGATAGTTATTCCGAAACGCGTCCATGTAAATACTTATTCCAAACATGACTCTCTAACCTGACTTGGTCTTCGCTCTTTGCCGGCATTGTAACATTAGACTGACTTATGGAGTGAGCCTCAGAGAGAATTTGGTGTTTTTCAGTTGGGAAGTCCCGATACGATATTGATATTGAGTATCAGTCCGATATCCACGTAAAAAAGGAATATCAGATCATATCGACCTGTATCGAAAATCTCCGACATCAGCACTCCGATACAAGCGGTCCATTCCAGATTCCACTCCAGCACCTCTGTCTAGCAGCATCCAGATCTAGCATGCAGCAACAGTGCGTACTAAGTAGGTCTGTACAGTCCTAGTCAACTGGTTGACTTGTTAGTCCATACATGCTGAGTCAACCAAAATTCTGATTGGTCGACTTGAATTTTTTCCGCATCAATTTACAGTCTATGGTTAATTTCATCAGGAGGAACATACCAAGTGCTAATGGGGGTGTTTTCAGACCACCCCGGTTTTACAAATAACAGCCTGTTTCCGAACACCCCCCTTGTTTTCATCATTTTGGATTTGCCCAACCCACTGGAGACCCACTGGAGACCCACTGGAGACAGGAAGATTGGAGAGCGTCCACGTTAATCAACATCAGGTGGTTTGCTGAATATGATATTTGTGTTTAATTGCTTTCTTGTGCTAAAATCAGTATATTTTCACTCTGCAGAGCAGCATCGTTTCTAACATTTGATACAGCAAGTTTTTCTGGACAGTCTGAGTTAACAGCTTTCTGAAGTTGTTTCAAAGTTAGTTTTGATGGGCACCAATCAGGATGTAGAGAAATTTACACTTATTAACACCTATTAGCCTAACAGCAGCTTCAGGTTCAGCCATTAAGAGATGATACAGAAGTTAGTTTTATGTGACAGCCGCCCATTGATCGGGGATGAATGTGCTGGTCTGACACCAGCCTCCAGCAGTCAGTTACCTGCCCTCTGCTGCTCCACTGATAAGACCAGGCCCACCATGCTTTCAGTGTGTGTGTGTGTGCAGTCAGTAGATGAGTGTAAAGACAACTGATGGGAGCCATATTGACTGACTGAATGAATACGCAAATCTCCATCTCGCATCTGGGGCCTATCACACAGCTGTAGACGGAGATAAGAGAGTCCCGGCTACAGAAATGAACTAAGTTGGTGCGACAGTCAAGTGGCAGCTGCTCTGAGCGAGTCAGTGATCATTAGTGTCCTCATCCTGCTGTAGGATGTCTTCACGAGTGTAAATAGTTCTACCTGAATATGAGGTGGTTGACTTTGAACTGGGTCTCGATCACGCCTGTGGTCCTCAGTCGGACTCGTAGAACATCAGTCTCTGTGGGGACGTAATCTGGAGATGTGATGCGGGCCATGTTCTCAAAGAAACTAAGAAATGAGGAAGGTAGAGACACAAAGAGAGGAGAGAGGGGAAAGTGTAAGGTCTCTGCAAACAAACTGACGTCAAAAGAGAGAAAAAAAAATCAAGTATCAGACGGTGTGTAAGGATTTGTACGATATGTGTGTGTGTGTGTCAAGCTTGTGTTAGCTGCCAGGCAGTAGGCAGTGTGTGCAGTGATAAGACTGGGGCCTCAAGGGGCGCAGCAGTTTATCATCATGAATTATAATGATAATTATATTAATATATTTAATATTCACTCTGTGGTTTACCATAATAACACACTGAGGCTAAGCTTTCAAACACAGATGATCTATTAAAGCAGCAGAGAGACAGTCACACACAAATACACACACTCATACATACTGTGTGATATAGTATCCAGCTACTTGAACTGACTGTGACATTCTCTAGCAGTCATCCTGAATCACTTTCTTGGATCGTAACAAAAGTCCCGCTGCTGAAAAACACACACAGCCTCCCCGCTCTCTGGCTGCTGCACAGTACAGACCATCAGTTTTGATTTTCTATCTTTATGAGGACCTTGTAAAAATACTTTGACCAGTCCTGATTCTTCCAAAACCAAAACTATCTGCTGAATATGAACTTATTATCCCCTAATTTGTAAACTTTTATCAGCTAAAATGGCTCAGAGAGATGCAGTGATTGTGAAATCAGATTGATACCAAAACCAGTGATTGAGACAACATTTAAGTTAAGAGCTGATAGCTGTTCAAATACTAATGTTTCCTATTTAGTTACTCAATGGTTGATTTTTAAAGTGATCTATAAAGTTTGTTTACCAGGTGACTTTAGTATGTCAGTACTTACTTGACGTGAAAAAGACAGAGAGCAGATGTGAGAGGAGACTGATAAATATAGCATTTTATTTGCTAACAGGCTCTGTGTCTACCAACAGCGCACATTTGTGACAGTATTATACCGTATTAAAGACTTAGCATTGCTCACACATTCTTGACTTTTCGCACACATCTTTGTAGAACGGAAAGATAACAAATCTCTCGCTTGTTTTTTTAACTTCTGGGATGGAAATGTGTATGAGTGAATCAATGCATGATGAGAATCTTTGCAATATTATTGAAAGTTACTGTTTTTTTACTGTTTTCACCCTTTTTTGTCCCATTCCTGATTTTTTTCTTTCATTTTGTTGATATTTCTTTATTTCTAGAGTTACAAAGAGCAGCTGTCAGTGATTGTCAACATTGAAGTAAAATTAATATATTCAACCCTCAGGCCCCCTTTTAAAAATTTCACATTAGCGTCTTAGCGGACATTTTTGTCCATGAATCTATTGACATATAAATACACATTTTTTTAAAATTATGTCATAATTTTTCATAATTAAAACCCTTAAATGACAGTTTATTCAAAATATGACAATTTTAAGCATGTTTTGGAGTATGTGTACTTCACTTCATATTACATTAAATCTTCTTTATGTGATACTTTTGGATCTGCGCTAAACTTCCATTTAGTCTTTCTCTTAAGTCTGATATGTTTTTTTGTTTTGTTTTTTTGTCTAAAATCCAACCAAAAGACACTAAACAAATCAGGAAATCAGAGTCCCAAAAATATGAAGATTTTCCTCATTAATGTAATTATGAAATCTGACAAAAAGTAGTTCAAATACTGTTAAATGCAAGTATTCGTGTACATTTAATCCAACCACTTAAACTGGAGTTACATTTGAACAGCATACTTTGACTCAAGCTATGAAGTTGGGTTATTTATCAACCAGTGTTCAATACAGTTTGATTAATATTGATCAAAATAACTAATAAAGGAATATCCCTTTAAAGCCAACATGGTCTCTCTATCTATACAGTTATTTCTGTTGGCTGGAAGTGTGTTCTAGCTGAAATGATTAAGGTAAAGGTAAAGGTGTGGACCCTGAATTCTGTCAGTGTGAGACCTCACAAGTGCAGAGGAACAGATATGTGTGTGTGAGAGCAGAGCGGAGATGAAGGTGATGTTCGGTGGTTCTCAGCAGGAACCAGGGGCTTTGTCAGTGTAGATAACCCCAAACTGGGGCCTCTCACTGGGGTAGGGAATGAGAACAGACGGCCTCCCGGTGGGTTCCTGCTCTGCATTACTTCTGCACCGCACACGCCAACCCCTCCACACCACCTTATTAATTTCAACCTAAACCCTCACATCTTCACCTTCATAACAGAGCCTGAAAACGTGGGTTAATAACCCGTTTTAAAAGATAACATCCAGCATGCACCATGTGTTTTTACACCTCTTCTCCTCTCTGTTTCTTTAGTGTTACCTCTTTTTGTCATATGCAAAACAAACACAAATACTGTATGTATACATTTGGAAATATATTAAATGGATATGTAATGATAGACCCTAGACCCCCCTGAGGATCTGATTCTTGGTGGCAGGAGGCAGACGGTTAGGCATCAGACGGACAGGCTAATTAGACCCCTGGATCTCCTCAGCACAGCGTGAGGGTTTGCTTGAAGAATACTCACTACAGGGCAGAGTCATTCAGCTCGTACTCGTATCCCCTGGACGCGGCGGTTCTCACTCCCTGGTCAGCCCACAGGCAGGAGAGGGCGTGGCTGAGGAAAGGAAACAGCACCTGATCTTCGTCAAAACACCGCCCACACGACAGGACCGAATGAGCATGGACCTGTGAGAGGCGACGCAGAGAGACAGAAATGTGGATGAATGGGTGAGTGGTCAGGGTGGAGCGCCGGGCGGATGGAAAAGAGGGAGAGACAGAAAAGTTCAAGAGTCTGTCTCTCCTCTGCGGACTGGGTAATCAGTATAGATGAGCAAATGAACGGATTGGAAAGCAAAACACTCACACTTGTGACATTTATTAGAGGAAATCGTGTGGTCATCTCCCAGCAGGATGTGATGGGTGGGTGGAGAGTCGAAATGCTTTAATAACTTTGACAACAAAGTTAGAATCAAATTGAGGCTCACAATCAACCCACCCACCGTTCAGCTTTCTGTTTCTCGTCAAGGAAACAAATTGATGCTGTTTTGTGCGTCTACGCTGTGACAGACGCATGCTGCCCTCTCGTGGAGATCAGGGTGAAGTGCAGGGAAATAAAGGCGAGAGGAGAAAGAAGGAGAGATTCAGAGGAAAATGTTCAGCTGTGTCAATACATGCTGATGGTTCACCTTGTTTCTGCTGTTCGCCAGGTTGATCCGGATGATGCCCATGCCATGGAGGACAAACTTCATGGAGGTCAGGAGGTTATCGAGCACAGCGGGCTGCCAAAGAGAAAAAACCTCTCAGTTAAATTCAAGAGAAAAAAACCTCATCAACCAAGACAAAGAAGCCTGTTGAAATGAAGCAGATTATTTTTGTCTTTTTATCTCGATTCACTACAAAAGAAACAATGACTCCAAGTGATGGATAGTGTTTTTTTTAAATAAGGGTTTCATTGACTCACTCATGACCCCCAGAAAGGACTCGGGGTGATAGTTTCTGTGTTGAACACAAACATGTAATACGTCCAACAAAGAACTCTTTCAAAACACAAGCAGAGGCACTTTGTCAAGATCAGCCAGTGATGCTTTCTTGCCGCTAACATTCAGCTTAAAGGGATATTCCGTCATAAAATTAATTTAGAGTCAACACACCGTAACACCGAGTTAGACACCCCATTGAGATGAATGTTGCAGACTGCTTGCTTCTCTAGTTATACCAACTTATACCAACAATATTACGGACTGCAGCGGGGTGACGCAGCTCAAGGAAGAACATTTATGATCATTTCTACATGGACATGCAATCAGACCGAGACGGTGAGACAGAAGAACTACCGCGTCTGCAGTGCGAAATGATTAATATGGTGATTATTACTTCAAGGAAATGATCATAAATGTTGTTCCTTGAGCTGCGTCACCCCACTGCGGTCCGTAATGGTCTGGCCTGAGGTCTCGCTACAAACAAGCGGCTGCTGGAGGAGAGTGGGTAAGTTGTGTTTAGTCTCTTTGCCAAAGAAACCAGGCAAAGCCAAAAAGATGATTGATAACTAGTACCATGGCTGGTGTCATCAGTGATTTTTAATGAAATAATCCCATCCTGCCGACTCTCGGCTGTCAGGTGTGTAATTTAAGGTGGAAAACTGTAAAAACAGCCTGTTCTTCCAGCTGCTGACACCTAACCCCTTTACACCAGATTCACCATAAATATGAATTTCAGTCAATGAAATTCACTTGAAAAAATCTCAAAGCAGCTTTAAAACTCACCTCTACCAAATATGAAACATGTTAGGAACAGTCGATCTAAAGTGTATACAGCATGGTCATGTGCAGATGAATAATAAACTGAAGTGGTACTGAAAAAGGACCTGATAGAAATGATCTGTCTTGACACCAATGGACTTGTTTTCTCTAGTAGATCCTAAAAGGACGACTATTCATTTCCCTTTTTATTCAGCTTTAATAAAACCGACCATCTAGTGAACCCCTGACTCTGTTCTGGTGCTCAGGAACCTTAAGACTGAAGAGACTCCTGCAGCGAGTTGGGGAAAGTGTGTATTCGTGCATGTGTGTCGGTGTGTGTTATTCTCTTTGTCTCTCTCCTGTCAGCCAAAGATAAGCTTCACATTCCATCACAATTCAATCACAGTCTGGTCGCTCTGCGCTCAGTGTGTGTGTGTGTGTGTGTGTGTGTGTGTGTGTGTTTCAGCGTCCAGACTGAGATGTGTTTCTGTCTCAGTGAAAGGTGTGAGGTGAGATAACTCAGTGGGCTGACATCTTATCTTATCTCATGATGAGAGCCGGGCTGAGTGCTGCTGACACCACCGTATGAGGGACAAATTAGTCTGTTTAAGAGGGACCTTTTTTGACAGCCTTGCATTGATTTGTGTCACAAATAAGCTGCTTTGTCTCTTTTTGCTCAATAGTTACTGTCATCAAACAAGCAGTTTTATATCATATTATACTTGTAAAATTATGATAACAACACATTCTTGAAGCCTAGAGATCAATAATTCTGTGAGTTTTACCACATCTGGACTGATGATGTGAGATTTTTAGGTCCAACACAAATACAACAGAGAGGGGAAAGAGTCACATCTATGAGCTTTTGTGATAAAAGAGATAGTTTTTATTAGAGACGTAACTGTAAACATTATGTACAAGTTTTATACTTTCAACCACTGTCAGACATTTGTCTGCTCAGCTGAGGTTGGAATGTTATGAGGTGAATAATGTTCTAGTCTCAGCAATGGAGATTTATGTTCAGATGAAACACTCAGAAAACAGTTAAAAGTAGGGCTGGGCGATACGGCCTTAAATCAACATCACGATATATCAAGCAGTTCACCTCCATGACGATAAATGGACGATAACTACTCCACAAAATGACATTGATTATTGTCATAAATTTCAGTATCTGTAAATTTTCGGTTTATCGCCCAGCCCTAATCAAGGGTTCAGAAAAGGTTTTTTACAACTAATACAACTACTATTCATCTGTCAAGCCTAAATGTGGCCACAAAATGTTATGGCAGCCCATCCAAATTTCACAAACATTTCCAAACACGGATCAGCTGGTGGCCCGAGCACAAGGCAAAGGTCGGCATTAGCTATAAAATCGCTAATCTGTCCAAAGAAACCACAACTTGCTTGCACGTATCATTAAATGTTACAATTGTTTCATGTTTACTCTGTAATTATTAAAAAAATACACAAATCAAACTTTTTCAGTGAAAAACTTTTTGAACCTGCAAAAAGACAAACGAACTGAACTTAGTCTAAATTTATTTCAGAGTTTTTCTGCAGAGTTTAGATGACTATTAGTTAAGGCTGCACGATATTGGAAAAAAATAATATTGCGATTTTTTCAACCCTGCGATATATATTGCGATATTAAAAATACAGTATTTTCACCAGATGACCTGAATAGCACTTAATGTTATGCTGCACTGCTGAAATCTTGAGGACAGTTAATCTGCTCTGATCTTACCTCTTTTTGTGAATGTTAGTAGAACGGCTTCTGTCTGTCTCAGAGATATTTTTAGCTTTTATTGTGCTGGGACGTTATTGTGGAAACAGATGAACACAGAAGACGTGTTTTGGTCGACATCATCCTTCTTTAACCGAAATAATTCCAGATAACTGACTTTCCTTTTCTTTTTGGCAACAAATCTTCATTTTCGGTGGTTTTCGCTTGTTCGTTGTTCATTTTGCGATCGTTGTTGTTGTTGTTAGCGGTGCTGTACCGAGAAACGCATGTCCTCCGAGAATTGCATGCACCTCGCAAAACGCGCACTGCTTATAGTAGAGTGGTCCACGGAAATGTACAATTTTAAAACCCATACAGTTCTTATTTGTTGGGCTTAATAGTCATGAGTAAAGTTCCGAAAGTAATTCTCAGCGGACACACGTCTCCCTCCATGTGCAGAACATGTGCAGGGGTGGGTTTTCTCCTCCCTGATTTTGATTGACAGCTGGCAGGGTAGTCCGACTGGCAGCTGAGAAGTGAGTCTGATTGGCAACTGAGTTAAGGATGCTTGCACGTATCATTAAATGTTACAATTGTTTCATGTTTACTCTGTAATTATTAAAAAAATATCATTCACCTCCAATATCGCAGGCTCTGCGATGTGACTATCGCGCACACGTACATCGCGATGACGATAGTCAAACGATATATCGTTCAGGCCTACTATTAGTGCTCTTAAACACTGGTCACACTTGGCTTCTTTACATGTGTCACAAAGAAACTGACAAAAACATGTTTATAATTTTACAGAGACAGAATCTCCTCTCTTTATACATAAGACAGCATGATCTGACCACTATTAGCTTTCAAATGTCCTCAGCTCAACAAACGCCTAACATACCAAATTAATGAAACTTTGCTTTTCCATAGAAGATGACATTGAGCTTTCCACTCTGTGCTTCATGACAGAAACAAATGCCCATGACAGAAATCACCCTCCTGATTTTTTAAAAAGTTGAATCATCCTTCCTTTCTTTCTTCCTTCCTTCCTGGTCTTTCCTCCTCCACCTTTGTCCTCCCTCTCCATTGTTCCCATGTTCCTCCCTCTCTGACCCGAGCTCCCTTCACTTTGGAGTTGATGAGTCAGGTGGGAGGCATAACTCCTCAAAACATCAGACACATTTTGTGTGTTGAAAAGAATCTTTTTTTCTCCTGATGATGATGGTGGAGGAACATTTTGTAACAGTTTTGGATCAGCTGACTTTCAGCTGAGACATTCCTTTGAAAACCAAACAACCCCTGAGAGACTCGCACTCTGCCCTTATTCGCTCTTTCTTTTTAATGACCAATACGTATCTGCTACACACAAACACACACACAAACACACACTCACACACCCTGGGGCAGCAGGTGTGTCACTGTGTGGTAATCTAGATCTACCTCCGGCTTCACTGGAAGAGAGTAAAACGACACCATGTTTCGAGTGTGCGTGTGCTCTTTCACTTTTCCAACCTTTGCCGTTGTCTTCGGGATATGCCCACTCACATGATCACCACATTTTGAAGCAGTGTGGGAACTTTGAAGCACCCTCTGCATCAGTGGAGACATTAAAACTCCCATTAAAACACTGAGGCCTTTTCATCTATCCATGTCCACTGACCTCCAACCTCAATCACCTCCCTGCACGGACACAAACAGTCGTTAAAGAGCGGTCCCGCATCGAAGCGTTTGGAAGAATGTGGCTGAAACTGCGAGGGTTTTTAATTAATGATTAACTTCAGACAGAGAGTGTGTGTGTGTGTGTGTGTGTTTGTAGGTTTCATGCTCTGCTGAGTTCAAACACTAATCCCTGCTGCTGCAAAGATTCAGGAAATAGTTTATAACAAACACGCACACACACACACACAGACACCTGAATTCACAAAGATCTCCAACTCCCGCGCAGAAGTGTCACTCATATCAACATGTGTTTTTGTTGATACAGAGTTGTGTGTGTTAGGAGAGAATGTGGAAAAGGAAAAAAAATCTCAGTCGATCAGCCTGTTCACAGTAAAAACAACACCACGGCCTGAGGCTGAGGAGACAAAGAGGAGCCCCCCTGTCTCACCTTTCTTCCTTTCTTCCTCTCAGATGGGCTGACTTGTCACAACCCTGGTGCAACACAAACTTGGACACAAAACGCCCGACTAAAAAGACCCTTTTTCTCATGCTGGCGTGAAGAGAAAAATCAGAGAAAGAAGACTTTCAAGCGGAGGACGGCATGTCAAGTTGATGGCAGGGTTGCAGGGTTTACACACACGCACACACACTCTCTACGAGTGAACAGAGGATGTCAAAGACACACACACAGGCCTGATGGGAACGATGAGCTCATGTTTATGTGAGTGTGTTTGTGCAGGAGAGGGTGTGTCTGTGTTTGCTGTGGGAGGTTAGGATGGTCAGGGAAGGGAAAGGCAGGTTTGTGGTTTACCGTCATTTTTTCCCTGAACATAAGGGCGTCACCTGGGAACAAACACACTGCCAACTGACAGCGGAGGAAACAAAGAGATTTGATGATACGCGTTGGACGTGTGTAGGTGCGTGTTTGTACGTGTGCAGAATTATTGTGTACTGACTACAGAGTTATAACAAAACAACATTCAGAGATTTGTCATCTTTTCTCTGGTAGATAAGGAAAGAAAAAAACAGGTCCTGAATGATTTATAGCTGAGGGTTTTTTAAAAAGTGAAGTGATAAATAAACAAATATGACATTAGGATCGCTCTAAGCCAATCTTTTGCGGTGAAATATTTAGAAATTTGATATGATACAAGTTGACGGTTTTGTTCATGATTTCCTGACATGCCTGAATTTTTCCAGTTTTTTGTTTTATGACAAAAAAACTGAAAATAATGATTTTCCAGATGTTACTGCACAAACACGATGAATGGAAAAATTGTGAATATTGTACATTTGGTACAAGATGATGGGAAACCAGTTTCACACATGACATGACATGACATGACATGATGTAATGAGATATGATTTGATAGGATATGATATGATATGATATCATGATATGATACGACATGACATGATATGACATGATATGAGATAATGAGATATGATATGATATTAGATAATTAGAAATTATATGAGGTAATGAGATATGATTTGATAAGTATGATGGGAGATATGATATGATATGATATAATATGATAGGAGATAACGAGATATGATATGATATAATATGATACAATATGATACAATACGATATGAGACTGTAAGATAAGATACAATATCACACAATATGATACGTGACTCCGCCTCCCATCATCATATGTAGTCAAAAGCTCCCGACATCATTTCCTATTTTTATAACCCATGATAACTTTTAAAAACGGAACTGCAGATAAAGAAAGAAGACATGAGCACAAACCAGTGTATCAATACCCACATGTCAACATCGCAACCAGGAGTGAAAAAAATGATAAGACTTATTAGTTTTTAACGTTTGTCCACAGCTCCATTTATTTTGCTGGAGGAGGCGTGGTTTATGACCTACACTGCAACCAGTCACCAGGTGGTGCTGTTCTCACAGAGGAAGGAAAGGAAGCATCAAGACATCCATCGTATATACAGTCTATGATTACAATATGATGTAATGCAATAGTTTTTATGAGCCAAATTAGTAGAAAAGTCTGTCTAGAGTAAAATGTCGCCTGTAAATTAAAGTATTGATATTTGGTAACAGTCAAGATATTAAGCTCTTCCACACTGAGGTCCAGTTGTTCATAGAAGCAGATGGGATGCTTGAAAAGATTCCCAGATATTCAAGACCTCTCCTACTCTCTCTTTGCCTTTCTCCTACCCCTCTTTCCATCACTTTAAACCTTTACACTTTTGTATACTTCATACTAACAGCTGCTAAAAGCTATCATCATACCAGTGAGCTCGCGAATATTAGGTTTAGCTTTTCTCTAACCGGCTGTTACAGTTTCAGAAACATTTCAGGCCTTTACAGCTGCTTATTTCACATTTATCTTCAACCTTTGGTCAGATTTTTTTGTAATAAAAGTTTAAGCACACAGCCATGTAAGCCGCTCAGTGAGGCTGTACTTCAGTGTAAATAAATTAGAAAGCTAGCATGCTTATAGTTCTATGATGCAGAAGCTTAGCCCACTGAAAAAGGCTGGAATAAAATACCAATTTGGCTGTAGATTAATCCTGGCCGGTGTGCAGAGTTGGGAAAACATGCAATTGTGTTTTTCACATTTAAAACACCAACGCTCTGTGTATCTCTAAATCTTTCCTTGCAAACTGACCACTCAATGAAGCGCTCGATGAGGGTTCAAACTTTAACAATCCACATCTTTAAAGGCCGGCACTGTTTCAGAGACAGGACCTATTATGGAGCAGGTACCTGAAGCATGACGAAGGCAAGAGACAAATCTTCTGTCATCACATGCTCATTTTGCAAAGGAGGAGGCAGAAAAAGTAAAAACTACAGAGAAGAGATGGAAAAAAAGGAAGGTGTAAAAAGGACAGGAGATGTGGACGACGATAAGGCGTCAGTAAAAACAAGCTGATGGGTGAAGCTGCTGGTGTGTGTGAAACTCCCCACAGTCCAAACTCTGCATGCATAACAGAGGAATTTGGCTTTCACTCTCTCTGTCTCACACACACACACACACACACACACACACACACACACACACACACACACACGAAAAACAAAGCCAAACCACTGCATACCAACTTGAGTGTGACCCGGGATATCAAGAGAAATCTGCTCTCTCACAGGATCCATGCATCGCCTCTTCTTGATCACTATCCACATTTTTAATATCCTCCAGTTAGAGGTTTTTTTTCTGGCCTGAAGCATAATCCTTTCCTCTTTAACTCTTAACACTGAAGTCACATGGAGATGACTTAAAAATGACTTGAAAATGACACACTCTCTCTATCAGATACAAGAGATAGGATGATTATTGACCTCTCCCTGACTGAAAACCATGACAGCAGGCCGACTGTATGCTAATGAGATTGTTATCAGACTGAGAAAAAAAGAGATCAACCAGGCTGCAGAGTGGACAGGTGTGTGTGTGTGTGTGTGTGTGTGTGTGTGTGTGTGTGTGTGTGTGTGTGTGTGTGTGTGTCTGTAGTTTTCCAACCTTAAAACTTGCCAGCTCTTGTTTGGTGAATCCATTACTGTGGATGATCTTCATTTGTTTCACCAAAGTACTTTTACCGCTCTCTGCTGCACCTGGAGGAGGATTCACATTAAGGTTAAACCGGGTCTGTTTATCACTTCATACATCCATAAAAACATGAACATTTTTATTTTCTCTTTTTCTCTCATTATGTGATCATTGCGTCTGCAGAAGTTAAACCTTCCTCCTGTGTTAGATTTTACTACGCACCCACTATGTTAAGGGTCAGTTTCGGCCAGTGTCTTAAATCAGCTGTAAATTACACTAAAAACAATTCTCTATCATCCAATTTAATTCTCATATCCAGGTTAACTTATTAGGCTTCATTATCCATTAAAATATTGATTATAATAGTTTTTGGAGTGGGTCTCAGGGCCTTTCTTTGTCATAGTGTTGTGTTGTTTGTGAACGATTCGTTCAAAAGAATGTACTGAACTGAATCACTTCCACGAGTGATTCGGTTCATTTCTCACTTCAGTTGAGCTGAAGTAAGAAACAGCATTACCAGGCCAGCAGCCGGCGAACGAGGAACCACATGCACCGATGTCTGAATCACTTTGTGAACGAAACACGCATTGAACTACACTCTCTGGAATCACTTTTCTCGGACAAAACTACCTTATTTTACTGCTAAATTGCCACCACAACAACCCTCAGCATCCTATCATTGCAGGAGTTTTTGAGGGTGCATGTTCAGTGTGAATTCTTCTAAACGTCCGGTGAACGAATCACTCACTGAGCCCAGTTTACTGAGCAGACCTGACAAATGGCTTACAAAAGGACAGTACACTTCAAACATCATGACTTTTGCCAAAGCAACAAAGCCAAACACTCGTGTGTCCTGGTCCCAGAAACTAAGAAAATCTTGAATCTTGAAACGTTCAGCTGTGTATCAGTTCAGGAGGTCGGGGTCGCAGGCCTCTCCCGCCAAGCAATAAGTGATTTGGTGATCTGGTGAATGAATCTTTTGAATGAAGCTTTTTAGTGGACTAATTATAGTGATTCAGTACATCTAAAAGAACTGTCGTGCCCATCACTACTTTGTCAGGATACCCCTCACACAGACATCTACACTAAATTGATCTCACATGCCTGGACATGCCTGACATTGTTTTTTGTGCAGGAAAAACAGGCAAAATGAGAATTTCCTAAATCTCACTTGATTGGAAGAGGATCTGACTGTCAGTGTGGTGCCTGACAGTGCATTTGTGATTTCAGTTTTTGTTCTAATCATTAGATATTGATCTGACCGGGTCAACAGCCAACCTAGCACAACTGCCATAATTTTAATAAGAGCATTTTAACTTCGTCAGTTTCATTTTTTATTTTGTTGAAATAGAGGTTCCTGACAAAAAAAGCGTATTTAGGAGGTTATTGGAGGTTCTCACACAGGAGGAGGTTACATCTAGAAATCTGGATCAGGAGCAGTGGAGAAGGTCAACTGTCCATGTCTCCAGGACTTTCCTAATGTCATCCACAGAGAAGAACCAAGGGTGCAGTTCAGTCCTTGTAGCCTCTAACTTGTGCACACTTGCTCAGGTGAGTTCAGATGAGGATTGTGAGTCTCACCTAGCAGCAGTATTTTCACCACATTCAGCTCCCTCTTGGCGGACTCGTACAGATCCCGGTCTATCTTGGCGCTGTGGATCCTCGCCTTCTTCTCCTCCGTCATTTCGGTACCGAGACACAGTCCCATCCTGAGCGCTCATCTCCACCCCCCTGGCCCGGGTCGAGAGGGACACAAAGCAGGGACTCCTCACCGGGATTAGCCCACTTTGTTCGGGTCTACACGCTGCATGCTTCGCACTGTGCCGCAAACTTCACCGAGCAGAGAAGTCAACTCTGGAAAACAAAAACAGGCCAAATCCAAATCCCGATCAAACATATCCACGCATCATCGCCCCGGGAGGTTTCTTCTCTTCCTTGTCGATGGCAGATCTTGATGGGTGGAACTTTTTTCTGCTGTGATTGTCTTTCTTGGGAACTCCTCAGTGTAATGTCTCTGTGCGCCACAGCAGTTCAAACTCCGCTCTGCCGCCTTGGCACAGACCCCAGATACTCCTCAAGAAGATCCCTCCTCCTCCTCCTGTAGCCTGCTGCCCAGATGGAAAAACTTTTGGACTTCCCTGAGAGGAAGTGACGTGCCAGAGGACAAAAGTGCTGAGTCTGCGGTTCTTTGATGCTCACCTGTGCAAAAAAACAGGAAACATAACTCAGGGAGGAGGAGACCGATACTCAATCGCAGACATGTACTTCAGCTGTATATGAGCTGCTGTGTTACTGCGAACTGAACGAAACAATATGATGCAGATTAAGGGTCCCGCACTCATACAGGTGTTTCCATCTGCTGCGGATTAGTACGGTGGCTGAGAACCGCCACTGCTGCTGGAAAAAAAAAAAAGAAGAAGCCACAACACAAGTTAGGATGAAGGGGGAAAAAGGCTGCAAATAAAAAAAGAAAAAAGACACGACAGAAGTTAACGCATTGAAAAAAAAAGTTACTTGCTGCAAAAATAAAAGGATGCAAATAAGAAAAGCCACAAAGGAAGTGCACTGCTGGGGACCAATAATGATGAGGCACGGGTGGTTTTTATTTTTATTTTGTTTTGCTTGGGTTTCTTTTTTATTTATTTATTTATTTGCATCAGTAACTTCCGTTGTGACTTTTTTCTTTTTGCATTATTTTTAAAAATATTTGCAGCAGTGGCGGTTCTCGGCCACCGTACATTAGAGCTGCTTTAGTGTGTGCTGTGATATCATTACATTTGTATCACTCCCATCACCGAAGCTACTTGGTGTCACCTGAACTCAGGGGTAGTAGGCATACGGCTTAACCTTCCCCATACACGGGGTAAGTTGACCATAGGAGACCACCTTTTTTTGGCATGCTATATCATCAAGACAGTTATGTTTACACTTATTCTGTTGGTTTGCAGGGATAAACAAAATCTTGAAATATATGCAGATACACTAGTTAGAGACAAAACTGTGACTGCCAAAATTGATTGACAAAAGCTGGAGCACTGTAAAATAGCTCCATTGTTTCTGTGTAGCAGTTCTTTACAGCAGTAGAACTGTAAGGTTTTGTCCTTGAGCTAAGCTGCAGGTCTTTCCTCCTGGAGCTCCTCCTTCAGGGCGCTGAGCTTTGTGGATTAAAGGCTCTTTGTGTTTCTAACAAGGTGGCGGCCTGTAGGTTTTTGTTTAAATCTGAGGACAGCATTAGAGGACCACGTCGCTGGTATTGAGTTGTCTCTGAGCTGCTCTGGCCTCATTACACTGACTCAGCGAACTGTGAAAATGTGCTGATTCGACAAAGATCTTTGTATTAAAGTACCGCTGTAACACAGAGAGAGAGGGTGCTTTTCAATATGAGCTGTTTATTTATGAAGAGATTCACACAGTATTAATACAGTAATTCAGAAGTTGAAAATCCCTAACTTTAATATCAAGAAAGTTATTTATTTATTTATTATTACTGAGTCTGCCACCATCCTGTACACACAGAGAAACGCACAGTCTCACATCAACAACCATTTACCCCATACAGCAGAAGTGATAAAAGACAATCAGGTTTGCATACATAGTTCAACAATAAAACTGGGTCCCAAATATACTAGCTGTTGGATTGTCTTTAAAACAGGAGAAAAGAGGACATACCGGTAAATCTGCAGTTACAATCAGAGTAGTACGGGTTTTTTTTTCAGAAAGAATTAATTTATCATGGTTTCAAAAGTTAACATACATCGGTAGTAATAATCTTTATATCTGTAATAGGCCCCTATCAGCTAATCAAGTCTTTCGCCTCATACTCTCATGGTCAAGATCCAAAGGACTCCTCAGGCCCTGACCCTGCATTATCTCACACATCAATAAAACAACAAAGCATCTGTCATTAGAGACACTTTCTTCTATAAACCCTTATCTATACCTATATACGCAGGTATACGCGTACACCCACTAGAAAAGTACTCAAATTTCCATATACCCACAAGAAAATGTGCAAAGGTACATCACAACTGGAGTTCTGACCACTAACTTGTAACTATTAAATTTTCATAACGTCTTCAATAAAGATCCTTTTTATGTTCTGTTCTTAGGAGCCCAAGAAGAACTACAGAGTCTGCAAAATGATTATTATGATGATTATTACTTCAAGAAGATAATCCGCTGTACTCTGCGTTCAAAACCAATTTCAGTGTCTGCAATCGAGATTGGACATCAGATGCAGACTGTAAAAACTCCAAGGCCTGAATAATTGATAATTTTGCACCACTCTGCTGCCTCCATGTGGTTAAAATATGTTCCTGCACACAAACTTCAGCTGCTGATGAGCCAAAATGATTCAACAATTTGATCAGATGCTGTTTGTCAGGAGGATGTCTGCAGGTGTAAGCCATTGAGTTTGCTGCTTTGAACTTCCTTAGTGCCTATTTTGGAAACAATTTGGAAATAAGGTTCACCTCTAGCAGCCTGGTGGGTGTAAATTTATAAGATTAGATATTATTTAAAAGACTATAGTCTTTTAAATAATATCTAATCTTATAAATTTACACCCACCAGGCTGCTAGAGGTGAACCTTATTTCCAAATTATATGTATATATATATATATATATATATATATATATATATATATATATATATATATATACATATATATATACAATTAATCAAATAGTTAAATAGGACCAAATAAAATTCATTAAAATTAAATAAAAACCAACAGCTCTCAAGGTTTCTTCCCTGTGTTAATGTGCCTGATGGCTGATGGAATAAAACTATTTCTGTACCACTTGGTTTTGCAGTCTGGTACCTTGAGCCTCCTGCCTGATGGGAGCAGCTGAAACTCAGCATTTAGAGGGTGGGAGCCATCATTTAAGATGGAGCCAGCCATCCTCTGTAACTGCTTAGTATACAGAGGATGAACTTTCTTTTAAGTCCTTTATTGAAGACAGGGGTTCTGCTCAAAACCAATTTGCTGGGATGAATAATGATGGGTTGATAAAACATTCTGAGTCAGGCCCTGACTGTTGAAGTTAATGATAGTGAGCGAATATGCTCTAACATATTAATCTACATTAAGTCCTCATCCTCCACCTCCATCAAACCAACAGGGGGAGCCGTTTCCCCTGTCAGCTGGCAGCGCAGTCGCTTTGTCAGTGCCCCTACTAAGTCCTGAAAGTATAAAAGACAACTGAAATTTCGCATTAGAAAAGGTCAGGCATCAAAACCAAACAACTGTAGACAGAATGTACTGATAACTGCAGGTGTACACTAGTATTTGTTGTCTCTGATGTGTTCTTATGCTTTCTTCGGTGTGGGTGATGATGTACTTTGTCACATACATGATGACAAAAGCTTAAATATTGTGTTGCCATACTCATGGAGTTCTGTGATTTGTTGCACTGCATGTTCTGAAGGCAAAAGAGGTCTCTAATAAGGTCACTGGTGATTATAAAGTACATCACCTTCATGACTTAGAAGGAAAACAAAGGGTCAGATCTTTCTAAAACTGTGTGGTGATGATGACATTGTTGCAGATGAGAACTCAGTACAGAACTCTGAACTGCATCTAAAGCAGCTGCTTTTGGCTGTTTTGAATGTCTGATTATGTAATTATGTCTGCCTGTCTGCACAGAGATTATTTTCCTTGTCTGTCTCAGAGAAACCATCTGTTATCATTTCCTACTGTGCATTATAATGAGCTCCATTTGGAGAAAACCAGCGATGTAGTGAAGAAGTAACAAGAGTGAGTTTCCATAAAATAAACTTTTTCTTGTGCTCTTCCTGTGTCTGACATGCTGCAGATTTGTTCTGTGCAGCTCAGCACAACTATACATCAAAACAGAACAAACACCTCAATACAAAGGCATATTGCTGCCACTCAGAGATTAAAAATACAGGTCAGTATAACAGTAACAGTAACAGTGTAACATTACATCATGACATGCATCCTAATATAATGTAATGAGACAAAGTTGAAGGAGGACTAGGAGAAGAAAGAAACCGGCCCTCAGAAAGGCCCTCTCTTTAAGGAGATGGCGTTCAGTCCATCACATGGGGACTTTTGCAGCTAATAAGATAACTGCCTTATAGACACTTTTGAACCATATTGGCCCACTTAGCGTTCTGTCGTTTGTGAATGATTCATTCAAAAGAACAAGTCTTCTAAGTGAACATACTGAGCCGAATCACTTCCTCAAATACCAACCTAGCGACTTGGTTGCTAGATTTAGCGACTATTCAGACTCCTAGTGACTAATTTCCAAAAAAGCGCCTAGCGAGGTCAATTGAGCCAGCGCAGGGAGGGAGGGGCCGCACAGCCACGACACTCTAGTCACCCGGGCCCATAAGCCGTGAACTGAACTGAAACCTGAACCGTTCAGCTTTGTATCAGTTCAGGAAGTGGGAGTCGCAGGCTCCTCCTGCCAAGCACTGAATGATTCGGCGATTCTGTGAACGAATCATTTGAGCAAATCTTTTCAGGGAAGTGATTCTAGTGATTCAGTACATCTAAAAGAACTGCCGTGCCCAACAGTAGGACCCCACAACAAGGGGCACTGTATATAGAATGGACGCCGTCTGCCTCCTGGGTGAAGCCACCCTGAAAACAGCACCCTCTGGTGACAGGCTGCAGTATAGGTCATGTTTTCTATGATTGACACCTGATAGAGCCTATGGGCGTACAAGTATTGGGTAGCTCACCCAGGAGATGCGCTGTGTGAGCCGAGTGTCATCATAGCGACTCTGCCGCCGAATAAGTACAATGCTACTGCGCAAGTGGAGTGTGTGCAACGCTACTGTGCAATATTGGTTTTAGGAAATGGAGAGAAAACGCAGAATTACTGAGAGCTTTTTGGCTTCAAATCCGTATACTGGTATATACAAGCTATGGAGGCACCAGAAACAATACAAATCAAAAGTTCCTCACAGGAGCTTTAAACACAGAACTGCCACAGTCACATGCTGGGTGACTGTCACAGTTTTGGTAAGATTTTGTTTTTATTTTTAATCAGATCCTTCCTGAAACCCTAAAACTGTTGTTGTGCTCCCCTGCTGTGAACCAGTCCCAGATGTTTAAACCATTTAAGACTGAGATGAAAGGGTCACATCTGGATTTTTCAGCCATTTTAAGACAAACACATAAGGACTTCCCCGTACCCCCCTCCTTCGTCCTTCACCACGTTCACTTCACGCAGTACAACCTTCTTAAGTTCAGGGATGCCCCTCGAGGACAAAAGGAGGAGGATCTAGTCTTCTGGGTGGTAATTATCCTCCTGCCGCGAGAGCAGAAACTTTCTTCCACTCACTGCCACATCACACACTCGTTGTCCCGACAGTGTGCTGCTTCATTTCAACATGCTTCTTGGACTTCCAGCCGTGCTTCTGTTGTCGACGTTTTGTTGGTGCGCCCCGCAGCAGACTTGTCAGCCAGAGGACGAGCTTTTAGGTGAGACCAGATTAACCTCCACAGATACAGAGACAGGACTTTAGAGTAACAAAAGCGCAGCAGCAAGAGGAGAGGACGAGTCACGAGGTGGAAAGAAAGTGTAAGGGCTTATCCAGCGTGATAAACCATATGGGGGGTTCTGGATAAACACTTCCTGGATAAATGAAGGGGGGAAAAAAGGCTCATATTACATTGAGTAACAGTATTTAATGCACCTTTTTTTTCCATCTAGCCTTGATTTACAAAGTTTATTCACCAATCTCTTTGCCTGCTGACCTCTAACTCTGAATAAATGATCACTTTATGTTTATTTGTGAGACAGTTTGGCCGAATCCCCCCCATAGCCTCTCCTCTCCTCTTCAGCTATAACTTCCTACTTTTATGCCTTTTAGTGTTTTTTCATTTGTCCTCTTTACAGGAAAATGCAGCAGAAATGCGTTTGAGGAAAGACGTAAGTGGTCTGTTAATTCCTATTAATCAGAATTTGTAGGGGAGACCGGGGCTTGTTGTCACACTTTTTGAAGTGGGGTAAGATGTCACAGTGGATTTGGCAGCTAATCCCACTGCACAATGCGACGTTGAAATGACATTTATTTAACATATTTTTTCAGCGATGAGGTACAAATGTGGATGTCATTTCAACGTCTAAAAAAGGTCCAATAATGACGTCTAAATCTTGGATCCATTTTGAACATTGTGCCGAAGTCTAGATTTGGTCCGAGCGACGTCTAAAAAAGGTCCAATTTGGATGTCGTGATTTCTAACCTATTTTGCACATTGCATTGATGTCTAGATGTCATCTTTGACGGACCGACCCAATACTGACTTGATCTGCACGTCTCTTCGACATCCGATGATTGGTGGGATAAATCAAGGACAAATTTACTGTTTTTCTCTCTTTTTTTTTTACTTGAAAGTGAACATCAAAGTCAGGCACAGAATCATTGAGTCAGAAAAAGTCATTGAACAAACGTTAACATGAAATATTATGCAACATGCACTGGAATCTGGAGAGCTGTCTGAGTCTGTATTTCGGCTGTGAGGTGAATGTTTTGCAGTCCTGAGCCAAGGTATGGTAGTTGACATTAAAGTCATTTATTGTACTTCAGATTGATTTATTAGCGAGGGTCACCGCTGACTGCCCTCAGCATCACGTCAGGCACTGCACTCCCACTCTCTGTATTAATTTTAATCCCTTTTAAACGTGTGACAACTAACCCCAAAATGTCTGAGACATGTTGCCACAAACTACCATGTTTGCTAATTCTAGCTCTATCTTAAAGTTAGTTTAAACAAAACAATGACTGAGGTATGACAGGATGTCTTAATCTCTCCTTTAATAAGTCCACATGTTTCACTGCTGGGATTTTTATTTGGGAGAAGCTTATTTTAAGATATAAACAGTTAATTTTTTTACTTTGGGTTGTGCGAAATGGTTAATTGGCGCTCATCTCAGCTCACTATGTGCTCTTCTCTTCTCAGATAGGACACGACTCCTGACCATGTAAGGGAAGAAACTAGTATTCCACTTTTTAGTTGCGCCCTCTGGTGGCAAAGATAAATGCAATGTGACAACTTCCCCATGTGACAACAAGCCCCGGTCTCCCCTACACCCAAAAAAATATATTTCCTTTTCACATCAAAAGATTAAATCTGCACACTGCGTCTTCTGTCTCTTACAGGGACCTGTACAGAGATGAACCTGGGCTACTGTAATGATCTGGGATACTCTAGGTGGGTGTTATTGTGGGTCAGACAGTCAGTGACCGCTAAAATCTTGCACCAAAAGTTTAATTAGTTTTTCGCCTCACTCTTTCTTCATTTTGGTGACCACTTAACAACTTGTTTTAAATTGTCGCCACTCCAGAACCATGTTTCCCAACATCCTCGGACACAGGACTCACTTTGATGCGGAGTCAGGGGCGGAGTACCTTCTCCTGAGTGTAATCCATGGCCTGCTCAATGGGGAGTGCAGCCCTGAGATTCGTCTTGTAGGCTGCTCAGTCCTCGCCTCGCCCTGTCAGAATGATAAGATGATCAAAGCCTGTCGTAGCACCTGTGAAGCACTGAGGAAGGACTGTTATCATGCTTTTGAAGCTATTGACATGGCTTGGCCCTATTTCCTGGACTGTGATCGCTTCTTCGCCAGCGACCAGGAGGGCTGTTTTGATCCACTAGCGGGGCTGAGGGGTAAAAGTCACAGAAAACATAATGCGTGATGAATTTTGCTGACAAATACAAACCTGTGCTCTGTGAAAAAGAAAAGAAACCATAATAAAAATGAACTAATGCTTTATTTATGTGCTTTTGGATATCTCCTCTCCAGCCAGACAGGAATTAACAATGTCCAACCTTACTCCTGAAGAAACTGGCACAATCATCCAGTTCACCTACACCTCCAACTCCCAGATGTACAGTTTACTGAAGAGAACAGCTGCCAAGTGCTCCAATATCGCCCATGTCTACAGCATCGGACGCAGCACAGAAGGAAGAGATCTGATGGTTATTGAGCTCACCAACAACCCCGGACAGCACGAGCTTTGTGAGTGAGGATGAAGAAACTAAACTGATAAAGCCAATGTAGTAATGTGTACCTTGTGATTTGATGTGTAACCAGAGCATTACTCATTATCACCCTCAAAATGTTGATGTGATGAAAAATACCTGTTAGCTACCCTTTGAACATCCAATAGATGTTGAGCAACATTAGCATTCATGTGGAAACTTAGTGACTTTAAGTCCATATACTCTTCTCTTAGCTGTAGTTTTATTTGTCAGCTCCCCTGGAAATTTAAATACTTTGTTGCTGAATATGTTAGCCTGATGTAGTGTAACAGAAACACATTTTTGCTGAAATTAGCTAACCCCAGAAATAACACTTATTAGACAAAATAGCTAACTTACTAATTTATAAAAGAAAAAAGCTGTTATAATGTATTTTATTGTGATTTTAAAGAGGCTTGTTTGAGCCTGATATGTAACAATGATCTGAAATGGAACAACAGTGCTGAGCCCGAAATGTAATAACCATAGACTGTATATAGAATGAACTCCGTCTGCCTCCTCGCCGGGTGAGGCCATTGCGAGAACAGCACCCTCTGGTGATGGGCTGCAGTATAGGTCATAAATCCCGCCTACTCCAGCAATCCCTATGGAGTTGTGGACAAACTTTAGAAATTAATTACAAAGAATATAATTTTTTCTCCCCCCTGCTTGCGATGTTGACATGTAGTTACTGTAAGACTAATTAGTGCTCAAGTCCTCTTTTTTCTGTAGAGCTCCATTTTTAAAAGTTATTGGGGGGGTTCATGTTTTCTATGATTGACACTTGATACAGCCTATGGGCGTACGAAGAGTGCGTACCTCACCCAGGGGATACGCTGTTTCAGCCAAGCGTCATCACAGTGACTCTCGGCTACTCTCCCGCCGAATGCGCACAACGCTACTGCGCAATGTTGGTTTCAGGAAGTGGATAAAAATCGAGAAAATACCGAGAGCTTTTCGGCTTCGAATCCGTATACTGGAGGAAGGCGGAACCAAGTTGTCCATAGTATATACAGTCTATGGTAACAACTGACCCAAAATGTAACAATTTCTTACATTATGTGCAAAGAGTTATTACATTTTGGGTTTTATTAGGCTACATTTTTTTTATTATTACATTTTGGGTCATTGTTAAATGTCGGGCTCTAAGGGGGCTCTGACACATTTCTGGTAAGAAAGAACTTAATGACTTTGTGTTGGAGTTGTAAAGATGATCAGGTATCTTTGAGTTCCCATGTAGTCCAAGTTTAGTTGGACGCACAAATAGAAGTAATGCTGATGTTGCCACAAGCTGCTGGATGTACATTTGTTTGTTTCAAGGTTGCCATGGCAACTTTGTAAAGTGTGATATGCTAGTCTTGGGCCTACATTCTGTCCCTGAGCAGTGGCCTGAAAATTCACTTATACTGCTTTAACCATGCTTGTCTTCTGTCTAAAAACCTAGTGGAGCCTGAGATCAAGTTGGTGGGAAATATACACGGTAATGAGGTGCTGGGCCGCCAGCTTCTCATCTATTTGGTCCAGTATATGTGTTCAGAATACATTCTGGGGAACACAAGAATTCAAACCATCATCAACACCACCCGCATCCATATTCTGGCCTCCATGAATCCAGATGGCTATGAGCTGGCCGCCTCAGAGGTAGAGGATGACAATGACCCGGAGCTCAGCAACCAGGAAGTAAATATTGTTAACATAGACAGACCGCCATTATCCGTTTTTCGATCTGCTGTCAGTTCTGTCTGTGATGCTTGGGGTATGACGGTGCTGGAGCGAGGCATTGACAAAGTATTGTCAACGCAGAATTTTACAGCACTGTCTTTACTTTATGAAATGGGACTACATAGATAGGTAATGTTGTTGGTCTGGGTTTTCTAGAAAACTGGAAAACACTTAAAACAACTCTTGGTACCTGCTGTTTTAATCAGGGAGTAATTGTCCGTTAAATTAGTAATTGAACCATCTAGACATCAAGTGAATGTTAAAGCCTTAAATCTTCTCCCTCTCAATGTGCTTCCCTCTAACCTGAAAAATCAACAGCTATCATCCTCCTAGTTGCGTCAACCAATTGCGGAAGGGACTCAGGTCAGATGACTCGAATCATTTCTGTAGGACTGAAGGACTTTGGGCCGTGTGAGATCATTTCGAAGCCTGCTAATGCTCATCACTGGCAATACTGACAGCCCTGTGGTTTTCATGTTGACAGTATAATTACTAACTTCTACCACTAACATCATCTTACTGTTTCACTATCAAGCTCTGCATGCATGTGTGCTGTGAACTCTTTCCAGTCTTTCATGTGCAATCCAAAATGGACAGTGTATCTCAAAACCATCACGTGTAGCTGGAATCTGAACACACCATCAGGGTTTTATCAAGGTATGAGTTTTAGTGTGACACAATGGTTACACAGTGATTCACAAAACACACATTCTGACCCGTTTTCTTATTGTGTGAATAGAACACAAAGTTAATTGGTTCATTTAAGCACTTTTTTTGGTTACATTGCTTTACATTTATTTCCTGCTCACCTCTGAGATAAACTTTTCCTTGTAGTTGAATTTGCTTCACCCTTCATGACGGATACATGGCCATGTCTACTTGTTAACATATTAACCACATATGTCCTTTCATATCCTGAGTTTTGTTCAACACTCTGCACTGAATTTATGTTCCTTCTCATTCTGTCACGTTTTGTCCATCATCACTGTCATCCTTAATCTAATTTGACCCTTTTAATATTTCGCCAATTGTTTCAGGGTCACTTGTTGAACACTTGGACTAGTGGACGGGGGAATGCTCAGAGTCTTGACCTCAACCGTAATTTTCCAGACCTCACCTCCATTTTTTACCGCAACCGCCGTAGCCCGCACTACCGCATTGACCACATCCCAATCCCTGACAGCTACTGGTTCGGCAAGGTAGGGAGATGACTTTCATTTATATGGTTTTGTAAGATTGTTTGCATTGGAAACAGTATTTCAGACAGGATCCAATTGCAGTCCAATTCTGTTTTTAAACTGTAGGTGGCACCAGAGACCTACGCAGTGATGAAGTGGATTAGGTCACTGCCTTTTGTTCAGTCAGCCAGCCTTCATGGAGGGGAGCTGGTAGTCTCCTACCCCTTTGACTTCTCCAGGCACCCGCATGAAGAGAGGATGTTCTCACCCACTCCAGATGAGCAGGTACGGCGGGAGGAGGGATGACAGGGGTTACATGCCAGGTAGAAATCTCAAACACCATCCCTCCCTGAGCAAAATAATCTCCCCCTGCTTAGGTCCTGAAACAGCTGGCACGTACCTATGCAGATGCCCATGCCACCATGTCAAACAATGACACAGATAGGTGCGGAGCCTCTTTTTACCGTACCAGGGGCATCATCAATGGAGCACAGTGGTACAGTTTTGCTGGTGGTAAGATATTACTCTTTCCAAACAACAGAGGGAACCATTAAGGAGAAGATTTGATCCTTTATCTGGTCTGTGCTCATTTATTAACAGGCATGTCAGACTTCAATTACTTGCACACGAATTGTCTGGAGATCACAGTAGAGCTTGGATGTGATAAATTCCCTTCAGAGGCAGAGCTGTACCCGGAGTGGAAGAGAAATAAGGAAGCTCTGCTAAGTTTTCTGGAGTCGGTGTGTTTCTTCTCTCTTTGTTTGAGAAAAAAAGCAGCAAATCACTAATGCACATTTACAAACAAGTTTAAAGATTAATAATAAAAAAAAATGTTAGATGTTGGCCCCTCTAGTATGTTAAAGGGATATTCCGGCGTAAATTTAAGTTATGGTCAAACACACCATAACACAGAGTTAGACCCCCCTCATGAGACGAATGTTGCCGACCACTTGCTTCTCTAGTAATACCAACTTCAGGAACGACCGCACGATAGCAATACACAGCGGTGTACATCTCCAGACACAAACCTCAACCAAAATGCCATTCTATAGCCACATATAATGCTCAGAACAGCACCTAACTTCATCAACAGTACATATAGGGTCCCAGCCATAGTACTAGCCATCAAACATCTTTTTAGCTTTGCCTGGTTTCTTTAGCAAAGACACTAAATGGAACTCACCCACTCTCCTCCAGCAGCCGTTTGTTTGTGGGGGGAGCCTCAAACAAGCGGCTGCAGAGTTTCGCAGCTCAAGGAAGAACATTTATGATTATTACTTTATGGAAATGATCCGCTGCACTCGGCGATTGACTCGTCAGGACTCCACCCCTGACAAGCGGCTACTGGAGGAGAGTGGGTGAGTTGTGTTTAGTCTCTTTGCTCAAGTAATTAGGCAAAGCTAAAAAGATGTTTGGGCATGTGACTTGTCCTATGGCTGGGACCCTATATGTACTGTTGATGAAGTTAGGTGCTGTTCTGAGCATTATTTGTGGCTATAGAATGGCGTTTTGGTTGAAGTTTGCCCGTAGAGACATAGACCACTGTGTATTGCTATCGTGCGGTCATTGCTTAAGTTGGTAACTAGAGAAGCAAGCAGTTGGCAACATTCATCTCTAGAGGGGGTGTCACTGTGTGTTTGACCATAACCTAAATTTACGCCAGAATATCCCTTTAAAGTGCAAAGCAAACATGTTGCATGCAAAACAAGGACTAAAACAATTATAATGTATTTGCCTTCAGGGCTCACAACTGTTTGATACAAGTAAATGAAGAGAGCATGAGCAGTAAACCAGGAGAGAGAACTCACACTATAATGGCATTGTGTCATTATAGTGTGAGTTTTACTGCTAGTTTTTGTTCATTTTGCCCATTCGCAGGTCCATCGAGGGATAAAAGGAGTCGTAAAGGATGTTGATGGAAACGGGATAAAAGGCGCAACGATCTCTGTTAGGGGGATTAGAAAAGATGTCACCTCAGGTAAACAACACATGTACAGACAAAACAAGAGACTGTCATTATTTGTTTGTTTTTTGTAGTTAGTCTTTGGACTGTAGAAAATTGTGCAAGAAAAAGAAAACCTCATGGTTGTGTCACATGCCCAGAGGCGACCCCAATTCACTGAAACTAATTTCTGTCTCAGATCTCCGCGGCTCTGACTCTGAATCTGTCACTGTCTCCTTTCTTCTTGCTTTAGCTGAGCAGTGAAACATTGCTCTGTCTCTCCCCTCCCTATGTCTCTCTCTCTGTCTCCCTCTTTTCTCCCTGTGACCGGTGTAGGAGGCTGCAGCCTCTCCCACTCTCCTCTCTCCTCTTCTTTCCCATCTCCTGAGCACCAGACTGCAACTGTATCATCTGCTCTGATGTGCGGTTCAATACAAACTAACAGGCGTTAACATTTTAGCTCAGTTTAAATTAAGCCTGATAAACATTTGATCTTTGTCACATTTATTTCTTCAATAGTGTGTCAAAAAACAACTTCACAGATTGGACATTTGCTCGTTTTTTTACAGTAAGAGGACAGAATTTTAGTGCTGTCAGAGTGGAAATGTTAAAAGTTCCTGGTAATCTCAGTAGTTGACTTCAAATATGTTATTGTTGTAAGTGTAAAGAACAGGTGGATGATGCATCATTACTTTGAACTTACTGGTAAGTTGTTCTCCTTGATAGAAACATGGAGGTGTCCTGACCAATAACTGACCTCTATCCAGGCCTTCATTTACCGATTAAGACCACGATTCAGGTCATAATAAGGGGCTGTGGATTTAATGACGCCACTCTTTATTCAAGGATTTAGAGGCACAATATTCAGCTCAAAGCACTACTATACAAAATTCCTGCGATACAGAGTTATAAGCACATTTTTTAAAATTGTTTCTGACTTTCATTCTCTCATCTTTTACCCTCTTTTCTGCCCCAAGCTGAAGCCGGAGACTACTGGCGATTGCTGAACCCTGGTACACATATCCTGACAGCTACAGCTAAGGGTTATTCCAGGGTCAGTAAGAGAGTTCACCTGCCTCACCGCATGACCAGGGCTGGACGTGTCGACTTTGTCTTGGAGAAGGTTTGCTGTTTTTCTTGCTCACAAATCCTTTGAAGTTGAGTTTCAGACTTTTAGATGTTTTATGATCGGTTTATTAGATATAAGAACTAAACTTTTGTAAACTGAGCCAGACAACAATTTGTTATTAAAGCTGCATGCGGTATAAGAATATTTATGCACATCAAGCCGTAGAGGTTGGAGATAATATCTGATAGATGTCAGGTTTATTTGGACCAATGAGGGGCCAGACCTGTGGGCCTCATGTTTCTGTAATTTGTTTTAATAAGCCACGACACCAGCACCTTTCTACCACTTTGGAAGTTTCAGGAGTTGCCTTAGGAAGTGGAGCCTGACTCTGGAAGTGATCCCCTATTGCTGACCATGCTCTAGCTCTTTCAAAAGACAATGTGGCCTCGGGGGGGGAAAAAGCATTGTGGACAAAGCAGGCAAGCTAACCAAGGTTAACATTAGCAGGCTAACATAAATGAATAATTCCCACACCGACTGTCTGCTACAGGCACCTTCACCAACCCGGAACGATAAGGTCAACAAGGTTCTGATGCGAAAAACTTGACGTTCATAATATTACTCCGCAAGCTAAGTGCATATGTTGCAGCTTAAATGGTAGGGTGAGCTCATCAGGTGAATTAAGTCATAGATGTTGAATGAATCATGAATCTACACTACACTATGCAATAAATATATAATTTCTCCAGCTCAGCTCTGCATAGGAGTTTCTGTAAAAACAAAGATTTTGTCATTCTCTTACCCTGCTCTCAATCTCGACTCTCTTTTTTAACCCTCTTAGGTTCCGATCGAGCCCGATATCGATGACCACCTCTTCCCCACAGTAGACTCATGGGATCGATTTGACCCTTACAATCAGTTTGAACGCTACAGTGACCATGGTGCACATGATGGCGGGATAGAGCGACAGGAGAAACCATGGTGGTGGACCTACTTCTCCCAGCTGACTAACTCGCCTCCACAATGGTTGCTCCGAAACGTCTAGCTGATACAGAGACCGCAAGGAGACTAGTGAAAGACAGTCCCATATCAGCCTCACCTGTATTTTCATATATTCCTATGCAGCTAAAGTTGTGGCACCAAAATCGGCAGTAAATAACAGGTTTCAGTACTTCTTTGAAAGCTGGCATCACGACTGGTTCATCTGTTTTTGTTGCTTACAATACCTGTGATTACTGAAGTGAGGTGGATGCAAAATTGACATTTTATTTTAAAAATTATACTGATAATATAGTGTACCTGTAACATTTTATGCACAATAAAAGAACTATGATAGCATCTCACAGTTAGTACTACATGTAAAAGTGTATTACCAGCTCTCTCTGGTCATAAATGCTTGCTTTGCCATTCACAAGTATTAAGAATACATAAATATCACTTTGCACATTTTTTTACAATTTAAACTTAGCATTCACAGAACAGGAATTACCATAAACACTTATTTTCAGGGCCTCCGCACCATGTCTCACCATGCAAATTTGTCAATTTACATGTCTAGGAGACGTTTTAAGTTTAGGATCTATGCAAGTGTTCATTTTTTTAAGGCAGCTGGCATTTTTTTCGACCCAAATTATGATCTCATTAGTTCATGTTACGTTAATTTTAAATGACGTTATTGCAAATTCATGATCAGTCACTGTTTGGTCCCACAAACAGGCACATCTATAACTTATCTTCCTTTATCGCAGAGGGTATATGTCAGTATTATTAACCCATCCTAATGCAGAGTAGCAACAAGAGTCAGAGCACTTTACTGTCATGTATCAAGGCGACTGTAGACCGTGGGAAAAAAGAAACTTTTTTTGAAGATGGCTATCAACATTGATAACACCTTTCAAAGCTATTTTTCACTGGAACTTGCCATCAACTTGTAGACCAGTAGGCAACATAAAATATGACTGTGTACTGTGCATTTAAATCAGATTCTTAATTATAGTAGTTTCATGTATTTTGGTCGGCTGATTTCAGAGGAAACTTGAAAAAAAAGAAAGAAATTGTGTTGCACTTCTGTCTTTGTAACTGCTGCTGTTTGCCTGATTATTTGTAATAAAACTAATTTGGTTGCATCTCATTTTTCTTCCTCTTTAGTTGAGAACAAGTGTGATTAAAAAATCCCACACAACAACTGAATTGACTCCGATGTGCACTATTGTACGGGGGCAATGGATGATATGTTGGTTCATGCCATTTTTCGGTTAAATAGTTGTTGTCTGTCTTCTTTTGGAAACTTATTATTGACACAGGTGGCTAAAGTCAGTCCAGCAAACGAGCTGCTTACCTATCTGTCAGCTCTTAGTAGCAGGTGACCAACACAGTCCCGCTTACCTCCACAAAGTTGCTTTAGCATTGCAGAGACATCCAGCCCTGCAGCATACTACAAAACACCATATCCTGATGGTTATATTCTCTACGTATAATTAGTCTTTCATCATTTTCAGATATACGTGTGCTGGCACCGTTGAAGTAATGCTTTCCTAGTTCCTGATGAAAAACACACACAAATATACCTCTCACTCCTGAAGCAAATGGATCTCTTGAGCTTTGTCGCCCCCGGCCAGTTCAGAGGAGGCTCTAAGTGCTCTGTAATAGCCAGCAATCAGCAGAGATGTATAAAAAACAACATCTATCCCTCAGGAAAGTTATAAATAAATAAGGTGGATAAATTAAAGCTCTGTGTTCTCATAACTACTTGCAAAATTGGGCGCATGATGAAAATAGATTGATTGGTTGAAATATTTATGGTAAGAGTGTGAAATAGCAACAAGGAAATACCTCATGGTCTGGAAGCTTCCAAACAACTTAGACTCGAGAAGACAGAGAGAAATGGTTTCATGATTATTGAAGTCACATTTATAAAAGAGGAGTAACTTTGGTACATAACCAAGTGAGGGCAGTTGATCAAGTTGACAGGGACAGAATGAATAAATCATCCAGAAGATACATCAATACATAAGCGAAGAGTTTAACACATTTGGCTTCCAATCCATCTGGCTTGGCACTGTTATTTTATTTCAGTGACAGTGAGAATTTTAGTAAATGTGGAAAAAAAACAAATTGTAAAAAGTTTGATGATCTAGATTTGTCTAGAGTTACAAGCACTCTGGCATAAACTGTCTTTGTAATGACTGGATTTTACTTTTCTTGTTTTAGCTTTGTATCTGTAGGTTTCCTTATCAGCAGAGTAATAAAAATAAAACCTCTTCAGCCTTTATACATTTATTTCTCTCCCTAAGTGAGCTCGGCTCCCTTATCTTATTTGCCATGAGGCCCTGAGAAGATTCATGATTTATCCCTGAACTCAAACATTTTTTGTTAATTCTATGTGTACTTACAAACAGGCCATCTAAGATCATTCGGCTTTAATGCTGAAGAAGTGACATTTACGAGTCCACTGAAGTAATCCTGCTTCACCCCTGACTCACTGAAGCAACCAGAATGCAATGTTCTTCAATATGCCAATGGCATTAAGTATAAGCCTGCTGGGAGGGTTTGATAATAAAACTTATAATGTGGTCTTGCTCAAGTTAAGTAAAGTTCAGAGTGCGCTCAGAAATGTCACAGGAGAGATAACAGTTGAGAAAGGATATTCCAACCTGCGTCTCCGAATCTGGGTCATTTCTGCAGAGGGTATTTGTGATATCTCTCAATTCAAACATGGAGGCAGTTAACTCAAGTGTATTATTCATACGCAAAAATTACTAAGTGCACATGCTCGTCTGATTCTTTCAGCAAAGTGTCATCGTGCATGAGTAAGTGGATCGGGTAATTAACACACACATGTATCTGGACTTCCAGACGCACGTGTCACTTTTACCTTCTTATAATTCACTCCAGGTGCTGCTTTTTCCATATATGACACATTAGTCAAGAAAGTCTGTGGTGTGAGGGAATCGCCCAGATGGATTGAAAAAGTAATTGAGCAGCACAGCTAATGCATTATAAAACATTTAACAGACACAGTAGTCCATGTTATTACAGAGCCTTTCATAATGTAAAGTAGACGATCACATATAGTCTATGAGACTGTCTACAGGCAGTGAACATTGAGTGGTAGGGATGAGAGTCGATAACCTGTTCTTTTTTATCAATCAATCAAACTTTATTTTTAAAACACTTTTCATACATAGAATGTACCACAAAGTGCTGTCCATTCACACAGGATATGAAAAAACAATAAAATAAATACAAATACCAAAACCCCGATTCATCACATACAGCACTCACACACTCACACACACACACACACACACACACAGATACATACACAAAAGACCAGGTGAGGACTCTTCAACTTGCCACAGATGACTGAGGAAATGCTATCTTAAGTTAAAAAAGATGAGGAAACACTAAATCTAGGACTAAAACAATAAAACCATGAAAAAAGTATAATAAAGGTGATAAAGCGACAAAAGACAATTAAATAATAAAGTCTTAATATCAAATAATAACAAACAATTTTAGAACCGGTTCCCAATGATTCGATTCCTAAGAATTGTTTGTCTGCCTCCCTGACGATTCTTCTTACCGATTCCTCTTACGTCTATTTACGTGATGACGTATAACGTATTCCAATATGGCGTCGAGGGAAAAGCGCTCCAGAGTTTGGCTGTTTTTCGCGCGAGAAGATGATATCGGGGCTTCTTGCAACACTTGAAAAGTTTTAAATTTCTCGAAGTGGGGATATACTTCCTATATGCGGAAACATTTGTCCCCCCGGCATGCAGTTAATTTGCGGAAGCGTAACGTGTTTGGTACGCTACTTACCGAAGACGAGACTGGTTCAGGCGAAAACAGGAGCAACGTCCCGGCGTCATCTGCTTCAAATGTTGAAGGTAAAGTTTAACTCCTCCAGGTTTTTTTGTTGTGTAGATGTAGGCGGCATGTTTACCCCATTAAGGTGACAGCATTTCTGTTATGAAATCCGGGGACATCCGGGAACATATTGTTTCTGAAGAGCGCGCGGGGGGCGTTTCCATAGATATCTGTAAGAAAGGCTAGATGACTCGAGGCGGAGTCACCGACGTCCCTACACGGTGGCCATCTTACTCCAGTACACCATCCTGGGACGCTCTAGAGTAGCTGACAGAAGGTGAGTAATCTACATGATCAAAAATACTCTTTACTCGCTGAAATCTTGACATATTTACAAATGGTTTCGTTTATCACCTTAATAACGTGGCTGTGAGTTGGGATTCTTGGACATGCCAGATTGTCTTTGAGATAAAAAGACTTAATCATGAAGCACAGTTGTTTCACGGCTATTTGTGCCCAAGGGCTAACTTTGAGTCGCTTTGCGTGAGTTGTCAAGGCTGAGACCGCAATCGAGATTTCAATTTCTTGTATTACAGCCTATTTTTTATTTATGTATTTTGTCTGAGTGACAGTCTTTGTGGATGTGCTTGTGTTTATCAGCTGTCTAACTTGGCTAACAGACTCGCTGTGAGTGAGACCAAGTACATATTACAAAGTTAACCCAGCAATTTTACATCAGTTGGAGAGGCAGAAATGCTCTTTCATGGAAGGGAAAGTGGGTATGAGTGGGCAAGTTACCTGTGGCAAGATGGCCGCCATGCGCTGACGTTGGTCTCCATTAAATAACAGAGTGTGTAGCCATCTAGCATTATACATACATACATACACTCACCGGCCACTTTATTAGGTACACCATGCTAGTAACGGGTTGGACCCCCTTTTGCCTTCAGAACTGCCTCAATTCTTCGTGGCATAGATTCAACAAGGTGCTGGAAGCATTCCTCAGAGAGCTTGGTCCATATTGACATGATGGCATCACACAGTTGCCGCAGATTTGTCGGCTGCACATCCATGATGCGAATCTCCCGTTCCACCACATCCCAAAGATGCTCTATTGGATTGAGATCTGGTGACTGTGGAGGCCATTTGAGTACAGTGAACTCATTGTCATGTTCAAGAAACCAGTCTGAGATGATTCCAGCTTTATGACATGGCTCATTATCCTGCTGAAAGTAGCCATCAGAAGTTGGGTACATTGTGGTCATAAAGAGATGGACATGGTCAGCAACAATACTCAGGTAGGCTGTGGCGTTGCAACGATGCTCAATTGGTACCAAGGGGCCCAAAGAGTGCCAAGAAAATATTCCCCACACCATGACACCACCACCACCAGCCTGAACCGTTGATACAAGGCAGGATGGATCCATGCTTTCATGTTGTTGACGCCAAATTCTGACCCTACCATCCGAATGTCGCAGCAGAAATCGAGACTCATCAGACCAGGCAACGTTTTTCCAATCTTCTATTGTCCAATTTCGATGAGCTTGTGCAAATTGTAGCCTCAGTTTCCTGTTCTTATCTGAAAGGAGTGGCACCCGGTGTGGTCTTCTGCTGCTGTAGCCCATCTGCCTCAAAGTTCGACGTACTGTGCGTTCAGAGATGCTCTTCTGCCTACCTTGTTTGTAACGGGTGGTTATTTGAGTCACTGTTGCCTTTCTATCAGCTCTAACCAGTCTGGCCATTCTCCTCTGACCTCTGGCATCAACAAGGCATTTCCGCCCACAGAACTGCCGCTCACTGGATATTTTTTCTTTTTCTGACCATTCTCTGTAAACCCTAGAAATGGTTGTGCGTGAAAATCCCAGTAGATCAGCAGTTTCTGAAATACTCAGACCAGCCCTTCTGGCACCAACAACCATGCCACGTTCAAAGTCACTCAAATCACCTTTCTTCCCCATACTGATGCTCGGTTTGAACTGCAGGAGATTGTCTTGACCATGTCTACATGCCTAAATGCACTAAGTTGCCGTCATGTGATTGGCTGATTAGAAATTAAGTGTTAACGAGCAGTTGGACAGGTGTACCTAATAAAGTGGCCGGTATATATGTATATATATATATATATATATATATATATATATATATATATACGAAGATAAATGAATGTCACCGAGCTGTGACCAGATTTGTGGTCAAAGGGTAGGTCACATAACAAATTATTAGTGCATAGATATGCCATATCTTCTGTCCAAACTTCACAGTATTGAAGAGTTGATGCAAATAAGCCTATTTGTGTGAACTTATTTTTACTCAATGAGAATCGATAAGGAATCGTATTGATAATGGAATCAGAATCGCTAAATTCTTAACAATTCACATCCCTATAGAATGGATTACATATTAACTGATGAGGTCAATCTCTACAAAGAAAGAAAGAAAGTAAAGGCATCTTGTAGTCTTACGGCTATATTTTTCTATAGTGTACTGAGGCAAAATTAGATCATTCAGTTTTGTTTATGCAGTTTAAGCTCTGCTCCATGCTCAGGCTGTCACTTTTTATTGGAAACTGGAGTCTTAACTCAAATTCAGGGAGAAGAGTGCATGTTAGACTGTAATGAGCCGCTCAAATTAAAATCAATTGACTGTCAGTGCATCAAGTGGAGGAAGTGTCTTGTCTCTCCTGGGTATGTGAACATTAGCATGTCGTTTTCTGTTTTCATTAGAAATTGATCTTTTGAGAAAACTGATGGCTTCTTCACACACATTAGCTCTACTCTGCTTAGATCTATATAACCACATCCTGTACCACAACACCTTTAAGGGGATAGAGGAGAGGTCTGCAGAGCCATTACGATTGGAGATATACATGACAGTCATTGTGTGTGGTCATGCGTGTTTCAGTCTCACAGAAAATAACCTGACAGATGTTGGTGTAAAAGACATGATCATAATTTATTCAAATCATTCCTCATCGGCCTTGATAAGCTTAAATGTTTTGAAATAATGTGTGTGTGTTGGTGCCATTTATCAAACATTTCTTTACGACTTTTACTTGAAGTGGAAAGTAATATTGCTAACAGTAAATACCCCAAAAGCCCTAAATGATCAGGGAACGTCTCATTCAAACTGTTAAATCTGTATATCAACCATTTAAATCAACAGTATGGAAAGTGTATGCTCTACAGGTCAGTGAAGGATGGAGAAAGAAAGTTCTGGTTTTAATGATGCCAAGAGGGGGAGAAAAGTTAGGAGACCCAATCAACTGCCTGTGTTGTTAATGGATGTTTATTGACTGTCAGTATGAAACCATGTGAAGCTCGTTCTTTCGTGTTATTGATAAGTGTCGACCCCGCTCAGCTTTATGCCTCCCCCATTCTGAGATCAGCTTCCTGTCTGTCTCTTCTTTTGTTGTCCTTCATCTTTCCATTTTACCTATTGATTGGCTGATAATGTGTTTTCAGTGGTAGATTAATGGCACATTATCCTGATAAGGGTGTCTGTAGGGACAGGATATGAGGGAGAGGGAAGGAGACAGTGCTCTTCAGTTGATGAATACTTTTTTTTTTGTACTTGTGGGCCCAAGAGAGGGATGTAATGAAACAAAATATTACCTCAATAACTTTTCATGATGAAGTGATAGTTTGATTTTGAGCTTGTCAGATGAAGTTTTGTCTGTTTTACTAAAACTAAATGGTTAAAGTCAATGTTATGTCCACAAATCACTGCAATTCATAATGACATGGTAAAACAATCTCTATCAAGTATTATTCAACTTTTGTACCTTCAGAGACAGTCATACTTGTAATACTATTTTGGTTAGTTTGGACGAACCAAACAAAGACACAACTTAGATAAGTCTTAAACTAAATACTTTCAAGTTTATACCCTAACTTAAGACACAAGAGCTGGTGCAACGGGCTCTGGCCTCCAGGAACTTTATCAAATCCTCTGTGTGAAATTTTCTTTACTTTGCTCTTATTTTATCGGAGCAATGCTGCCTCCCATCAACTTGGAAGATGACCTTTTATCAAATGGTAAAGAAAGTCAGAGGTTGAAGAAATAACTGTGTTTAGACTTGTGTAAGAAGCTGCAAAAAAGTGTTAAATGCACACTGACACACTAAGTTTGCCCTATAATCACCTGACAAATCTTTCTTATGATAACTTCAGTGCAAGAACACTTCCATAAAAGTTTTGTGTGTTTATGTGACTTTTTTGGATACAATTCAGGTGCAGATATTTACATTTATTTTTGTACATTAGAAAATATGTGGAAGCAGATGCACCAACAGCTCCTTTAGTCGTATGTGATGTTTCTTAGGGCCTCAGACACAGTTAGAGTCCAAATACAGAGGAGCAGTTTGATCCACACTGAGATAGAAGAGCATGAAGATTTATAATTTCATACCCATAACCTGTATACTTTTTAATTGTGTTTTCACATCTATTACATATATATTCCATTGACTATTTATTGTACAGTGATCAATGTGTAATATTGTCGAAGCTGTAGTCTGACTTGTGTTCCAATAAAGCTCTTTTGAATTGACTTAAATTGACAGCTATCAGTCTATTCTGCTTCAGCACCACGGACAGAGCCACGTCTGCCTCGTCGTTAAACCACCTTTCGCACCACAAACACCCTCATGTAATAATTATAAGAGACACCACATACATATATTGCTCTATATGAGGTCCACACTCCTCCATTTATTTGCCCGATAAATCAGTCAATATTGTGACACTGGTCCCGTTTTAATTAACATGTCATTTCAACAGGCATGGTTGAAAGGTGCTTTCCTGTGTGTTTGACAGGAGTAATACCTGCAATATGAAGATATGAGTGTAATTTAAAAAAATGTGATTGCTTTTTTAAACAATTACACTTTAATAAGTATCTTAATGAAACAAAAGATGTAATGTTATGAATAATACCGTATTTCTTTATTGTATTTTATTTTAATGAAGCAGTTCTACAACATAAACCTCCGAGGGAAATTCTTTAATGTAATTTTCAGTAACTGATGTTTTCGCCCTGGAGGCTGACATTGGATTACATAATGATCGCAGAATACCATGAAAATAGTCATGCATAAAACATGGGCGGAAAATGTATTGCATTCATTTAATCCTTATAGTTTTAGTTGTTGTTAGAGTTTAATAGTGTTACAGGAAATGCACGTGGATTAAGCTGATGGAAATACTAAAGTAGATAGAAAGTAGGCTGACTGGCAGAAGTTAAAAAAAAATAATAAATATTAAATAATGATAATAATGATAATTACAATAATGATATCAATAATAATAATGTTAATAATAATAATGATAATAATAAACAATAATAATAATAGTAATAATAACACAAACAGTAATAATAATAATAATAATAACAAAACAATAATAATAAAATAAAAGTAAACAAAATAATAATAAAAATAACAACAATAATAATAATCATAATAATAATGATGAAAATGATGGCAATAATAATAACAATAATAATGATAATAATAATAATAATAATTATTATTATTATTATTATTATTATTATTATTATTATAACACTAACAATATCAATAAAAATGATATTTTTTTTAAATAAGGAAATGATAATAACAATAATAATGATAATAATAATAATAATAATTATTATTATTATTATTATTATTATTATTATTATTATTATTATTATTATATAATTGTTATTATGGAAACAAGAATACGTTTGGACTTAGGCTTTTATCCGTTTGAAAAAAGCTTTTTGTAAGAAGTTAAGTGTCCAGTCTGTGTGTAATGTGTGTCAACTATAGTCAGAGAAAAATCACTCAGGATCAGTAAACTTTTAAGTGATGCGTAAAAACCTAGATTTACGCAGAGCTGCCATCAGGTCTGTCTCTGTCTTACTGGGCCAACTACAAATGCTTGACCTTCACATTAAACTACCAGTGTTTTTTAAATTGTCTTTACATGGAAGAATGATTAAACTATCATACGTCCCTGTCAAACAGGCTGATGTACTTGCTGGCACTTGAGAAGCAGAGGTAAGATGTGCTGCTCCGGCAGTAAACAGCGGGCACAGACAGGCCTGTTGGTTCTAAGTGATTCCCCAGCAGGTCGCCCTCCGTGTATAATGGTCCATTAAGCTGTCCCACAACAATAGGCTTTCCAATTTCAGGAAAATCAATAATAGCTCCGTCAATTTGTGTGGATATTTGCCTTTTCAGTTTATTCCTGCGGTTCTGAAACCATATTTTCACCTGGGTCTCCGTCAGCTGAAGAGAAAAGGCGAGGCAGGCGCGCTCTGCGCTGCTCAGGTAACGTTTCATGTCGAAAGTAGACTCCAACTGTAAAACCTGTCTCCTCGAGAAAATAGTGCGTGTTTTCTTTTTGGGTGACTTCTTTTCGATGTTTCCTCCTCCGTCGTTGGGAACGGTGTCCGCGGAGGTGGAGCTGCTGTGTCCGTGGATGGTGTCTGCGCAGTGGAGGTTTGCTGCGTCTGCTGCTCCAATCGAGACTCTGTTCAACTCTGGAAAACAAAAACAAAAGATTGAATCTGAGAGTGAGGTTTTCAGGTGAGTGTTCTCCATAAGTTGTCTATCTTACCCGTTTGTTTCAGCTCCCTGCTCTCCTTCTTCTGCCTCCTCTGCTGGACTTTGCTCTGCCTTTGGTGGGAGTCATGATGCCCCATCGCCGTGAACCTCCTCTCCTCCTGCTGTCCGGCTGCTTGACAGACAACATAGTTCCTCCCGCTTGTTTGGAGATTCAGGATATTTTCAATCGTGAACTTTGGAGAGGCAGCAGGCCGACGCAGTGGATCCACTTTGTTCATATTCTTAGATACTCAGGCCCCCTTTGCTGAACTTTAGCAGCAGCAGATATCAAACACACAGCTGAGGGGATGATGCTCATCACACAGGGTCGCATCACGCATTATTGTGTTTGGTGCTTATTGGAGGAGCGCGCAGGACGGTCCAGTAAAAGTGAGGGAGGAGGTGAGAGGTGCTGAGGTGACTCCCCTCCAACTACTTCTTATTTATCAGAGGCATGGAGGTTATTCTTTTTCCTGACACGTTGGGTTTCTGCATTTTTTGCTTGAACACACATCAAGAAAATAGTTTTCCCCTGTCTAGTCTGTTATAATGGTGTATTATCCTTTCTTTTATCAAATAGGGGAGACTGGGGACAGTTGCAACAAGACTTATTCCTCCAATCCTTCCTAAAACTCCATCTATTTGATGATGTGAATACCGCCATGGTTAAAATCTACAACAAGTGTGGCTGTTATGTATCTCTGCAGACATTCCTGTTTCTGGGTTTGTCTTGCTCATGTTAAAATAACCAAACTGTGTCTCTGTGTTTGACCGGTGTCGCCGTCTCAGAGGCGTCTGACACAGACAACTTCAGCCCAAAGTTTTCTTGGCTGCAGAAACTCAGACACGGTTTCACAGGAAGAGCTGTTAAAATAAAATCATTTTATGAGTTTGTGAGATTTAGATTCAGACACTCAAAATGCTTTCATTTTAAATCTGTTGTTAGTCGTTCACAAACCACTCCAACGATCAGCTGATAATTTACACAGCCACCACAGTTGAAGATAATCTCTGCAGACTCCTCTAAAAACATCACCACAGGTGTTTTCACTGCTGTGCAAACAGATATCACAGCAAGATAACCAACTGTGTGTTTGTGTCTGCAGAGATTTTACCTCAGATGGTCCAGCTGGCTCCACAGCACCCCCACCTGGGGAAAAAAGGGCAACCACAGAAGAAAAGGAAGAGCTGTTGGAGGTTGTTTGACTGCTGCAGGGTAAGTTCAACAGAGGTTTACCAGTCTGGACTTCAATGTTTAATTTCTGTTGTTGACAAATCCAAATTATCTTTACTTTATCATGTTACTCCAGTTTCTGATCATGAAGATCAGCAAAAGACAACTCAGGAACTCCAGATCGGGTACCAAACTAAATCTGTTAACAGAATTGATCATTTTCTGTGTCACCTGATGAGTTCAATCATCACGTGACACAAATCAGGAGACCATCAAAAGTCTTTCTTAAAGCTCCTGTGAGGAATTTTTGGTTTGTGTTGATTTTGGCAGCCCCCGTAGACCAAGCGTTTACTTTCTCTCTCTTTGACAATTTACTCAGAACATGTTTATGTTGTGTTTTCCATTAAAAAAAATCCCCTTGATCCATCTTAAAACTAATTAACCATGGTTACCGGAGAAAATATTTGGTCTGATTTACTTTTTAAGGTCATACAGAGGCATTTCTATCAATATCAGTCTTTATGATTAGCTGAAAATTACTCATGGTGGTTTTAACGTAATAAAAATCTGTGTTTCCTCTGCTGAGTATGTCATTATACCTTAAATTTCTCTACTACAGTTTAGTGACCCTTGTTTATCTATTATTATTAGTGTTTATCTACTATTGATCTATTAAAATAAATAGATCAAGACATAAAAACTGACTGATTTGAACACAAACTCAACCTGTTCCTCTCTTTGTTTCAGTCCTATTGAAGAGAAGCGTGATCTGGTTGACGACTCCATCCTTGAGTTAGATTTGGAAGATGCCAGTGAGGATGAGGAGGAACAATCGCACCAAGAGAACCATTCACCCTGGAGACTGTCAGCACCTCTTCAGCTCAAGAAAAGGCTCATTTAGAGGACGAGGGAGAAGCGACCACTGTGCCTGTGCAAACTTCAGCTGGATCCGTAGTTTTTATATTGAGAAACTAGCAAACATAAACATTAGCAGGGCTCGGTTTGGGTTCAAGGATTTGAGGTTAACGCTTCTCAACTTCTGGACCTGTTAGTTTGGACTTGACCTTGTTTAAACTTTATGTTGTTACTCTGGATATGTTTTGATCGGTGAGTTAAGTCATTAAGGTTTATTGCTAGTACTGGTGCAAAATCTGATGTCCAAAAAGTTAGTATTAGCTGAGGGTACACATTGTTTCGTGATAGGGAATCTAATCTCATACCTCAGACTCCATATTGACTTTCGCTAAAGATGAGGTCAATTGCAAATTATGGCTCAGTATGAGGAGATAACTACCCCCACACACTTGAGGCTCTCTGCTGTTCATGGTGATTTACAGTTCGTTTTTGTCCCTGCAGCACTAACAAGGTTCTCCGCAGTAGACTGGCACAGTGGGTACAGAGATTCACCTGTCAGCAGATCCACAGGCTTCGGTGAGTACGTCCTGGATTTGTAACTTCAATTCATGCAGCTGCAGTTTGCTAAAATGATCCTCCGTTTGTGTTTCTTTCATCTGAAGCCGTGACGTTAAGGTCTGATTTGATTTGTGGTGTCTGTATGTCAGGTTTCCAAATCCAGCCCAGATCTGTTATATGAACTCCAGCCTCCAGAGCCTGATCACGTTCACCTGCAGACATCAACAACCAGGACGAGGTCTGGAGTCTGATCCCAGAGGCCCAGCTGATGAGATACATTGTCTATAAACACAAACATCCTCATTCTTTATTCACATTGTTATGAGTTTCTCTTGCAGATAAACATCTAAAGAGTTAAAATAAAGGTTTACTTTTGGGGGGAAATTAAACATAGACATTTTGCCAAACACTACAATGACATTCAACAACGTATTTTAGATCATCTTGAAAAGTCAAGACCATACCGAAAGGGGATAATGGTTAAAAGATCGCCTGCTCATCCTGCTGCTGCCTGAATGAAGCAACAACAGAGTTATACCAAAATACAGGTGTAGTCTCCTCCTCCTCTTCCTTCTCCGCAGTACTTCAAAATTCTACAGCTCTTATCCTCATTATTTTCTGTATCTTTAATATTTTTCTTGTTGGAAGTATTTTGTCGAATAACTGAAGTGAAATGAAGAGAAATATTTTTACCCGAGGAAAAGAAGAGATCTCCATTACAGAGCGTTTTACTCTGCAGCAAAAAAGAGAGAAATGCAAATTACACTTTTTAGAGTGATTAATCAATGCCACGTTTGAGATATGAAATCAGCAGAGGTAAAATGAGGAAAGGCTCTCTGATAAAAATCCGTTTAAGGAGCGACTGAAATGAGCGCAGTGAATCAGCCGATCTCATTTCCTCGGGTAGATCGCTCCAGAACTTAGAGAACGGACTGAAAACACTCTGTCCTCTTTTGCTTTCAGCCAAGTTTCTGATACGGTAAGACAGCCTTTGCTTGAGGATCGTAAAGTGCTTACTGGATTGTCGGGGATTAAAAGGTCGGTGATACAGCTTGAGCAGAGACCATTAAGAGGATAAAACGAGGCTTTTAAATCTAATCCTTTTATTATTCTTTATGTTTGTGGCCATTATGTATATTGCTAGTACAAACAAGCCAAAAGAAGGCCGCCTTGCCTGAACTCTGAAATGTCAGGGTTCATCGTAATAAATCAGCTTGATGTAGAAATGAAAGAGTGATGGGGTTAAAAACTTCATCAAAGGTAAGTCTGTGAAACTCTTGCCACAGGTGTGCATGATTTTATGCACCAGTATGGAGGTTTCTGACCTTTACCTTTCCAGCTGATGACTTCAGATAGTTTGTGATCTTGCTGCTGTTGCTGTTTAAACTCATCCTCAGGTGGCTGAAGCACAAATAAGGAGAAGACATGATTCTGCAGCATGCTGTAGGTCCAGGTCAGGAGACTGTGGTGTAGTCTGGTTATAGGACACTGGCTCTTTGGATCAGAACTGCAGGACCTTCTCTTTTTACTGATTTGTCTGTTTCTGAGCTGGCATTACACCAAGAGCAGAGCCTGCTGCATCTGTGAAAAGTGAGACTGAAATCTGAGAGTAGAAAACACCGGGAGGGTTTGAGAGTGCGTGTTTCAGGTAGATGGAAGCATCCTGACAGTAAGGTGTCTATTAAAAGTGCATTTCTCTTTGTAACTACATGAAGGTGAACACAGGGTGTCCTCAAAGTTGTTTGAACTTGTCTCATGATTTTTTTTTTAATCGTTAATTGGAGCCAAGCCAGCGACAAAGTGAGGAAACTTCTCACCTTCGAGTAAATTTTGATCATAGCAGACGGGTGATGTCTAATGACACCGAGACGTTACCTCTGCTCCTGCTTTTGCCTGTGCAAGTCTCACCTTCACTAAGCAGCATATCAAACATGTTACACTTCTGCAAATTAACTGCATGCTGGGTGGACAAATGTTTTCGCATATTGGAAGTATTTCCTCCATCTGACGAAATTAAAGCTTTGGAAGTGTTGCAAGTTGCCCCGGTATTATCTTTTTGCATGAAATACAAGCAAACTCTGGAGTGCTTTTGCCTTGCTGAAAAGTTCTGGACCAAAACTTCTCGGGTACGATGCATCACACATTAAGACGTAAGAGGAACCTTTAAGGAAGAATTATTAAGGATGCAGATGAACAATTCTTAGAAATCGAATCACTGGGAACCGGTTCTAAAAAAGTACCAGTTATCGATTCTCGTCCCTAATGTCTGCACTGGAAACATCCAAACTCTCACGCATGTTGTTGTACATAAGTCTATTCTGTCTTTTGACATCCACGGGAAGGTTGAGGAGGCTTTCCACGACCAGCACAACATCCTCTGCGCAATTTGCAACATGTACACTGTAGGGTAACAGGTGGGAGGGTCCATAGATGCTACTCACAACACTCACAGCAGGTTGCACAGAAGGTGAGTGGGATGATACGCCAGCCACTGCAAGAAGGTTCAAACCTCCACGTCAGTGCCAACAAGAGCAAACAGAGAGGTGAAGCGCTCTGATGCTTTGACGTCTGCATCGTTGGCACACTCAGGCCGTGTGGCACAGTGTGCGTACTTTACATAATGGTCCTACCAAATCACAGCAACAGCAGTGAGGGCATGCAGGCGGGTGAAGCCCATGGGAGCTAACACTGACACAGCGTGTAATGAACTCTTCTCACTGCACACCGACGAGTGCACGTTTCCTGTGAAAACACACTCCATGAGAGATTCTCCATCAGTTGGGAATGGGCAAACAAACAAACAAACATGGCCGAAGGTAATGAAGAAGACATTTCCGAGCAGCCGGTTACTGAACGAGGCTCCACATGAGGGATTTCCTTTAAGACTAGGGTTTAGATGAGTGAAATCAGGTCTGCCTGACATCAGACGGTGGATCTGCTGCTGTTCACTTTGTGTGATAGAGTTTTCAAGTTGAAAATGTTTTCACATCTGAGACTTGTTTGATGTTGTTAGTTTTCTCCATAACCTACCACTCAAACTTGTGGTTAAGTATCTTATTTGACTACTCCACTTGGTGTCCTCAAGACAAAATTAGTCAAAAATCTTATAAATTAATTTTTTTTAGCCCATATCGCCAATCCCTACTACCATCAGTGGACAACAATGATTCACAGAGTCACTTGAAGGACAGCGCTCAAGCACAGCTCGTTCTGACCCAACAGACTCCAAAGATTTTGCAGAGACTGTGTGAAAATCAGTTTTTCTATCCTCCAGGTTTAGAAATCCTTCACTTTGAAAAAAAAACACACAACTGGGATGACTTTGATTGACTCTGCTGAAATAATTTAGATAATTCCCTGTTTGCGCAGTGTTTGAACATAGTAAAAGTGATTAATCATGGTGGTAAAATTCTGCACAGCATGTTAATAAGAGCAGCTCTGATGTGTCTCTACAGGGACGCCTCTTCTGTTTTGGATCAAGACACACAAATCAATCAAAAGGCATCGATTCAGCTGGAACAAATGCTGCTTTATTTCAAGGATTAAAAGAAATCCCCACGCATTCAATCAATATCACAGGAGCCGGAGGTGTGTTTACACCAGCCTGCGAGTTTACAACACTTCTCACTTATGCAAGCATGGGAGAAGCTCACAGAATAAATGGCTGCTGTCAGACTGAGGAGTAGAGATGGATTAACACGGGAAGAGACTGAAAGAAGGTGATAGACAGAGGCTGAGAGAGTGTTAGGACTGGGAGACTGAGAGACTGAGGCCAGCAGACTTGTGATCTGCTTTTGTATCCGTGCAGGGATGAGATCATAGTGAACCCAGGAGAAATAAAAGAACATAATGATGGATAATCTTGCTGTTTAAGTGCCGCTGTTGATGGTCTATGTTTTTATTTTTCTCATCAATAAGAAATATTCACCCGTGACTTTTTGTTCAATCGAATAAGGACGGTTGTATTTCTTACACATTTTCTCGTTCACATCATTTATACGTTTCATTTATTTGATGTCTGTTTGGTTTTCTAATTCAGCTCAATTTGAGGCGGTGGAAGGCTGAAATCGTCTCACAGTTAAAACACTTCTTTTGAGAGTTTGACTTTCTTTTCTTTTTCCACGTGAGGTTTGTATGAAGCACTGCTGACCGACATCTCCTCCAGGCACATTTACGGTATGTACCTCATACAACGACATCGGCTCACATGCTCACCGGTTTTATTCACTCGTACAAGCATTATTTAAAGTCTCGTGGACTGCAGCTCAATACGCTATTCAAGTCTGAACAACAGCAGCTTACCAAGGTTGTCTTCATACAATTGCTGTTCACGTCTTAGAGCAATGAGCGTGACAGCTAACGACAGATGCACAAAAGACACACAAAAGCAATTAAAGGTAAACTCGTACACTCGATCAGTTTTTAGACGATGAAAAAATCTCTTTATTAGAGTTTCTTTAAGAGTCTGCATGAAGCAGAGAAGTGAACAGTCATATTTTAAAGCAGAGCAGAGGTCAGTGCGACATGAAAAACATTAAGAGCATTGTTCATCACATAAACAATTCATTTTCACGTGTGTACATGTCTGGTTAGGATTTTCGAGTTCTGACAATGGCCTATAAAGATTTAAAGGCTCTTACACACACACAGTCACACTTACAAGCAAATACACACACACAAACTCAGACCTCTGCCTGAAGGAAGGTATTAAGAGAAGTAAACACAATTTATCCCAGTTTATCCTCCCTCATTATAAACTTTTTCCTTTTTTCACCTTTACAGACACAACAAAGCAAAAGTTAAAAAACAGTTAAAGCCCATTTGCATTGACTGCATGTCGTTAATTCCTTATACTTCAGGTAAAGGTGCAAATATGTGTTAGTGAAGAAATACCAAGACTGAGTTCTCGACTTGTGTGTTCAGTGTATCCTGCTTAGTCCTCATTTCAAACCATAGACTGTATATTTGATGGACAACTTCGCTCCGCCTTTGAAGCCGAAAAGCTCTCGGTATTTCCCGAATTTTCCACTTCCTAGAACCACCACTTGCACAGTACCATTTTACACATTTGGCAGGAGAGTCTCTGAGAGTCGCTGTGATGACGCTCTGCTCAAACAGCATATCCCCCGCGTGAGCTACGTAACCTTCGTACACCCATAGGCTGTATCAGGTGTCAATCATAGAAAACATGAACCCTCTAATAACTTTTAAAGATGGAGATGCACAGAAAAAAGAGGACTTGAGCACAAACCAGTCTTACAGTAATGCTGCGTTCCAGTTACCTACAAAGTAGGAGCTGGAAATAACGTTACACCCGAGTTGACAGTGTTCCAGTTAACAAGTCGTAAAACCAAGATGGATGCCTACTGTTAGCCATTGTTAGCTGTTGTTAGCCGTTGTCAGTTGTTGTTAGCTATACCAGTTGTTAACAACGCATAACACAGTATTTTACGCTTACAAACACCAAAGCACTGAGTTCACAGTTAGACATTGGGCAGTACAACATTTATCACTTATTTAGTTTCACAAAACAAAACAGAAGTGCTAATAAATAATACATTACAAGAGCTTTCACTGTTACTCTTTACTGTTGATGCACTGCGCTGCCATCTTGGATTATGACATTGTCAAGTCGGGGTTGGTGTGGATCATCCGACTTTCCGAGTCAGAAATCCGACTTCAGGGGGCGTTCCAGATGAATTTCTGACTCTGAGCACGGAAATTCCGACTTCTGAGAACAACTGGAACGCAGCATAACTACATGTCAACATCGCAACAAGGGGGAAGAAAAAATTATATTCTATATAATTAATTTTTAAATTTTGTCCACAGCTCCATAGGGATTGCTGGAAGAGGCAGGATTTATGACCTATACTGCAGCCCGTCACCAGAGGGCGCTGGTCTCACGAGGAAGCAGACGATGTCCGTTCTATATACGGTCTATGTTTCAAACCTCATGCAGAACAGTGAAGCAGATTATAACTGAAGTTTTTGGTCTAAGGTTTTTTATAAAATATGTTTTTTGCTGCTGAATATAAAGGAGCCCCATCGATCCATAGGTCCATTGTTGGGTGTGTGCTGCAATGGAAGCAAGAGTACAACTGAGGAACCGCACAGAAAGAGATGTGAAATATTCACAGACTTATCAAGCAACTGCTATGAATAAATAGTCAAGGCCTTGGCATTGTATTCAGAATGACTGAAATCAAATTATAAATCAAGTCTCTTTAGACAGTTTGCTCCGTGTTCATGGTCATGCACAATGAGAAACATCGTAGTGTGGGTTATGAGTCAGTTTGTTGTGTTTATATTAAAGGAGGAAAAGGTTTCTTCAGCGTCCAAAGTGATCCTGTTAGTGTTAAATTTAAGCCTCCTTTAAATATAATGGCAGACGACTTTAAATCTTTTTTTGCATGTAGGTTCAGTCCTTTTGAGGGATACCCCCCAACCCAGGCCAGCCCAGATGAGTTTTTATCTGGGTGTGCATAGAGCAGGGGTGGGCAGTCATGTGCCATGGAGGGCCGAGAAGCTGCAGGTTTTCTTTCCAACCCAAAACTCCACCAGGTGATTTCGCTGATTAGTCCCTGCTCTCTGCTTGGAGGTAAGGTAATCTGTGAAATCATCTGTGGAGTTTTGGGTTGGAAAGACAACCTGCAGCCTCTTGGCCCTCCATGGCACATGATTGCCCACCCCTGGCATAGAGCATCTACTAGAGTCTTGTCTACGAACACACTGTTTAGCGAGAGCGTTTCCATGACTTGCAGAGGATCTTCTGGAAGGCTCTGCGGAAGTCTTGATTGAAGATGGTGTAGATGACCGGATTGAGCGAGCTGTTGCAGTAGCCGATCCAGAAGAAAAACTTGAACAAAGTATCAGGGATTTTGCACGGCTCTCGGCACAGTCCATACAAGCTGTAGGAGAAAAAAAAGGGAAACCAGCAAACAACAAAAACACCCATGACGACAGCAAGGACGAAGGTGAAACGCTTCTCCCGAGCAGCAGAAACTTTCCTCCGATTGACGGTGCTTCTGCGTTTGCGGCGAGATGAGAAGAGCTCCATAGACCTGGAACTGGAGCGGGACTTCCTGCTTGAGTAATTGGAGGCTGAGCTGCTTTTCCGGCTGAACTTTCTATCTTTGGAATCATGCTGATGTTTGGAGAAACCGAAACCCTTTTTAGGTTTGTCATCGGAGGAGCTGCTGTCCTCAAAATCATCCTCGCGGTCTGCTGGCGGACGCTTTGCCGCAAAGGGTAAATGAGATCGAATGGCTGACTGTTGGCAGCGTCCATTCTCGCACTCCTTCTCTTTCACGCTGCAGTCCTTGTTAGACTTTACCGATCCCTCTCTGATCGGATCGTCTTGGCCGATCCCATTTTCGAGCGGTGAGTCCACATCCCTCTTCTTTTCCGACATTGTCCTGGTCCTGGTCTTTGCAACTTGGTAGATCCGAATATAGACAAGAATCATGATGATACACGGGGCAAAGAAGGAGCCAATACTGGAGTAAAGGATGTACCAGGTGTCATCGTTTATGAAACACTGAGGGTTCGACTCGCTGTTGCTCCTGTCCATTGAGATCAGCGGTGGGAATGAGATGACAGCAGAAATCAACCACACCACCACGATCATACCTTTCAGTCTTTTGGGGGTTCTCTTTAAGTTGTACTCAACAGCCTGTGTCACCGACCAGTACCTGTCCAAGCTGATGGCACACAAGTGAACAATAGAGGAAGTGCAGAATAGCACGTCAAGAGCCAGGTAGATGTCACACCAGATTTTACCAAAAAACCAGTAGCCCATAACTTCATTAGCAAGAGAAAAGGGCATGACCAGGGTGGCGACGAGTATGTCTGCACTGGCCAGGGAAACCAGAAAAAGGTTCTGAGGTGGTTTCAAGGCTCTGCTCGTTAAAACAGCAATAACAACCAAAACGTTTCCCACGATAGTAAATAAAATCAGAAAGCCCACAAGTCCAGCCAAACCCCAGACAGACAGCTGTGTGTATTGGCTCCGAGATGTAGAATTAAAGGAGATGCCCACTGTCTGAAAACCCTCCTCCAAATTAGAGTCATTAAAGAAATCCATTGCGTGGTTTTTCCTGTCGGTTTTATAATTCACGGTGTTGAGATTAATCAATACAGGGATTTAATCTGCAGCCAGGAGTATCCCCACAACAATGTCAGTCCACAAAGGCTATTTCATCAATATTTACAGCAAATGACACTTTTCTTCTTTTCTCCTCACCTTCATGCTGCCACATCCTGCATGCAAAATTCTTTAAAGAAGAAAGAGCGGCAGGAAAATCATCAATAAAAGGATCACAAACTGTAAAGTCCACAGTCCAAAGACGTGTCGTATGCTCATCGACAAAATTTTCCACGGAAAGAGACCCTGTATCCTCCTCACCGCGTCCTCAGACATCCCGACTGCGCCTCTTTCTCCACCTCCGCCTTCCCGCAATGTCCTGAGAGGGGTTTGGGAACCACGCGACTTTCGTCCCTTTTTTTTTTCTTTTCATCACAAATATAAAGCAGAGACCCGCTCCGGCGCGGAAGGGGAGTTGGGACACTTATTGGAGCGGATCTGAAGACTGAGGATAACAAAGCAGAGTAAGTATTGAGCCTTAAAATGATGAAAATCACTCATTGATTAGTGAACAGAACAGCTGTGTCGGCTGCCATCTGCGCAAAGTCAGAGGAACAGCTGATCAGTGACTCCTCTCCTCATTTGACTCAGGATGGTCTGTACTGACAGGAGCAGTGGCTCACGCAAGCTTTTTCAGGGGCGAGGGCAATATACAGATAAAAGGGCACCTGCAATGGGGCGAGTCCATTTTTAGCATTCTGATGAATATTTGTGCAACATTTTGTGGTAAAAATAAAAACAAAATAAGGACAAATGATTAGGGGAGAGTGGGGTAAGTTGAGCCACCCCCTGTTGCTTGGAAATGGTAAAAGAAATTGATCATGTGACCAAATATTGAGGAGATGGGCAACAATTCATGGAGTCTGTGAAGGTCAGAAGCACATGGGTGAAGAGATTAGACATTTATAAAAAAAAAAACATTTTTCACACTTAAAAGTGAATTTAGTCTGTCATAAGTTTTATTAGAATTGTATTCAGACCAAAAAAGATCATTTTAAATTTGTTTTATACATCAATTGTGGTATCTATGAGCTACAACACGAGGTCAAAAACCTAACATAAAAGTCCACCATTTTAACTTAGAGGACTAACTAAGTCATCATAGTAGTTCTGGGGTAAGTTGAGTCAGTGGCTGAACTGAGAAAGTAAAGGAGTCTGATGAGAGGATCAGAGTTTCAGTTCAGATTGTTGAAATGTTTTACTTTGTCTTTTCAAAAATACAGCTGTGAATGTTATGAATCACTAAGACATTCTCGTGTTAAAATGGCTTTTTACAAAACAGCTTTTTAGCAGTTATATGCAATAATAATAAAAAGAATTATTGTACCAGTTGAATAGCGTATAATAGATAAAAATACACATGAATGTGAAGAAGTGACTGTTATTTAGGAAGAGAGAAGGTGAGGGAGGGCTGGTGTGGAGAGTGAGGGGGTAGTAGGAATACGCTTCAATTTACCCCGCTCCTATGGTCAACTTACCCCACTTTTTTTTTGGCATGCTATATTATCAAGACAGTTATGTTTACACTCATTCTGTTCATTTGCAGGTATGAACAACATCTTGAAATAAATGCAGATACACTAGCGAGAGACAAAACTAGATTGACTTGATCTAGTGATCTGAAATATGAAAAATGGCTCATCGTAAATATTTTTAGTTTGTTAAGATGTAATATTTTGAGTAGATACCATTGATGTAATACATAATGCACAGTTAATTTTTCAGGTCCATGTAATTTAGTTTTTATAAGTAACTTAGAATGATTGAAGTTAGATTGAACTTAGAATGAAGATTAAGTCAACTGAACACATATTTTTGAAGTGTAGTGTAATTCAAAAATTTATCAGCATAACTTAAAAGTTCTTATGACAATTTTTTTTGAGTTTTCTGAACTTGTTCGGGTTTACAGTGAAACATCAACAAGAAAACTGCACAGAAGACCTATATGGTCAGCTGACAACAGCTACAGCTTCTAATTGGTCGAAAGACTAAAGCAGAGATGGCAGCCTCCATCGTGTATACTGACCTATCAGTAGTCATGACACAATTTCACTAAAATTTACACATAAATCAACACAAATGAGTTTTTGGTGGGTTAGCTCAATTAAGTCTCCCAAGTGGTCTTCTGAGTGGAATTTAAAAAAGGCTTGTTTATCATAGAAATGTAATAAATTGGGAGTAATGGTAAACTGCTAAACAAAATCTCTTAAAACCTCGAGCCGGAGCTGTGTCTCATTTGTCCCCTCACCCTTCCCTGAAGCACCCACATCCTTTCTGTTACTCCTTGTTTAAATTGAACTAAGGCTGCTGCTGGAGGCCAGCATGGATGCACTTAAAGCTGACATTAAACAGACAGACAGGCCTTATCATAACGGTCGTTAGCTTTTGTCCTGAGGGTGCAGCTCTATTCGTGTAATCAAGGCCCTTGTGAGTAATTCAGTATATTACCAAGTTTTTTTTTTTTTTCCTTGTTTCAGTCATTGTGCTCTGTTCTGCTCTGAGGGATTACATCAGCTCTTCCTGCTGCAGCGTCTGCAAGAAACCAGCCTAAACTCTTGAAATTAGCTGAATTATGATGTAAGACCGACCCCTACTGCTGCTGATTGCCTAGCTTCTGTACCATCTGAAGTTATAACCAACCAAGAGTGTTTATGTTTGTACATTATTTATATAAAACGTACTAACTAATGCACATTTACACAAAGACCTGAGGTAATGAGTACTGATGGGGTTTCCAGGAGGTTTATAGCTGCACCGAAACAAATCTGATAGGATCTTGTCTTAAATGATCTAGAAGTCTAAAAGTTGTCTGCTTTTGCAATCAGGAAGTCCATACTCTTCTGTGACGAACAAGTCCTGATCTGACGAGTCTAGATACCTTGTTTCTTTGAGCTCCCCTTTGACAGCCAAACTGGAAGCTGCTAATAAGACACTCCTCTGTTCCTCGGCTGCCTTGTTCAGGCGCTGGCAAATGTGGCCTGATAAGTACATCTGCTTCTTTCTGCAAGCTCATTCCACTTAGCTTTCATTCCTAGTGTGAAAACAGTTTGTGGTGGGGACAGTGAATCAGGTGTGCTGCAGGGCTGCAGCACTTATAGAAACTCTTCTGCTTTGCCTCGTTGTTTCACAGTCATCTGCTCGTTTTACGCAAATGGTCTCAGCAGAGTTTTCTGAAAAATAACATCCTTCTGTTGCATCTTTTTTTTCCCCATGTGTTGTTTACCTGCAGAGATAGCAAAGATGTGCAATGTCTCTTATTTTGCATGTTTGGTCTACCTCTTGTGTTGCATCTGCTTCTCTCAGCAAAGAGTGGAAGGTGTCTCACTGATCAGCAATTCAACTCTAAAAATCAGTCTTCTGTCCACACCAATGATCAGGACTGTAGTGCTATTTCTATTAGTACCCGGGTGTAGCTATGATGCATGTGCATGTGTGCTCCACAGGGTTGACATCTGGCTCCTTTCAAAAGGTTGTGTAACCACCACTCCTACTATGACAAGTTTATATCATATTCATGAGTGTCACATGACATCCCACAGCATCTGTGTCAGTGCCATCTTTAGGACCAACCCGGGACTGGACTTTAACAAGGGCCATCTGTGCTGCTGTGAATGAGAAAGTATTAGGGTAAGGTGACCAGATTGGTAATGAAATTTGGGGACATCCAGGGGGTGGGGGTGATGAGCAAAATGTGATTTACAGCCCTCTGTTTCTGGGGGGAGGGAGGGCATGGCATAGCAGCGCATGCCCCCTGTAAAAAAAACCCATAAAAACTGTTGATCAGGACTGTGTGCAACATGCTTACTTGCGCTTCCTACCTCCTCGGCTACCGTAATAACCGTTGTTCTAGTCTACACGCAACATTTTTTTCCTCATTCATGAAATGCTTAAATCTGGGACATTTCCAGGGACAGCTGTAGCCGGGGGTGATATTTTTTTTTGTAGGATGGTAGGGGAAAGTCCCGCCTCCTTCACCTCTGATTGGCTAGAAAAGCTGGAAACGTCATCACACGCTCAAGCCAAATGTGGGCTGTCGGCTCCGTACATCAAACAGAACATTACAGAACATTATCGCACTTCTGAATCTCCTAGCCCATACCCTAACCCCTAATCCTAACCCCTAGCCCTAACCCTACCCCTAACCCCTTACCCTAATCCTAACCCTAACCCCAACCCTTACCGGACAGATGATGATGTTTCACAGCCATAAGGAATAACCAATCGGAGCCCAGCACTTCTAGCCAATAAGAGGCAAACCAGGGCGGGACCTTTGCCTACCATCTTACAAAAAAGAAATCTGCTAGCCGGGGACAGGTCATCCAAAATGGGGACTGTCCCCAGAAATCAGGGGGGAAAAAAGCACAGGGTTTTGAGACTTAAGTCGTAAAATTTCGACAATAAAATCCAAAATAATGAGGAAAAAAGTGGATTTACATTTTGGTTAGCCTGAGGAGAAAAATCAGAATGGCACCCAGTCTTCCAAGTTAATATCAAGAACATGGAGCATCTTGTAAATTAAAACGTTAAAAATTGAATGCCAAATATCAGCGCTGTATTGTCAGAAGAATCAGGTTTCCAAACTGATTGTGCCAAAAGTTGAGTCTGTTATGAAGGAGAGCAAATTAATAGACCGTGAAATGTTGCTTTTGCTTTTTTTCCTGTTAGGTTTCTCAATTAAAATAATTAAAAGGGCCCATAAACTGTCACTGTATTAGTCATGATAGGTTGTCTTCATGTTTAGTTTCTCCTGATTAAGTTTTTTAATCTCATTTTCTCGTCTTCCTGCTCCTGTGTATTTATTCTGGTCATTTCTGTGTGATGGTATTTGTTTCTCTGTCTCTGTCTCCACATCTGTTTCCTAATGCTTCAATAGTTTTTGGATTTAGGTTTCCTTGCACTGTTAAAAAGTGTGTTTTTGTCATTTACCTTTTAAACTTTCT